CTCAACAACGTCACGAGTGGGAGAGGTATAAAGGCTAATATGGCGCAATTTCTATGGTTCGTTCTCTAAATGATTAAAATCGGGTCATACGTTTTCCTCCAAACGTTTATGCCCGAAATTTCTTGATCTAAAAACCACGCCTGAATACTGAAGTAATTGGTGGAGGTTAATGTCGGCTTATTCCCAGGTCTTCGTGTGATACGTTAAGGAGAATATACACGAGAAAGTGTGGATTCGTAATTTAAGAATTTACGAGGCGCGAAGCGCCGAGTGAATTCGTAAATTAAGAATCCACACTTGCGAGTGTATTATTCGAAAAACCATTGCGCCAATAGAAGTAATTGGAAAGAATGTTGCAACCTGACGCCACTTTTTTCTTCATATATCATCTTAATGAAGGTCATTCGTTGCAAAAGTGACGATAAGACATGAATCTGGGACTGAGAAATGTTTCCAATTTTGTTAGGAAATACTTGAAATGACTCGCCATAGACTTTGTACACAAGCGCGGAGGTGGCGGCAGGTTGCAACATTTTTTCCTGGCGTGTTTAGCATGTGTATCGCCACACCCGTGCATCCAAGTCATTTTGTGTGTATAGGCTCCTTACATCAAAATGGATAGTTCAGACGACGATTTCTTTAGGATTAAAAGTAGATTTTGCAGTGACGGCTGAGAATCTGACAGTGAAGATGCACTGTTAATTTTCGGAAAGCAAATTTTCACGCAGACGGTCCTATTCAGGCTCATTATGGAGAACAATTCGTCAACGTTTTCACGAAGAGCCACATTATGTGGATTTTGAAGAACAAGCGTTTTTGAGCTAATCGCAAAAGAAGTTGTTCATATTTTAAACCAGCCAAAAATACCACTTTGCACCAACTTTGTGCAGCAAGGAAACCATCACACGATTCTACGAGAGCTGAATTTTTACATGAACCCGGTAATAAGACTTAATATAGCAGTTTATTGGTGTTAGCAAAGATAATTACGTGGCTCTTCGTGAAAACGCAAATACAGGTTTCCGACATCTTGGCCCTTTCTGTTCAACGTGTATTTCCATAGCCGGCCGCGCGTGAGCACGCGCACGCAGCTGAAAATGTAACAAAGATATGTGGCTCTTCGTGAAAACGGGAATCTCTACTTTTACGTTTTTCCGTGCAATGGGTTTTGTACGCGTTCAAAGGGCCAAAATGTATGTGGCTCTTCGTGAAAACGCAAAATGCATTTATCGAGATTTCTGCCACTTGCAACATTAATGTAACTTGGAAATTAATGATGTTTTGCTTACAGAAACATGTCCAAATGGTAAAGTACCTTTGTTTTAAAGCCCGAGTCCATTATTTGCAGCTATCCAAAAAAGTAACTGGCGTAATTATTGTTGAAAAACATATTGGTTGAAAGATAGTAAGGAGACTAAACTCCCTGTGAAATTATCCTTTCTGGCAAGCTCTCATTTTGAAGAAATCAACGAAAGAAGGCAATTCCAACGGTGCGTCTTAAGAAGCACCGTAGGAAAATTTAAATTAGTAGTTCGTTTTGTTATTCGGCGCAGCGCGCACAAGCATTGGAACGACGCACAGGCGCGCGCGGTTGCTATAACTCGTCGGATCAGTGCGCGACATCGCGTAAAGCTGCAATTCAAAACAATTCGAAACATGATTTAGCAACTTTTGATTTGAAATTGAGATCCTAGAATGCTGTTTTTCTCGGAATATAAAGCTGATGCTGAGCTGAAACTTCATCAAGTAAGTTGTTCAGTATCCTTCATTAGATTTTAAACACTTTTGTTGCTTCAAACGAACAAAATGCACTAATTACAAATGATGGACTATAGCTTTAAAGCAAAATATTGAAAAAAATTAAAATCGGAGAAAAGGTAATTTTTGACAATATGTGGCTCTTCGTGAAAACGGTGACGAATTGTCCGACGTGTTCAAAGTGTGGGTTCGTAATTCCGAATCCACACTTTACTAAAGATTCGTCGTTCCAAATCCACACTTTGTGACCAGTGTAAGAGATTCGTAGATCCGAAACCACATTTTTAACAACAGTGTGACGTCATAGCAATTGTTTAAAGAGATCTAACGCCCTGCTATAGACGCGTAATTTTTGCTGCAGTGATTCTTCAACCGGGCTGCATGCTTCCTTCTGTTGATTGGAGCATGGATCCTACAAATAAAGAACGACTGTTCTTGACTCTAGTACAAATGCACTGAGCGGACTTGCCTTAATTGGTTGGACGCATGATAACGGGCATTAACATACCCGTTGGCATTTTAATCGCAAATGTTCCAGGTGTGCCATTTTGTCGGGGTGGGTTTTTTTTTGCATGACATCTTAAACGGAAATATTCATAAAACTGTAAGCAAAACCGCTCCTTATGTAAGATATAGACCCTACTTGTTCCGAAATATTGTTAAAAAAATTAAATACTTCAGGATCTAACAGATGGTATTGTGCAGTTTTCGGTGTAATGTGCAGTTTTTGTCGTCATAGATGAAGATGAAATAAACGACAAATGTGACACCTTTTACCGAGGAGAACACCGTTTACCCAAATCTGGTTTTTAATTAGGCTTTCATTAAACAGTTTTGAAGAGATGTGGTCCCGAACCGATGAAACAAATGCGCGTTAACATGGTTATGGGCGTTAACATGGTTATGTAGTTACTTATCACTTATCATAATTCAATAATAAAGGCAAAAAACGTAGGATCATGAATACATGTTTTCAAAAACATAATTAGCTCGGGCCTGACAGACTTCGACACCAGATCGGGCACAGAGCCCTGCAAATCTGAAAGCCGCCAAAGGGTCTTTGTTGACAATTATTCGGGTTACACCTCAATGTTCCGACACCCCTTTGTTCCGACACACGGTTCCGACACCCCTATGTTCTGACTGCACATATTCCTAATCCTCACCCTAAGGCCCTCCCCCCCCCCCCCCCCAAAAAAAAAAAAAAATATTCGGTCTCTGGTCAGACCAAAGTTCCGGAATTGACGCGGCGACGCGGCTTTTTTTTTTTTTTTTCTCTTCAAGCTTGGATTGTACAGACAAGGTGGGGTACTATTTTGCTTTTTTGGTGTCCTCGTGTACATTGGTGTCCTCCATAATTTGCCTTGGGGCTTTCGATCATTTGCCTTGATGCAATTTCCCATTCCTTGGTGCTCTTTGGTAAAACAAATTGAGGAGGGGCGGAAATAGAGGGCGCTGTTGGAGCTACCGCGGAATATTTTGGAAAAAAAAAAGATCGACGCGCATGATTAAAATCGACGCGCGCGCTGACCAGAGACCGACTTATTTTTTTTTTTTGGGCCTAACCCTAACCTGACCCTAACCGAGAGTAACACAATCTTGTGCGGGTTGTCGGAACATACGGGCGTCGGAACATACGGGTGTCGGAACATGGAGCAGTCACGATATTCCCACCTGTACTGGCCGTTATCACGCGTCTAACCAGGAGTTTGGCCGAGTCGTTACATCCTTGTGTGTAGGATCCGTGATTGGGGTCGGGCGGGGCGCAGCCGTGATGCCATTTTTTTTTTTACACAGCAGTCTATAGGTATAGGCATATACGTATACATGTACATGTGTACCGTCTACACTTTCTTATGGGAGCATGGCTTATCGCCGCTCTTGAGTGGAGACTAATTCATCTCGCACTCCTCGAGCGAGGTACGGTAGGCCACACCGTGGTTAAGTCTGCAGGACTCCTCATTACGCTGGGCGGTTCTCGGACTTCAATTCCCTTTAAAAAATCCACCAAAAATTGCCCAGGCTAATTTTACCCAAGAAAGGGTGAAAACTGCAACTAACATTGGGTTGTTCTATAACCAATTATTGTTTGGGTTAGAATTTCTGTTCAATGCAACCAAAAGTTGTTAGTCATACAAGACCAAAAATTCGCGTTTGTTGTTACAAACGCAGAGTGGTCGGGTAGACAACTATTTTATGAAACACTGTCCAGTTAAGTTATGAATATTTCTATCTAAGAAAAAAATGAGTATCAGGAAATTAAATCCTTTCCAGGATAATCAATTAAATTTAAGTAAACATTCAATGTACACATACAAGTTATTTCTGGCTTGATAACGTCATTAGTCAAAAACGGGAAGTGAATACTGATTTATTTCGCAGTGGATGTTCATTGTGAAGTTAAATAACGTATGAAAATTTGGGAAATATAAATGTACATGTATGTATTTGTAACACCGAACTTCCGGTTTGATGACGTCACAGTTTTTGGGAGTAAATATAGATTTATCAGAACAAAAACAGAGAGTGGTTGTGCCCGACCACTCAATTATTTTTCAGTGGCAGAGCCATGAATCAGACAAAAAAGTCTACTTCAATTATAAAGTGCTTTGTCCTCTAGCCTTTATTCAAGGCTCCCCCCAAAAAAGCCTAGCGGGCGAAATTGGCTGCGTCCTAGAAGGCTCTTACACGATGAGAAATTCAGATGATGGAAATTACAGTCAACTTTCGTTGGCCTGTTCAGAAATGATGGGCATAAGAAGCACGTGATGTGAATGACATTGAGGCTTGTGCATCGTTCTAACTGCGATGGAAGTGCTTCTTTTTAAAATAGACAAAGCTACAAATTTGTAAATAGACTGGGGGATTAGCTCAAATGGTAGAGCGCTCGCTTAGCATGCGAGAGATACCGGGATCGATACCCGGATCCTCCAGTACATTTTCATTTTATCTGTTTTTCCCGTTCGGTTTTGCAACAGAATGTACAATTCCATTTCATGATGTTTCAAGGAGTCGGGTACGAATACGGTTTCTAACTCACATTATAAAGTACATGTATTTGATTTCGTTTTTAACGGTTTCTTGGTTTTCAATTTCGCGTACCTTATACTGGCAAATTTAATAAAAGAATTAATTTTCAAGGAAAAAGTGACGGGCCGAACTACATGTACTTTGCTAAGCTCTTCCCTTAACGTCAATCATAACGGTGAGACCAAAAAAAATTCAATTTCCTGAAAGGCATTTATTTTTTATTACCTTTTTATTTAGGTGACATTTCTACAAAATGATCACACAATTAAAAAACTGGTCACTTTGATGAGCATAAACATGTAATCAGTCTTGCACAGAGTAATCCACTGCCGCCCCCACCCTCCACGTAGATCCGCCGCTGCTAAGTACTTGTACATGACTACAATACATGTACCTTTTAAATTTGCTGTTGAAAATAATTTGTTGTAAAATTATGGTCATGCAGCGAGCAGTGGCTATCTCTTGTCACGATTTCGGAAATTATTACATGTACACTGTACATTAGCACAAAAGACATGGGGCTATTATGTAAAGCAGATGAAATACATGTATGGCAAAAAAGATAGACTTTCCCTCGTTTCCAAATTTAAAGAAAAAATAATAATAAGTAGACCGCTCTCTTAACATGCTGAAGGAACTGGGATCGATAACTTCCTGTTGTCCTACTCTAATCTGCATGCTTTCATGCAAGTGGTACACATTTTTATGCACTTCTATTTTGTTCAAGGTTGAATACCTCTTGGATGTAGGAATAAAATTCCTACCTCCATGGATAGCTTTTATACAATCAAACACCATAACAGTAAACGCAGCCCATATGAACCATATCTCTTTTTGGAATGTGTGTTGGCTCTGAAAAGAGCCGTTTGATTTAGAGTTTTTCCTTGCAATGGTCATACGGAAACTCTGGTTTCTGCTGACGGCAGAAGTCTGCTGCTGATGAACATGCCGAGATTGCTTGGTCTTGACTTGGACGGAGCTGGCTGCAAGCTGCCCAGGTTGGTTGGACAGTACTTGATGGTATGAGCTTCATCTCCGCTGGTTCCACACAGTGGACAGATGTAAGCCCGTAGCCTAGGACAGACAACCTTGTCCAGGCTGTTCTTGAGGATGTGTGAGGTGTAGACCGCTTCGCTCTCGCCGTTGTTCTTGCAGAAGACACACCAGGTTGGCTTGGGAACCATCCACCGATTGCCACGTCGAGATGGTTGACAGGTCTCATCACGGGACAGCTCATCGATTGTGAAGGGACGAAAACCCATGGTGGACCCACTGTCGATGCTGCTGGTCTCTTGGCCCGGCTCTGGCGTCTGGAGTCCGAGGAACTGATCTTCAGATGACTCCGAGACAGAGGTAGGCCTTGGAGAAGCTATGCTGGTCTTGGTGATGAGACGGGCTAGGCCAAGGTAGTCATGGAAGCGGTCAAAGTCTCTTGGCTCTGTGACAGGCATCTCGAGGTCTGGCTTGTTATCTTGCATGACGAGAGAACTGAAAAAGCTGGTGGACATCTTGAGGTATACTCGGGAACGAAACTGATGTTACTGGTTGATGGATGAAATCCAAAGTGATGACCACCAGACGAACTGGCCAGATTTTATCCTGAAAATCTTGAATGAGGTCGGTACTTAGACAATAAGAAGAAACCGTTGGCGGCAATATAACAGGTAAAAGCGGCATCTGTGATACCCTTGATGTTGGCCGCACCACTTGACGGCGGTACGATCACACGCGAGTAGTCAACAATAGAGGGCAAACGACTCGCCCTAAAAAAAATTTCAATTTGCGGTTTAGCTAGAAGAGGGCGTTCTAGCTACGTTGGCCGCGGAACATCAAAAGGCACCAAGCCAACTAATTTCTTCACAATGAAATGTGGTTCCTTTATCTATCAGTGAAGTTATCATACTGATTTGTACAGACACCACGCTGGCTTATGTATGCTTGAACCAATTTCAAAGGAAGGGTTCACTGAATATTACACGTACCACAAAAAAGCTCTTCACAAATCCCCCAAAATGCTACGGGGTTGATAACCTGACCACTCCCGACACGTTACACACGCGTTCCGTTTTCCTTGATCCATTGATTTGAACTTCTGAGAAGTCAACTCGTAAAAGGGGCATTCAAGAGAATAGGCGGGATTTCTATGGTGTGTTTCACTATTCTGCTTCGACGTTCAGACAAACCAAATTCCACTATAAGGATAAAAACAGTTAACATTTAAACATGTTGCGCCAAAAAAAAATGTACACGTATTACGTTCTGGTATACAATGTTCCTTGTTTATTTCATTAACAGCGGGAATTTGAAGATTTGTACATTTACAATTTAAATTACATGATCATAGTACGACTGGAATTTTTGTCAAGTATCAAGATTAGAGAATATTAGTAATCAAATGAACCATACCTCCATGAATGAATAACACAGTCTTTCCAAGGATAAATCAATAAATTTGTATTATAATCCTTTAAATTCAGGTTTACTAATTATAATGAAAATAACAATAAAATAAGTGTATTTCACATAATAAAGATCAACCAAAATCATAAAAAAGTAGGCTAAGGCCAAAACAAAATCCCGGTTCCTGGTATGGAGCTTGCCCCAAAAGTGGTGCGGCGACGCAGGTTGATTTTCCCCCCTACTTTTTTTTTCTTCAAATGTCGGCTGATGTTGCAGATCACGTTTTGATCCCTTTAAAACTCTCAAAAATATCCTTCAGAGTGGAGCTTGAGGTGACCTCAGCAAGGCCATAAGGCTTGAGAATTCTGCACCCACTTACGATCTCGACCGACACGAACATTCTTCAGGAAATTTAGATAGTCAATACAAAAATCAGAGAAAACGGTAGTAACGTTAAACCATATTATAGCCACATCGACATCGTGCATGAGCTGCCAGGCTGGTCATTAGTCCGCTGCCTTACCTATTGCGCTGATTGAAAAACGTTTACAGGTTCCAGATACACGACCATCGCTCCATCAGTCTGGCTTCCAGACGCACAATACCAAAATGACAACACCATCTGCAAATGGTGCCCGACTAAATTTAGTGCAAAATATATGGGAGCCCAGAGAGGCCTCATAAAGCTTATACTCAATCGGAACACCATCTAAAAACACGTAATAATTGTGCAGCAGCAGGATTCCAGTCAAACCAGTGAGTTTGGCGGTTTTGAGACACCCTCTTATATTGATTTTTTTTTTAAATTTTGCAAACACGCACAGCTACGGCGACGCGCGTGCAGACCAGAAACCGGAGCCTTTTTTTTGGCCTAAGGATTTGTAACCATAATTATATTGTTATCAAAATCAGTCCCAGGTGCCATTAGCCTACATGACATTGCCAAGAATCACGATAAAAGTTGCAACAATTAGCAACAAAGGCATTTCACCCAGTGAACATTTGAGATGATAGGCTTCACATTTCAAATCGTAAAATAATTAAAGGGAAACAGAAACGGAACACTTAGAATTCTCCTTCATCCAGTTTCGGTTTTAGAACTGATTAGAACCTGCAAACTTTTGTTGTACATGCTGAGCATCTTTGATACATGACTTTTCTCAAGTTGGCAAACAATGAGGGGCGGTGGCTCAACCAATAAGCTTCATGTTATGGCAGAGGCTTTACATTAACAGGTTGGCAGTCTCGGAATATATTGATGTAATGTCTCCTCTGCAGTGGATCGCTTGCTCAGCTTGTTAGCCTTGCCTTGGTAACGGCCATTCTTACATGCTCCCCTCCCCTCCAAACATTCAGCAATCCTTCCAAAGAAAAGTGGCAAAAATGAAGTCAGTAGAAGACTACTACTATGGGCAATTCCAGCTTTATGAAAGGGAGTGAAATCATGATATCAAATTAATGATTCAGAGAAATGATCCAAAACTCCTAGTCTGCAATCTCCTTGATCATTACCAGATGATGGATGTATAAGATTTGAAAAATACCGAGGTTTATTCACTGAGCTCTTAAAAGCTCGGTCACAAACATTACATAATGCCTACACGTACATTGCCCATTTTCACCTTCTTTAAAAAAATGTTGCTGTTTGTAGGGTCGCTGCACAAGTATTAATAATTACAAATTATAAGCCGTTTCTTTCTATTAGAGAGTAAAAGAACAGGGATTCATTGCAGACGTATCAAACACAGACCAAACCCCAAAAACACAACAATCTGAGGCCTCCCCCCCCCCAACAAAAAGGGGAAGGGACATACAGAACTCACTAAAATCAAATACAAAATAATGCAAATAAAATTACCAGTGACTGTGCACACACCCATGGAACACACCCAAATACTTAACTACCAAAAAAGGAATGAAAAATGGCATCAGAGATATGCATACCATGTACAGTATCAGGTCAACTCGGACCCAAACCAAATCGGACCCATGCTAACTCTGACCCATGCCAATTCGGACCCAACAATGACCAAATTGGACCAAACAATGACTGAATCATTTTTGTTTGGTAGTTTACATTTTTTTATCAAAAAATTAGAGCGGCCTAATATCCTTAGTAACGTAGTAAGGACTTCGTCAGAGGCACGTAACAGTGGAACAAAATGAGAAACAAACATGTGTCATGTATGATTTATACATCTTTTTTTGTAAATGTGTTAGTGTAATTTAAAGCTTGGAAATTACACGTTTAGATCTGTACCTTACATTTAATTTAATTTAATTTATTTTATTTCATAATATGCCCAATTTTACTTTTCGTACATTAGAAGGTGTGACTTATATTTTCTTCTTGCCTATTTTTTACTCGTAACATTTTTACGACTTCATTTATCTCTACATTTATTGACTTCAATTTTGTATAAAAAATACTTTTTTGAATGCATTACTATGTGTAAGATTAATAATAGGGGGCCTAAATGTGTTTGGAAGTGTTTATATTTCAGTGCTCATAGTTCCAATTTTATTTTTCTATTAGGCCTATCTACAGTTTGGATTAATCTGAGATTAAATTTGTTGTTACAGTAAGAAAAGATGGCGTGAACGATGTTGCAATTAATTTTTTTTTATGAAAACAAATGAAGCTATACTTGTATCAATATAGGGCTATGTCATTGTCAATGATTTTGTCAAACATTTTCCAATCGAACGATTGAACACATGTCCTCAAGATGGGTCCGAGTTGGGTCCGAGTGGGTCATGGCTCCGAGTTGGTAATGGGTCCGAGTTGGTAATGGGTCCGAGTTGGTAATGGGTTTGAGTTGGTCGTGGGTCCGAGTTGGTAGTGGGCCCGAGTTGGTTGTGGGTCCGAGTTGGTAGTGGGTCTGAGTTGGCATGGGTCCAACCTGGCATGGGTTCGAGTTGGTTTGGGTCCGAGTTGGATCAAAACCCCATGTACAACAGGGACAAGGTAAGGACATTTTCACTCTACCGGCCTGATTTCATGGCGACTTTTTTCCCCAAATAAATCTACCCTTACCCATGTCAATATTTGTTATTGTATACCAGTAAATTTTTGTTGTTGGAACTCTTTGTAATCAATGAATGTTTGATGCTACTCACTGTGGTCCGACTTCTTTGATGATGTCATCTGGGCCTGCTACTAGGAACAGTCCTACACCCTTCTCATCACCAGCTGTCAAGAGCGCTAGACAATTCTGTTAGTCCAATAAAATAAGAACATTTCATTTTGTTTTCTTTTTCAGAAAAGAAGTGCCTGTAATTGATAGGTAAAACACCATACAGCTTTGAGTGGAAAAGACTTTATTTTTGACAAGATATTTAGGAGTAGAGTGAGATTGGGGGGGGGGGGAATGAAAAATCCGAAAAAATCAACAGAGGGTTTAGGGGTAAGGTGAAGGCCCCAGAGCAATGTGTGTATTTGCCTAAAGGCACCCCTTTAAAACTCATTTCTTTTGTTCTGTACCTTCCTAATACAGAGACTTTCGGTAAAATCTCACGAATTCCAGATTTCAAAGGGATTTTTTGGAAACTTCTGAAATCAGGAGAAATCCTGACAAATCTCACCCCCGTTTTATATCTTTATCTTTTCAAATTGCTCCGGAAAAAAAGTTCAATGAATTATTCATTAATCCTTGTGAAGAAACATCTGTATTCTTCATTTCTGGATAAAAGTACATACATATACCCCGGTAGTCGTCATGCAATAACCTTTTTCACACAAGTAAAATGCACTCTTCCACAGAATCCCCACATCGGAACAAAGCACACACACTCTTTTATGTTGATACTATGTGAGTTGGTAGTTATGATTAAGTTGACAATAGACCCGTTCAAATTGACGTGTACATGTGCTTTAGTGAGCAAGCAGTGCATTGGTAATGCATGGGATTGTCAACATTTTGGTCTCATATTTCAATTTTTAGTGGTTTTTTTCTGTTTGAAGGGTGAAAAATAAAGAATCTGCAGAACTACCAATAAACATTCTGAGGGGTGCAGGGATGTAGTTGAGTCCATCACAAGTCCTCCGCTGCCAATTCAAATCTTTGCGAGAGGGGTATTTGTGGTTTCGAGGGGTTGTTTTCCATCTCAAGAAGATGCACAATCTTGTTAATGCGAGAGGGGTTCTTGTGATTTTGAGGGGCAGTTTTGCATTACAAGAGAGGTGACAATTTCATTTGTAGCGCAATCATATGCTCTCCTACGTGTGCGTTTGAGGGGCAGTTTTGTTTTTATCTTGAGGGGGTACATTTATAACCACAAGAGGGGCACTTTTGTTGGCCTGGGAAAATCAGGGGGGGGGGGGGGTGGGCGCAAGTCCCCCCCCCCCCCCCACAGTTCCGCCACCCCTGCTCAAGGCAGTGGTAAGTAACTGACAACCATACTGTGACAGAGATATGTTTTCTTTCCATCACGGTTGGCCCCACTACGATCCGCAACTGCTAAGACTTTACTCAAGCCAGTTTTTGTTATTAAGTTTGAATTCCAAAATACCCTCAAGAGGGTCCAGTTGTGAAATAGATATTTCTAAATAACGCAGATTACAAAAATATATGTTTCGTTAAACCAAGTCTGGTGAGTTGAAGGAATTAAACCAACAAAACCCTACAAGTGCCAATGGCGATTTTGTGGTTTTTTTCCTTACCTGCAAATTGATTTCATTTGCAACCATATTCAGGAATTCCAAGTCACCCTCTTTCCGGTGAAGGACGAAGACGGGATCTTTGTTGGCCTGGTTGTTGTAGCGATAGGCTTCTAGGGCTGCAAGGTCCCTCAGTAACGTGGTAGTGCTCTGAGAAGCAAACAAAATATTGTAAACAAAATTCAGTACTCTGTGCTGCAAGAAAACAGTGTGCACAAACCATGTGTTGTTGTAGGCAATTGCACAATGTGACAGTGCCGGTGACTGCTCCGATGTGGGACTTTTTACGCTTGAGGGACACATAGCACCTGAGGAAACGCCAAGGGTGCTTTGTGTCTTTTAAGGGGTAAAAACACATGACCCACATCACGGCAGTCGACAATTGTTTTGTTAAAATGTGCAAGTAAGTTAAAAAGATGAAGGTTTGTAAATCACTATGCAAGAAATAAATTAAATCACTGAAGTGTAACCTTTTGATTGTGAGTTTTCCTGTCAGATTTACCATAGTTATAATCATGTCAAGCGCAAGTCAATCACAATTTGACTACAAACCACAAGTCAGGTCAAAGTGAATGGGGTGAGAACAATGCAGAGTTGTAACGAGTCACTGAATTTTGTGACTCGTGTGGAGTCCAGTCATTTTATAGAAAGTGAATGAAGTCGAGTCAAGTTACTAGGTAAAGAAGGCCGAGTCAAGTCGAGTCGAGTCGAGTCAGAGTGTGCTGTCGAGTCAATTGGACATACTGAATGAATACCATCTAATTAATAACAGAATAGAAGAAGGAACACAAGGCACCAGTTTATTATGAAGATCCAAAGACTAAAAATGTGCTGCGCGGTACCTAACAGACAGCTTCTGCTAGACGTTTGTAACAAAGATCTACGTAAAACAGTTAATAACAAGCAAAATTTGGGTTTTACCTCTGGTTTGGCTTTGGGTCTGGAAAAATTTACGCTAACGTCAAAACCAAATTGCAACATACGAAACTGTTCCTGATCATATAGAAATATAATAATTTTTTGAAAGCAGAACATCAATTTAGCAGGTGTTCCATCAAGGGCTTAAAAAATCACCCGAAGCCAATGATGAAACCAAGAATTTTGAAATGCATTTATCCCTTGGTTCCAGGATAGTAGTTTGTGCATTACATTATAAAACCGTGAGGTGGGAGTGGGCAATACGGCGTATATCAGTATAAGATAAGCTGCCACAACTTGATGGTAACGCGAAGTACACAAACATAAATGTAAATAACTTTGTACCATAAGTCATCACAATTATATTTTGCACAGTTTTGGAACTCAAGTGTTATTAGCCTTCGACTTGAGTCATTTGCTCGCAGTGACTCAATTCGAGTCGAGTCAATTACCGGTTAGGACTCAAAACGAGTTGAGTCGCCAAAAATTGTGACTCGAGATGGACTCAAGTCGAGTCATTGACTCAAGTCATTACAACACTGGAACAGTGACAAGGCCTTTGATAGTCACAGTTCGTTTGAATACCGTGTCACTTCACTTGTCACATATAAGACTGAATGACTTGTGATTGACTTACAGTGACTTGCTAACCACCCTGATGTTTACCTTGTTGGCTACTTTCAATGATTTCTGGATCTTCTCTGCTGCTTGTGGGTGGCCCTCCGGTCCACACCTTTATCAACCAGACAAATGACACAATATGAAATGCTGGACTGCCTTTGTCAGCATGAGCATTTAACATGTTGACCGCAGACAAAACTTTTACAGGGTGCCCCCTTTGCCAATTAAGTGATGTACGCATGTGCGTATATTTATTTGGTACTTAACCCTAACTCCCTAGGGGGTGTGCAAAATCGTATTGAATTTGGAGGATTCAGGACTGTTAGTGCTATTAAATAAAAACTTGATAATTTGAATATAACCATTCAAAACATTTTTGTTCTCAAACTGGCAGCAGCTAATTTGTTGCATTTTCAGCGACGCCATTATTTCAGTTTGCAATACAAAAGTCTTTACTTTACTACGAGTATACTCGTAGTGGCAAAATCTGGTATGCCATCACTACAACTATATCTATAGTCAGCAGTCAACGTGTTTAACCTCCATGTACGTCTATTCATATTCACTCCATCAATTAAGTTTGCCAAAAAGAAAAATAATTAAAGCCATCTTTGCAGTCTTAAGCAGTGTCCATTAGACGTTTTTCTGTCATCAACATGCAGTCCTGAAAAATATTTATTTCTGGGTAAGTTTTATTTCTGAACTAGTCAAGGTCCCGACTTTCAAAAAATACCAAAATTAGCTGTATACGCTAGTTGCCACTTCTGTAATTTTTAAAGCACTTTTTGGCCATAATCCGCTCACCTCTAGGGTATGGGAAACAGACTACAAGAACAGCAATTCGTTCTTTGTTTTTGCAGCATCTAATGAACACACTTTAAACAGGTCAGTGTAACAATATTTGCTATAAAATACTAACCCCCAAATCCATCAATTTTCTGAAAATTACAGCAAAAGCAAATATTGTATAGAGTAAAAATAAAAAAGATACATACTTGAGGAACCCTGTAAGGAGTTTTTCATTGGCCAGGCACTTGCCCAGGTAATTGAGCAGCCTGTCGCCAGCCAGAAAATACAGGTTGGTCTTGTTCTTCTTTCCTTTCTCGGCACCCAGCAGTTTGATTGACTGACCAAGCAAAAATAAACTGTCACAGAATGTGTCTCAAAACGAGCATAAAATAAAGGCACCAATTTCTGTTGTGCAACAGTTTATCCATTGGTTCCCCAACATTTATAAGATGTCTGTTTAAATATACCAAAAGCCAATACAGACTTACATTTTAATTTGAAAAATAGGGAACATCCATTTTTGCAATTTTCCTTAAAATGTTCAAATGAACCCCCAAAAATGCTGACAGTGTGGTGAAAGGTTGAGGTTTTGTATGCAAATTTGGCAAAGCTTGACAGCTTTCAAATGATATGTCAAAAATTCTGACATTTCTCATAAAACAACAGTATGCTGTACATTTAATACACCACCACATTAAAACTATGGCGTATGGCGTATTTGATTGCTCACATTACATTAACTTTGAAAGTTTTTAGCATTTCTATCAAAATCAATGGTGCTCAGTCATCCATGACTGCATAGGTGGAAGGAATGTATTAGTCAAAGTGTTCAGTTCGTAAAAATGTATACTCTAAGGGCAATTCCAGTGTTATGTACCGTAATTTCCTGCGGATAAGACGCGTCTTATCTGACTTTCTAGACCACAAAAACATCGCTGCGCCTTATCTACAGGTGCGCCTTATCTGGTGTCGCTTGAGTTCATTTTTTCTTTGTGTGAAGAATTCTTTCAATGCCGCAATCAATAATGCGGTCAACCAAGGCTCAACTCTCCAGACATTGTGACCGTATTTTCATTCCAACAATGCCGCGATGTGTTGATCCCCCATGATCGTGCTTTCATTCCAACAATGCCGCAATGCGTTGATCCCCCTTAGTGATCGTGCTTTCGTTCCAACAATGCCGTCATACAAACGTTTTTCTTTGTGGCCGTTTTTTCATTCCGAAAATGCTGCAATCAGATTTACTTAAATGTTTGGAAATCGCATTCACTCAAGTTCTATTGTGTGAACGTTGAGGGTGTTTATTGTACAGGATATCTTCGAAGTCTGCTTTAGACTTTAGCCGTGTCCGCACTGGACTTTTTTTTTGGAAGGTTTTACCGAGACGATGGTAAAATGAGAAATGGTCAAATGTGACCACTGTCTGCACTTGGACTTTCGACACGGGAAAATTTACCCAGGCCGCGTGGGAGAAGTAACCGAGCTGTCACAGTGTCAGTATAATTACTCACCGTACACAGAAAACAAATTGCCGATCACATTTTCAGCCGCCGATACGCACAGTAATATTACACACGCCATTTGCATGCACAACATAATCGTTTACACGATATTATTTCATCTTGACACGCTAAATCTTGACGAAAAGGCCGATAATTCTGACGCATTTGTGATGCATGTCGTCGAAGCCATGCCGCTGTACGATGTTCCGTGCGGCAGCAGTGCCATCAGTATTCGTTGGTTCCCATTGCATGCTTACAGAATCGAAGCTATGATGTGGGCCAGGAACCAGTGACTACGGCCTACGTACGGTACCAGACCATGATGTTCCGTGCATGACTACAGTAGCGTATCAGGACGAATTTGGATCGTAGAAAATAACATACATCGGTGGAGAAAGAGAATTTCCGCAAATTAATTCTCAGAACGTGATCTCTCTTCTCTGTGTATGTATTTGTCCGTTGAAATATATATTTTAACGAGATTTTACCGCTCAGACTTGATGATACACCGCAGCGTGTTTCTACAAAATGTTCGGCCACTGCACGTGCAGGTTCGTGCGGTCTCTGTATGCATAACAGGGCGCTCGGGCCGGATGTACGCTTTCCTGAGCCGCTCTTACCGACTTGCACTGTCCGCACTGGACTTATCGTCTCGGGAAAAGTGCTTCATGGCTCTACATGTGACCAGCCAATGTGGTTACGGTTTAATTCATCCTCCGAATAGTGTGATCGTTCTAAGGCAACACAATGGCCCCTTTGTGGCGATGTACCGACACCGGGTGACGCCTGGTGTTCTTCTGTGTGCGGTCAAACATGCGTCTTATGCGGCAGTGCGCCTTATCTGTTGGCGTTTGAATTTTTTTTGGGTGATTTTAGGGACCTGCGCCTTATCCGCCGCGCGCCTTATCCGCAGGAAATTACGGTAATGACTGTGACAGAGCTGTCAAGACCTCAGTGAATAAACTTAAAAATGATTTTTTTAAAAATCTTATACATCCACCATCTAGTAATGGTCAAGGAGATTACAGACTAGGAGTTTCGGATCATTTCTCTGAATCATTAATTTGATATCATGGTTAACTGACTGAATTGCACTTAACTGATTATTATTTTTCATTACCTACATGTATTCTTCAGCAATCCTGTTGGGTCTGTTACACCAGATCTGAGTACAGGGGGAGTCAGAATGATCTGGACCCAAATTAAAGAAAACATTAAAAATATGGAGCAATTATCACAACAAGTGCAAATGAGATATGTAATATAGGGTGGTATGTTGGACATACATGTATTTGGTGAAAGTTTCATGTATATCCATTGTACCATTTTGAAGAAAAGCACTAAACAAATTTATTGAAATCGCGTACAGATGTGGCTGCATTTTAAACACTGAAGAAAATTCAAAACAATGGATATACATGAAACGTTCACCAAATATGTCCAACATACCAGCCTACAACATATCTCATCTGCACTTGTTTTGATAATCGCTACATATTTTTAATATTTAATTTACTTTGGGTCCAGATCATTCTGACCCACCCTGTATTATCGAGGCTCACCTGTAGATGACTAAGGTTGGCCACATGGGTACCACAACAGGTGTTGGCTTCTATAGTCTCAATCTCTACAATGCGGACCTGACCAACATGATCCTCTGGTAGTCCTCTTGTTCGTACCTAGGTACATGTATGTGTGGAAACACAAGGGACAATTAGTAATACGTTGCATCTATGGGATAGTACATATATGGCTTGCGAAAAAGTTCCTTGTTAAATCACCATTTTGCATGGTTATTTTATCTGGCACATTATGGGCAATGAGCATTTCAAATCAATATATATTAAAGTGAACACAAAACCTTGGTCTTATTTGTGCATTTATGTGCACAATAAATGGGACTGGCAATCTGCTTATAAAATTTGGATAACAAATATTTCAGCTGGGTCTGGCTGAGCTTTAACAAGAGTCAACTGTAATAAGTATCACAGTCCAAAAGGCAGGCAGCATGTGTGTCGAAATGCCAGGGGAGTACCAGATAATCAAAGAACACGCCCTATTTCAATGAATGGCAATATGGCTCTGTGCATAAATGTACCCATAGCAGCAATAATGCAAAACATTACAACTGCTATTAAACAAGGGTCACTTAACCCTCCTAGTGGGAAGTCAATATTCAGAGCAATGCATAAAACCCTGCAGGTCAGTTTCAGGTGAAGGGATAACTATGTTACACTGAGTGCGTTCGATTATTTCCCCCAGCTTACTCGTGCCTCCTCCTCGCGTGATGACAGACATGCGCAGTGGAGCTAAATAAACCAACGGTTTCTGGTAGTGTTTCGTGCACGAGCTGGAAAGTTGAACTTTGACACGACACTGAGGCTGCATCTGAATCATCTGTCTAGAGCTAGGTCTTGGTCCACGCCCATTGAAAATACGCGGGGACGAGCTGACAATAGATGTAGCTGTAGCTCTGGAAGCTGAGGCGCCCATCGGATGTCACGTTGGCAACCATGTTTATTGCGTGGCCTTGTGGGATACTTACCCAACTAACCGGCTCGGCGAGTCGGTCACTTGGGCCAGGCTTGAGTAAGCGCGAGAAGTCACGTGAGAGGTAAATCAAACGCTGTCGCGCTTGCCAAGTAAGCGCGGGGGAAGTAATCGAACGCACTCCCCGAGAGTCACTGCACACAAAAAAACAGCACTGCAGAGAGCAGTGAAGCCTGACTGAGTGTGCCTGCTAGCCCTCATGAGCTAACCACACAAAAGAATCTGTGCTGGAATTTGAAGCACTCCACAGAAGATTACAGTACCTTAGTGGAATTTTGAAGAGTGGGCGCTAACTGTGTGGGTAAAACTGGTTTTACAAAACTTGAAGGGTAGGCTAGGGGGGTTAAGCGCAATTTTCATTATGCACCCAGCTATATTCCTCTCAACCACACTCTGTGACTGCCTTAACTATGAATGTCTCAACTATGAATTTTCCCACAGAGAACCCATAAAGGAATGTCTGTGTTTTCTTACACAATTGAGCACAGCAGATCCCAGGTCTACAAGTCTTGGAGTCATTGCCAGCTGCTTCCTGATTGCTTCATTGACTTCTCTCTCCAGTTCCTGCATATGTTCTGCTTGGATCTTGGGTGTGTCCATCTCAATGAAGGACTTCTCCTTCCCCAAATCCCTGAAACACAAGCACAGAAACTGATCAATGTAAATAACAACTGTAGGCAGAAATCCATTAAATAAATGTCCAACTTTTTTTTTTAGTTGAGCCTGAGTACAGTCCAATTCCATGGAAGCCTCAATACCATATTTGCCTATGATGGAACCAAAGTTCATTTCATGTAAAATGTAAACACTTCAAAAATCTTTCTGGGCAATTCCATGGTTACTCGCATTACACTTTTTTTTGCATCATTTAACATTCTGAGTGCAGTGGTCTTCATAGTAGTATCTACATTTATATTTATGTTTTTGCATCAACATACCTGATATTCAAGGCTTTTCTCTGATGACAAAAACAAATTGTATGTTCTCACTTGAGAATGGTACTCTTTGGAAATGTGGTTACTCGATTTACACAAAAGGAACATGCAAAAATTGTCTTTTTTTCAATTCAGTAGTTTCCTCAGTCACACAGCAATAACCAATTTTCATAAGTTAACCAACATACTAAAGTTTGAAGTGGACACTAAAAACTGTAGACCAAATTCAGGTATAGATGAAAAAAAAGGCTGGTTGCTCACATTACAATTTGTGCACCACTCTTTGGTACAATTTAAAACATATGTGACCGGCTCCACAAAAAAAGGGTATTAAGTCGTCCTGAGCATTATTGTGTAATGGCTCGCTCAACATTGAGAGGGTGAAAATTTTGTCAAACTGTGATTTTCATTTTTTGTCACAAATGACACCTTTAATACCTACAGTTTCAGGTTTCATTCACAGAAATGTTAATTTTGATGAACGAAGTGGCAAAAAACAACCATTTTGTGTGCATCCTTCTGTTGTTCTACAACAAAGCCAGCTATTTCAAAGCCTGTTTTCTCAGTTGTGTAATTTGAACTCCAAGGAAGTAATTAATATGCAAATATGTCATATCTCCAGAACAGGAGGGATTATGGAACCCTATTATATACCAAATGAAAGCTTACATTGTAGGCTTTCCAACCATGTAAAGAACTCAATTTCACATTTTTGCGACATAATAACCTTTTGAGGAGCCGGTCACATATAAGGAACTTACACTCAAACAAAAAACTCTTGTGGAATATTACATATGAACCTTTGTCTCTGCCTTAAAAACAAACTCTCACAAGAACACATGCAGTTTGCATGGAAGTGCCCGTGTTCTTTGCCGACTGGCTAGCTCCATAAATAAGGATAAGACTGAACTTGCATTGTATTTCACCTACCAGGATGTTGTTGGCCAGCCATACTTGGCCTCAGCTACAGCTGTTATCAGATGCTGGGCTAGCAAAGAAAGAGGAGAATACCATTAGGTTTGAGACATTAATAAACATGAACAATTTAATAAATTGTATTCAGAATTTTAAAAGTATCAGCATGGTGCTGCTTTTGGAATCTTGCCAACGATGACATTCACAGCACGAAGAGACCCCCCCCCAAAAAAACCCAAAAATTGAAAACAACACATTGGACAATAAGTAATAATAAAAGTCACATCCTTTAAGTGATCTTTCAGAGCCATTTCCCAGGTTTGCAGTATTTCTAATGTCCCGCAGCATCAGGACATTAGGCCTGGCCGGGAGCCATTCACATGGGTGGTTTTAAAGTATCACTTCAACATCACTGAAAAGTGTTTCAGACAGGCCTGTACTAAGCATGGCGCCTAAATCAGGACAACAAATTTCTGCTTTTGTATTTTATTTCTAAAGAAGTGGCAAAGTGTATTCAAAGTTGATACATTTGGAAATTCAGGAAAATTTGATATATGAAAATACAAGTTATTTTAGATCGTAGAGAAACAAAATATGACATGATCTAGTCATTATTGGCAGCCAGGCCCCTAACCAATCCTAAACCAAATGCTTATTATTGCTCCTCCATGCTTATATTTCCTTAATCATAAATACCTGCGACAGTTTACAGGGTTCTCCCCAGGATTTTTTCAAACCTGTGGGGGAAGTTTTGTTGTGATTCACCAACCTGCGAAGCCACGGCGTGGGGTTCGGGGGCCCGCTTAAGGGCCCCGAAAAATTTTGAACTTTAGAGGCTCTCTGGTGCATTTTAGAGCAAATCTGGGGAGTCTTTAAGGAAGATTTTTCCTTAAAATTTAGAGGAGATCTTGTGATATTTTTTGTAATTAGAGAAAAAAAATATCAACGTTTTTAACTTAAAAAAAAAAATCAACATTTCAAAACCTGTGTTAAACCTTCTTGATCTAGAAAGTATGGATTATATTTACAAGCAAGTTTCAAATTAAGAAATTAAGGTGAAGAAAAAAATCACTTTTGCTTCCGACTACATGGCTTTCAAAGTAGCGTCGGTAGGTCGGAAAAATTATTTTGCCATTTTTTTGGGCTGCTGATTGAATCATGGAGGAATAAAAACACATGATTGAATGGAGCATATTGAACAAGGAATCATGTAGTTTTGTGCCTGGATTATTTTCCTTTGCACCACGAAAATTATCAAGACTGACCATCAGAAGTGATTAAAACTTGCCTCACCTAATTAAAAATATATTTGAGGAGGTTGATTCCACTATGCTTAACGTACATCGATCACGGCCCCTGGCACTGCCAACATTCAGTCTGGCCAGCCGTACATCGCGCAGTATCAGTGTGCATTACTGCACTGTGTACGGCCCTACTGCTTCTAAGAAGCACGCTACGATGTTTCGCCACAAGTTCGAGCTTTGCAATCTCGTCATTTTAATGGAAAATACATACACAGAAAATAAAGATCACGTTCTGTGAATTAATTTGCAGAAATTCTCTTTCTGCATCGATGTTTGTTTGGTGTTTTTACGATCCAACTTCGGCCGACATCATCATCATGTATGCACGCACGAGGCAGTAGTCACTGGTTCCGGTCCTTCATCATAGCATTGATACTGTTAGCACGCGAAGGGAACCAGTGTACCGTGCTGTATGCGCTAATATATAGCTGGCGGTTGACGCGAAAGACCCGTCATCGTGTGCATTTTGATCACGCATGCATCAGAAATGCGGGATTTTTGTCAAGATTTTGCATGTCAAGATGAAATAATGGTGTATGAAACGATTATGTTGTGCATTTTAATGGCTTGTATAATAATTATATTGTGCGTATCGGGGGCTGAAAATGTGATCGGCATTTTTGTCGGCGTATCGGGCCGCAATTCCAGCGTATCGGGCCGATACGCACGTTTGTACGTGGGGAGAACCCTGGTTTACCCATTCCTATTGGTCGAGAGCCTGTCACGTCATGACCAGGCCCCTAGCTGGTTTTAAACGTACTTGTTTAAAACTGACCAAACACATTCCCTTAATAGTAATTGAAACCTAAGAATTTAAAATCATCACTGTAGAGGGTACATGTATTGGAAGTTATGGGTCCATTGGGTGCTCATGTCAAGTTTCAGCAAACTATATTAGTGTACATTTTGATTCATTGCAATTATTTCTTATGAGAAGCAAACGAGATGAGAACGTGCATAAGAAAGAGCTCTCCAGCTACCTGAGTGTTGCTGCATGTGGTCAAATCTCCTGGTCCAATCCACCTTCTGTACAACCTCCGTCCCTGCTTCTATGGCTTTCTCAACAAAGAGGACAGCATCAGCTCCTCTCCTGGTTATCCTGAGGACATCAATGCCGTTCATCTGGGGGGGGGGGGGGGGGTCACAAAGAGTGGATAAGTCCCATGACTACTACTTACCATGAGGGGTTAGAAGATGTCAATGAAGTAAGACGACTTATTGAAATTTTTTACTTTTTCCATGACCAATTTCTGCTTCATTGCTTGACCAAGTCAACAAGAGGATAGTTGCCTGGTGTGTTCACACAAACTTTGGATAAAGTGACTTTCACCTTGGTGAGTTTTACCAGAAAAGTCCAGCGTAAAAACAGATTTTTTTTCCCCTTCAAGATACGATTGCACTATCAGCTGCTATATCAGATTCTAACCGGCCAGCATACCCTGGCAAGGCTGATGCTTACTGGTTAAAGACGTCTGCAACTTGCAACAGATCATGGTTTCAAGTCCCATTCAAGTGAGCTCGTACATTTTGTACCTTTCTCACCGACACTCAGACTGCGCTGAGTGTATGTTGTTTACATCAAAAAAAAAGGAAAAAAAAGTAACATGCGATTGCTTAAACCCAATTAATAAATTATCAGAATTTAAAAACAAAAGAACTTACCGTTCCCCTGTCATCTGGCTAAAATAAAGAAGAAAAAAAAAATTTCTGAAAACTCAAAATGTCACCAAGGAAAGACATGAATGTATCTATTTAGCATTGTAACAAAGTCACAATTTGATAAATTGTATTAATTTGATAAATCTGCTGATGATCAGCTTTTTTTCTCATGAAAATGGCTGAGAATGTGATATATGGGGTTAAATGAAAGATTTTTGAGTGTTTTTTTCAAATACTTTAAAATTTCATTATTTTTCATTCTTTGTCCACATTTTTTTCAAACACTGTATGAAACAAGCTAATGAGTATCATCACTAGTATCATTACAAGAAGAAATCAACAAGAAATCATAAATTCCATTTTAACTATAATATTTGTGCAAGAAAATCTGTTTGCCACTTCATCGTGTGCACATGTACCTTGTAGTGGATGTTCATTAAAATGACTGAACAAACTTTTCTGTCAAACAATTTTGCAACAGAATTTAATTTCAATTTATAAACATATCTACCCAAGGTGGCACATCATGTTTGAAATTGAAAATGTTCACAAAGAAATCTTTTCTACTGCTTTGCATCTCTTTTAGAGCATACATGTAGGATTTTCAAAGGCCTGAATTCTGATCGAAAAGATGATTTCTGTAAATTCCATTCTGAGCTCATGTGAACTTGAAGTGGGAAATGGGTGGCCCTCAAAATTCCCTCTGGCAAAATTGAAAATACCAGAAAAGCTACTCCGATACCTGGCCACCACCTTCCGGAAAGAGAACCGTGTCTTCTGTGATAACCTCATAGCCTTGGAGAGTTTGTTTCTTGCCATTGACTACTTGCTTCAGCTCAGCTGGTGTGCAGGACACCACCCTTGTGGTCAACTGCAAGAGATGAAGATTTCACAACAAACATGATGTTCTGTGAAAAGGGCAAGGATAAACCAACTTAGGTAAAATTTCCGTTATTAAGCCAGCAGACCATATAGCGCCCTCATGTACGTGTATACAGGTAGGCCTACACCATATATGTAACATATTAAATTGCCGACTCGCGTCAAGCAAACATGTAGCCTAGTGGATAGCGCGCCCGCCTTGCAAGCATGCCGCTCGAGTTTCAGTACCAGCCTTGCCGTTGTTTTTGAAACTTTATTTTTTGTGTCCCAAAAAGTAAGAATTGTCTTCTTTTATTGTGTTAAATCAAATCTTACATTTAATTGCAGAATATTTCTCTTTTTCCTGATTCGTGGCTTTGGAGGATTTTTTGGAAAGAATTCCATACCTGGACATCATTTCACACCCTGTGCACAAACCCTATGAGACTGGTCTGAAAAAGTCAAAGTTTTTCTCAGTAAATGCTTCAATTTTTTAGTTTGACTTTTTAGGACATGTTATCGCTCTCTGATGGCTGATAGGTCACTCCACATGCTCCAGGGAAAATTTAACGATGTCCATGTATGATAAGGCTCGAGCGAGTCGCGCTCAGGTAGAACACACGCACTCCGGGCTCCTTCGACCAATAGGAATACCAAAATGCGTGTGCGCCTCGTCTTTCAGAACGCGTGCAGCATGCGCGTGAGGGTGACACCACCGCAGTAAAAGCTTTTAATTCTGGTCGCCAGATTCCACTATAGGTCTGATTCCCATCTCGTGAATACAAAGTCATGACAATAAATGAAAGCATGGAACCAGTCCAAAAAAAACCACTCACTGCAAGTGTTCACTGCAGTGCCAGTGTAACAATCGGGGACCAGTTCATGGTCAAATATCCACTGCTGGGCTTTAGGTTTTATCATTTATCAGTGTTTATATAACACTACTCTCCAGAAATTTTAGCACGCGCACGCGTACGCGTCGCTGTGTCACACTGTTTCTGTGTGGCTCTAAAACAATAAACATGCTAAATATGGAGGAAGTCTAGCTGGAGCATGACTGGAGTTACCTGAGCCTTTATCATTGGGTAAAAAAATATTTCAATATTATTAGAACAACCGTGAACGTGGCTTGTTGTATACATCGCCACGTTTACGGGTCTACCCAACGATAAAATATAGGGCCGAGGTGGAAACTCCAGGACTGGAGTCCAGAGGAAGTCCAGTACTTTATTCACATTTACTCATTACTGTGACTTCATGTTAGGGATGTTAGATGTAAGTTCTTGTGTTCACTTGCTGCGGGTGGGATGGCCTTGTGAAACGTAATATTTTAGACCTTATTTCACAGCGGTAAAAACCAAAGTGCGCCCTCAGTTACCCATCATGCCCATCATGCCCATATAAATCATGTGCGCGTTGCACTTGCACTTTGCAGGTCTGCAGGTGTAACGTGAACTGAACAACCTTTTATTTTAATTGCAACAGGACCAATCGTAACCCTGATACACCAGTTTTGTTGAAAACAATTTCATCCTCAACATAAAGAACATTTCCTTGAAATATCCCTTTACGTTTTGCAGAAAACGTGAAATAAATACCTCTTGCAAGTAACTATTCTTTTGACAGGCGAACGCCATATTGGATTTAAAACTATTTCAATCACTTCTAATTAATCATAAATAATGTACAAAATCTGCATATAAAAATCAAAAAGTAAATATAGACAGGAATTATTTATTTATTTTGTTGCACTTATATTAAAATCTAATTTTATTTTACAGAATTTATGCTAAACATATTTGTATCATTTCAACTAATTTACATATTTTTTATTGCAGCGAAAGCTGACATGTCTTCGGGCAAAAGAGATGGCGAAAATGGAGGCTTATGACAGCAAATTTTGCAGAACTTACAGTCGCATTTTCGAAGATTTTGCCTTCAATGGTTTCCTGTAGCTTACAGGAAGGTGGTGGTTCAGCATAGAGACAGACCACGGTAAGGGTTGTTTATAAAATTATGTGATGAATGTGTTTGCATAATGAAATGGATTCATTTTTTTTATAATTAAAATAAAAACAATATGCACAGACCACACTTGTATTTCAAGCTGGTAGTGATAGCTGGCCTCATTGGTATTCCTCCATGGGTAGATAAACGGGCCACCTAGCCTCCATTTTCTTTGTACAGAACAGACTACAGTAATCACAAGTGTGTCAGCCGAGTCAACAAATTTAAGGCTGTCTTGGCTCAGAAAATAACGTCATACTAGCATAGGGCCTATCACTTATCACTTATATCAGCTGTGCCGTTTTTTTAGTAAACGATAGTTTTGCCGGTATTGCCTCAGGTTGTCTTTCATTCTTTTTCTTGCAAACTTAAAAAAAAAGGTGATGCAGCCATTATCAGATTATGACGTAAATTGAACCACTCAGAATCCGAGCTGTGAAAATAAAAGAAAACCAGTGGTGGCCAAATATCGACTGCCATGTTTTGAATTATTTAACGATATCCTTCTTTTTTTATTTCAAAAATGACTTATTATCCTCCTTTTGAGGAAATTTATCCAGACGCCACTTCAGCGGTTGTGTACAAAGTCTATGGAGAGTCAAGAACATTTTCAAATATTTCCTAATAAAATTGCAAATGTTTTTCAGTCCCAGAGTCATGTCTTTTCAACAGTTTTGCAACGACTGACCTTCGTTGAGATGATATGTGATGAAATAAAATGGAGTCCGGATGCAACATTCTTTCCTTCCTTAATTTTAAATAAGCCAGTCTGGTATCTTGATGAAGCAGTCCATGTCAAAGGTCATTCGCAATAAAATCGCTGACGTGATAATACGCAAGAAAGAACAAGAACGCATTCAAGCTTCCACATGCAGTGTCAGCGTCGCAGTTTGGAATCCGATGGTTCGACAAATTTCCAATGCAATCATCCTGCAGTGTATGGGGCTTGGTAGCATTTTGTCTGAGATCTCAGGGAGGCGACACACCCTTTTGGGTCATGTTCGACGCCTCCAAGCTCCTGCCCCTGCTCGTCTTGCCCTTGATGCGTTGTTGCGGATGCTGTGCAGCTGTCACCAATCGAGGGCTGGTCTCTTGCCCTTGACCGGGGAGGTTGGAGGTCACTACTCCTAGAACTATGAGGCTCCATGTAGTGGAGCCTCATAGATGAAGAACCCCGCAAAATTGTTTTCAGCACAAAACACTAATTAAGTACAAAAACGTCCATCAAAATGCAGACATTTCCCACAGAACCACTGCACAGTTTGCTCGGGGGTCAGACAAGTCGACCGTTGAGACAACTCGACTCCGGACAAGTCGACCGTTGAGACAACTCGACCGTTGAGACTACTCGACTGTATGTGCGATAAATGGAAAGACAAGTCGACCGTTGAGACAAGTCGCCTCGCATGTTTTGGGCCTAGTTTCGGGGATAGTACCAGGGATTTTGACGGCGGCTGATCGCCATTTGGGAGTGATGACTCATGATTTTTTTTGTTGCATATAAAAGAGCCGATATAGCGCAGCGTGATTGTCCGTGCACATCGTTCGTTTTTTTCAAGGCCACGTGCGCGCATCCCCGGTCAACGTGGCTGTACCGTGCACGGTGGCATCGTTTTTGCCAGCCCTGTGCGCCCATTTGCCGCGCCGGACGACGTGCCCGCGTGCCGGGCCCGGCCCGGTCCTCGCGGGCGGGCGGGGCGCACCGGCCCGACGTGATGCCCTTTGTACATCGAGTATGCCCGCGCCGCATCCGTGATCGGTCTTGCCACAGATTTGTGCAACTTTTTCTGCTCCACGTGTATTCATTTCCATTAAGTCGAGCAGTCTCAACGGTCGAGTTGTCTGAGTCGAGTTGTCTCAACGGTCGACCTGTCTCAACGGTCAAGTTGTCTCAATGGTCGACTTGTCCCAAGTCGAGTTTTTTCAACGGTCGACTTGTCTGACATTCGTTTGCCCCCAAACTCCGTTCTATACCTCATGACATACTCACGTAATATGCGCAGAACAAACATCGCTGGATTTTGTCGGTTTTTTGGCTAAAATGATGAAAAATATGCCCTTTCCGCGCTGAGCCAACCTGACACTTGAAACGTGCATGCATATGATCCAGCGATGTTTTTTCGGTTCGCTCGAAGCGCGCCACGGGGGGTACGGTACTTGCACTTGTACGCATGCGCATACTATCATTTCGCTTGTACCGTTGAAATACCAAACTGGCTTATTCTAAGAAGACCATACAAATAAATTTTGTGAATTCGATAACGTTCATTTTGTGTGTACGTAGCCAAAAAGGGGAAGGGTAAGGATATTAAAAAAAAAACTTGCCTAATCTTAGTTTCAAGATTTTCAACAGTGATTTAACGGAAAGTACAACGTTTACCTATTTTTTAGTTAGTGCCGCATTAATGCTGCATTAAATAAATGCAGTTTTATAAATCATGCATTGCACATGTTATGAGGTAGCATTGTTTAACCCTATAATCTGCCCCATTTCGACAACTGTGTTTGTCTTTTGTTTGTTTAACAACGGGTACATGTAATAACATTAAATGATGGTAAATTTGGTGTCAGAAACTTGAATTTCAAGTATAATAATTTTATAGGCCTATTGTTTGTCTTGAATCGAAAGATATAATACCTTGCTAAAGCCAGCCCCTGTTTACAGACTTCATTTTGTGGATTCTTTGCCTACAGGACCGCTTTTGAGAGAAAGCACCCTTTTGGGCTTTTGTGCCTTCACCACAAAATGATAATACATTTGTACATGTAGTTGGAAAGATTGTTTAAAAATGTTCAAATATTATGAATGTTCACACAATCTTACCTTGACAATTTACCATTTTTGTGTAATTAATGTGCTAAAGAATCTGCGGATACAAAATTTTGGTCCTCAAAAATCAAGTTAACCCTAACCACCCTGAATTCTTCAAAATCCTCTTTGCCAAAGTGGAGGAATTTGGAGGATTGAGGTTACCGTATATGGCAAAAGTGCGCTACTGATTTCGTTGGATGCACTTTGTCAAGGTCTTGGACCTTGTGTCATGTGTGTTGTGTTTGCTCAGCCATGCATAAATATAGGGCTGGATTATGCTTGAAATCCTCCGTACTGCTCCAGGATGTCACTGGCCAAGCCCCAACATATTGACAGTCACTGCCACAGAATTTTGCAGGATTCAGACAGTGGTCACCCCTCCACGGACCATATTCAAGAAATAATGGAAGAATTTGCAGGATTGAGGCTATACATGTATATTATTATTATTATTATTGCTGAACATTTATTTCAACGTTGTTATGTCACTAGAAATATTAAATCGTTATGTTAACATTTAAGCATACAAAATATACTACGACGTAATTTTACACAACATTGTTATTAACATAATGAAAATATATGCATAATCAACATAACAACACGGGGATAGGGTGAAGCGATCGCTTTTGTTCCCTGACCCGTTGGACACTTATACAGACTGACGGACAATTAAGTACGAACTAAGGACAATGACAAACAAAGAAACAGGAGTATCATTAAGCTATTGTTGTATGTTTACAAAGTATCAACAGACTACGAATAAAATGTAAGAAGTTGTGTTTTAAATTTTTTGGTAAATGTAGATAGAGTTAAAGATGTTTTAAGAGGGATACTTAGACTATTCCAGATACTTGTGCCACGTTGAACTATTCCATTTTTGAACACTGTCGTTCTATTGAAGCCAACATGAAGATTTTTCTTTGCGATACTCCTGGTTTTATAACAATGAACATTTGAAGTTAAAGTAAAACATGAGCTAAAACACAAAGGGAGCAAATTATTCATATATTTGTACATGAATTTACCGAGATTGAGACAATAAAGATCATTAAATTGCAATAATTTAAGATTGGCAAATAATGGTGTGGTATGATCTCGATAACCAGCATTGGAAATTACTCGAACAGCTCGTTTTTGTAAGATAAGAAGTTTATCACACGATGACGACCCACCCCAGATGATATTGGAATAGTTTAAGTATGGCAGAACAAGTGAATTATACAGAGTTTTTAAGATATTTTGGAGTAAGAAAAATCTCAGACGATTCATTATGCCAATAGTTTTAGATATTTTGCTGACCACGTCATCAACGTGATTATTCCATGTTAGATTTTCATCAATAATAACACCTAGGAATTTAGTCTTGTTTACTTTTTCAAGGCTAATGCCATTTATGACTAAAGGAATCGTTTGAGTGTATTTCTTCTGTCTTGGGCAAAATACAATATAATGTGATTTAAGAACATTAATACACAGTTTGTTTGCTAGCAGCCAAGTGCTTATCTTTACAAGTTCACCATTAAGAATATTAACAGCTGTATCCACACTATTATGACTGTACATTAGACTTGTGTCGTCTGTAAATAAAGAAAATGACATAATGTCAGATGCATTACATATGTCGTTCATATAAATAAGAAATAAAAGAGGACCTAAGACAGAACCTTGTGGTACTCCGCAAGAAACTGATTGCTCTTTAGACATTATTGAATTAAATGATACAAATTGTTTTCTGTTAGACAGATAACTTTTAAATATGGTATTTTTCCATGAGGCTAATTGGAGGATTTTGAAGGATTGAGGCTACAGCCTAGCTTTTCAAAAGATTTTCCCAAACGTGTGTTTGGCATTACATGTGTATTCTATGTATGTGTCTGAAACTAGCATGGGACCTCATATCGGAAAGAATGTTGCATCCTGACGCCACTTTTTTTCAACAAATATTATCTCAATGAAGGTCAGTTATTAATTGCAAAAATGTTAAAAATGCATGAATCTGGGACTGAGAAAAATTTCCAATTTTGTTAGAAAATACTTTGGAAATGCACTCGACTCTCCATAGACTTTGTACACACCAAAGAAGTGGCGTCTGGATACTACATTCTTTTCCCTGATATCAAACAGTATTTCACCTACATGTACATGTATGCATTTTATGCGGCACCAGTCCTATGTTGATACATGTAGTTCAGTTCAAAACTTGTGGCTTTATTAACTGCTGGAAATAGTCTAGGCCAAAAACAGCATTTTTCCACATTTTCAACATTGTGCCTATCGCAATACTCAATGGCGTATATTTGTTCTGAGCTTTCATTTAAGAGACTTGTTCATTATTGTATCCATGGTTAATGTTCTGTAGGAACAAAAAGAAATCTTTTGGAAAAATACATACACGTACATGTACATATGTAAATTATGTATGAATTAAACCCAAGCCAAATTCAACACTGTGCATCACCCTTTTTCTCATTGTTTTTTTTTTTACTTTATCGTGTGTTTGCGAGAACCACACCTAACTTGATTTTGTGGCCAAATTGCCTACGTCAAACTTTTTAATTGCCTCATGCGTTTTTGTACAGCCAAAAATTAAAAATAGGTACAGGGTATATTGTAATGACTACAGTGGTTTTTGAATTGAATCCTCTTGAATCCCAAAAAAATGATTGGTATAAAAAGAACAACAGTCATAAGAAAGTAACAAAATGACATAAAGAAGTTAACAATACAACATTTATAAGAAAATAAAAGTATTTTCCTACCTACATATCAACCTGAAGAAAAAAATGGTATATGAAGAACAGCATACGTCATATACATAAGAAAGTTACAAAATTATAAACCAATGGTGTTATTGTAAATCTACAATTATTTTTTAGGCCTTTATGCTTTAAGAACATGCAGTTAGGTATAAATTCATGGTAACTGGGCTGTACAGCCTTGTTAGATTTCATTTTCACATTAAAAAAAATATTTCTCCCGAGTTGGAGTTGTTAAGAGTTTCTGACATCAATTTAAACAGTACAGGTTCTCGTGTTAAAACAGTAGGGCCAATATATCAATACTTTTGCTCATGATACAGACTTGCAGACAATTGATATTTAAAAATGTAGGAAAAGGTCTCTTGGGGCATTTGAAGTGTAAACAAACTGTACTAGAGACCAACATTGTATGCATGCTTTTACACATATTTATTTACATATTCATGTTTACTAACTAGTGGTACAGGTGAGCCTGATGGAGGGGGGGGGAGAGACATGCAGAAAGAAATTCCAACAAAGAATATGCTTGATATCATCAAGAGCACAATGTTAGACAATTTATATTTCATGGTCAAGTTATCATTCCTTCTCTTTTCCACACCTTTCCAGATATGTGAGGCCATATTGCGCTTAAACACTGCTACTGCTGTCGATGTGTACATATTCCTGCCTGATGTAAAACTATCGTTGCCACCACTGGAATTGCCTGGTTTATCAAAACTGCAGCATCGGTGATCCGCCAGAGGTGTTTTGCAACACATCTCAGCAACTAGTGCCATATATTGGTACACTGAAACTTCTCTTAGTCATGCTCCCATAGGCATGCAGAAAGCATGAATCCTGAGAGGCAAATCTACATGAATGCTGCAATGGCTGGCAGTGACCAAGGCTTGGGCTACACAACTGTGCCTATGGGATGGAATCGTACTATTTGGGGAGATGGCTCTGTTGTGTATGTCAGGTGAGAGTTTTGTATGAGCTACATGTATGTTTCTATCAACGTGAAGTCTTGTTTGTCAGACTCTGTGCAAAAGTGTACATGTTTGCAACTTTTTGATGTCATGGCGAGTTTACACACTTATTGCAACGTTGAAGAAATTTCAAATGTGACACATTTTGTTTGGAATGTTTTGTGATGTACATGTAGTACAGTCGAACCATAAGAAGAGCACTGTTAATACAACAAGGTCTAAGGTCTTTGTTTTTCTTTGTTTTCCTTTGTTTTCCATTACTGTTAATACAAGGTACCTGTTATAACAAGGTAATTTGTAAAGTTCCAAGGACCTTTTTATAAAGGTGTTCGACTGTATTTGTTATCCCAGAGCTGTTTTCAAGTTGTTCAGTATTGGTAGAGAATTTTGTCAGCACTATGCCTGTTGCTTCCGACTAGCATCCCTGGTGGATAGGCATTGAACATTGAAGTCGTGTTACTACTTGTGATGAATCACAAGCCTATCAAAAGCTACCAAGCCAACTTTTATGCTAGCCAATTTCAATTGTGGCAAAAGCATTCCTTTGTAATTGTTCGCCACTGTTACTTATGACAGGACTTGTGAATAGACTTGTGATTCACTTAGAAATTGTGACTCTAAGAAAAGAATGAGACATTATGTTTCAATTAACCACCTTTTTTCCCCACATTTCCACACACAGCCCTAGTGGTCACCTCCTGCACTGTGCAGAAGACTTGCAGCGCTACCTTCTCGCTGAGGGTACCTGCAAGTGTGGACTGGAGTGCCCACTGATCATCGACAGGGTCTTCAACTTTAACCCACGGGTGCCAGCGCGACCTAAACTTCCATCCGATGTCTTGGTAGGAAGCCAACTGAATGCGCTATGCAAGCATAGAAACAAGCTGGTGGCCATGGCGATCGGGTTGCAAGGAAATGAGGAGACACTGGCAAATATTGGGCCTCCCGGTGGGGTCTCAGTGTTTGGCCGAAGCAAAGGTGAATATAGTTATAATCTGTCCATTTTGTGCATAAGATTAATTGACAGGATTCATTTTGGTTATATAATACCTCCTTATTTATGACTGTTTGATGAAAACATTTTAAAAAAGAAAGAAAAACAATTCTAGTAAATCAGTATTCAATTAAAGCTTTGCTGGAAAATTCTCTGCTTTACAGTAGGTGTTGGGCTTAGTTTCAATTGTGATAGTTCTTGATATGGAGTCACTGATATTTGAACAGCCATCTAATAAACGGAAAAAGGAACACAAAGCATCAGTTTATTATGAAGATCCAAAGACTTCAAATATGCAGTATGGTACCCAATAGACAGCTTCTGCTGTGCGCTTCTACCAAAGATCTATGTAACAGTTCAGGCCAAAAAAAAAAATATTTGGTCTCTGGTCAGACCAAAGTTCCGGAATTGACGCGGGGACACGGCTTTTTTTCTTTTTCTTCAAGCTTGGATTGTATAGACAAGATGGGGTACTATTTTGCTTTTTTGGTGTCCTCATGTACATTGGTGTCCTCCATAATTTGCCTTGGTGCTCTCGATCATTTGCCTTGGTGCAATTTCCCATTCCTTGGTGCTCTTTGGTAAAAAAAAATTGAGCAGGTGCGGCAATAGAGGGCGCTGTTGGAGCTACCGCAGAACATTTTTGAAAAAAAAAAGATTGACGCGCATGATTAAAATCGACGCGCGCGCTGACCAGAGACCGACTTATTATTTTTTTTGGCCTAACAAGAAGTGAAACTTCGGTTTCATTTCTGGTTTGGCTTCGGGTCTAGAATAATTTTTCCCTGACAAGTTCAAAACCAAATTGCAATACGAACTATTTTTGATTATGTAGAAACATATCTAAATATTTTTTGAAAGCAGGACATAAATCTAGCCGGAGTTCCATCAAGGGCTTAAGAAATCACCCAAAGCCAGTGATGAAGCAAGGAAATGCATTTAAAGTTTGGTTCTGGGATAGTAGTTTGTGTGCTATATTATAAAATCACGAGGTGAGAGTCCTTGATACGGCGTATATTTGTACGCGATAAGCGGCAACAACTTGACGGTAACGCGAAGTACGCGAACATAAATACCTTTGACATGTTGGAGCCTTCGACTCAAGTCGAGTTGAGTCTTCTGATGAGGGACACGAGTTGAGTCGAGTCTTTTGCTCCAAGTGACTCAAGTTGAGTCGAGTCGGTTACCCGTTGGGAATTGAGTTGGGTCGAGTCGCCAAAAATTGTGACTCGATTCGGACTCGGGTCGAGTCATTGCCTAAAGTCATTACAACTCTGCCAATCACTGTCATGTTGTAGGTAAGAACAATATGAAATGAGTGAAACGATGCTTTAAAATACGGCATTAGAAAGAAAAAAAGGAAAAAGTGTGCTTAATACCAGTAACATGTCCATTTCCAAGCGAGTAACGGAAGAAACCATTCATGTACGTACATGTACATGTAGATGACATGACTGTAGAAAAATTGGGTTCCTTGCACAACTCGAACTCCGGATACCTCATTTTTTTTTATCCATTCCCTTGATATTTGAATAAACGGGACTTGATTGTATTTCAAATAATGATAAAAAAGGATCACTACCGGTATTTGAAAAAGAAGACATATCCAGACAGCAACACCATAAAAATAAAGGCTGTTTGCTTAATCAGTCTTTTTTCTTGTTTTTCTTTTTAAATAATATTTGTAGTTCACACACGACTTTATGACAAGTGTCCTATTATTAAACCCTATCCACCTAGGCCCTCTTTGCTAGGGTCCATCCTTATTCAACTACCACCATGTAAAATTTGGATACAGCGTCAGTCCTCCAAAAATCTGCCTTTTCTTGAATTTGTTCAGTGGAGGGGTGACCACTGCCTCAATCCTTCAAAGTACCCCAACAATCACTGTACAGGGTGAGTAAAAAAGAATGTCCCTTTGGATATGTTCAAGTTGTCTCCCACAAAAACGGGAAAGGTTACCAAATTGTTCTCTTCGGCCGACATTCGGTCTGGGTATACTATTGACCACAGTCTGTATTTAGTTTCACTGATATTCAGCCATGCATGAAAAGGATACAGGCCTTTCCTTAGGACTACCCAAAAACACTATCAATACAATGTTTCTGAATATTTTTAGAGGGATATTTAATGTTATTTAATGGCCAGCACACTGCAAGACAGAACATAAATGAATAAATAAATATATAAATAAAATAAATAAGATTTCAAACACAGTTTGTTGCTGTCGAAAAGGTCCTTGATGGTCAGAACGTTTATATGAAACAGGTCTAGGGTACAAGACATGATAGGTCAATTTGGAGAACACCTTCCAGAGGTACGGCAGCCTAATGCTCTGACAGGACGCAGAAACGTTGTAAAATACATGTACGGACAAACTGAAACAAGCAAGAACCTGAACAGGACATTGAAAATGTGAACCTAATCTATAAATTCTGTTTCAAGCTCAATAAATGTAATTCCATTTAATTGATGTCCTGTTCTGTTATTCTGTTTATTTCCTTCATTGTCCAGAGGCCCATTGTTGTCATTGTGTTGATAGCAAAAGGCCTATTCTTAACATTGTGTTGGTAGTATTTTGGGGTAGTCACAAAGAAAGGCCTGCATCTTTTTCATGCATGGCTGAATATCAGTGAAACTTTTACAGACTGTGGTCAATACCCAGACCAAATGTCGGCCGAAGAGAACAATTTGGTAACCTTTCCCGTTTTTGTGGGAGACAAGAACGTATCCAAAGGGACATTCTTTTTTACTCACCCTGTACAGTGATTGTTGGAGTATTTTGAAGGATTGAGGCAGTGGTCACCCCTCCACTGAACAAAATCAAGAAAAGGCAGATGATTTTAGAGGATTGAGGCTGTAGCCTATATTCAAATTTTACATCTTTTTTACTCACCCTGTACAATGCGGGTGATATCCGTAGGCGGTGCTGATGATATCCAGTATAATGTAGACCTCAATTAAAGGCTGAACATAACCAGTGCAGGGGACAGCTAAAGACCTTGACACAATGCAACTTTCAAAATCAACCGACATTTTCTTTGCATACAGCCGCAATCCTCCAAAATCCTCCAGGCCTTGTTGATTCTGGAGGTTGAAGAAATTTCAAATGTTGCACAGTTTGTTGTTTTCATTAATAAGGCCCCCCCCCCCCAAAGTTCTGCTTCCGATTACATGCCATTCAAAAGTAGGGTAGGTACATGTAGGTAAGTACCGGTAGGGAATTTTTTTTTTGCCAATTTTTTGTATGTACGATCATACGGAGGCGTCTGCGTGTAGTCAAGGATAAAAGATAAAAATGTATGGTTTTGGGTGTTTTTTCTAATTTTCCCCATAAAAAAAATAGGGTAGGGGCTGTCAGAATAGGGTAGGTAGGAAAACCGAAAGCAGAACTTTTTTTGGGCCTAAACAATACACAAAAATGGACATTTTGAAATACGTACATGTACTTAGTTTTGTATAATTTCTGAAAATGACGGTAAATTAAGTTCACATCACATTTGTGAATGTACCTTTTAATATTTTCAAAAGGGTGCACTTGTACATGTTGGCGTTAAAGAGTGGAAGCACTTGCTAATGAAATCAGTTATCCCTTCAGTACACTGTATTGTGTGAGCCATTGACATAGATTCATGTACATTCATACTTTAAGTTTAACAGTAGAGGGTCAAATAATGGTCAGACATTGGACATTTACATACCAACCAATTACAATGTACCATGTTTGTCTAGACAATCTGTAAGTGCATGTGACCACTCAACACAGTGCACTGGATCATTTTTGACCAAGTACTTTTGTTAATGTCATCCTCTGCATTACATACTACTATAATTAGCAACATATGGAGCAAAATCCCAGACAAGATGCATAAACATGTGAATTTACGACATAAACATTACCAAGTACATGGTACCAGTGCATTTGTGAATCAGTGTGTGAATACATTGTACAGTGTACTGATGCTTTAATGTGGAGGGAGGTCTGAACATAATGCAGCTATTAAAAAGTATTGACATGAAAATCGCATAAGCAGAGAAAAAATTCACTGCAAAAACACCTGTGTAATACACAAAACATGCTTCATGACTAGCCATAGAATATTGCATGTGGGTTATATTGATAATGTTGATGTTGAAGAGATTGTGGTTTTCACAATTATTTAAATTACAATGTATTTTGTTTCCCACATATTTTATTCCACTTATTTTTTTCTCCCGAAACTACGAAAGAAATGTTTAACCACTAAAAAAACACACACAAGATGAAGCAACTTACAGAAAATATCATTTCATATTAAACATGAAATATTGAATTTCATTGTAATAATTGAAACAAAATAATATTAACTTTGTAGCAAATCATTAAACAAATTAATTTCATGCCTGAATTTAAAGGGAAGATACAACATATATGCAAACATCAAAAAACGAAATGATCAATGTATCACGAAATGTCTTACTGGATTGTTAGGGAACGACAGTCTAAAGCATCCTGTAAAGTTGTGGCTCCTGGTGTGCTGACATTTTCAAGAAAAACTGTATTTTTCCAACGCTGGTCGGCCGACCAGCGTTGGAGAAAACTGGCTTGTTTTTCAAAAAGTGCTCCTCATTTTTCATATTTAGTTCGTCTGCATTTTCTTTGCAATTGATTACACACCTGTGAAGACTACCACCCTGCTAGACTGATTATCTGATCTAACAATTCCCAAAAGGCTATAAATTGCTCCGTTTCATCTTAAGTGGGGTCAGGGAACCAGACTACAAGAATATGATTGTTTTCTTGGTTTGTCCAGCATCTACAATCCTAAAACGTGAAACAAGTCAGTGTAACAATATTTGCTATGTAACATACTAATCCTCCAAATCCATTTAGTTCTGAAAATTGCAGCAAAAGCAAATGTTGTACATTCCCTTTAAATGGTTTGTTTCATTTATCACAAAAAAGTACCTTGTGAATATTGAATAATTTATAATGCAGTTTGTGCTGAGGTGTTACATGTATACGCACGTTGGGAGTTGGGATACACTTGTAAGATTTTAAAACCCTAACCCTTTGGGTTTCTTTACTAGAAAGTATCTGAATCCGCCAAAATCCACTTGTTGTGCCATGCACAAAAATATAGATGTTGGTGACTGCTGAGTATGGAGATATCCTGAATCCATCAAAATCCTGCAGTACTGCTAGGCTCACAATCCTCAATCCATCAAAATCCCCCTGTTTTCAATAAAGAGGTATCCTGAATCTGGCGAAATAGGGCCTACTCAAAAACAGGGGTATGGATTTTGATGGATTCAGGGTGGTTAGGGTTAACATATCTTTGAGATTAGGTATACATGTACATTGTACATGTATGGGGTCACTCAGTGAAACAAAATTGTTATTGTTAATTTTGGTTGTGACTCAAGTTGATTGTGACTCAAGTTGATTAAGAAAGTTTCAGAGCATCTGGATGTTTTTAGCGTGGTATTTTAAAGAAAAACGGTTTTATGTAACATGGACACCACAACATTTTTGCCTATGTATAATTTTCTGATATTATTTTTGCACCAGTTTCCCCCGTGTTATTAGCTGAGAACATCACTATTCACAGACCATTCCAAACCTATATCTGGGAAATTTAATGTGAAGTCTGCTGTCCTGAGAAATCTGTTAATTTCAAAAATTTAAAAAGTGTGACATGATTTAGCATCAACTTGCAGATTTCTTGGAATAGCACTAAGACTTTTATTTATCACTCCAAAATACAGGTTTGGAATGGTCTTATGTTCTCAGTTATTTATTTTTTTTGAGGGGGAAGGTGTGCATAAATCCTTCAAATACTAACAAATACAGTAAAAGTGGTGCGGTGTCCATCAGCAGTCCACGTTACTGTAGGCCTACATTGTTAAGGTAAATATCGTCCTGAAATCGCCAATATTTTTATGTTTTAGTTTGTTTTGAAGGTTTGGTTGAAAGGAAACTAACCTAATGTCGCACTGTTCTTCAGAAAAGACGGGGAAAAATGGTTGCTTACTTCTGACGTGGCTTCATTTTGTGGCCTACGTTTACATTTCCATACGTATTTCCAGCCTTAAATATAAGTTTGTCCCCAGCTTCTGTGTCCATATGTCAGTCGATTCAATGTACGGGTACACGTCGTGTGTTGTACGTATGATACATGTACTACAAGTAAATACACACAGCACCAATACACACGTTGTTTCCCGCACGTCCACAGCATGCGATGCACTGGTGGAGCATGTGTGACTGGAATCACAATTAACACCCAAACGCAGGTCTGGATTTTTGAGAGTCAAACTTTTGACCCCCGAAATTTGGTCTGGCAAGAATAACGCAAAAGCGGCCAAGTGCGGATGTATATTTTACTTTTAAATGTTCTTTTTAATGTATGTATAACCGATAATCCTTTAAAACTCTTCAGTCACTGTACAAAAAAAAGCACTGTGGAGAACAGTGAAGCATGACCAAATCTGCCTGCTTGCCCTGAGCTTCACCACACAAAAGAATTGTGCAGGGATTTGAAGTGTTATCCATACTCCACACAAGATTACCTCAATAGAATTTAAATTGGGGGTGCAACACTTGAGGGGTTGTGAAGTGCAGATAACTACATTTTGTACACGTAGGAGGGTTCAAATATGCTGAATAGCATCTCAATGCTCACGAACTTTCTTAAACAAGGAGTCCATAACAAACATATATCTTTGCTTTGTCATTGTACTTTTGTTCATTTGTTGGCCGAATAAATAATAATAATTATTGATAACATTTTGGTTACTCTGACCAACCCCTTATACTTATTCTACAAATTTTCCAAAGTTCACGAAATGTTCCCCAACTCCATGGAAAGACACACGTGAACATTTATATAATGTTGGATGGCTTTGAAGGGGAATACCAGAATATATTACACGAGCTGTAGGGCCTAACAATATTGTACAAGTCGAAGACGAGTGCAATATTGTCATAGCGAGTGCAATTCTTGTATCCCCCCCCCCCTCAAAAAAACACCCACGTCCAACATTATTATTATTCATATTCTCTTCATATTAGGCTGACTAGCTTGATCCGCAAGAAATACATTTCAAGACACTGCCTTTATTTCAAAAAAATGTTGTCTAATTTTCGGGCCGCTCAAAGCTGCCATTGTGGCTGTTGACAACAGTGCTGCGCGCTGCATCAGCGTGCCATGCGCTACGCTCTGTTGACTGGTTGATTTGTGACTTTCCACGCTCTAGATTGTGCGGAAACCAGCGAAAATGCCTGGATGACTGCAATATCAAAAATATTGCAGTCATCCGGTTGACATTATTGCAGTTGTCCGGGTACTTTTTACGAAAGCATAAAATACGCTGATTTATTTTTACCACTGGAAGCCTGATATAAATAATAATATAATATAAGTCTGCTGTGATATAGGCCTAATCCATGGCATTTGTACATGTTTTTTTGTACACCCAAAGTAATGAAACTGGCAACAGAAATGAATCAGAGGGTGCCATTTCCATCTGAGGGTGCCATTTCCCCCCGAGGTTGTACAAAACCTATGGACTAGATCACAACAGACAATTATTTTCTTGTACATAATGGAAAAACCATAGTTATTGTTCAGAAGTAATAACTTTTTATACAAACATATTTTTGGGGGACATGGACCCTAAGCATTCTTAATTCTTAAGTCCAATGTTGCTAGTGTTGATCTGTTGGTCTGCATCAACACATGCATGCCCTGGGGTCTGTTCAAACTGTGTTGTACACAAAAGCAGAGGTGAAAATATAAAAATGTCTCTGAGAACAATCAACGTGATGTTCCAACATACACGAGGTGATGTTGCCAAACATGAACATCTGAAATATGTCTTGTGAACAATTCTCATCCCACAAAATTCGACAACCTAGTACATTTGTACCATGGTAACGAACATGTTTGGCTCACCTAACACTCGATGCTAACACTCTAAGCAAGCCACTTGTATTCACAAATTTAACACTTTTATGTGTTACAGGATCCAAGAGGTCCAGATCAAAGTCCAAGCCAGAGAGAGCTGTTGACTTCCAGCCACAGAATCTGTCAGCATCACAGGTCTTGGCACTACAAGGTGGACACGTGCATCAGATTCCGGGCTTTGCAAACTTCATGCCATCTTTGAAGTCTGTTCCATTTGAACACCAGTTGCAGCAGCACTCCATTGAATCTCAACAGCGTCAAATCCAAATGCATCTCCTGCAGATGCAGCACCAGGATCTCATGCAGCAGCACCAGCAGATGCAGCACCAGCTCCACCACCAGCATCGACAGACCCCCATGCAAAGAAGGAGTCAAGAGGTTGAGTCATTACATTCACCCGTTGAACAGTATTCTTTAGAACAAAGGTCAGGAAAAAGGCTTCATTCCAGCCCACCATCATCATGCCCAAAGAGGCCTCCCTCCAACAGTGGCAGCGCAGGATCACAGAGTGCTCCCACTTCTGCAAGTCCCCACAGTACCACTCCAAGATGCAGTAAAAGTCCAAGGTTAAGTAGTGAACTTACGTCTCCGAGCTCAAAAGAAAGGCAACCTCTTCATGGCCACAGTTTACTGCCACTCCCTTTTCATGGGGAGACACACCAGCTCATCGTAGATGGGCAAACTCTTGCCATCCATCCCGATGCATGTGCGCCTAGTGTAATACCATTACTCAGCAATATGTACCATGCTCAAAACAGGGCTTCCTTAAATGCTGCCAATGTAAGTAATAGCCAAGCTTTGTTTGCAAACCACAATGACGAAGTCTTCTTTATGCAAGATGGGTCCAGGAAGGGCCCCTCCAGAACTGTTCATGATTCTGTGGAAGTCCCTACTTGTCAGGCAGAGGACACAAATAAACTGGAAAGTAAATCTCCCGTCAGAAATTTGAAAGATAACACCCCTTCACCAATAATCAACAAACCCGTCACTATGCATTCTACAAAACCGGATAAGAAACCTACAGTAGGCAATATGACGCTACAACAAATATTTAAACAGTCTCTAGAAGGAAGTGCCTTTCCAGCGAGTAGTTTGCTGTCAGCTGCAGCCAGAGCTCAGCTTGCAAAGCAGCCTCAATCACCCGATAGTCCCTCACCCCACCATGCTGGTGACCTCATGTCTGGCATGGGTCTATTCAATAAAATGTCATCTAACTTAACATCCAAAGACACTAAACTTGAGTTGGCTGCTTTGCCCAGTAATAAAGGTTCACAGTTCAGTGCAAGCAGAAAACATGTAGCAAAGTCAACAAATATAGATGTTGTTCATTCATCTGAAATGAATGTCAAAGGCACCGCATCAGCGCCCCAACAGACAGACGAGTCCCCAATCCAGTGCCTGGAGAATGCTGTACAGAACCTAAAAGATCATCCTAGTACATTGAAGCCAGCTGTATCAGCTGTAGATGTTTTCTCTCCAGAGGTCACACAGGATAGCTCTGCCTGTAGAAAAAGGCTGAGCACTGATGCTGAAGAAACTATGGAAAAAAGTGTCAAAAGACAGAGATTACAGAGTAGCGATTCTGTTGGATCTCAGACAAAACAGTCAGAAGCTGCAATGTCAACTCACCAAGTGCCTGCAATAAACTCAGACAAACCCTTATCAATGCACCATCATGATACAACCAAGGTAACAGGCTCCTACAATGTCGTCTGTTCCACTGGAAAAGCAACAAGTTCCAGCAAGCATCCAACTGCAGAAAATGCAGAATTGGCAAGATGGCAGCAGCAGCAGCAAGAGTGGTATGCCAACATGCTCAGAGTAAAACAACATCATGAGTCTGGAAATATGCCTGTTGAACATTTCCCTCCAGGATCTCAGGTGAGACCTCCTCAAATAAGATCTAGAGGTCTCCAGGAGCTCCAGTATATTGCCATGGGAGGCAATCCTCCTCCCAGGATGCAAACTATGCAGCAACACCCCCATGTGGGCCATATGCACAGATTTCCAAATCATTTTACGAATCCACAGTTCAACCCTCATCAGGCCAATATGATGCATCATATTCACAGGATGCAGATGCCTTTTAGAATGGATCATCCTGTGGACCCATTAGATCCTAATATTGCTCAAAATCCAAGTATGTGTAATAGTAACATCCTGCAGTCAATGCTCCAACAGCAGCAGCAGCTTCAGCAATTGGGCATGCTTCCACCTGGCAATTTCCAACACCCCGTACATCACATAAGTCCTGTCCATCATTTGGACCCCTCTCAGCATATACCGGTAGCACAAGCAGATGTGCCAAGTCTGCCTCAGGCTCATGTTCATGGACAAGACACCACTAATCCAGGAGCAATGCCACAGCACAAGAAGGGTGCCAAACCAGTCAGGGGTGCAAGCACTTCAACAAGCACTGCACTGACATGTACGGTGGACATAGATGATGAAGAACCCAAGGATGCAGCCTATTGGGTAAAGGCTGCATCCAAATCAGGGGGAGTGAAGAAGGTCAAAGACATACTGGCTATGACAAGGTCTTTGCAGAAGCACAACAGTGAAGCAGGACAGGTTGAGGCAATCTTCCAGGCAGTCTTGGATTCTGCAAGTGGTGGCATGAAAGTAATCATCAAAGAGGGGACTCGATCACAGGAGGGAGTGCAGTCAGGGAGTGCAGACAATAATCAAGAGAAAGAAACGGATGCCCCTCCAAAAGCTGCTATTGAATCTACAGATAGATCAGATTCCATGTGTGAAGTATCTGAACAGAGCTCTGTTTCCCCTTCTCCAGCACAACAAAATGCAGTTGAACCTGATTTTGAGGTTCAAGATGAATCCTCAGATGACTTACTTAATGCTGATGCAGTAGAGAGGCCATGTGGAGAATCTTTGGATCAAACATCAGAGCTAGACATACCTACATCACAAGATGATTTTAGAAAGGCACAGAATCTTTCTGAACTTTCAGTAACACAGATGGAATCAAACCCAGACACTGCTATCTTAAAGACTCAAGATTTGGAATCAGTGTCTTTGGATGGGGATGAAATCCCATGTCCTACACGGTCTGAAGGGGATCACATGGCAAGTCCAATTCATGATGAAACAGAATTAGAGCCAGAGGGTTCTTCTAAAGTGCCCCACCAAGACAATGTGCAGGTGATTACTTGTGACAAGATGTACACAGAAGGTCATGGTTTAGGCAGTGATGAGATATCTGAGTGGGTGTCTCCACCAGTGGAAGACACATGCACAGTCTCTGATCAAGTCCAATCCATAACATCAACAGACCAACCAATAGAATTTCCAGATAGCCCACAGCCAGCAATTTGTCAAAGTACTAAACTTTCTGGTGAACACAAAAGGAAGAGTACTGACATCAAAGATTCTAAAAGTGATGATGACGAGCTCCAGGAACACGTATCTCTTTCATTTGATTTGAGTGAAGATGAGTCTAAGGTGCAAAGTGATGTTAAAGATGGAGAAGAAGATCCACCACAGGATCAATTGTTGGAACATGCTGGGGAAGTGAGAACTGTCTTAAATGAACATGGCTGCAGTGTACATGAAATAGAACCAAATGCAAATTATCCGGAAAATCCTACAAGTGACACTATTGGAAAAATGGATATGGAAGACATATCAGATGGTAGTTATGACATGGCTTCACTTGATGAAGAAAATACTGACCCTCCTCAGACGGATCAAAGAGAAACTGTGGTTGATCAAGTCAAGGAGGTACAATCAACAGGTGGTCAAAGCCATACCTGTGAATTAAAGGGCAATGTAGGTACACATCCACCTTTAGTAGCTGGGGGAAAAGACAGCAGTGATGTTATTGTGGATCTACTAAAAGAAGAAAAAAGCCCACATACTTCAAGTAGCTTACCTCCATCAGATCCCCAGGTTGACACAGCCAAAAGCTCAGTCAAGGACCAGAGGGTGGATGAAACTGCTGTTAAGTTTTCACAAGAAATCACCTCAGTGCAACATAGCAATGACACTGGCAATGACATTACAGTACTTGTCTCTGGAGACATGGTGGCAGGTTCTGACATGGATTATACAGGTGAAGTGATGGAGTCCAAAGAGCTGAATTCATCACCAGACACGGAAGTGGAGAGACAAGGGAAACCTGTCACAGTTCAGGAGCATGAACAAATGGATACAGATGCACCTGTTGTCAGTCAAATTGTTCAACAAGAACAGGCATTAGACTTTCAACCAATAGACAGTAACATAAAACATCATGTAGTAATGGACAATCAACCATTGGATTCTACAGTGGATAGTGAAGTAATCCAAAATAATCCACTAGCTGGTAACATACCAATTGAACAAGATGCCATTAATCACAATCAACTTGTGGATCAGGATTCCATGTTAGGTAGTAAAGTATCTGCACAGAAACAACAAGTTGAAGGCAAACCAGGGAGTTCAGAACCTGTCATACAGGCAGATCAACAGGATGCTGCAAGAGATAGTGAGGTAGTTACACAAGGCCAGTCGATTGACAGTGAATCAATGAAACAGGATCCTAATGAAGATGACCTACCAAGGAAACAGGATTCTACTGAAGAAGACCTATCAATGACACAGGTTCCTACTGAAGATGGCCTACCAATGAATCAGGATCCTACTGAAGAAGACCTACCAATGAAACAGGATCTTACTGAAGAAGACCTATCAATGAATCAGGATCCTAATGAAGATGACCTACCAATGAAACAGGATCTTACTGCAGAAGACCTATCAATGAAACAGGATCCTAATGAAGATGACCTACCAATGAAACAGGATCTTACTGCAGAAGACCTATCAATGAATCAGGATCCTAATGAAGATGACCTATCAATGAAACAGGATTCTACTGAAGAAGACCTATCAGTGACACAGTTTCCTACTGAAGATGGCCTACCAATGATTCAGGATCCTTCTGAACAAGTCCTACCAATGAAACAGGATCTTACTGAAGAAGACCTACCAATGAAACAGGATCCTAATGGAGATCTACCAATGAAACCGGATTCTACTGAAGACCTACCAATGAAACAGGATCCTACTGAAGAAGACCTACCAATGAAACAGGTTCCTACTGAGAAAGACCTACCAATGAAACAGGATACTAATGAAGAAGACCTACCACTGAAACAGGATCCTATCGAAGGAGAGCTATCACTGAAACAGGATCCTATCGAAGGAGAGCTATCAATGAAACAGGATTCTACTGAAGATGAACTACCTACATGTATGACAAAGGATCCTACTGAAGAAGATCTACCAATGAAACAGGATCCTACTGAAGAAGACCAACCAATGAAACGGGATCCTAATGAAGGAGACATATCGATGAAACAGGATCCTACTGAAGGAGACATATCGATGGAACAGGATTCTAGTGAATATGACCTACCAATAAATCAGAATCCAGATGAAGATGACCAACTAATGACACAGAATCTTAATGCAGATCAACCAATAAAACAGGATTCAAATGAAGATGACCTACCAATACCAATGACACTAGATCCAACTGAAGATAACCTACCAATAAAGCAGGATACTGATGAAGAAGACCTACCAATGAAACAGGATCTTACTGAAGATGACCACCCTATAAAACAGGACTCTAATGATGATCAACCAACAAAACATGTTCCTACTGAAGAAGACCAACCAATAAAGAAAGATCCTATTGAAGATGAACAATCAGTGTCAAAGGATTCTAATAAAAATGACCTACCAATGAAACAGGATACAAATGAAGGTCAACCAATGAAATTGAATCTTACTGAAGATGACTGGCCTATAAAACATGGCTCTAATGAAGACGACCAACCGATGAAACAGGATCCTACTGAAGAAGACCAACCAATGAAACGGGATTCCAATGAAGAAGACGAACCAGTGAAACAGGATCCCATTAAAGAACACCAACAAATGAGAAAAAATTCTAATGAAGAACACCAACCAATGAAACAGGACCCCACTACCTCATTAGACAGTGAACAGCAAATGGACACGGAGCCTGTTCAGCAAGACCTTGAGAATGTGAACCATCCAGTGACACAAGATCCAGTGGTAGATAATGAACAAGTGCAACAAGATAAACCAGTAAATCAAGACAACAAAATGGATGATAACACAATGGACTTTGGCTCACAGCCAATGGATATTCAACCAGTAAAACAGTTTCAATGTTTGGATAATGAGCCTTTGGAACAAGATCACACTGTGGCTGATGAAGAGGTAGAACACGATCTGTCTGTTAGCAAAGGAGCAGTGGAACAAATGCATCAAATGGACTTTGATCAAGTAAAACAAGATCAGGATTCCTCAGTGGAGAGTGAACCAGTCACACAAGATCAGTTAAGTGAACTAATGAAAGAAGTGGCAAGCACTGAAGAGTCAGTGAAGCAATGTCATTCGGATAACAGTGAATCATTGAGGTTAGATCATTTAGAAAACCTTGAAATAGAGGAGAAATTTGCAGACAGGAAAACAGTGAAACAACATGTAGTGGATATCTGTGATAATGGCAGCTCAAAAATCAGCGAAGCAGTGTATGTTGATCTCGTGACCAGTTCATCTTTTAAGCAAGATCATGTGGTTAAACACGAGTCAGATGAACAAGAGAAGTTGACCTCAGTGGACCATGGGACAACTGATGAAGTTCACGTAGGTAGCAATGAACAATTCACACAGCAGGACACAGATATGCCAGATGATACAGAAAAGAGTGAACCAGTGAAGAAAGATTGTTTTGCTCACATAAATCTAATGGGACAAGATGCGCAGAAAACCACTGAGCTCAAGGTACAGAGTCTCCCGGGAAAAGCTGAAACATCAAAACAAAGTGAAGACCCACATAATCAAACAGTTGATTGTGAACCAGTGTTTGGAGATCAGCTGATTGACGGTGAAGCACTGAAAGAAGATAAGACTGAGCTAGTGCAGGAGGATAATGTGGACAAAAGTCTTGTTTGTATGAGGCCTGATTCTTCAAGGGAAGATAGAGACTTGAGACCCTCTCAAGTAATAGAGGTGACTACCTGTATTAACAAAACTCTGTCCAGTGACCAAGATGAAGAAAGTCCTGATAAATCAAGTAGCAATATGTCTTTAGCCAAACTGGAGAACACTTTGTCATATTCAAATAACCCTTTTGATGGGTTGCATACTGTTGAAACGCAGTCACTAGAAACACAAGATGCAGATCTGGCTTCAGAAAGGACTCCTGAACAGGACCATATCCCATCTGGAGCACTCTTAGGAATCCAAAACGTGCCAGAAAGTGAATGTTTCATGCCTCCTGAAGGTGATTCACACCACCCTGCTGCTGACTCTGAGGCAGAAGAAAGTACTGTACCAGATACACAATGTCCCAGTGAGGGCCTGGAACACAACCTGCCTGTTTGTAGCAGTGTACAAAGATTAACAGAGAAGTCAACTTTGGTACAGGCGAATATCTCATCTGAAGCTCCCTTGGAAAACCTGGCCTCCAGCGAATCCAGATCTGAGAGTTCACCAGTAATTGTAAATGGACCACCATATGTCAATGTGGATCCTCCTGGCGAGGAACCTGCTCCTGAAACTACAAGCCAAACTGAAATGACAGCAGCTTCTGGGCAACATTCTCTTTCTGAAACTCCAAAGGAGTCTCCAAGCCCACAGGGCTCAACCCAGCACAGAGAGAGTCCCACCCCTAATGGAGTACTAGAGTCTGAGCACTTGAATGACATTCCCATGGATTCTGCAGTGGTTGAGAATCAGCCAGATAAACTGACCTATCAGGGCACCTCTAAAGGAGAGAAGCAGTCCACTTCAGATGATGAAAGGGAAAACAGGGAGAACAAACCTCTGACAGACGAGCCACCTGTTCAAGAGATCTGCACCGTTAAGAGGGAATCAAACTTGAAAAGGGGTGTCAGTGATACTCAGAAGGCAGTATTGAGTGCAAAGGAAGCAGGATTAAAGAAGGAGAGACTGGTTCAGGAGGCTCCAACTAGAGTATTACGTGGGAATGTTCGAGCCGGTGAGTACTATTGGCCTGAATGTTATGTTTCATCTTACTGTTGATTCTAATAGCATATTGTCATTACACTGGTTTTGGACAAAAGAAATGAATATGAATTTATACATACATGTGTCATTGTTGTTGTCGAGTCACTTGAGTCGAGTCCAAGTCTATTTGGTTAAGTCTGAGTTTGATCTCGTGTCATTTGGTTCAAGTTCTGAGTCATGAGTCATTTCATTTAAGTCTGAGTCACATGAACATACACATGTAAGTAAGTGACATGTAAGTGATGCACTATTGTGGGAAATATACATGTATAACAACCTCTATTTTTTGGGCAACACCACCTGGATGGTGGTGCAGTACGGTTTGTGAAGCATTGCTTAAATGTTACATTCGGAAAATGTCATTTATGTTTTTAAAAGGTAATTTTTGGTTTAAAAAAATGTGTGACTCGTGAATCACGAGTCATTAGCATCAAGGCCAAGTTATGATGGTGGAGTCCGAGTCCGAGTGTTTTGCCAATGTGACTCGAGTCAAGGCTGAGTCACCGAAATTGCGTCCCGAGACGTCGAGTCTAAATCCTGGACTTGAGTGCTACAACACCGATAAATATCAAAAAAAGCAAAGCTAATCTGCTACAGAACTTTACAAAATTGGAAATCTCGCCCAAGAAGGCATGATACATTTCACGTTTCTTCCTGTTAGACCCGTCCACAGACTTGACTGCTTCAATGTTCCCGCGTCATTTGGAGATTGGGGACCTAGTGTGGGGACCTATCAGGGGTTACCCATCCTGGCCGGGGAAGCTTGTCAGTGAAACGGAGGTCAGAGGTCGCTCCAGGAGGGAAGAAGGAAAGGTATGTCTGATGATGGCCTCAATGTGCTGTCATAACATACCATCGCTAAAAACACAACAATCAGTTTGTTTTAGACTTGGTTAACTGATGGTTTATTTTGATTTGCCTCAGTTTCAGAAACAAACAAAATTGTGCTTGTGGATTGAGAATGGGGCAGGGCTTGCAGCATTTCTCACAGCGATAACTCGTTACATGGCAAGTCTCAAGGGATGTTTTTAATTACTTGCCTAGACTGGCTTCCAAAGAATTACTGCTGTATATTTTCTGAATTTCTGCTCAGAATAAAAATAGTGCTCAATTAAAGTAGAGGAATATTGTGGGTCAAACCAAGGCCATTGAAGTTGATAGTGTGGTAAGTGTCATTCTGCTAACTCAAGTCATAAAGCAGTTGGACTCTTTTTCACATCTCTTTTCAGATGTGGGTTCGTTGGTTTGGAGATCACAGCTGCTCGCAAGTCGAGCCTGAGAAACTGAAAACTCTGTCCGAGGGGCTAGAGGCCCACCACAGTGCCAGGCAGAGCTATAGAAGGTAATGTGAGAGTAAACCAAGTTTTGTGGCTAGGGAATACAGTGCTATCACAGGCCAGCATCTTGAAAGTTATTGCGTATTGTGGACTCTCTGTGTTTAGCCTCCCAAATTATTATTATTAAACATGTGTAAACAAAGCATAACGTTACGTCTCAGGTCTATTCCGAGTGATAATGTTGATAATATTTGTCCATTCTTACCACTACCTTTCAGCAGAGGGCGCAGGATGAACAGCACATTAGAGGCAGCCATCCAAGAGGCCATGAATGAACTGGACAAGAAAATGGAACAAGTAAGGACATGTACCTTGACTTATAAGTAGAACAAAGCTGCAGCCCACTCCTATCACTGTATGCATACATGATGAGGGCACTGTCTCTCTTAGACGGACAGTGATAATCATGATAATACTGAAACCTTTCTGTCCTTGCTGAGGTTTAGAAAGTTAACAGCCAAATTAGCACAGTTGATGCAAGTGATTTCCTATTAAATTTGTTCACTGGAGCACTTTGTGTGCTGTTTGTCAGTTGTCCTTTGTCCTTTGACAGAATGTGTATCAGTGTGAGTTGATGACAGAAAATAATGGCAAAGCAGCACGTCAATTCTGCAGTTTGCTCACCAGATTATTGTCATGTGCATGCAGTGCACATTGAGTGCATTGTCTCTCTCAACATTCATAAGCAAATCCTAAGAAAAATCATAAGAAAATCATGTAACTTAGTGCATTCCCAATGTGGCACTTGTGACCCTCTGGGGTGGTTGGGGGGATGCTGCAATGGTTGGACTCAGTGTCCACTTTAAAGACTTGTCAATATAAACCCAACAATTCTGTCCCTCTAAAATACCCAACTTATGCATCAACCAAGTATTTTCTTCACTAATTTTCCCATATTGAGCGAACACAATTGTGTTCTGCAGAATGCTTCGCCCTGTTAATATAGATACTGTAAATATGCAAAAATCTTCGTTACTACTTTACGTTCTTTTACATTCAACCAACATATCAATCAATATTCCTGTTTGATTTCACTTTTGCAGGCAAAAGGAACCAAGTCCAAATCAGTGCCTAAGTCATCACGACCCAAAACCAGATGCAAGAGATTAAGGTGATCCTGTCTGTGTATGATATTTATTGTTATTTAGTTATATCTTCAATAACTTAAGTTTGATCAAGTAAAGCAAAGAATATGTACATGTATATATATTTATATAACAAGGATATTAATTAAACATGTGAAAGGGCAAAATAAGGTAATCTATTACCGGCAGTTTTTGCTTCTGGGGTGTGTCAAAACTTGTAATGTCTTGGAACACCGCCTATCCAACTTGGAAACACGCTGTTTCCTCTGAGAACAAGAGCATTCAGAAGCCTGGTGCTCTTAAAAGTCTGGTCTGTCTCTGGCATATAAAATGCGTTAAGAACATGGCCCGTTTTTCATTTTAAAAAAATGCCTTGTTCCCAAAAGAGTTGGTTATAATAGAACAGGCATATTTGGAAATTTAAGGCATCTTAAAAACAGAGCTTTGCATCAATAGTGCACATATCTTTTCAAAACTTTTTAGGCTACAAAATAGCACTGATATTTTGACAATGTACCATAACTTTCACATCAGAATAACAGTAGTTTTGACATTTGTAAACGATGATAGACAATTTTATAAATCTTTGTTTTCAAGAAAAGATGGTAAAACAAATACGAAAAATTCGACCTTTGACATTAGAAGAGGACTACCTTTCATTACAGTCTTATTGCTGGTTTACAAGCAATGGTTATTGCAAGTGATTTTTACTTTATTTGACTCTTAAAATATATATGTTTTTTCAATGTTCAAACATCTTAACCTGAATCCATTGATATAGTGTCCATGTTACATTCTCAATCAAGTTTTCCTGGAAATATTCTGAAAATGTCCGAACGCTTTGAAACATTTTAAAGCAATCAGAAAAGTCTCTCAAACAAAACGATAACAAATTTGTCAGATACTCAATCTGACAAATGGTCAATATACAAATGTAATGATGTATAATCATCTGCTCAATCTTTGCTTGTACTGTAAGTTATTCAATGTAGAGTTACCTATTAAAGGTAATGGACACTATATGCAAATATTTAAAAAGGAAACTGTCAAAATATTGTAAAATATCCTGATTGATTGTAAGTAGATAATAGGATCAAGCATCCTGTAAAATTGTTGCGCCTAATATGCTGTCATTTTTCGGGAAAAGAGGAATAACATGTACCATCATTTGCTCGAGATGGTAAGGACCAAACCATCACGCTTTCAGTGGAAACTATATGCTTTGCGTTGAGCAAAAACGAAGATGCATTTTCACAGTTTTTCAAAGAGTATAATATCTACAGGTCAGTTTTTTAATATTCTACTTCAGATTTATTGTATTGCAAATGGTGTTAGCTTAGAATGCCATGTTTTGTGTCCATTACCTTTAATACAAACTCTCTTACAACAAAACTCTGGTGCTTATGTGGATATACCAAACATTTGAGTAGGTCCGACAGAGTTCGCATTAACATGTGTTGACTAAATAATAAGTACATTTGACTCTGCACACAATAACGCCTTCAACATCGACAAAGAAAGAGTCAGGCAGACTCTCGACTCCTATTAACACTGTAGGCAAGGAATGTGCGTGAAATTACATGAATCGTCTGTACTTCAAACAATAGGTGCATAAACAAATGAACAAGTGCGCACACACAGCATGTCTATGCTGAGTCAGAATTGCCCAACTGGGCATTTGCCGCCCGGATCCTTTTTCAGCTCAGTTTGTTTTAAAATCTTTTCATATATCTAATTTATTCCTCTCTTTTTTTTTAAATTCACATAATTTTGGCAGTTTATTTTTGTGAATAAGTAATCATGCACCATCATCAAAATGGTGTATAATTTTGTATGTAAATAAAAGTTATCGTGGTGGGGATTTTGTTCAATTATTTGCTATTTGCAAGATACATTTCTGAAAATGTTAATTCGTTGCAGTGTTTTTAAATTTTTGGTTTTTGTTTGTTTTTTTGGTTTTGGTTTTTATTTACTTTCAGTTCCCCAGTGCAATAGAATATCAAATTTAGAAACACAAGTATGTTTAAATCAGTGTGGAATTGCTTCAAACAAGAGTAGAATCATGTTTTGTAAGAAAGGATATACATTGCACAGTCCAGGGTCGTGTAATTATAGCCTATTCTTGTAGTAAGGTTGCCATACCATTGGACTCTCATTAGTTTATATTATCCAGTAGGAGTGACATCAAGTAGATGTCTTACTGCAAAGCTTTGAGGGAAGGATTGCTCACTGGAACAAGAACTTCAGATCACTTCTTTGTAGGCATCTTAAGAGGCAAATAATTTAATCATAGGGAAAATGCGACAAATGACTGTGTGCCCGTGATGCTGGACAACTGCATTGCTTATGCTATGTTTTTATCATGCCAGGCTAGTACATGTATATTGATTTCAGTCCAAGTTACGTTCGTATTTAAATAAAACAGTTGCCAAATGTTAGATATGAATGTTCTAGTTCTTAAACTTTTTCAAAACAATAATCAGTTAAATCTTGACACGTTTTTACATGATTTATGAGCCGTACTTTTGCTTAAGGAATTAAGCTTGTGCTAAGTTTGTTGTAATTGTTATGTTGTTGCTTTCCAAAATGTTTAATTATCTTTTTGGTGCTAGTGATTTGCGATGGTCATATGTTGTTTTTTTCCCGAAAGTGAATATTCTAATAATCTTTCATCGGCTGTACCAAACATAATTTCTGTTTTTGCAATTCAAAAGAAATATCCCTTTTATGTTTTATGTTTCTCTTTTTTCTGTTTTGATCTTTATTATTTTTCCATAAATTTGTAAAAGCTTTATATGTTGCATGATCTATTTAAACGTTGAAGTAGTTAATAGTTTATTTCCATTTCCCAAAGATATTTATCATGATCCAGCACCATTATTTTAGCAGACTTGATTCACGGACTAATTTAAATTTATCCGGGTTGTTGCTTGGCCCACCAGAACTTTTCTAGGACCCGAACCCTACCTGCTCATGTGTTAGTTTTTGTTCCTAGGAAGTTCTTTTTCTGGTTCTTGTTCAGTCGGTAAAATTCACTCAAGAATATCACACTAACTATACATCAAAAGTGTCTTAATTATTTTAGTTGTGAATTTTGGCATGTAATACGTATACATCTACTACTGTTTTGGTTTCAACATTTATTTGTATTTTAAAGCATAAATTTAATTTTGGCAAGCCTTGGGTGTTCAGTTCAAACCATTAGGCCAATATGCAAACATGAAAAGTGAATCATAAGAATCAGTGAATTTATAGCACAATGTAAATAAATGGGCATTAGTTCAATGCATCCCCTCCTTATACTTGAATTGACAAGATTATGCACTCAACATTTTACTAGTTTGTCAATTCTGAAATTTGTTCGAAATTTGTAATCATGTATCCTTGAGGAGCACTGTGAAGTCCCTCAAGCATTCTTGATTATACCCTACTATTAAACTCGTGTAGAGTGGATCTCCCGCAGCTGAGTGGTATAAATGTCTGTGTATTGTATGTATATAGAGTGTACAGAGTTATGTACAGACAGCGTTTATGTAAATTGTATTCAGACAGCTTGTATAGTATACCATGATAAATTTTGTGCGAAAAGATTGAAGTTTAAGAAAATGACGATAGTACACTAGACTTGTACTCTGGTGTAAGACAAAAGTGTAATGTTTAAAATAGAGTCGCACTGGCTTTTACACCAGTGAAGAGGGAAAACTGTTTAATTTTAAACAACTTTTAAATTTATAAATATTTTGTCTTGCAACTTTGTGATTTTTCATTCTTCTTATTGACAGGTTTATTGTAGCATAGAGCCTTTCCCTCTGGTTCCTTTATTTAAAAAAAACAATAAAAAAAATTAATATTATGAAACATATAAATGCAAAAATGCCCGTCTATTTGTAATTGGTGCGCCTGTGTCGTGTAAATCCCCAAATAATTTGATTATTCATTCAAAAATATTTGATTATTATTAATTACTTGAATAAATAATGACTTAGTTTTTATCCAGAGCTTCTTAAAATGATCCCACCACCCTGGTCAAGGCCGCGCAAAAAATCTATTAAGTGAATTACTTTTGAAATATTTTGATCAATGAGCAATCGTTTCAAGGTCGTTTCTGAATATATATACATGTATATCCTTCAGAATGTATTGCCATCCTCTGGTAATAATATCAGTGTATACTATGATATTCCAGACGGCCAGAAAAGAAAGTCACTTCGGTAACCAACTGGCACATGCTAATGCCATTGATAAGAAATCGGGTGATAACGTAGCTCCTGAAATATAGTTTTCTTACAAAAAAACACATAGATGTAAACTTAATCCCTATACAGGGTGAGTAAAAAAACACGAAACCAAAATTGTGTTAGTGAAGTTTTGCATGTAGCACTTTCAAAATCTAGGATAAAAGCCAAATTCATAAGCCTTCTTTTAGTACAAGAATCATTCAAATCGCTTAAGTACTTTTCAAGTTATGGAATTTTATACACAACCGCCGTTTTAAAGTTCTGTCCACGGATCACACAAAAGGTGTGCGCTTTCAGCAAAACGAAAACATCCCTATGTGATTTGTTTTCGTTTTGCTGAAAGAACACTTTCCGTTTTGTGATCCGTGGACAGAACTTTAAAACGTTGGTTGTGTTTAAAAGTCCGTAACTTGAAAAGTACATGAGTGATTTGAATGATTTTTATACTAAAAGAAAGCTTATGAATTGAGCTTTCGTATCCTAGATTTTGAAAGTGCTACATTTAGAACTTCACTTAAACAATGGTCCCGACATTTGGGTTTCATATTTTTTTTTACTCACCCTGTACAGGGGAATGACTAATGAGTCACAATATTACAGCTATCAAGACAACGAAATATCCACGTTGTAATCGTTCCGGTCGGAAAAAAAAACCCTGTCGGGTTATTTTCCTTCTCTTCCTTACATGGCCACGCACCTTCCCCTCCCTCCCTCTGCGTTTGATTTCAAACACGTAACTGAGCATTGCAAACTGTCACTGGACAATTTATTATGGAAACCGATGTTTTGGCCTATATTAGGCTATGTACAATTACAAACTAAAGAATGTGCCATTTGATCTTCTCTGTTCAGGTTGAGGAAAAGTTGCGACTTTATGCTTTTGATTGTTTCTTAACCTTATTGTGTATGCCTTGGTCATAAACATTCCACAGAACGTTTTACTGATTAGAAGAAGGCATGTTTGTTTACATCTGATGACGCGGTATATACTTTAGCCTTGCCAATACGTATTTCCAGCAGTGATTAATGCCATCGAGTAATGAGACAAGTGTTTATGTTAAAGGTAAATGTGAACATTTGCTATTTGTACCCTTTTTTTCGCTTGAAGCAATAAGATTGCCCAAAATCTAGAGAAGGGTGCATAACAACTAACTTGTTGAAGTTTTAGCTCAATGGAAATTGTAGGGCTTTCATTTCGAGAAAACAGAGACAAATAATGCACAATTCCTTTGGGTCTCGTAACCGGGATTCATTGCTAACGCTCATAAAAAAACAAATGTGCCCGCTGGCGCATTTTCTAAAACCACCTTCAACGGTATTATTGTTTTCTTCTGAATGATACCATTTCAGGCGGAATAATTCCGCATGGTATTTAGTACCAGTCCGATTCTCACTTTGAACAAGGATTTTCTCGTTGAATCGGTAGGTACGTTTCCGGGTAACCGGAACTATCCATACGTGCCCTTGATGATACTGTTGCATACTTTTTTTTTATTTTTTTTTCAATCATAACCATTCATTATGTTTACAAGCTGCGTGGCTCTTATTTTCTCATTCACTGGGATGGGACACACATACTAAAACGTTAATCTTCGCGCCACGCCTACTGTCCCAATGAACGAGTAGTTGCATGGCGCCACAAAATTGGCGCCACAAAATTGTCGTGTTTCGAAGATTTTTAGTTTGTTATTCGTCCCATTTCAGTCAATTCCCTAGAATTCTGAGCGGTTTTGTTTCATCTCCGTGCTGGCATGAAGCGCTTGCTGTAATCCTGGAGCTACGTATATGATATGGCGTTAAAGTTGGTCTATAGGCCTACGTGCTTTTTGAAATTTCGATATTCCTTTCCGAACGAAATTTAAAGAAACATAATGTTCTGTAACAAATAACATTCGCTTGTTTGTTTTTGTAGGCCTTTATACAGTTTTTAAAAAGTGGTTTTAAATGGCGCGCCCCAGTTCAGAAATTTCGCATACTATTCAGGACAATTTATAAAGGAGCGTGCCGCTCAAGTTCAAAAGTTGAACTTAATTGATTGATTTTTTACTTGTCGTGGGCCGGTTTTGTTCGTGCGATGTCTCATTGGAAAACTCTTAACTAATGTAATGCTAGAAAACTATCAATTAAATTTGAAAATCTATTTTTCAAGGTGCTACACCCAAAAAGCACGTATACACCAACTTTAGCAGATACAGCTAGCCTATCATCGGCCCCTTAAAATGAATTGTTGTTTCAACCGTAAAAAAAACCCCAATGATGCACTTGTTTAAGATGTTCTGTCCGTGCTATTTTCGAGTTTCATCCCGAAAAGAATGGATTAATTTTTTTAAATTGCCAAGTTTCTAGCAATACGAAAGTTTTCATTGATGAGACACCGAACGCAAACAAAAATCGCGGTACGTTTCGTTTCGTTATGGAATAATTATTACTTTAAAAATGAATTTTTTTCGGCTCGACATTATTAGGGTAGATAGGTTCTACTCGCATGCAGGGTGGATCTGTTTGTGCGCAAATGCAACCAAAATCAAACTTTTCAGTGGTCAATGCAGACGTCCAAAATAGAAAAGGGCATATTTTCGTTAAATTATACAAGCCAGTCCTATCATGGAGACTGTGTTCCTTCGTCCATGGTCCTATTTTGTTCATACGTATTCATGTATATATGTACGGGCAAGACTTAAATTTAATAGTGTGTAACGGTGTTCAGCAACGCCCACCATCACAACATCCTCGCTTAACGCCAGGATCTTTCCAACATCTCCACAGTGTCGCCACCAATTCATTCCCTTGCTGTGCAATTGAAGTAAAATAAAATTATACACCCCCCCCCAAAAAACAAAAACCGCCTTCGGTGTAGCAGCGAAAGGAAGTGCATAGGTTAACTGCATTGCTGTTGATCGAAGGCCTCGAGACCAAAACGTTAAATTAAAACAAAAAAAATTATTAAAAATTCAAATATAATATTTATACATGTAAGTCATTATAACTGACGGCACCGTGGATTACTGAGTAGGCTAACGAAGAAGGAAGTATCTCGGGATTTCGTTTGTAAAAGAAAACAAATATGAAGGTATACAAAGTTTTTAAACTCGACAGTACGTATCAAATTCGCCAAGTTTACACAAACTTACTTATAGACTAGATGAGATATATCATGTCATTATGACGCACTTGTTAGTTAATTGCCTGTTTGCGATCCAAGGTTTTACAAAACGATCACAAAATCAATGGAGAACAATAAAACCCTGCCTGCTCAATGATATAAAATGCCAATGAGCTGCGCCCGTACAACTTCATGACGAAATTCCTTCATGATGGCTCTGGAAATACGTTTATAAACGTCAACCTGCTTAATATCTCACAGTTCAACTTGACTTCTATACTAAACTGCATTTCATGCTCATGATTATTCCATTGGTTTCCAAGAATTCAATATTTTTTCCAGATTTGTTTTCCGTTCCAGTCATCCGTACCGCCAGCGTATGCTGTCGATGCCACATGCATCATCGTAAACCGTATTGACCCACCCAGCGTAGTAGTACGGTGCATACATAACATGTACAATGTACAGTGTGCACTATCAATGAACGAAAACAAAAGGATGCGCGCGCATACAGGAGGAGCCCGTGCAAAGCATCATGGGACGGATACTCAATCCGCCATGATGTCGCGGCGACACGGTGAAAAATACGAATTATGTTGTTTATTTCATAGTTTCTACCGATTTTAAGATCTGAAAAACCGCATGTCAACCCATAACGACATTCACGATCGCACGTCGGATAGGTATTTCGTGCTACCGATCCCTATTTGGGCAGTATTTTAGGGGATCGCACGCTGGGTCACCAGCGGGCAATCGGCCAGCATGAGCAAGTTATCTTTTCGTGCTCGGGCGCTCGATGCCTCGAAACCCATGCCCGTGTTCAAGACAGAGGACCTGCCGGATTTGCCGGATTTTTCGGCCATCAACCGTGCAGTGCCTCAAATGCCAACGGGGATGGAGAAAGAGGAGGAATCGGTAAGATCCACGATGACGGCGCAGTCATAAAATATTTTTGAATATTTAATGAGGTCTATTGGCGGCCATCTTGATTTGACCAATTTGGCGCGCACGGAAGTCATGGAAGTGTAATGCGGAAAGCACGTCAACTGTTTTAGTTTTTTGAAAACTTTTTTGTGGAATCACTTGAGTTTAATTATTTCATGACAGTATTTGATTGTTAAACATATATTTCCTTGAATTTAGGGCGGAAATTACCACCAAAAAATCTAATCACGTGACCTGGCTTTTCGTCGGCCATTTTGTTTGCCCACATTCATTCTCTTCTCCAGTGATTACATGAATATTCAGTATTGGACAACTTTGGGCTGTTTCTTTTGCAAATTGCACCCCCCCCCCCATTGCTTCTCCAAGATTTTATGCATAATAATATTTCTTCCATAGGCCTAGCCTAGTAACAATTCAAAACTAAAGGTTTTTGTTCACAATTTGCAATTTTGCATTTTATTAAAGTCTAAAAACAAAATTGGGCCTTAGGCCAAAAAAACAAAAATGTTCAGTCTCTGGTCAGCGCGCGCTTCGATTTTGGCCAAGTTCGCGCAAGGACTATAGTTGACCAATGGTTAACCCAGTTTGCCCGAACTCTGTCTAGTCGACGATGGTTGACTACGCTAGTCGACTATTTGGAACCAGCCTACTGAGGTTGGTTGCTTCGCTGGTAACCAATAGCCGCGCGCATTCATAACGCTAGCAGAGAGCCAGGATCCAGAAGTTTTGCGATGACATTTTGACCAGCGTTTGACTAGAGACATTCGCACGTTGCTATTAGTGCGCAGGCGTAAGGTACGTCACAAATCAACCACTAGTCGACTAATGGTCCTTGCCCGAACTTGGCCATTGATTGTACCATGGAGGAAGGAATAGTACGCATCAATTTTTTTTCAAAATTTTCCACGCTGAGCTACAACAGCGCCCTCTATTGCCGCACCGCCTCAAATGTGGGTAGCTCGTCATCGACACGGTGACATGTGATGTGAGCAATTTATCATGTGTCTGAATATCGTCAGACCCCCTAAAACTACGCGCTCCTATTTCTGCACACTCGCCTTTAAGTTATATTTTGCAAGGCATGCATCCTAAAAAATGACAAACTTTCACAGTCACTGGGATCATATGCTTTGATGCATGAACTTAAACCAGCAGCCGAAAAAATTGGAAATTGAAGGCTTTACCAGGAATTCAGGCACAATATGAAAAACATCTGCTTTTTACAGCTAATTACTAAGTACAAATGCAGGCAGATGCTTCCGGGCCTGCAGAAGTCGAAAATATGACCGAACGGTGACCTTTCTTGGTCTCCCAATATCGTCAGTATTATAGTTAAGATGTCATATATAAGAATTTGCAGTTTCTACGAGGATGTAAAACTTACGGTGCAACTAAAAAGACACAATTCTTATATTTTTTGGGAATTTTTTGGTCATAAGTTTTAAAATCTGACATCTTAAAAACTGTCTCCGTTGATTGGAATGATCAGAATAACAATATCGTTGGGATCTACATTTAATAGGTAAATATGTATAAAATGTATTTATATAAATATGTAAATTTAAGCCCTTGTATAAATCTCGAAAATAGGATATTGAAAATAATCTTGAAATTACGAAAAGTGTATTGGCATTGACAAAAGAAAGGAAAAAGAAAGAAAATTTGTTTGAAAAGCTCAGAAAATATAATTTCCTAAAGCCAACAAGTCTAAGTTATTAAAAAAAAATGTTTATATTGAGTTACATGGCCCGGACAGCACATATTTTTTCATGAAGCGTCCCCTGCGCAGAATTAGGCAGGATTATTTTCTACAACGCCAAAACTGCACGCTTTGGAATTCCCCGCTTGCTGCCACAAATAAAGAGATTTTTCTTTGTTAATCGGTACGGTGGTTGATCGTAAGCCAACAATATAAGTTTCGTTGAGGAAAAGAGTGGTTGCTTTGCTATTTTTAAGCTACTTGGTTGCAAAGCCTTATCTGCGCAGAAATAGGAGGATCGAGGATACATGAAATATGATACATATTTCTGTGTCTGTTTGTGGAGTCAGTCAGTTGCCGTGGCACGCACAGTAGTAGCTGCTCTATTTTCTCGTCCATACAACTGACAGCAACGCGAGGCCAGCAAAAGATGGCCGTAAAAAAAGGCTTCAGAAAATTTGCAGTTTTCATGGCAAACCACAACCGATCCAAACAAACAAAGTTGTTTTAGGTAGTTAAAACCTACTTCATACATCCATCAAGGTATTTTTTTCTCTAATAAAGGATTTTGATGCCTTTTGTCAATATTATTTCATGGACAAATCTACTAAAATTTAGGTCATGCAATTTCCGTTTTTTTTCCGACGACGATAAAAGTCTCCCAAAGGAAAGAATGAACCTTCATCTACAAAAAATCTCGTGAACGTGATGTTAATATTTAAAGAATTTGGTGTACACCTTATGTTTCCAACAGATTCCATTTTTCACAACGCGAAAAGATCGTCGCCATTGTAAAGCATAGAGCATGGAACCCAAACACAGTGTGACCTTGTGACTCCATACGCCCACTGATTGGTCGAGCTCGAGTAGTACAAGTATGGCCTGCTGAATATTCATAAGTCATTCATTGCACGTTCGCACGTGCTATTCACAATGTTTTCAGGCCAACATCGGCGTACTTTTACACGCGTACATGTGATTGCAAATCATGAAATCTCTCAAAAGTCTTCATTTTTTCAACCGGCGATTTTGGATCAAACATGAGAAGTCTCCTGCACTTGTTTCACATGAAAATGAAGCGTATACTTTCCTCTATCTAATGAATCTTGCTGTGTCTTTCGGCCTTTTTTAAGAATCGAATGAACACCCAAAAACTATCAGCCCTCGCTTTTGTTGATAAAAAATATGATTTGGTGTTGACAGGCCGTAACAACACTTTATATTAGCAGTTATTTTTGGTATCAAAATAAAGCACACGATTTCAACTTTTCACATATTTAGCCATCTTGGCCAAACAGTACATGTATTCAGGCTCTTCGTGTTTTTCTGTAGTCTCGCATAAATCTCGTAAAACCTCGCGTACGTTTTTGGGCCATGCGTGCGCGACCTTGGGACAAGAAACTGAGGTCAAACAGGGCTGTGTGTGCGTGACACGGCCACTGACTGGAGTGAAACAGGAAGAAAAACACTGCATCGCCGCATCAATTCTGGAACTTTGGTCTGACCAAAGACCCACTATGTTTTTTAGCCTTAGGCCTAGGCCACTGTGGCCAGCTAAAATTAATAGGTTGTCATCACTCAGATCATGGGGAGGGGAATTTATATTTTAAATTCTATAAATTCCACTTCTTTACACCCAAATTGAACTAAGGCAATGTGGGGGGGGGGGGGGGGTTGAAGTCCGATATGGTACTTAACCTAGAAGAGGACACAACAAACATGAATTTGAAGACTACAAAATACTAAATAGGCCTACCAGACAGCTGTTTATGACATGATTGTTTCGATAAATCCGAGTTTTCCCTCAGCAACATCCTTTTTTTTTTCAACACTGCTAATGTTGCACACCCACTTGATGTGATCGACTACATGCAGTAACGCTATTGTTTTGAGCGTCTGGACCATTTCTAAAGAGAGGGGATTACCTTATTCACAGTGCGCAATGTTGATATCCAGTGTTCTCCACATGTAGGTTTTGGGAGGGCGGGCTGCCCTCCTAAGAATTAAGGCCGCCCTGCCAAAGGATTGGCCGCCCTGCCAAGAAAATTGACCGCCCTGCCAAGAAAATTGACCGCCCTGCCAAATATTTTACAAATCATGGATGAAAACAACTTTAATTCCAAGGCGCAACACTTTCGTCGAAATGACACATCCTGAACACGTGGACAGGCAAGCTCCCTTCTACACAGATTATTTTCCGCCCGGCGCTCTGGATCAAACGAGAACTCGAGCTGCTGTGCCTGACTGCCATACACAGCATTGCGGTGGCCGGCCACAGCCAGCTGACGGTTAAGTGTGCGTGTGCGACACTAGTAGTACACGACTGGGAAGAACACCGTACAATACATGTACACGTCACGCCAGTGGAGCCTAAATCCTGCAACCTCCTCCTGATCCATGTGATTTACCACGTGATAAATGCTGCAGATAATTTGGTATCGCACTGACGCTCCGGGCACTCCTGATGTCCGGATCATAAGTGCGATTCCAAATTATTAGCTGCGTTTATCACGTGGTCTCGTTATTGGCCAATCAGACGCCGCCTATCATATGCGCCACATGAAGCAGACGGGTAGCTCGGAGGGCTCCGATAATTTTACACGCAAATGACCCTGGGTACTCGGGTTAAAATCTAATTTCTACATGTTCGTATGGGTCTTCATTGATGGCCAATTTCGTCGAAATGACACATCCTGAACACGCGGACAGGCAAATTTAGATTTCTAGGTGAGTACTCAACATCCATACGAAATTGTGTAAGGCGGATCGATTTCGCTAGGTTCGAAAATACACAACAGCATGGCGTTGTATACAACGCCACGTTCACGGGTCTAGGTTTATTCAAGAACCGGGAAACGAAACCGAAGATGTTTCCACAACGTGCTTCCAAAGGTTAAGGTGTAAAGAGTTGAAATGTTTAATGCAGAGTCAAACCAGTATCTTCACAAACGGTAGCCTTCAAAACATGGTTGCCTGTGATCGCATCTAAAGAACTTCGTTTCCATTTTGCCGGAGGGGAGAGGGAGTTCCCCAAAACCACCTTGCAATCGTCGTAACCGTCTGCGTTCGTACTCCATGTACTGACCCAGTTCACCGCTCGATGAAGTCATACCGACGGGCGCCCGTCCGATGACGTCATGCCGCCCTCCCAAGAAAAAAGTCTGTGGAGAACACTGGATATCGATATGGCTCGTGCACGCTGAAAAAAAAGATAATCCTTATCTTTACAAAATGGTCGAGCCACTCCCACAAAATAACTTTACGGCAAGTAGGCTCCTTTATTGGAGAAAAACACTTCCAGAAAATCCTACAGATGGAATACTGGTGTCGGTCAGATTATACAGACAGCGTTTTCTTTTTTTAATGAATTAACCACAACTCCCTAGGCCATTTTGCTAGGATATAGCCTCAATCCTGCAAAAATCCTCCAATTGGCCTCATGGAAAAATAGCCTCAATCCTGCAAATTCCTCCATTATTTCTTGAATATGGTCCATTGAGGGGTGACCACTGCCTGAATCCTGCAAAATCCTGCGGCAGTGACTGTCAATATTTTGAGGCTTGGCCAGTGACATCCTGGAGCAGTACAAAGGCATAATCCAGGCTTATATTTATGCATGGCTGAGCAAAAACAACACAAGGTCAAAAGATCTTGACAAAGTGCATCCTACGAAATTAGTAACGCACTTTTACCCTGTAACCTAAATCCTCAAAATTCCTCCACTTTGGGCAAAGAGGATTTTGAAAGATACAGGGTGGTTAGGGTTAAGATCAAGTGAATAAGACACCTGTGAGATGTTTGATTACACTAACCAAGTGCATAGCCTTTAAAAAAAATATGTTCGATTAAAATTATGTGTGTTTCTGTCATTTTGTGTATCAGGAGCACCATCTACAGAGAGCCATTTCAGCACAGCAAGTGTATGGCTCAGCCAACCAACTGGTCATTCCAACACCAGACTTTGAGACCTCAGTCAATTATTATGAGGACCTGTATGATGCATCCTACAAGCAGCCCAAACAATACGTCCATGTTCAGCGTAAGTTAACCCCGGTAGTTTGCATGTTAACCTGCCTGAATGGTTTAACCCTTTAGTCACTGTAGCACCCGAAACTGCCGGAGCACTCTATGGTTTTAAAGATTTTTTTCAGTGAATAAATACAATGTAATACAATAAGTCCAGGTACTAACGGTTAAAGCCAATTGAAGTAAATTTTGTACATCTCCATGGGTAGGTTCAGTCAGAGTTAGGCATGTGCGACTAGTCGCCAATGAAAAAAAGGTATTGGTAGTCATGGCCATTCACTTTTGAGTTAGTCGACTAGTCGTTGTGCCGCAACTAGTCGTTTACTACTAATGCTGTGCCTAGCGGTTGCACCGCGACTACTACTGATCTTTGCCCCGTGACTACCGATCTTTGCCTCGCAACTTAATAAAAGTCGTACAACGCTGCACACTGTAATTCCGAAGTGACTTCATAGTCATGAAGAGTACATGTTCATGTACAGTACATGCATGTTCATGATAAACATACATGTACAGCATGTGTTAAATTAATAATTTCACAGATATGTTGGGCAAACAGACTTTTGATCAAACTGCCTTATAACCCATTAACCCATTAACCCATTCACCCAAGGGGGAAAAAAAACCCCAAGAAATTCTGCAAATATGTATACTTTCAAACCCTAAAATGTGTTTGACGGTCCATAGAGTTCATTATCATCTACTTGTATAATTATGTATAAAAACAAATTGAAAGGTTTGAATCGTTAAAGAGAGGGGGATAATCATTTTATCCTTACTCTGACTAGGCATGTGACTAGTGAATCTCAATAGTCGACTAGTCGTGTGATAAAAAGTCACGACTACTACAAGTCATGTGATAAAAGTCACAACTTTTATCGCACGACTAGTCAACTATTGAGATTCACTAGTCACACGCCTAGTCAGAGTAAGGATAAAATGATTATCCCCCTCTCTTTAACGCTCCAAACCTTTCAATTTGTTTTTATACATTATTATACAGTAGATGATAATGAACTCTATGGACCCTCAAACACATTTTAGGGTTTGAAAGATGCATATTTGTAGAATGGTATCAATCTATTGCTCATATTAAGTTGTGTCAAGATGTTTACGATTGCAAAATTTGAAGCAAAATGTTCAAATTGTTTTTGTTTTACATCTTGCTGTGCACAACATTTGCCGGATAAGCCAATCTTTTAGGGATGTTCAAAGCCTTAAAGTAAAAACTTTGTTTTTTTCCCTGCCCTATGCAGCCCTTAGTATGGAGCAGGACATTCCGGACTATGACATGGATGCTGAAGACGAAGAGTGGATGCGGAAACACAGCAAAACCTTCGAAATCACAAAGCTCCAGTTTGAAGAGATGATGGACAGACTAGAAAAGGGGAGTGGCCAACAGGTATGAATATTCACTAGACAGTGATATTAACAGATGGGACCAAGTCTGATGCAGAACTGTGGTTAATCCTAAGTCGGCTAGCCTTCTCTTTAGCTTTTTCTATATAGGCATCTCTGGTTATAACGTCACAAGGTATAACCAGCTATTCACACTCTCATATTCGTGTGAAGGCGCAATATACATCACAAATCACAGAGCTGCAATTTTTAATTGTAATTCCGACTTTTTCAAATTTCTATCCAAAATTCCAATTTTTCAAACGATCTTCTCCCTGCAAAATCTTATTTTTTAATTTGAATTTCAATGAATGTGATGAAAACGGCATTCTGTATTGCGAGCGCAATATTAATTTCTTTAATCAGTCTTCATTTTTCACAGTTTGTATGGTAGACAGAGCTGCAATCTGGTGCGGATTTTCCGTATTTCATACGGGAATTCACAAAAATTACGGAAGTACGGATGTTAGTAAATAAATACAGAGTTTGTAAAATCCAATCATAATCTTCAGGCATCAACTTCTTTGCATTTTTAAAACTCCGGTCTTGAGTGAAAATGTGATTTTACGGCACATCCATCTTGTTTCCTGCCGTGGCACAGCAGAATCTTGGGCTGATATCGCTAGCGTATAGATTCAAAGAAGAACATTGCCTGGCTCCGTCTTTTGTATAGTTATAATAGTGTTAAAAAAAGTGCATGACGCAGACTTCAAACGCATTCTCCAGCATACATAGGCCTACCGTCAGCTACCGTCTGGCCAAATGAGCATGTGGCTATAGGGCCCTGTATCTTTTCTGGGCTATTACCGGTAGTCTGGTTCCGTAGTTTTTTCCCCATGTGTACGTATATGAAGACACCATTGCACGTGTTTGGAACTCGTTGGAAGTTCACGGCATGCCATAGTGATTAGTGTACAATCAATGGTTGAATTTGACATTGTTTAAAATGCAAAGTGTTATAAAAGTAAACATCGATGGAGAAAAAAGATTTCTGCAAGTTAGTTCACAGAACTTGATCTCTCTTGGTCTGTGTATGTTTTTCTGTTCATCAATTTATTTTGAAGTTGTACCGGCAGTTTTATATGTGGGCTTCTTCTGGTAAGCCATTTTTTGTAAGCATTAGTTCTATTCATCAATTTTGAAAAATACTGATTTTGGAATGAAAATACGGATTTCTGGCTTTAGGACTACTGATTCTGGAATTTGGAGGTTGGCAGCTCTGGGTAGAAGCACATAAGCAAGCTCTGATTTGAGTACTTAACAGCTGGAAATAGGAAAAGAAACCATCTAAAATCCTCCAAAAATGTGCACTTACATTATGTGTAAATGAAGGATACCCACTGCCTCAATCCTTCAAAATCTTCCAACAGCCCTGCCTCTCAAAATGGGATCAGGATGAAAACATCCTGAGGATATGCTTCAGCTTTGCAATGTTCTCTGTAAGCAGCTCCATAACGTGGCCTCCTGTGTAACGTTTGTTCTTTTCATTATTTTTTAGGTGGTGACATTGAAAGAGGCTAAGCTTTTGTTGAAGGAGGATGATGACCTCATCATAGCAGTCTATGACTACTGGCTCAACAAACGTCTCAAGTCAATGACTGTGAGTATATGACTGCAACAGGCATTGTGTCCTACGGCTGTGGCTTTCGCCAGCAATTACAAAAGCCGAAGCTGAAGCCACAGAAATAACCGATTTAGCCACAGCCTCTCAGTCTACTTTCCCTGATGCTGTCTGCTGACGTTGTAGAGCCACATGCATGTTTACCAGGATCGACATACATTACTAAACAGTTCTGAAAACATCAAAAGAAGTAAGGTGGCCTGATGTTGCCACCCTGGCAAGTGGGGGTGAAGTGGCGTGCCTGAGGACACAACATCTGGCCAGCAGCTGGATTCGAACCCCTGACCCTCCGATCATGAGTCACGGACCCTTACCACTTGACCACACTCCCCCACTTGTATCCTTTCAGTTAGTTCCAGTGCATTTCCATAGCTGCCAACTGTTACGAATTTTTCGTAATTATTACAAATTGTTTGTTAAATTACGAAAATACGATTTGCCACTTAAACATTACGAATTTCCCATTTTCTACCTAACGAAAAAAAAATACTTGTAAAGTATCGTTTTTGACCGAAAACTTCTGGCGAAATGTCGCGATAATGGATGGACTGGTGACAAGTCTAATAAGAATGCAGTCAAGCACCTGATAGACATCAATGCAGTGTGCGCAGTGGAGTACTTGAGGACCAGACTAAAACTATTTTTCAATGGTGTGTCATTTGTGTGCATCTCGTGGATGTGTGGTTGTGTGTACTGTATGTGAGTGCTTTTCAGTGACGATCGTGAGCACATTTGGTCGCTTATTGCTGGGATGAGACCCATCAGTGCGAGATTTTAATCATGGAATTTAATAAGAGTATGGTTGGAATAATTGGTAATAGAGTTTGAGTTTGTCACAACGTCCAGAAAAGATAAATCAGCATGCGTTTGCAAGGTATGTTGGCGGGAAATTTCTATTGCATATGGTGGCCCTAAATCATTGTGTGTAAAAACATTGATACGAACTCGAAACTCCACATCGATAGCATGCATCTCAAAAAAAATATGCGCACGTTATTATTGTTATTATTCATTTTACTTCAACAAACAAATACAGACATTGAAACAAAATTAAATTTCTTTTTAAAATTATCTTTTGGCCTACAGTACATTAGTATTCACAACAAGAAGAGTATGCACATGTATGACCATGTACCTGTACTCGATGTTGGTAAAGATTTTGATAAAACGAGCAGTTGAAAATGACCGCGCGGGTTGATTACTAATTGGGATTTTGAAAAGTTGGCAGCTATGCATTTCACACAAAACTTTAACCTCTCCCTCAAAGGAGGCACATCCTCATCACATCCCTTATAAGAGGAGGGGCATCTTTGCGAAGTAATAGTTTATGATTGATGATGTAAGAGGGCTTTGGCATAGTAAATATTTGTGTGTATCTTTGACAGGGCTGCGGATTGATGCCCAATGTGAGGCAAGAGAAACGGGATGGTTCAACCAGCAACAATCCCTACGTTGCCTTCCGCAGGAGAACAGAGAAGATGCAGACAAGGAAGAACAGAAAGAATGATGAAGCATCTTATGAGAAGATGCTCAAACTGAGGAGAGACCTGAATCGGGCTGTGTGAGTATCCTTGCCTCCCATCCGTCCCTTGTACTCAACTATGTTACCCTTTACCATCTCATCTTAACTTGACCGTAGGCATGCCAAACTTATACTCTTTCTTGAGGGCATAATTTCTGGCATAAGAAATTTCCATCATGCGTTGCTATCAGGTGTATATGCTATGCATATTAATTAACCCATTAGTCTCTGTACCGCCCCTAAGCGCCCTGCCAATTACTCCTTATACCGTCCCAAACAACTGAGCACTCTATAGTTGTATGGATTCATCAAAGAGTGAAGACAATGTAATGCAATGTGATACAATGTAATGCGAGTGCTAATTGGTTAAGGGGTCATGCCAAAGCCATCATTATATGTTCCTGTCTATTATTCCTGCATGAAGCCCATATTTAACCACTTGAGCTGTAACAGTGTAGCTAAGTGAAGTATGTTGCTAATGCTCACTTGTATTCTATGAACAGAACGTTACTGGAGATGGTGAAAAGAAGAGAAAAGAGCAAAAAAGAAGCCGTCCACTTAACATTGGAGATATTTGAAAAGAGGTACGTTATTAGTGAAACATTCCAACAAATGCCTTCGAAACTAGTTCAAGATTTTTACAATGTGCAAAATATGGAGTTTTGCACGTTGAGAAATTGAGCATTTCTCTAGTCACCCCATGCCCTTTATGAGAAACTTTGGAAATGCTAAAAAGTTTGACTCATTTTTACTTTTGAATTCTCGAGACTAGGGACACTGATTCTGTTTCATGTAATTGCAGGAGGGAGGTTGGGGGCATGTAGTAACATATGAGAAGCCTGAACACACTGCAAGTACAGTGGGTGAGAATGGCACAAAGACACCAGACCATTACAGAGCTGCAAGTTCATGGTGTGATATAGTAATGGGTGCATCTAGTCTGGAGAATTCACATTTGAAGATTGGAGCCTTAAATATAGACAAAGGATAGCAGTATACACATTCAACTTGCAATTGACTCATAGAAGCAGCATGATTCATTGGGTTTGTGTCGTCATACCAGGTGTTTTAGCGACATTGATGATGTCTCAATGTGTTTTGGCCATACCTTTGTCAGATATCAAATGGACGACTTAAGTGGCACCATTCTAGCAGAGTGTGAAGAGCTGAGCAAACGGCAGCCATCATTCACTATCCCTGCAATACCCAACGGCAGCCAGTATGGCCCATGGTCCATGAAAACGGTAAGGTGCTTATCATTGTCAGCTGTGTCCATGGGGAGTCTTGTCATTCTCCAAAAGTCACTGAATAGGAAGCATCTCAAAATGCCAAACAAACCTGTTCTGTTCAGAAGGCTCCTGCTGCAATAATGGCTTATCCAGGAAGAACAAATCTAGGTTGCCATGTCAGAACAAATAGTAATCAACAACTTTTACAGCGGAAACAGTGCCTAGCTCTAAAGTAGTAAATTCCCGGTGGAACACTTGAAGGGTTGTGAGTTTGATATGCTCCCTTACATTGGTAGACATAAGGTTGGGAAAATTGTTTGATCAGGTCAACCAAGGTGTACATTTTTTGACATCTAAGGCTTGAGAGTTCATTATAAACTAGGCTTTCATAAAATAACTGGCTTTTACAGTTTCTAAAGAATTGCCAAAATTATCTTAATATGAACTATGAACATAACTCAGATTAGTTGTATTCTTAAATCCCCCCCTTCCTTTTTTTTCAAAATCTTTTAGGAGGATGGTCTGAAGAAGAAGCGAGAATACAAGAAGAGGAAACACAAGGAGGAAAAGAAACTACGCCAGGCATCTGTCTCCTCCATGGGAGAGATAGAGCCACCTCGCTTTCCTGATATCAGAAGCTCAGAGGAAGAGCTTTCCCCAGTAAGTTCCTGCAAAACATACCCCGCCATTTATTTAATTCCAAAACTACAATTTCTTATTTTAGGAACAGTTTTCCCATCTGGTAGGCAGTGCTTTTGTGTTACCATGAAGTCACATTTAGCAACTCTTTCCATAAAAGAACACCTTTTGTTCCAAGGCTTTTGCAGGGGGGGGGGGGGGACAGCAAGTGTTTACACTCCCCACAACTGATATTTCATATCGATTGTTTCAAGCTTTCCGAGTTTGAAGCGGAATCCTGTTTCAGTAAGGGCCTGTCGCAATTCAAATCCAGTTGTGGACATTGTATCGGGTATATGTTGCAGGATTCTGAACAACTTCCCTGCAATCTTCCCGCAATGAAGTTATCAGTATTGGTGAGTCAAGCAGTTGCTAATCATAATTTCTCTGGAAAATCTCCAGGACAAATGCAGAGCTTGTTCCAGACAAAGTGAATGATTCTACCCACAACTTGTCCGGAACTCGTCCCGGATATATAGTATGATCGAGATCTCAACCTATGGTTGTGCCTTTTATTTTTTAGTGCCCAGATAGGTCTTTTAATCCGTGCCTGATTGTACAGAATCTCCATGGAGTGTCATTCTGAGGATTTCTTTCTGCGTCTCAAAATGAACATGTCTTTAATACCTCTTTCAAGTCATCACTCTTCACAGCCACAGTGCCTGTGTACTTTTGACAAACACCTTGTTTCATTTATGAGAAAGTAAACTTGGAAGTAAATAAATCAATTAAGACTTGACACCACCTCCTTTGATTTGTACTACTCAGCAGGTGCAATCAACGTCAGACCATGAAGAGGAGGCTGATCCTGATGGTATCTTTGCCTTCCGTCGCAAGAAAGGCTGCCATTATTTGGCTGTAAGTTGTACATCAATTATTACATCAGCATTGCTACGGTTGAGATTTTTCACTTGTATGTTAAATGACATGAGATGGGATCGAATTGAGAAAATAGTATTCTGTCCCTCTGTAATTTTACATTGTGGAATGAAAACAACATGGGATAGTGACCCTCTTAATAATGCTACTCTATTGCTCATAACATCACAAATTATGGTGAGGTTGTGATAAAACAGGCCATATACAGTGAACAATTAAGAATACGTGATCCCCGTTTGCTATTTCCCAAGTCTGTAACATGTTTTTTATCCCTGGCTATATGGCATACTGGTTTATGGCTTCTGACTAGCGCCCCTTGAACAAAGATATTGACTAATTGGGGAACCACCAACATAGGCCTGGATAGCTCAGTTGGTAGAGCACCAGAACAGTGGTCCGGAGGTCACAAGTTCAAGCCCCGCTCCATTCAATTTCTTTGTTCAACTGTTCAATTGAATATGTAATGAGACAGTCTTGAAAATCTGCTCACAAAGCCAGCAAAAACTCAAAGTAGTAAAATTGTACACCAAGTCACTTCCAGCTGAAAGTCGTTCTAGTGCTTAAATCATTCCTGAATTGTTTTTTTGTTCTGACTGTACTTTGGTGCCACAGCCTCATTCAGACCTAGTGCAAGGGTGGCCGTGGTCATTGGATCCACCTAAAGGTACAACAGACCACAGGTATCGCTACAGCTGTACATCACTGAAAGAGCCTAGGCGATGTGTGGGGCTGGCTAGGAGGAGGGTCGGTAGGGGAGGAAGGTAAGCCTCAAACAGGCCTGAAGTATGCAGTCGACCAGGCTGTTAAGTTCAGGCATTCAACTTTTCCTCGAATCAGCTGATTTCCTCTTTTCTACTTCCCATCTAAAATAGAAAAACACTGTACAAAGTCAGGAGTGTTCAATTTAAAATGTTTTGTGACACCTTTTACGTCAGGAGATAGTCCAATGAAAATCAGCCGACACCTCTGGATCGGTCAATTCACACTCAATTTCACTCGAACCATCTGTGCCCTCTGACCTTTCCTGACATGACCTCCTAATTGGTTTTATACTACTTCTTTGAGGTTTTCTCCGTAATAGGTTTTATAAGGTATTCTTTATACCATTACAAAGACAATTGATATGCTATTTGATATACTTTTGTTACTTTTGCTGTAGGCAAGTAGTTGTGTATTTAAATGGCGAAGTAACTCCACAAACTGGCCTCAAGTGCATGCTGGCCTGAAGTGTCTTGTACTTGTCATACTTGAAGCATTGATTAATAATGAGCCATTGATTATGCCACCTAGGCATGTTTGCCAAGTGATTTACACAGAGTTACCAAAGTTAACCGTTGTATTCTCCATTCTCTTGTTTTGTCATCTCTATAAGGATCCTGCTTGACAGAGCATGGACACCTTTCGAGAATTACAAACAGCTAGATGATGCCTTGTCAAACACCTCTGACCTGCCGGTATCGCCGCTTCGGTCGCCATCCGCAAGCTCATCACAAACAAGTCTTCCACTAAGTTTTCTTCTTGAAGAGATCAGGGCCAAAAGAATGTAAGTCAACATTTCCGGTTCTGGCTTGTTTTAGTAGACAGAAGGGACAGATAAAGACCCAAGGTTGGCTGTCAAAGTCTCTTTTCATTCCAAAAGGTTGGGTTTGATCTGGATTCCTGGAAAGGGAAAATGCTCGGATGCCTTAGGATGTTTGACCCATGTCTTCAATGGGTAATTCTGTTTGTTTACATTTTCTAGCATAAAAGTTCAATGAAAAAGATTTTCAAGGGCATGTATTGTATGAAATGGTTTTTGTTTTGACTCTTATCTATCCGGAATTGTTATTGATGTCTTGTTTGGTACAGGCTGCACTACAGACCAAAGACACCCCCACCAGCACCCCAGCAAGCTCCTACCACCTCACTGACACCCCCGCTGTCCAAGTCGCAAGCTCCCATGGAGGAAAGCATCAACTCCCTCCTGCAACACAGCCGTACCTTCGCTGCCATTGAGACCCCTAGCAAGCTACCCCAGCAGATGCTGATGGAGAGTGATAGTACAGCAGACAGTGATACAGCAGGCCCCTCCTCCTCCCAACAAACACTGCCCTCATTGGCCTCGGCTGCCGAGACCGACACCATCAGCCCATTGCTTGAGTCTCAGGATTTGCAAACCCTTGAGGTGGATGTTGTGAACTCTGACAGCTCCTCAGACTTGAACACGTCCTTTGGCTCGCTGCCAACATCTCGATTCACCCTGGAGCCTAGCCGAGAGTTAAGCAAGCCCAAGTCAGCTATCGTAGACCCATTGCCTGTTTTAGTGTCACCATCGAGCATTGTCGGAGTCAAGGAGAATCATAACAATTCTGCAGCAAACACCTTGTTGAACCACAAGGCTGTCATAGAAGCTTCTACCAAAGGTTTGTTGACATTAATCCTTTCTGCTGCTCTGCCATTAAAATATAAACTTGCAATTTAGGATTTGGGTCATTATTTTAAAGAGTAAGTGCTTGAAAGCAATCATTGCTGTCATGTGGTGTGTTTATTGTGAATGTATTTAAAAAGTGAAGTTCATCCACTGGTTTGTGTCTTGGTTCTTTTTATATAGTCACTGTAGTGCCTGAAACCACCCTACCAATTACTCGCGAAACCGCCAAGCACTCTATGGTTTTATTAATTTTTCAGTGAAAAAATACAATGTAATCCAATGAGGTCCAGGTGCTAATGGGTTAATAACAAGACTCTTAACTCTTTCTTTGTCCTAGTTCCCACTGGTCATTCCACGGCACCAGCCGCTACAGTACTACAGCTAAACTATCCCCTAGGAGCCACCAAGACCACCACTCCCTCTACAACCACACCTGTTACAACCACGCCTAGTATGACCACACCCAGCAATGTGAATGCCGTGGATGGGTTGGCGATGACAAACTCTCTGGACGTTGTATCGCAGTCTTTGTCAGATGGTGGCACCGGCAGTGAGGCCTTGAGAAAAGGCAGTCTAGATAGGCAGAGGACTAGATTGAACTTGGATGGCACCAATGTAGTGCCGTCCACAGCACAGAGTGTATCACTTGCTAATGCTGTCAAGCGGATTTCCCAAGCAAACAATATCGACGTTATATCAAGGTAATGAAAGTCACAGGACTCTCATTTGATCCACGATTTACCAATGGATTTACAGGTGTTGGTTTCTCGTGGGGTTGTTACAGATGTTCATATGTGCAATCTGGAAAGCATCCGTCCTTTACAGTTGCCCATAATTTCATTTCCTATGGTGGAATCCGGCGACCAGAATTAGAAGCTTTTACTGTGGTGGTGTCATGCTCACGCACATGCTGCAAGCATTCTGAAAGACGAGCTGCACGCGCATTTTAGTATTCCTATTGGTCGAAGGAGCCCAGGGTGCATGTGTGTTTACCTGAGCACGCCTCGCGCGAGCCTTGCGCCACCGCAGAAAATGGCTGCTGCCAGATTTGTCTATTACTTGAAAACTTTCTCAGCAATTCATTCACAAGAGCCTTACGTAAAGTATAAAAATACTTATTATGAAATTATTCTGCATGGCATGTCATAAAGAAGGGGAAAAAACATGAAAATGAAATTAAAATTGAAGTCACACATATTTTAATATATTGACATTTATCAGAAAACTTAACTTTCAAAGCTTCAGATGTGAAGCCAGGTTTGTACTTATCTTGTCGGCATTGACGTTATTTCAAATTTGGTGCTGAATCTATTGTGTAGCTGAGTTTACCAATTAACACCAATACTGTATTGATAAAATTTGAAGGTTTTTATGGTGAAGTTATCAAATTATTGGTGTTGACTGCGAAGGAATATCATTTTTGTATGTCCTATGGTGTTCTGAGAGAAGAAAAAAATGGTTTAAACGTAACCCTAACCCCTTAGTCCTTTTGGCTAGGATCCATCCTCAATACTGCAAATCCTCCATTATTTCTTGAATTTGTTCAATGGAGGGGTGACCACTGCCTCAATCCTAAGAAATCCTCAAACTCACTTTTGAAGAAGTGTCGATGATAGTCAGAGGCAGTGCTAATGACATCAAGTTAAAACTTTAACATCTTTCAAAAGTCCATGGCTTGCCTCTTCATGGGTGACCTCGAAGAACGCATTCTTGCCTCGGCCCCATGTCGCCCTTGGATCTGGTGGAGATATATTGATGATGTTTTTTTCATCTGGACCAGCGATGAGGACAGTCTCTTGACCTTCACTAACCACATCAATTCCTTCCACAGAACCATCAAATTCACATCGGAGTTCTCGGCTCACCAAACCCACTTTCTGGATGTCACCATCCGCAAGCAAGGCAACTCACTAACCACTGACCTGTATTCCAAACCCACAGACACCCACCAGTACCTCCACTCCTCCAGCTGTCACCCCAGGCACTGCAAAACTGGCATAGCGTTTAGCCAGGCACTCAGACTCAGAAGAATTTGTTCTAATGATTCCGATTTCTCCCGCCATACACAGATACTGAGGAACAAATTGGTGGCCAGGGGTCACAGCTCTCGCCAAGTTCATCGTGCCATTGCCAGAGCTAAAGCTATCCCCAGAAATCCAGCTCTCATGGGAAAGGCCCCTGATGCCATGGCCAAACCCATGATTCCCTTGGTTACCACGTTTCACCCCAATCTCCCTCCCCTTCGCAAAATCACTAATGACAATCATCACATCCTCCATACTTCAGATCGCCTTGCCCGCGCCATCCCCAACGGCCCCACATTGGCTTACAGGCGTCCTCGAAATCTACGGGACTTGATTGTTCGAGCTGAAGTTCCATCCTTAGATGCATCCCCTCCCACCCAGCATGGTACTTTCAAATGTAGTTCCAGATGTGTTGTCTGCCAGATTCATATCCAGGAGTCTGACTCCTTTTCTGGCCTCTCTTCTGTCACTACCCACAGAACCATTGGTAACATCACCTGTAACACCCCTAATGTCATATATCTCATTTCTTGCAGGGTCTGTGGAGTGCAGTATGTAGGTGAAACTAAGAATACGCTCAAGAAGCGTTTCTATGCCCACCGGTCAACGGTCAACACCAAGAAACTAGACACCCCTGTTGGTCATCACTTCAACCTGCCTAACCACTCCATTTCTGATATGATTTTGCAGGGCATTGAATCTCTTGGGCATCGCAAGGACTCAGTTCGCCTCAGCAGAGAGAAAGTGTGGATGAATCGTCTTCGAACTATTCAACCACATGGTCTCAACATCCAACTTGGAAATGATTAATCGTTTTCTTCCTCCGTTGTCTTCTGTTACAGATAATCCACCTGGTCTTCTCTGTTTGTGTTTACCCATCTTCCCCCATCTTTCATCCCTTTCCACCTCCATACTGTCCCCCCCCCCCCCCCCCCCGCATAATCCCCCTTCACTCCCACACTCTTTTGTCCGTTAACACTCCCTGTGACCTTTGATCCTTCCCCTTTCTGGTCCCTCCCCTGTTCATACCAGACCCCTTGTGGTTTGCCATGTCCCTTTGTTTCTTTGTTCTCTCATCCACCCTCCCCTGCATCCTTCCAGTTTCCACACCTTTCCCACCTAATCCTCCTTTTGTGTTTCTTCTTTCATCCCTGCATGTTTGTGTGCACCCCCATGTTAATGTATGTACCTCTGTCATTTCTGTTTTAGCCTCTGAAGAAGAACTTGCTAAGTTCGCAACGTCAGGCCACATTAATTTTTAGATTTATATATTTCAGGTCCATCCAGTCAGTAAGCAGTTTGCAGCAGTCTTACTTTTTTTCATCTTTCAAAAGTATACAATCTCAATCCTTAAAAAAAGAAGCACTTATTGATTTTGGAGGATGCAGGAGGGGTAAGGGTTACCGTTACAGATAGTATGCTTTGCCCATGTTGTTTGTCATTATACTGATGACAAAGCCACCATTTAATATTTCCCCACCCAGAATGAAAACCCTGGCAAGTCTGCTGAGAGCATACTGTCCAAAATGTTGAGTTACCACTGGTTCTTCTTAGAACCACACAGACCTATATTAGAGATTTGCTTTCACTTGATGTCACCAAATATGATCACTTATTGCTGATGTCCACATTGCCAGTGCCAAAAAAAAAACCACCCCAGATATGTCTTTTAAAGTAAACAATAAATATTACTAACACTAAGAAGCTTAATTTCTTCTCCTGTTGGAATAGCTCTTAAAGGCCTCAATGTTCTCTTTTTTGTCTTATCACCCAAAACTCAAGTTTTGTGTCATCTGACTCTTTTTTTTAATATGTTGATCCATGCAACTAATCTGACTTGCATCTTGAATTGATACTTTGAACAGAGACAAGCATGAAGACGCCAATCATTCACTAGATGGCGGGGCCTGTATACCCAACAACAAGTCTGTCGTTATGGAGGTCACGTGACCCACGTGGTTCCCTCTGGCTTGATGCTAACCTGGAGATGACGTGCCATCCGCAGCAGGCAATGTGTTCAGTAATTGCAGTGTAGAGGTGTGAAGGTAATAAGAAAATATACGAAGACCGGACATCAGAGAACCACAGCTACGCATTATCTGTCCTCATCCAATGTCTATTCTTAATCATTCACTCAAGATCTTTAATACTTGATCGCTGCTTTGCAGTAATTCTTGGCAAGTCTTTACACCAAATGTATCAGAAACAATAGTTCCGAAAATATATGTATCAATTTGTTTGGTGCGTACAAAGATAAGCATCTAGGTGAAATGTACTCTGACTGTGAAGGAAATTTAAAGATGGTTTTTATTGATCCTATGGATGGGAGGGGGTTAGTTTGGGATCATTTGTCAAAATGCACAAAGTCTTTTTCCAAGAGACATTATTTTACCTGTTGTACAAATTGCATAAACATGCATATCTTTAATATTGGTTGGACTTCGGATCGTGAGTTTTACGCTACCAGAATTTAGCCATTTTATCTTCAGAAAATTTGCTTTAAAAATCTCATCAATTTGCGATGAAAATTTTTTTTTCTGTGAGCTAAATCTCAATCTATATAATTTCTACTATTCTGTGTATGGTTTATAAGAGGCAGAAAAGACTGGTACCTCAGACTTTGTTGCCCTTATCAACTGTGTTGTGAATGTAGGGAACCTGATTTAAGAGAAGCTCATTCATGTCTAAGGTAGCATTTTCTTGGTAAAATACCATCTCTATTATCATTCACAAAAGCCTTCAAATTTCACATGGAGGTTTAAAGGATATTGTTGGATTTACGGAAGTTAAGGCCAGTCACTATTACTTTTCATGGTGTTTGATGCCAATGGAAAGTTAATGGTCACTTGTGTACAAAAAAACTTGCCGTTTGCATTCTTGCACAGCGGTAGAATTTCTGAAGATTGAGGATGGTTTCTAGCAAAATTATGTGCAAAATGCTGTGAAAATAAGGATTAATGACAAAAAAAAATTTAAAAAATAAAAATCTACAAGTGTCATGAAAAGTGTTTTGGATCTTAAAAAAAAATTATAAAAAAAAGTGGAACCCTCCAATTAGCTGTAAGATTGTCGTTTTGACTTTAAAGTGTCTGGTATAAATGTGGTATGAATTGGCACAATTGGAATTGACATTTATTAAAATGGAGGGAAAAAATGTATATCACAAGCAGGGTATGTATGTAGAGAATTGCAAATTTGATCCATTGTGGTCAGCATTTAAAATATATTCAGTGCCTTCTTGAGTTATTATGCAGGGCTGGCATTAGTTGCAAGATCACCTTGGGGGGATTCCCCAACCCCACAAAAGGGAGGATTCCGCTATCAATGGAACAGGCAATTTGGCTGTTCTATCAAACCAAGTTATAAACATAGCCAACAAATAAAGTGGAAATGTGTACTGTTTTGGTCTAGTTTCCTGAAGTTTCCTGAAGTTATCTTGACCTAACTAACAGAAAATATAACTTCAGGGCCTTCACAACTATTCAGACAGGCGTTGAATAATCAGGGACAAATCCTACTTGGGTTTTCCAGAAGGCTGGACAGTCAATCAGTGGTGACCTCTTGAACCAAGAGAGGCTTACTAAAGTCCCAAGTGATCCTTCACACCAAGATTCTGTGCAGCGCACATTTACCCGCCTGTACTGTGTGCAATTGTACATGTTATATTTATTCAAATAGATTAATGGAAAAGAAACACTTAATTATTCCAAGTCTCTTATTGGCAGCTTCAGGACAAATTCTGTCATAAAGAGCTATAGGAATGTATTTTAATGCACACAATTCTGTAGCCTGATTGGTTACCATAATTGAGGTATTGGCTGTCACAGCACCGAGTGCAGCCATCTTGATCTAGTATCCTGAAGACTGAACTTCTGCAATTTTCCCAACATTGATTGGCACCAACTTATTATTTATAAATTCCATTTTAGGCTTGAATTTTATATTAAGAAAACATGGTTGTAATCTGAGAAAGATGTGGTCTGACTGTGCCATTCATTTAGAATGGCAAAAAGCCTTTTAATATTACGAAACTATTGAGTAGAACAATTTATCTTGTCTTGGAATGATTGGAGCAAGGTATTTAGTCAGAAGAAAGGTGCACTTGAACAAAAGTTTCTCAAAAAAAATTAAAAATAAGAATGGACATTGGATTGGATCGGTTAAAAAGTTAAGAGCTAGCTGTCTTGTCGTTAAAGCGTTGTGTATTGTTGGTATAATGAAAACCATACTTAAAGCGGGTTTGTACTAAATTAAAAATTATAGGCATTTTTTAACTGGTGGCAGACATGCATATTTAATGTAAGTCACTATGTATACATAGTGTGTAAGGCCGGTTTCTCTCTCCCTCCACAGTCTGGTATTGCTCTTTCTTTTATCTTTGGTCTTTAATTATCTTGAGGTAGTGTCAAATAAAATGGAATGTGGATGAGTGTTCATGGTAGGGGTTCCAGATGCAGTTCAATAAAACACTGCAAGTGTCAGTGTGGTGGGCTGATGGTCTAATGGTTTTTTTTTTTTACCATGCAGTGTAGTTTGGTTGGTATAGTGTATAGATGAAGTTCATCTCAGTCCATGTCATTGATCACTAGTCACATTGAGCAGTGTAGTGAATCGGGGCTCCAATAAGAGAAATCCTCTGGAGTGAGCCACCTAGTGATATCGCTGGTCCTGTGATTAACCTGGTGGCAAGTCTAGTGGTCTTTGTGAGTTTAGCCTCACACAGTGCACTGATCTTACCATGGGCGTACCGTGAAGCATTTAGAGTCCCACACCCAGTTTGTAGCAACTGAAGCAGCTCTTGTGGAGAAAAGTATTCATTAAAATGTATTTACACTAAGTAATGCTTACTTTGTCAATAAGGTTTTATTTTCATCATGCAAACCCCAAATGGAAACTGACTAGGTGCAATTATTAGAATTAATAAAGTTGAATAAAGAAATTGACTTGTACGGGGTTTGAATCTACGACCTCCAGAATACCATACCGGTACTCTACCCACTGAGCCATCCAGCTGGCCATTCCCAATTTGTCAATATCTTTGTTCAAGGGCACTTTATTTGCATGAATTTTATACAGTGATCTCAGAAAATTGTTTGCCTTCAGTCAAGAACATTTTGTTGTCTCCTCACTTTTTCCACCAGGGTACTTATGCAAGAAGTCACTAACTTCAGCCTTATGGATTTTTATTTGGTTTAAAAACATCCAACAAAAAAAATCCACTTAAGCACATATATTGCAGTGGCCAAATATACTGACATTATATGGTTAGTATGAATGTTGCCATAACCTTGACGCTGTATTCAATTCATAAACAACCTGGAAAAAAACCTTATCTGAAAGTCTCTTAGTAAACCCCTCATGCTAACCACACAATTTTCTGTTAACGGAAACCTTTGTCCATTTAAAGGAGAATGTAAGCAGTAGAACGTAGCAAAGAGCATACTTAGTTCAGAAGCAGAATGTGTTTAAAACATGCTTGAAGTATAAACATGCCTTCAAACAACAATTGGTATTGGAAAGTTAATAATCCAAGGCTGTGTATGTATTTATTCCTCGGAGAGAGTTGTATCTTGTGTTTATTGGCATGTCTTAACTCGGCAGATAATCAACAATGTTTTACTAACTATGGTGGGAAAGAGACTCCATGGCCAGTTTTAAAGGAGAGCAGACCATTCTGCTTCTCTCAATCTTTTCTCCCTCTTGTTTTTTTAAAACAATTTGTGAATGTGTGGGAGGAAAAATGAATAAGTAAATGTGATATTCTGTACAAATTGTAAAATTTTATACTCAGAGGGAACTGTTGGCTCGTCACTGAATCCTATCACGACGTATTATTGCAGTTTGCTGTGTAAATAGTATTGTATTTTTTTTCTCCTCCTTGATTGGAGGAATTTAGAAGTGGAGGAATTAATAAAATATACTAAATATGAGAATTTGCATACTGGGTGACACACTGAGATAAACTGTCTCTCATTGTTTCTGTTCGTTTACTGTTATAATTTCTGCTCCTCCTGGATGGGATGCTAGTCCATCGCAAGTTACTTCCCAGCTAATACCAGTACCCATTTATACTCCTGTGTAGTCTAGGGGTTGGACGTTGTTATGGTTTGATACGCCATAACCCCCGCCGCGAGAGGGTGCTATCAAGACAACAAATTTCACCCACGAACCCGTCGGAACAACGTCTAGGACAATTCCTATTGGTTGTGTAATGCGCGCGCACCTATTTGGCCTAATATATGCAATGCGCAATTAAAAAATTCATAGTAGTTCCGAAGCAAACTCTCAAATTTCTTCCAGTACTGTAAAAGACACAAGACTTTTGTTCAACTTCACTGGTCAGCTCTTTTGTTGTGTGTAGTATGTGTGGGACTGAAAATTTACCGAAATTGCCTGCAAAAGTAGCACATGCGCACCAGTTTCCCCCATTTTTCGGGGGGAGATTTTAGGAATTGGCCCAGACGTTGCTACTGACAAGTTCGTGGGCGATACAAGTTGGTCATGATAACGCCCTCTTGCAGCGGCGGGTTATCGCGATGGCGGGTTATAGCGTATCAAACCATAACAAGGTCTAGCCCCTAGACTAACTCCTGGGTAAAGAGGCAAGTGGGGGCGAAGTAGCTTGCCCAAGGCTGCAACATATGACCAGCAGCTGGATTTGAACCCCTGACCCTCTGATCACGAGTCATGAACCCTAACCACTTGGCCCCACTCCCCAGGAAAGAATACAGTGGGGTTGCAGGAGTTTGGAGTCCGAAACAAGATTTGCAATTTTGGGTTACATTCCAGAAAAAAAGAAATTCAGATAAAATTCACAATGAACTTTGCCCATTGTAAGACATTGTATGGGATCCTGATTGTCCCAACATGCTATACATGCCTGAACCACACTAAAACAGAAAACTGTACTCATATTTTGATACATTTATTGTTTTAATTGCGCCCTTTTATTACTACATAAGCATCACAAGGTTTCTGTCTCTAATTTTTTTACAACAATTGGCACAACAGCTTAATTGCACAAACAGCACACAAACCAGCATTCTACATAGAGATTTTTGCACAGCAGTTTCAAATCTAACATTGAATGAGATTTTTTTGGAAAGAAGTCTAGACTTTGTATTTCTAAATAGCCACCAAATAGCATTACAACAAACTCTAACTTAGCTAAACATATATAACAAACTACTGATATGACAAACTACTAGGCAAGTCTGATACTGAAGTTCCAATAGTGATTGAATTTTCTCCTAGAACTATTTATTTCTTTTCAAAATGGCAAAAGTAGGCATAAAATTGATTATAAAGATAAAGATAGTGTCATGTAATCTTGAACTCTGGAACAAGAAAGGTTTCCAAGACATTCAAAGCATTACTAAAAACGAAAACTAATTAGCAACGTATCAATTATTCAATGTTAAAAAAAAATCACATGAATTTGTTTCAGACACATTGCTATATAAAAATGTGCGTAGCAATTAATATGAATGTGATGAATCTGCCAACCACATTGAATTGACATAGGAGTTGCAGAAGACATAAGCCATTTTTTTACTATTAAAATTTTTAAAAAATGATACATTTCATGCATCATGTACTCCATGATTTCTCAGGTTTCTATGGAGGGGCAACAAAACTGATTAAAATTTGAGCAGAAAAATTACACTTTTAAAAGGCTTTACAATAGAATATTCGCAACTTGCAAGTTTAAAGAAAATGGTTCAGCCATTGCATGTTTAAAGAGTTTCCACTAAGTACATGTACATGTATAGCACATATTTAGTGTGTCAATAAACATTTCACATAAATTCATCTTTTAAGAAAGGAAATCTAGAACAAGTAAAACCACCAACATTTGCAACAATTGCACAGAAACGACCAATACTGCACCAGACAAAGGAGGAATGTTTAAGACACCACTTGCGTTAAAACTAAATAATGCCAACACCAATAAAATGACTGACCATCTTTAACTGAAAATTCTTCCGTCCTAACTCAAGAGCTAGTTTGACTTAACATCAACACATTTCTTCAACTGAGGACACATGACCAAAATGTACACCCAAGAAATTTAGCCTGTTCATTCATTCTTAAATCTATACTTAATCGCTTAAAACTCAAAAGCCAATATGGACATGTACAGTACTTTTTAAACCCCATATAGTGTTTGTAGCACATTTGAAGTGACTAAATGTATTCAGCAATTATGATGATGATGATTATTATTACATTTTGCGGGAAGACAGCTCTAGCCTAGGACAGTACCCACAGCCAATTACATACAGATATCAATATCAATCTTTTCATGGTTATACATCATTTGTTTACGATACATCATTTACTATAACACTTGGTAAATATTCTTGTTCTAGATTATATTGATACAGCAGTGTAGCCACCCCACAATTAACATTATTAAACTATCCACTCTTTTAGAGAAGGGTCACTTAGCCTTCAACCATTTGACTGACCTCCCTCAAAACAAAGTCTTTTATTTCCACTTGTCAAAGTCATTTTTACGACCTGTCACACTTAGACCCCAGCAACAAGCTGTTCCTACTGATAACTTTTAATCACTAGTATGCACAATGCTTATTATGATCTAAAAAGAAAAACAAAATTCTAATCCCAGTATTGAAAAGTTTAAACAAAGAAATTGACTGGGGGAGCGGGGCTTGAAGCTGCGACCTCCGGATTACCGTTCCGGTGCTCTACCAACTGAGCTATCCAGCCCTATGTTGGTGGTTCCCCAATTAGTCAATATCTTTGTTCAAGGGGCGCTAGTCAGTAGCAACAAACATTTAGTCCCAGTATTGTTAGACTTAATTCCAAACACATTGGCAATGTCATACGGCAGTTGTTCCTCATATACATAAATTCAGGTACAAGTACACTGCCATATTAATATCCACACAATGCTGTTCATATCACAATGCTAGAATCGTTATTTTCTCCCCCCCCCCAACTGCAAGAAAGTTGTATTAAAATTCAGCTTTATCATCATACACAAATAAAGGCTTGAATATCACTGTGTCCATAGTATCCATCTGTATAATGTCCCTACAAATATTTCGAACTAGAAAAAGTAAAAATTAGTGTATCGGCTCGAAGCAGGAACTCTAAATGATGCCGTTAGTCCTACTCATAATAACCAAAGGAAATACACACTGTGCACCCGTTGGTTCATGCTTGCTTAAGGCACAGACAGCATATGGCCACAGTTCATTTTGAGGTACACAAACCAAAGCATTGTGTGAAAAGAACATGAGTTCACAGCATGAATCCAGCTGATGTGTACCCTGTGACCAACATTTTACTTCAAGTTACCTGAGGTTGCAGTTAGGCATTTAAGTTTTAAATGAATGCGGGTTTCTTAAAAAGACACATTGTTTTTGTGCTTTTGATCTTTGTAGTTTAAAACTTATTATTTTAGCTTTCACATTATGAATGGTTTCATAACAATATCTTTATGATGAACACATACATCCTTTTCAAAGTCACACTGTTTCTTGACAACAAGTTTTCACAACTTCTTAAGAAAAAAAAAAATCAAAATTTTGTTGATAATCACAATTACTTTGTTCAATATCTTCAACACCAATCTCCTGGTTTAGTTCATCATTTCATCTGATGATAAAATTCTGTCAAATTTTTTTTATTGTAAACTATATCTTCAATATAGAGGCTCGCCTGCACTGGTAACCCATAAGAGACAAAACAGCCTCCTGAAGCAGGCTACCAGTTAATACTGTTGGACAGGAGTCAAGCCAACCTCTTAATATCAAAAAACACTGTAGCTGTGTTTTCTTGTACCAAACAGACACCTCATCATATAAATGATAACAGTTTGAAATGTAAACATAACTCGTTAAAAAGTGGCATACTTTCTCTTGATGACCCAAAGCAAGAGTAACTACAGATCAAGGCAAAGTAAACTACAGAAAGTTGTACACAGAACTCTGAAGTGAGTTTCTCACAGACTATTGCCCACAAAGGGAATCTATGCCTTAATGAACAAGGTTTATGTGCTAAAATTCTATGAACTGAATGACTAACGATTGTCTCTCCTAGACATAAGAATTTGATTGTCTTGCTTTCTGTTAATTGTTCGGCACTCACGCCTGAACAGATCGCTATAGAAAACACATCCATGTAAATTTACAAATATCACGTTTTAAAATACTTTAGAGCTTGCTGCCTATAACATTGACTAAACAGCAGTTGGCATGTTTTGTTGAACACCATTTCAAAAATACCATACAGTTCATTTTCTAAGTTGTCCAATCCAGACAATGTTCCCTCACCAATTCATGCAAGTACGTGCTCAATGTCTTGCACTCACTGACGCTGTCTCTCAACTTTACTCCACGAGTTTCAAAGCCTTTGCCATTGCGTCGGTTACCTTGACGATGAAATACTAGAAATAGAATGAGAAATGAAATTGGTAAAATACAATTCAGTCATGGTTAAAGGGAATATACATCATTTGCTTTTGCTGTAATTTTCAGAAATGGATGGAATTGGGGGGTTGGAAATATATAGCAAATATAAAAAAGTCAGTGTAACTATTAGTTACACTGACTTTTTTGAGGTTTTGGGTTCGAAAATGCTATAAAAACCAAGAAAAACAATCATTTTCCTGTAGTCTGGTTCCCTGACTCCATTTAAGAAGAAACATACATTTGGGAATTGTAAGGTCAGGGAACCAGTTTAGCTGGCTTGTACCCGTTCATAGGTGTGTAATCAATTGCAAACAAGTGCGATGGCCAATGGGGGCCAGTATTTGGAAAAAAAAACATTTTTTTCCGACGCTGGTTGGCCGACCAGCATTGGAAATTGATACAAAAATACGACTTTTCTTGAAAATGACAGTATAACAGGTGCCATGATTTTACAGGATGCTTTACACTGTCATTCACTAACAGTCCAGCAACGTATTTCAAAATGATTTGGTAATTTTATTTTTTGATGTTTGCAAATGTTGTATTTTCCCTTTAAGAGTTTAAATTATGACTACTTGAAAACAGAAAAGTCAAACCCTTGCATTCCTGAACAAAATGGTAATACCCTAACGAGTTTAACAAAAAGCAAGTTTTGGCATTTTCAGAAAACCTCTGAAAAGTGACGCACAAAGGTGAATTTTAATGAGCTTTGAAATGGTCGGCATAAATAAAAATGTAACTTAGAATATGCTAGCCGTAAGCGCGTTTCACACCCTGAACTACATGTATTTACTAACGCAATATTTATTATATATTCCCAACACTGCATCACTAATTTATGAAAATACTTTTGTCTGCTGTGCTCACTACTGTGTGTGCTTTTCAGCACCATGAAATTTGGCCCACTGCCCAGACCAGCCATAGCCTTCAATCAAGGCGCGCGTGTCTACCCGGATGCGTGGCGCCCCAGATTCTGGCACGAAAAAAGACCAGTGCGAGTGGCGAGTGATATGAATCATGCATGTATGCGGATATGAACCAATCACCACGAACAAGCCATTTTTCAGGTGATGCCATGCTCGCACGCACCCTGCCTGTTAGTCCCTACATCACCCCAAACCGCTCAAGCACTGTATGGCTTTATGGAATTTTATCAAAGAGGAATACAATGTAATACAGTGTTAAACAAGACTAATTGGAACTGTCCTCTTAAGCTTATGTTAAATTAAAAAACTTATGTTTCCATCCCTTCTGACTGATTGCTTTTTACTGTAGAACATGATACAAACCTCAGCCTCTTTCCTATCCGAGACATGAACTATCTTCCCATGGCCTGACTTGCCCTTCAGTAACCCCAGACCAAATCCTTTCTTCTTGCTCTTTTCCGGATCCTCCTAAAACAAAACAAAAAATAACAGTAACAAAAAAGGCACAAGTCCACTCAGTTTTAACTTTGAGAAAGATTCTACAATGGCTGAAGTACCAGTCCATCAAACTTTTGCAATTAAAAAATTAATCGCAACAGTTACAACACTGAAGATATTGTAATCTTTTTTCTTTTCTTTAAATACAAATTTGAAGTTTCACAGTGTACGTAACTCAGACGTTACACTTATCTATAGCTAGTTGGCCCATTATTGAAAGTCTTTAGAAATTTCAAGCAAAAGCAATTGAGAACTAGCCACAGGCACTCTACTTGACATTTGGAATGGTAAATCTGTTTTTGCTATTAAGCAAAACTTTGCCATTCACAAGCTTTTTGCCATCAAGAAAATGTGTTCCTGTCTGGTGGGCTGATACAATTCAACCGTTTGTTTTAGGGTTTTAGTGTCTCACTTCTCAAAGCTTGTAAACAGTAGAAATGGCTAATTACAATCCCTTGTTAAGAAAAACAGTTGTACATACCTCATAACATTTTAGCTTATAACTAGTTTTCTTCTGAGGCAAATAAGCCTTACTTCTGATGTACGGTGATGCAGTAGTACTATAAATTTGCTTTTATAATTAGTGAAAGATCAAAGTGTAAAATTCAGAAACTCCATGGTTCTTTGACCTTTTCATGGCGCCATTGCAATTTACATACATGTAAAACCAAATTACAGTTTAACCAGCCAATTTCAACCGCTTGCAAATGGGTAACTCCTGAGAGTTTCCCATATTAGAGACAAGTTTTGAATTGTGTTTTCAAAGTTAGAATGAACCTTGGGCATGATTTGTAGTCCTTTCTCCGTCAGTGCTGGAGGGTCCTTTAGGTCCTTGTAAGGATACTGGAACTCTACATTCCAATGGCCTAAGACTTCACCCTTGCTGGTCAGTATCAGTCGCCTGCAGGGAGAAAATGTATGTAAAGGTCAATAAAGATGAGTGGGTCATGGAGGTAGGAATCTAGGTGCTGTGGCATTATTACATGACTTTTAACCCTAGCGAGCTCAAGGATGATTAACCCTAACCCGCTAGTAGTTCCCCAGGACTACCCTTCTAAATCCAACAGAGTCCAACGGTTACTCATATGAGTTTCCTGCTCAATCCAACACCACCCAGCTTGCCAAGTTGTTGGGTACCTGAACATATAAAATGACTGGCATGCTCATCCAACAGATTCCAACTGTGCCTTATTTTTCAGGTGTCTGCTGGATCCAACAGAGTTCAACTTGGCACATTTACCAGTACCCAACAGAATCTGACTCTGAATGTTTTCAGTTGCCTGCTGAATCCAACAGATTTTAACAGGAATATATACAAGGGGTTTACTGCTCAATCCAAAAGCTTCCAACGGGTTATGTCAAATAGTTGGATCCTGTTGCAGGGTTAGGGTTAAATCCACCCAATCATGACCCAATTTCATGGCTCTGCATACCGACAGAGGGAAAAAGCCGCTTACTGTAGCAGAAAATTCTTTGCTAATGGGTAGCATATTTCACGGGTTAGCATATTTCATGGATTAGCAAGGAATTCTGGCTCGTGCACATGCGCACATCGCTTAACTGAGGATTCTGTGCTTACTTGGTTAGCACAGAATTTTTCCGCTAGCACTGTATGCACAGAATGGTAACAGTAAGCGTGGAATTCTGCCGTTAGTAGAGCCATGAAATGGGGCCGTAGAGTCACTGGGCCAATGTAATCAGCCTTTTATCTATCATTGTAAAACAAATCTTAAGTAAGAACGTATGCAAGAAATGAAGATTTCTTTATGTGTGACTTTCCCCCATTCACTTCATTTTCTTGCATCCTCTGTTACTTGTAACCTTATTTGTGGTTTAACTTCTGATTTGACTTATGATTGATCTGTGATTGGCTTGTGATTGACCTGTGATTGGCTTGTGATCAATCTGCAATTGACTTGTGACTGGCATGTGACTGACTTGTGATCGATCTGTGATTGACCCTGTGACTGGCACGTAATTGATTTTTGACTGACCTGTAAATGACCTGTGGCTGATGTGTGATTTACCTGGGAATGAATTGTGGTTAATTTGTGACTGATTTTTTTGTTAAATGTATCTAGGATCTTTCCCTTATTGTGCATTTTTGTTTAAAGTAACAAATTGCTCAAAATCTTATGTTTTGTGAACAACAACTAACATGTAGTTTTAGCTCAGAGGTTACTCAAAATTTTAAGAAAAAAAAAGAAAACATACGCACAATGTTTGGGGTCTCATACCTGGATTGCATTGCAAACGCTCTTAAAAAAACAAAATGCAGGCAAAGTGTTTTTAAAACCACCTTCAATAGTTGTTTTCTCCCTACCAATACAATTTCAGTTGCAATAATATCACATGATATTTCCCGTTCTTCACATTGAGCAAGGGTTTTCTCATTAAATCCATAGGCCCCTTACTACGTAAATACCAATATTCCTACCAGCATTGAACTCGTTACTGATTTTTGACCGAGTTGTAGTGACTCAATTACATCTCTGCAAATACTCACTGATCAGTGGCAACCAGATAATGCTTCTTGTCTGCAGTCAGTTGCATATGTGCTACATAGTCCTCTGTCTGGGAGTATCTGCCCTTATCAATCTGATGGAAGAGATTCAAGCCTTCTGCCTCGTGTTTCTCATAGGGACGGACTATGCCATCTAGGTGAAGGTAACGTGGGTGACGCAGCCTGGATACATCCTCACTCATGTCAGTTACCCTGGTATGGAAGGCAAATAAATCAAAACTAAAAAAAAAAACCACTTGAATATCTGCAGATCAATAGGTGATAGGGATTACTTAATTTGGACTGCCAGTGATAGAACCCCACATTTTGTTGACACATTTCAAGCCCATTCCTGTGGTAGCACCAGAAACAAGTACATGTCCAAGCTATCTTAAATATGAGGTAAGAGTGAACGAGTGGCAAGTTTCAAACAATTTAACCCATCAATTCGTGTACTTCCCCAATTTATTATAATAATAATAAATTTGGGGCTAACTATCCTTACACGCAGCTGAGAAGCTGAATTGCGAAGGACGTAGCCATAACGTGGTTGAGCCGAAGGCATCTAAAGGGGCCTTAGGCCAGCTGCCACCATACGACCCATGTCTGACCACGGAGCACAGCCAGAGACCAAAAAAGTTGAGTTTTGTGGAGGGAGGAAAACCAGAGAGCATGGGGAAAAAACCTTGTGGCGCAGGAGAGAATCACCCACCTGACCGGTGGATTAGCCTATATCACTAAGATAAAGTGTTGAATAGATAAGCCTCATCATGGAATATTGACAATGGGAGCTTGTATGCATCCACCATTTCCAACTACCGGCAGTCCCTAAAAGATCCTTAATTGTGCATGATTCAAACAAAATTTAATTTCTACATGTCTCAATTATCATTCCTTCTGCCGATGTATGTACCAAGTAATGAACAAAAAATAAAAACAGACTTTAGCCACGTGGATTAGTATTTGGCCAAGCATGTTTGTTCAGTGTTTTTTCACCAGAATTTGAAAAAAAATAATGAAATGTTTTTACAATTAAAATAAAAAAGGGAAAGAATACATGACTTTTTACCAAAGTAACATTTGTTTGCAGACTGTTAATTATGAAAAAGAAAATTTACATTGTATCCTCAAGAAGCAATAAAAATGTATACAAAAAAAAAATACCAAAAATGTTGAGCTGCCTGACTAAGAAGAGACAATATCTCAGCACAGAACACACTTTATTGTAAAAAAAAACGCTTGCCACAAATGGAGAGGAATTCTTTGATTCAGACCTGCGAATGCCTTCAAAGGTGCTGCTAGCAAAGTCAATGACACCTCCTGTGGGTTTGGCTACCACGCCTGCCAAACCTTTGCCGACGCCCTTGAAGAACCCCTTGGCACCCTCCTTCTTAGCCCCCTGGAAGGGGTTCTTGACCACGCCCGTCACGCCATCCACAAAACCCTGAAGGAAAAGTTATAAAAAGACAGAGATGGTAACTTAACCCTAAAGTCCTAAGGGCTCTTTCGGGGTCAAGTATCGAAAACCACAGAATACTACATGTGTTGTGCACACTTGTATGGAAAAAAATGCATACTACAGATTACTACTCAGTAGTATTTTGTAGCTTTAGGTGCGCTTTTCGTACTTCTACAACAATGCTGTGTACATGTTTGCTTAAACCAGTTGAATAAAACTCAAGCTTCTCGTACTTAAGAATAATTGCTAGCAGATATTTTTTTATATTTTTTTCCCATTAAATGTACAGTAGGATGAACATTTTGTTTAATAATTAGTATGCAATAATCTTGCGGGTCTAAACTCCACAATGCATTAAAAGTCACTGTTAGCTTTTTGAATGGCTCCTGCACCATCTGACAAGTAGCCACATGTTATGTGGCACTGGTTCTTACCATGACTAGTCCCTTGCCACCCCTAGCTAATCCCTCTTGGAATGTAGCCGGTTTCTGGTTGATAGCCTGTTGTCTCTTTCTCTTATACTCCTCATCCATGGTCAGTGCTGCTAGGCCTTTGCCTAGAGTCCCTGTGATACGAGACACTGCACCGGCTGCACCACCCACTGCATGACCAAACAGGCTGCGCATACCCAGGGCCACACCCTCAGCAAACTCCTCAGGCCCTTGAACGATACCCTGCAGTCAATCACAACATTGCCTATCATCAAATTTCACTTACTGAACTACATGCGCTATTCCAAATGTTATTTGATAATGTCGCAAGGTGGCACTGATCACATGGTGCAAAATACTTTGTGTTCCCCTTACTTTCTACTTTTATCATAACACTATCATACTATAGAGTCATCTTCTTCTTAACTTAATTGGCCCTTTTCCTATTTTCAGCAACAGCGACACAAATTACCAACAAAAATATCAGCAACATGTTCCCCTGCAAGTATTTTATCATGTACAGTCCAAAGTAGCACTGTAATGTGCATTTTTTACAAATCAATATCAAAGCCAATACAATAGGCTTGTATCTGTTGTTTATCTGACAAAACTAACAAATTGATGTACACCTGCATAAAGCCATGAATGTAAATCTCACATGTAACACTCTTTAACCATTTCACGTCAGATGACATGTATGCATGCAAAGGTTTTGCAGTATTCGGAACGGATGATGGATAAACATGCAACTAGCGAGGCGGGAAATATCTGTCAGCGACCCGCTTGCAGCGAGCGAGGCTGGAAATATCAGGGTGTGCTACCCGCAGATGATGGCCTGAACCCATCTGGCATCGAGGTTCGTGAAAAACAATTCGCACGTGGGTCCAGTCAATGTCAACATAATCCCAGCGCGAACTGGTTAACCTAATATGAATTGACTGAAGTAACTGTTTACAAGCCGACACTTTACCTGGTAAGGTTCATAGAAGAAATCCACCACGCCAGTCTGTACACCACGCACAAAGCCAAATGGGTTACCAATGACATCTAAGCCGAGTACCAGTACATACAGCTGTTTGATGGCTTGATTGGTGTAGTGGCCGACTATCTCTGATGTCAGCTGCTGCTGGCTGTAGAACTGGTGCTCACGCTCAAAGAAACCCAGTCTACAGGTAGAAATTATTATAATTGAGATTATTGTGTGAAGATTTTGTGATTTGCAGTCATTTTCTATTGATTAAGGGCACTACCAATGTCTCCAAAAAAGAGATAGGTAGGAGCAGTGGATTCAAATCTAGGAAATAATGATGACATAAATTGTTTGACTAAAACTGTGCAATCATGAATCAGACAAATTCAAGTCACAATGAAATCAAAAGTCAATTTACAAGTCCAGTCAGTGTAACAAACAATTTCAAAAGAGTTGCGTTTATCACAGTTCATTTGGATAGCTTTTGAGTCGACTTGGGACAGGATGAATTGTGATTGACTCAACTACACACCATCACTAGAACAAGAAATTCTGCTGAATATTTTCCCTAACACTTTTAGAAACCTCACTGGTTAAACACTTTCAATCCCACTGGATGCAAAATTTCATATTATACGGACAAGATTGCCAGCAAAAGTCAATCTTACTTGAAAACGACATCGTCCACATTTGTGAGTGTGACGCCCACACTCTGCAGGATAAGCCGTATAGCATTCTGCTGGACTGAAGCCTTCTTGGTGACTGCTGATAAATCGTTTTCACCGCCGGTGTCCGATAGAGAGAAGCTGACATGAGTCTGTCAGACAAAAATGAAAATGAAGAAGAATTACGCAAGGGGACAATGACTAAGCTAGGAGCAATTACCATAATTGTAAAATTGAAAGAAATTGACTGGAGCGGAGTTTGAACCTGCAACCTCTGGCATTCTACCAACCAGTGCTCTACTATCCAGCCCTGTGTTGGCGGTTGCCCAGTTTGTCAATGTCCGCCATTTGTCAACTTCACCATACAACTTACTTGAAGTCACTTTCCAATAACTCAAGCTATATCTTCACAATGTATGATGTTATTCTTGGTATTCATACATACCTTGAGGGGTGAGAGATGGAAGTTATCAAAGAAGTTGACGCTTCCAGCTAAGGCAACCTTAACAGCCTCTTCATCCAAGTAGGTGGTGGTACACACCTGCAAGTCTTCTTCCATCCACTTCAACTACATGGCAAAAAAGGATAAACAAGAAATAAGGTTCCATACAACTCCATCTACCTTATTTCGGTAAAACAAACTCGAAAATTAATCCAGTTTTAGGGATAACATCTAACAGATTCCAATACAGCAGTCAATACACATCATTCGGTTATGTAGAGTAGGCTTGAATATAGACTAGGCTATATATATATAGAATAGGCTTGAATGACTCCAACAGTTTCAAAATTGATTCTGATTATATCAGGAGTCATGATTCAATTCAAAATCAATTTCGAGTTTATCCATCAAATAAAAATTGACGGAACAACCTCAGTAATATTACTAATGAACTATACTGCTAAATCACAATGCAATGTCGTTAGAAGGTTCAGTCCCTCTCTCAAAAATGATCATTTAATGCATAAATTTCGTTTTGTAGTACTTTGAATCTATTCTTTGGGAAATGGAGTCAAATCCTAAAAAAAAGTGGAATCAGTAGTCCGATTCCAGGTATGGAATCGATTGTCATTGATTCTGAGCTGGAGTCGCCCAAGCCTACTACAGAGCTGACAAACAATCACATCACAGTAAAAAGAAACAGAAAAAAGTCGAAACTTATGCACTACGTTATGAAGGGCAGTCCCAACTAGAGTCAGATCCTATAATGTTGTTCCAATAATACTACCCCCCCCCCCTGCATAATTTGTAAGGCCCGGCTAAATCTAACAATACCCATCAATTTCAACAGAGGATGTGTTGTTTACAGGTTAGATCAACAAAATACAAAAGAATATATTTGCTGTTGGATTTTGTTGGATATAAGCAGCGCTTGCGTTATTAATTTACTTGACAAATGACTTCAGTTAAGATTGTCTCAACAGTAAATGCTGGGTAAAAAAACCCAAAGAAATTAAATTTAACCAAAGATGATTGTGGATAGCATGTTAGAGTTTGCAGTATTTTCTGGTGCAAATTACTCCTGCTTCAAGAAGTAATGGTTTCTCTTTATCTCTCTCACCACCTGGAAAACTCATGTCAAATGTTAACATCAAACAAAAACATCTACAAAAAAATGTGATGTTGAGTGCGATTCTTCACTGGTACATGTACATGCCCAACGAAGAGCCACTTTATACTTATAAAGTCTCATGGACAAAACCCAGTAAATAATGTTTCTCTTTAGAATTTCCTGCAACCAATATCTTCAATAGTTTTTCGTAATGTTGTAAAAAACAAAAACAAATGCTTAGCTGTAAAAGAAATTTGCAACGATGTAACTTGTCTTTCCCTGATCTTCAAGCTGGGAATACCACTGTTTAAATGTGGATGATCTCAGTATAATGTAGACGGCAAGCATAGCACAGCCATGTTTAAGTAATGAAAACATGATTTGTCATCTCAGTGTGAAGGGTTTTTTTTAGGATTATTTACTATTGAACTTTTGTTTTTTCAATGTTGGCAAAAACCCAGGAATGAAGTTTAATTTTAGCCAATTGATATCAACATGCAAGTTTTAGGCAATGTGGAATGTTGACAGAACTCTTGAATTAAGAATTAAACATTAAATTAAAATAATTTAAAACCAAAAGATGAGCTCTTATTTTGTACTGTATCTGTATCTCAAATGTTAAAATACACCATACTGATAATTATAAAACAACACTGCTAATAATTAACATATAGAGCAGCATACACTCTCACAAATATTACCATTGAAAAAAAAAGAGTAAACAACTCATGAAGAATCATAAAATAACAATTATTTCAAAAAATCAAAAAAAAATCACAAATCTTGAGTAGCAGATGAAAAAAATAAAAGCAATAAAAACAATTGAACAATGCAGGCAAAAAAGAAGAAAAACAATCAACTCAATACAAAATCACTCAACATCAAGGGATTATCAGCACTTTTCACAACATCCAGTGCAAGGATGTTTTTACGTCAAGAAGAAAAGTTAAGACACAAATGAAATGAAGCACTTACACACAATGAGCGATCGGGACCGAGAGCCTGAATATGGAATTAACATCGATGTACAATACAAGGTAGAAAGATTAGTTCATTAATCTGGCTATCAAGGTATTGTCCTATGGGAAACTAATTGCTAGCATCTGTACCTCTTTTGTCAATCCAATCCCCCAAATTACAATTTCCTTCTTTAATCGATTGATATACTTGTTGAAGCTTTGACTGACCGATCGACTGTAATTTTTAACTATAAATCAATGTATTCATAACTTGATATACTTGTAAATTGATTGATGGATTGATTGATTACTAATTGGTTTCTCTCCGAACGATTGACTCCTCCATGACGAAAATGACTTTAAGTATAAATTTAATGAAAACAAGTTGTCACAAATGTGAGTGTGTCCCAAAACAATACAAGCAAGTTTAGAGTTGGGGCTCAGAATTGGATTCCGTTCAAGCATAACCAATGACCTACAAACTTAATAAAACTTCATTTTAACTATGGTGGAAACCCTGATTTATTCAAGGGGTTCATATGATTGAAACCAAGATGTCAGCGAAAATGGAATGTAATGGACAAAGTACGACATCCTAAAGGTTTTCATAGAATCTATGTGAAATGTTATGCCATTGGACATAATGTTGAATAACCCTAATGCACATATATGACATAAGATCTTACTAGGAACACAGTGAATTTCTAATCCTAAACAACCTACCTCCATGCCAGTAGTGTCCTGCCCACTGATAAACACAGCAGCCAGGCTGCTTATGAACCCAATATCCACCTTGACTGCCATCTCTTGAATCAGCAACTTGAGGTACTTGATCTGGTTGACTTTACTGTGCTCTGAGTAGCGCATCATCAGACTGAACTCAATCATGGGCTTGGGAACTGCAGTACAGAACAATGCAAATAAGCACAAAGTGGCTGTAGGATGTCTTCTTATTTTTTAATATCAACCGTTATCTCTTGAAACTAGAAGTGTTTGATGCAAAAGTCAAACATCAGTTGGTGAATGACGTACTAAAACCTCTGAGTTAGCTAGATTAAACTCTGATTGAACCATTATCACAGAATCTTTCATGTATTCCCTCCTGCTGTATGTTTTTTTATGACTAATAACAAGAAGTGATGCAACTATGGTAGGCTAGATCTCAACATTTATTTGTTCAAGTCCAATCGCTTTCAAAAAGATCAATATCCAACCATAGATTCCTTACACAAGTAGCCCCTCAACACCGAAAATGACAAAGAGCCCCGATTATGAAGGACATTTTGGGGTTTGTGCATATCACAGTTAAAATTTGGTTCTAAAATTGGACACATTTTGACACTTCTATCATTACATCAGAGAAAGGCAAGTCGATTCAAAATCATCAGTTATTTACGTCCAAATTTACGTGTTGAAACTAATGATCACCCAGACAAATTCCACTAGGGCTAATATATACAGCATTGTCATCGGGCCTCCAATTATAAATCCACCACCCTGCCTGTTACTCCTCATACCGCCTCAAACCGCCCACGCACTCTATGGTTTTATTGATTTTATTGAGGAGAACATACAATGTACTACAATTTAATACAAGTACTAAAGGGTTAAAAAAAGTCTAAAAGCATGACTGACACATACCACTCTCAGCAGAGACACTCTTAGGTGGTGGTATCGGGGCCAAGACTGTTGGGAAGATGGCAGCTGGCATCTGATTATCTATCTGGATACGATGGATCATCAGATGAACCTGCAACTGGTGTTTAGCAGTACGGACCTGAGCCCACATCCCTGTGTGATAGGTGCGACGAATGGCGCGACGTTGGGGTAGCATCATACTCATGGTGCGGAAATCAACCTGTGGTTTGATATGCACATCAGAATTTTACTGTTCCCGCATATTTCATCAATATAAGGTTGAAAAATATCAAATTTGATATGGATTTGAACGTTTGACACTCTGAACATGGTACTGCATGGTGTTCTACCAATTTTTCATGACTTGGTTCAGGGATGGTAGTCAACAAGCCAAACATCAGTTAGCAAAGACAAACAACAAAATATAAGAAACACAAAAGACACACAATGACTAAACACAGACAAAAACACTGGAAATGGAAATGCTTCTTTGTTCCATCCTGAATGATGAGATCTGATTTTCTATTTTAACTAGAGAGCACCTGGAGACGGCAAATAATTCAATTGAAAACATTTAGAGATATGACATTTTTTTGTATGAAATTTGACACACAAATTTGGATTCCAACCCTGACTCTGGAAGTCGGATTTTCATGACAGTGAGAAGCTTTACCTCAAAGTCTTTTTCCAGCTTGGTGATTTTGGGCGGGGCATCCTTCTCTGCCGTCAGTTCACCCTGTGCCTTCTGGTATCCATCCTCCAAGAGTTTCATCTGTTTACCGTTCATGTCACGCCAACGTCGACGAATCTTGTTCTGCCAGATGATGCCGGAGCTGTAACGAAGAGCAACCAAATGTTTTGGTCCAAATGTTAAAATTTTATACAATTATAAAGGATGCCTTTAGTTTTTGAACAAGTGACATCATTTTTTGGGAGAATAAATATTAATGACCTCTCATCAAAACTTCGGACAGAGTTGGCATTAGCTCTTTCCCTTGATAAGCTCACAGATGGGGAAAAGGCATTTTGCCGCAGGTTTGCAAGTTTTAAAAAAATGCTGTGGGGAAGTCCAGACCTTGTCATTTATAAATCTATTTTACAGGAAGGAACGATAACACTAGAAGCCCAAAATTATAAGTTGTAGTAACAAAACAGTAATAAAATCCTACATGTAGGTCCTAGGGATAATGGTTTAACATCAACAATAGAACCTTGCCATAGGGTTCACACAAAAATTGTTCAGATTGTGGAGTCAATTATAATTAACAGCATGTTGCAGTTGGAAAAAATACTTTTCAAAAGACAATTAAATAATATCACACCAAAATTCACACGCAATTGCAAAGACAGGGTATTTGACTTGTATGTGACCTGTCATCACAAATTGAGCATGAAGTTCACCTGAAAACAAAAATCTATCACCCCTTTGAACTTTGGCTTTGCCACACTGCCTACTGTAAATTGGCAATTGCCGACTTTATGCTCATTTCATGGTAACAGGTCACATATGAAGAAGTCCGGGTACCATACCTGATAATACCAATGTACGCCACTTCAGTTCTAGTCAGGTTGTTGACAAGCGACAGACCGATACCAGGTAGTGACAAGACCAGCTCCAGATCTGACTGCTCCAACTCTGCTGCCTGGTATAATCATACAAATTAGGATTTTACTTGGCAAGTGTCTTGTTTTCATGTGTAAAAAGGACATAAGGATAACTAAGGATAACTATCTATGAAACTATTGTTATTTACCTGTGATGCGTTTGTTGCTAAAGCAAGATCTTCTGTGAAGCATAGCATGCGTTGGGTACCATCCAGGAAAGACACCCAGTACATTTGTCGACCATCGTGTTTGAAATCACCAATACCATCCTGTCAAAATCAAATGAAGTCCATCAAATTTTAATGTAGAAGGACTGAGCCCCAATCACTGGAGCTGCCAAGTGGACAACATAGCTTAGCAAATGACCATGCTAACCAATTACCAGACGGAGACTAGTCATAGGCAATACAAAGCACAGGACACTGCTGCTGGTTACCTATTGAAAAGTATTTACTTCTTCCCATGTCAATGAAGCATTTGAGGGGAATATACCCCCGGTAGGATGGAAACATCCACCTACTGTCATGAATCTACAGACAGGACATTGGTGTCTAACAAACTTTGCATTTATTCTTTTTCGAACAACTCCAGTAACATAAATCTGGTGAGTGAGTGAACATTACATTTCACTTCTTGAAGTACAGGTGTTTCTTCGATAAAGACAGACCAGAACTTTCCTTGAAAAAAGACCTTTGAGTGGTAGTGGTAAAGCTTGATATGTCTTCTTCAAACTATGTCTGCTGACTTTGAAAAAGCAATGTAATCGCATGGAAATGCACAAAAGTTATACAACATCACATCTAGAAATGTAACCTTCACCAGAATGTGATTTCAAAGTGGAATGAATGGACCAATGGCAGTTTACCTTGATGAGGTCATTCTTGTGGTCTTTCTCGCCCACATTCCAGACAAGTTGGCGGATCTCTGTGGGGTTCTGCCAGGTGTACAGGACAGCCTCTCCTGGTTGCAATGTCTGCTCCTCTTTTACATTACTGATAAGGAAATCAGAGGCAACAGAAGATACAGGAATTAACTCCAACATGTCCAAGGTGAACAATTTTGTTTGGTTGTTCAGATGTCCAATGGTTGTTTCACTCACTCACTCAAACTTTAAAAAGAAATTGATGAAACAACTCACATTTGTGCTAATCAGAGTCTTTCTTAAATTGTCAGCAAAAGCTGTCATCCAAATTTCTTGTTCAATTACACTTTTACTTATACTAACAGATTTGCAAGTTTTTACATTTTCCATTTCACGAACAAACTGATGCTTTATACTTTTCGTTTGTTTAGTAAATTTTGCCTGATATGTCTTGCATAGACTATGGACTCGGTGCATATGCAGTAGATGATGCATTGTGACCACTTAGCCCCAGTAGACAGGACACAACGGGAACGTGTGCTGGATTGTGCGTGTACGGCGCGAAGTACGCGTGACTTGTTTTATTCTGAATGTTCACAATCCCATAGTACATTGGAATGTCCCTCCCAGAGGTCCCTCTAACTCTCCCTTTGTAACCGCTGAGGGGGTACCGGTACTTATACAGTGTTGTAGAACTCGTACTCGAATACTTCTTGAGTACTTTTTAGAGTACTCATACTCGTACTCAAATGTCAAAGTACTCGTACTTGAAATGACTGTACTCGTACTTGGGTAGCAAAGTACTCGTACTCGATATGTCAAAATTGTACTCAATCATCATACTCGTACTCGAATAGCAGTACTTGAAAAACACATTGGCATAGCTTGACTTACCACGGCCTTATTTTATTGATTCTTTCAGTTTGAAATGGTTGATTTGCTTGCGAAGAAATAAAAGTTTCCTGATGTTCCTCTGTGCACGTCTGGGCAAACACATTTAACAGCTGGCCGTGAGTGAGTCTGTATATTGGTCTGACTGGGCCTGGGCCAATTACGCACAATGAACCATTTGCCGTATGGCTGTATTTGGAAAGAGAAGTACTTGTACTTGTACTCGTAATACAAGTACTCGTACTCGTACCCGTACTCGGAAGTACTAGTACTCGTACTCGGAGACCTGTCCTTGTACTTGGAAGTACAAGTACTCGTACACATACTCGGTAACCTAAGTACTTGGCAGTACTCAGTACTCGGAAAAAAATACTCGACTACAACACTGTACTTGTGCACGGAGCCCATACTTACGCCTGATGGTACTTGACAGGCATGCCGTCCGTGTGGTTGATCAGCTGTACAGTGAAATTGCCTTTGCTGAAGGACTCAAAACTAACAACAGTGGCAGTCTCTGTGACTGATGTATCAACTATGATACCACCAACCTATAAAACAGAAAAAAGACAAAGACATTAATAGACTCGGGAATTCCAGGGAGATTAGGGATAATCATTAAGTGGTAAATGCATACAAATTAACTAGTGTATTGATTTGCAACTATTATGTGCATATGTACCAGTGTATGTATATAGACACTAGTTGTCAACCATTTATTTCATATGAGATCAGGTTTACTTGTGTTTTGGAAAGTATACAAAAGCCTACTAAGTATTTACCCTTTACAAACTGATTCAAAATTGTAACTGCATGAATTTTTGAAACAATTAGTTGTCTTTTTTTCTCTAATTCTTTGTTCATAAAATAGATCACTTATTCTAACTGCACTATTAAGAAAAACATCCCTCTAAAGCTGTTCATAACATTTGCAATTTATTACGTACAGGGATATTTTTCGTTTATAGTATGTACAGTAAAAAAACCCACCAATACAAGTAAGTTGGCTTTAATCAAGTTTACTATTCAGGAATGCTTTTGACCTCATCTAGTGAATGGTTTGTGTACCTTGGAGTCCAGCTTGAGAACCGTGGTGTGTGGGTCAGTGAAGAGGAAAGGAAGAGACTTCTCTGTGGAATCCTCTGCCATCACTACCATCTTGGGATTTTTCTTCTTGTCAATGGGCCAAAAGGCGATACACTGAAACAAACAACTCTCACAATTACTCTCATTTTGCCAATACTTCTATTTATTATTCAGTATTATTACTAATGCCCAAACTACAGGGTGAGTCAAAAAAGCGGAACCCAAACCCCCAAAATATATTTCATATTTAAACAAATATGTAGCACCAAAAATAATAATGACTGGAAAGCCAATTTCATAAGCTACTTTTAGATGAAAAAAATACTGAAATTGCTTAATCCGTTCAAAGAATATCACCATTTAAATGCAATAACCCTAAAACCTGTCTCGTCCAAAACAAAGCAATTTATTGTGTGTTTTGACTGTTTGGAACAACAAAGAAAATGACACAGAATACTTGTTTCAACAACGTAGTACACAATATCTTTATTAACAACCCTGATTAGACAAACAATATGATTTATAAAATCGACTTTTTATTAAAGACGGGCCTTCAAAAGGACTTTGTTGAAAATTTTTAATTTTTAAACTAAGGTTTTATCGCTGGTGATGTTTGAAGACAATTGTGACAACGATTCTTAAAAATCGCATTTTTGGACGAGACAGGTTTTAGGGTCATTGTGTTAAATGGTGATATTCTTTGAATGGATTGAGCAATTACAGTAAACTTTTTTTCATCTAAAAGTAGCTTAGAAATCGGCTTTCCAGTCATTATTTGTTTGGGTGCTACATATTTGTTTAAATATGAAATATAATTTTTGGGGTTTGGGTTCCGCTTTTTTGACTCACCCTGTAAAACTTCATCTCCACTCAAGTGAGTTCCAGTGGGAGAGACACACTGTTTTGGGCAGTTATGGTGCCAAGCAGGCATGACTTATGCCATTCTGAATGTGAACCAACCAGAAATGTGTCAAGTGCCATCAGCAATGTTCTCAAGAGTCCCTCCCTGAGGGGGTGCTAGCGAAGGACGTCCATATTGATAGAATTTCACTTTTAGAGTAGTATTCAGCCCACGCTCATACACCAAATTTAAGCCGTCTTTCAAAATGCGTGTGTTTTTTATCATTACGCATATGTTGTGTATGCATTATGTATCCATCAAAATTGTGAGGATCAATCAAAACGGACACGCAGAGTACATGTACATATGAAAATTGATGTGTGCTACATTACAAACTGATTTTTTGGTGTCCGTAAAAGTGAAACGCATACGCAACACATGCAAAATGGATAAGAAAAATACACATATAGAAAGCAGCTTTATACAAGTACATTTCTTAAGCTCACTGCACTGCCATTAATTTTTGCATAGCAATTGAGATGCAGGAATTATATGCATGTCATTTTTATGTCCATTTATAACAAAGACTGATCATCTGACAGTGATAAAGGTTGTAAAATTGTATTTAGTATGTGAACATCAGGAGAAAAGCTCACAATCAACTATAATGCCAGTTTAAATTGGCCTGATCCTACTAAACTGCATGACAGATTCCTAGTCTTTGGGATGACAAATGTTGGCGGTTGGCAGAGGCTATGCTTACCTCCTTTGGTGGAACCTCAATCAGTTGGTCTTGATAAAGTTCTGCACAACGCACAGGGAACTCGGTCTGATTGACCAGGAGGTAGCGAGGGTTGAAGACTACAATCTTGGTCATCCCAAAGTTACTCAGCTGAATCTGTACTCTAACCTATAAAGAAAATGCAAAATATTCAGAAATGTCCCAGGGTGATGAGGCATACTACGCTGTGCAAGTAAGTACTGAACAAACAGTCTTAATAGATCAAGCCAATAAGTCACACCTAAGTGTTGTTTTGACTAATAATATCCATGATTGTACTGGAGAAAGTTCAACCAAAGTAATTGTTATATCGTGTGCTTGGATACTGTAATTTCATTGGTCTAGGACGGCCACGTGTCTGGACAATAAACATGCATGTCACACACTGACAGTGATATCGCAGTGCGTTCGTTGCATGCGTTGCGCGTGCGTGTGGAACCTGCCAGCGCGCTGGATTTGCACAACGATTACTGCAATGTCAAACGCTCAGTCTCATGTCCAGCAGGACATCAAAACCGTCAGTTATCAAAGGTTACATCGCAGTGATTTAATTAATTTCTCAGACAGTAAGTTACAACCATTTATCTTTTTGAGTACGATACAACAAACAATTGTTGACTGCTGTGATGAAGGATATGACATTTTGAACCCCCTCGGGGCACATAGCATTCGCTTTGGATGCTATGTGCCCAACACGAATGCTCATAACGTCATATCCCACACCACAGCAGTCAACAATTGTGAAATAAATGTGCAGTTATTACACACTGGAGAGACACAAGTGTCATTGCCAACATACCCAGGGGGTGGGGCAAAATGGAATGGTCTATTATAAACATGCAATCTAAAAACATCTATTTCATAACTGTTAGTTCATATTAAGACATGTGCAATTATTAACAAGTCAATGCACTTGTCAAATTAACAACACATAAGGAAACAACAGTCAGTACATAAACCAAATTGGTGAAGATGTTTCAAAAAGAAGAACCAGTTAAACACTGCCTGGCAGCTAACATGTGTATCTGACAAAGTGTTTAGGTAGCTACACCTAAGATAATTTAGACAGGGCAATAACAACTTTAAGTTAATCTTGTGATGATGAACAAATTTCTCAAATGTTCTCAAAATGTAACTTTTGTGTGATATATGGATTCTGGTATATGTATTATGGGCAAGCTCATAGTCAAAGGTGAATGTGTTAATCTTTTAGAAGATATCAAATGTTGAATAAATCTTTATTAGATTTACATAAAAAAAATATTAAATTAATTTTTAAAAATTAAAGTAGCCACTGGGATAAATATTGAATCTATTTTTAGCAAACAAAACCTGTGAAACTATATCCATTCCATATTTGTTATCATTGTAAAGATAAATCCTTCATATGAAATAATTTAGAAAATTGTGGACTGTCTCGATGTGGGGTCATCTGATCCAAAGTGTGTTTCCGCCACACATACATTTGGTCATGTGTCAGGAACAGTTGAAGTATTATATTGTTGCTAAGGTTGACAATTTTGAGTTACTGATAGACTTAACTATCAGTGCAAAAATAAGTGGTACACTACACTGTGTACAACACAAATCTGGACACGCTGGTCTCTGATTCAATCAGCAACATTTTCCATGGTGGCCAACATAGGCTGGCATGCTACGCAATAAGTTATGTGATGAAAATGATAAATAATTTCAAAGTTGTTATTGAACAAGCTTAACATATGAATATGATAAATCTGGAAGTTATCTTCTGTTTTCTACCTTTGAGACTTGGGTTGGATTTACTCTCAGCCTGCCTGTGTGAATGTGGTTTTCAGTCCCTGCCTGATTGTAGGTTTTCCCAAGAATATCACTGAGGTTTGTTAAACCTTCTCTTTCTCTCACTAGGTTTCTTCAAGCTTTCCAGCTACAGTGCCCTTGCAATCTGGAGTCAGCTATTTTTTCATTATGACTAATATATGTTTAAGCAACTTCCATCATGATTACATGACCAATGTGTAGACATTTAGTAACATTCTAGAGCAGAGATTTATCAGTTCTCCAAAATTCACCAAAATAATCTCAAAAAGTTTGTCAAACTAATACAATTGTATTCATCAATTTACTTGGTTTACCAAATACTAGAAGGTTATATATATATATATCAGCTAATTCTTTTAATACAAGCAAGTAGATGACAGTTTCATCTTTGGTTTGGATCATCAGCAGTGATAAGTTCCGAACTGGCATTAAACTGTACAAAATATTAACTGAAAAAAAGGAAACCATGGAGGAAGGAAAACGTGAGTTTAAAAAGCTTTGAATTGAGGTTCAAATCTCTATTAGTACGTTTGCTAGTGAATAGGGCAAAACACTGTCTGTTCAGGTGGCTTATCATGAGCATGTAATAAGTGTGCAACAATAATCACATCAAGTGAAATGCAATAAAGGGCAATTCCTGTTGTTATAATCTGCACTGTAAACAGCAGTAAATGAAAACGTATTTGCTAACCTCGGTGTGCTCTTGAAATAAAGAAAAAGAGTAGTGCAGAACCTGTTACCATTTTAATGTGACAGTCACAGCATCAGGAATACTGCTGAAATCCACACCAATGTGTCAATCATACTAATCACACAAACCTTGATTATACGATGATGCTGCAACACAACCCATTGAGGATTTCAATATAAAAAAGGCATTTTAACATTACATAATTGTGGAGAAAGTACATGTGCGTTATTGGTACATTTTTCCACCAGCATTTTTAACATTACGCTATTTGTAATTTAAGGTTTGTTTTGTAATTAGGTTTATGTTAAGGCATGCAAAACCTATTAAACAGTCTTTATTTTCCTCTAATGATATCAAACTGCAAGGCTAATTTTGCCGTTGATACCTTTAATTACCTGTTATGAACTTTGTTTCAGGATTTTTACATACACGGTTAAGATGCCCAATAAATGCAGGTATGATATCACACCATTTAAAACTGCATACATTAACAACATGAAATCACGTCTGGTTCCACTGTCCAATACATGCAAAGATGGAGTGAAACCAAGCAGAACACGAACAACTTGATCAAACACAAACCAGTTAAACAGAATTAGTAACTTGATTATTTTTCAACCATTTTAATTCAAATCAACAGAATGTTTGTGGAGTAACAGCAATATGCAGAAGTTAGGCCAGTTTGAAAGGAACTCTGAGTTTAGACATCTGTGTCAAACGGTCACCCAGGTTTGAGTTAATCAAAATTGTGTCCTTTATTAAAGGGGGGGGGGGTTTGTTAACACCCATTTATTCTAACCACTTTACAATGATCTGTGATTATAAAAACACCAGTTGACAGTGCAGTTGTGTGGTTATTATGATCAACTACAGTTAGTTTCTAATACACACACACACTGTTAAAAAGCTAGGGTGAGGCACAGCTAATGAGGCTGTGTTGTATGACATCAAAGCACCCTGTGTCCTCCGGTTTCCGTGTGATCAGCCACCATTGCAGTAGGCAAGCGTTTGGTTATAGCAACCACGTTGTCCATTGTAAACTAAACAATAGGGCTTATTTGCACATAAAATACCCACAAATTCTGTTTCAACTGCCATAAAGGTCACTATTTGCGTTGTGTTCGCTTGTCATTATCGTGCCTACCCAGTATTGGGTGTGGGCTTCGTGTTTCTGCCATCCATCACAGCCTTAAAGGCTTGCCTACTACGCACTGCGTGAGGCGCTATAGGATCTTTGCCTACTACAATGGCGACGCTGACTTTCTGGTACCTGGATGTAGGCTGGGTCTCATGGGTCAGTGAGAGAGCCCTACATGTGTTCAGTGATCTAATGTGAGGAGTCACATGTCACACACTTTGATCTGAATACTCCATTGTCATCCACTGGAGGTTAGGCAGTTATAGTTTCCTCTGTTTTAAAAACTGATATTTCCAATAGAAAACAAATTACAATTCTAAAGACATGGTAAAATCAAATCACACTTTACAATTTTTACAAATCGACCTCTCCGCCATGTACCAGTATGGCTGACAAAATGAGAACACAGTGTATGACATTTGACTTTTTTTTCATTGAGTGGGTCACAATGGGAGCTGACAATAACTCGCTCATTGCTTGTGGTTATATACAGTAATGGAACACATCACGAGACAACAGAAACACAAGCAATCACTAAAATACTACACATTCCAAAACAATGCCACTGGAAAAGAATAAAAAACGGTCACAAGAAGTGAACATGGGAATGCATGGGTTCCCTGATGACAGTCTTACGCTGTATTTCTTGGGTTTCGAAGAACCAGCTCCTTCGGCCTGGAAAAATGATCATGGTGTGAAAATGCAACAGACTTGATAATGGTAATGATGATGAATACTGATGAAGAATGACATCAATTCTATTCGCCTATGAGGCGTCGGACTAATGATAGGGCCCCGCATAAATGTACAACAAACGTGCTTCAAAATCATGGTTTCGTAAGTATGAAAAAAACGTTGGACGCACAAACGTGCCCATGTGCATTTACTGACTGCGCATTTCAGCATTTGTCAAATTGTCTTCATTTATGCATCGGTTTCGAATATAAAGGCAGATATGCGTATAGCCGTACAAAAACCATACACAATTTTGAGCTTTCCGTAGGTCATGTATGTTGGTACACAAACATGGATGCACTCAACAGGCTACATTGTGTACAGTGACGTAGCCCAATCGTTATTAACAATGTAATATACCTCTACGATGTAAACACATTTTGAGTATTGAAAAATTAAAACACAAGTCCCTCTCATCAACTCCAAGTTCAAAACCTGATCTTGATAATGACATTGCCAATTTTACATTCTCTCACTAAAAATACCTTTTTGAAAAATTACCATAATAACTCAATCTATTATGGCAATACACATCCTGACTGTCATCACATGCGGAATATTATACTCACGTCAGCCAACTTTGCCAACAATTAACATCCACTCTTCATAACTGAATATGAGTTTTGATGATTATGAATTATGAAGTGAAAAATGAGCCAACTTTTCAGGACAGGTGAGCATAGCTGAGTTTGCCTGCTCAAAATGAATTTGAACTGAAACTGAAGGATAGGCATGAACACAAACAGTGACTTGTGAAACATAGACTAAGCATTCCTATCAAATATTCACAACTGCTATATTACGAGCATAGTACTTATGCATTTATACACTCTGTTTTAACATTTTCAAATTTGAATGAAATGTAAATCACTTAAATCACAACTTTGGATGTCGAACAATCAGAAACTCACTGCTGATGCTTTTTTTCTTCAGTTTATATGTCACTGATTACCAGCCACATTTTTCAATGCAATTTAGGGAAGAACCAACTTAAATTGAACTGGACTTTGACCGTTTTGATGTGTTTGCGGGAAGACTGAAAATCTATAAAATAACCTCTCATAAACATAATAGGAACAGCTGTAAGATATCATGAAAACTGAATAAATATCAGATATCTACTGGAATTAACAAAACTGTAAACACATACAAAACTCGTGTGTGAAGTTGGTAATGCCAGCAAAAACCTGATTATTGAAAAACAGTCTTTTAATATCTTCGTTGACCACAGATTCTATCATATGCAACAGAATCTATCGTTTCTTTTTCAAGCTGATTAAAATTCCAAAAAGCTCATTTATTTGTTACGTAATTTTGTTCAACTCCACATCCAAGCAGATCTTACCTCAGTGTTTTTTTCATCAGTCTTACAAGAGATGAAGCCAGTGCTACCCACAGCATCCAGGGAGAACTTGTCTGACCAGTTGGATTCACCAACCTTCATTGAGATCTGTCAAGAAAGAACAACCATGGTCATTGGGAGCAACTGTTGGAGCAACTGTTGTAGCAACTGCCACCAGGCATACATACCTCTAGAAGGATTTACTTGTATTGCACAGTTCACTTGCAAACATTTGTTATGCTGCAGTAATTCATACACCCTTCATATTTTGTATGCAGCACAAACACAAACACAAGTGCATTCAGAAGTAACAGATAATAACAAGCTCGAAATGATCTCAGAAGCTGCGGGGAATTGAGTTTGTGTTTGTACATGTGTACCTTCATGACCTTCTGCCTAGTCTGTATGAGACAGATGGAGCTCTTGCATGTACATGTCTCTGGCATTGAGATAAAGGATTTCCCATTTGTCGAACGTCACAATGCAAACTTGACCTCGATAATGCAAGTCTGTCTGCCCTCCCTTGAGGGCCATAAAACCTACACAGGACCTCAAGCAGGACCTGGCTAAGGTGAGTTAATGGGACAGGTGTGCGCATTCCAACGTTTGTTACTAACTAACTAACCTATGGACTAACGGAGAGACACGAGTACTTGTAGAGCTGCTTTCCGCAGCTAAAAACTACACAACTCCCAGTTCTTTCGCCTAGTGCCATATTGATACCATTTGTCAATGTGTATTAAGAACGTTGACTTTTTCCCATGACGAGCTTGGCAAAATATTTAAAAATGACTGCCCCTCTTTATTGTGAATTGCTCAAATTAGTATTAAACAAAGAAAAAATACCACTTGATAGATTGTACAAACAACCGTAGTTGAGTTTCAATGTCTTGAAAATCCAGGAAATAAGATGCGGAGAACTGTAAAATCACAACTATATCTAAGCAAGTGGCATATAAAGCTCACCTTATTTTTGCCAGGGATGAAACCTTTGTTTGTTGGATAAGAAAACAAGATGGGCTCCTTCTTATCTGGTGGATGCTCAATCATGTCATTCCCTGCCTGCAAATAGCAACAAATAAAGAAAATGAAACAACAGTAACCTCTCCTCCCACATTTAGAAAGATGACACACAAAATGTTTAACAATTTTTGATACTAATGTGAATGCAATTTTTCTACAAGTGGTCCGTGAAAGTTGTCTGGACAAGGAATCTATTCCTTTATTTGTTATTTTTGCAACAAATAATTTTGTAGCTCTAGATGGAGTTAACCACATACATTCTGTTCATCCATTTCTCTTCTCCGTGTTATTTTTAAAAAAAAGGTATTTAAAAAAAAAAGCTTCGGAAAGCACAGTTCAATAATTGAATAAGTGCATCTGGTCCATATAACTAAGTATATATTCTCTGAAATATTGGTCTGAACGATGATGTACTATATTACCAAAAATGATTTATACACAGAACTATGAGTAGATTCGTATTTTGGAAAAATATGCCAATTAAACTTTGTATTTCCAACTCATAAAGCGGTCTTAATTATGCTAGTTTGGTGTTCCAAATACGAATCAAGTTTTGAGGCTTTTCGTTTCAGAGTAATCTGCCATATGCATATAAAATCATAGATAGTATCAACCAAGTAGAAGAAAAGTTTTGTTTTGAAGCATGTTCAAAATTCCAGAAACTTTGGACTGGGACTTCAGCATGTTTAAAGTATCTTACTGGTCCAACTTAAAGGGATATACAACATTTGCAAACATCACAAAACAAAACTACCAAATTATTATGAAATACCTCACTGGACTGTTAGTGAATGACAGTCTAAAGCATCCTGTAAAATCATGGCACCTGGTGTGTTGTAATTTTCAAGAAAAGTGGTATTTTATATCAATTTCCAACGCTGGTCGGCCGACCAGCATTGGAAAAACCTGCTTTTTTCAACTACTGTCTCCAATTTACCAAATTTATTCAGTCCACATTTTGTTTGCAATTGGTATCACGTCCGTGAACGGGTACAAGCCAGCTAGACTGGTTCCCTGACCTTACAATTCCCCAACGTCTTTAAATTGCTCCATTTCATTGTAAGTGGGGTCAGGGAACCAGACTACAGGAATATGATCGTTTTTCTTGGTTATTCCAGCATCTACGAACACAAAACTAACAGAAGTTAGTGCTTCCGAAGTCTGCGTAAAACCGTCGATGGCAACGCGTACTGCAGCCTGCAGTTGTGAGTTCGCTGCCCGCCACGTATAATTCAGTGTCGCGTTATAATTTCGGGGGCCTGTTTTGGAATCAACGAAGGATCGATGCAATGCTTCAAATATCACAATCTTTGAACTACGTTGGGTTGGAATAACGAAGAGTGCATAAAGAATAATATCCATTGGCGGTTGTTGGCTGTTTGGCCTTGCTTATATAATGGTTGAACCAACTTGAATAAAAGTTGAATCGACTTGTTCCTCGCAGGTCTCACAAATTGTAAGAAGTTCAAATTAACGTTTGTTGAAGAGTCCAATACTGTAACTTAATTATGATCTTCCTCCATGATTCAGACTTTGTAATTTTATGGTAACACTAAACATTTCCATTGCAAATGACACCTTCACGTTTTATTGCATTATGATTTATTGTCAAAACTGTACAATCAGCCTAATTCGCCTGTGTATACTACAGTAAACTACGTTTTCCCACAAATGCGACTGCCTCACAAAATGCCAATTTCAGACCAACGGGAAAATTTACAGACAGTTATACATGCCATGGTACATAATTGGGCGGCAACGGGTGGGGAACGGGGGACCCCACCCCAACCCGGCCGGGGAAAAACCATATCGTTTGGTCTCCCCCCTCACTTTTTCTTCCCCGAATAAAAATTGTAGCCTACTATTATGATTCTATTGCTCAGAATATAGCTGATTCAATGACTCCAAACTCGAAAATGATGTTTGAAAGATGATCTTTTGCTTGAAACAATTGGTTTTAATAATAGTGGTCAGAAATTGCCTCAGATCGCACCACAGAAATTGCTTTTCTATAACTGCATGTCTTCTTAACTAAATCCGCCATTTACATTTAACTCCCCACATTTTCAACCCCAACACAAACCCCCTACCCGATCTATGATCGGGTAAATCAGCTTGTTTGCTATAAAATACTAAACCCCCAAACCATCCATTTCTGAAACTTACGGCAAAGGCAAATGTTGTATATTCCCTTTAAGTGCGGACTACATGTTTATTGCAATCATCTTTTGGATTTCATGAACAACTGCAGGTTGCTGATTATGTGAGCATGCCCCTGGTGAGCAACTGGTGAACAAATTAAATGCTGTGCTTATCCCAAGTAAAACATCAAAGTTTTATGTAGAAATGCACAGCTGGAATACCATACTTGCATTGTGTGCCTCAAATTCTTGCAACAAAGGCAAACTATGATCGAAGTACATGTACCTTGTAGGTCAGAGGCAGTCCCGTCTTGTTGACCAGCCAATAGGGAGCAAAGATGGCCATTTCTAGGTAGCCTCCGCTGTAGTCAGCCATCACACCCAGCTCTAACCAGAGTTCATTGGATGCTCCACCCTTGAAGCCTAGCTGGAAGAATTCCTTCAGACCTGGTCTGATGGTGATCTCACCGCGCCAATCAGTACCGGCATAGCCTAGCAGCTGGGCAAAGCATGACAAAGGATAGATTAACTCTCAAGGTTCATGAGGTTACTGTTTATGGTTATCCTGATGGTATTAAGATTTCAGACCTTTTGCTCGTTGGGCAGATTTTTCAATGTACTCATCAGACAGACCAGTTTATAGTTCTAAAAGTTCCCACCTTCCAATGGTTGGTCACAAACTTTGCAGCAAACACACATGCTACATTCAGAGCTTGCTATAGAAACTACTTATGTTTAATACGACTGATTCAAAAATTTCATCCTTAAAGCTATAGTCCATCATTTGCAGCCATCTGAAAAGTAACTGGCGTAATTATTGTTGAAAAACAAACTTGGTTGAAAGATATTAAGGGGACTAAACTCCCTGTGAAATTATTCTTTCTGGGAAGTTGTCATTTTGAAGTAATCAACGAAAGAAGGCATTTCCAACGGTGATTCTTAAGAAGCACCGTAGGAAAATTTAAATTAGTAGTTCGTTTTGTTATTCAGCGCAGCGCGCACAAGTATTGGAACGACGCACACGCGCGCGCGGTTGTTATAATTCGTCGGATCAGTGCGCGACGTCGCGTATAGCTGCAATTCAAAACAATTCAAAACATGAAACTTTTTATTTGAAATTGAGATCTTAGAATGCTGTTTTTCTCGGAATATACAGCTGAAGCTGAGCTGAAACTTCATCAAGTAAGTTGTTCAGTATCCTTCATTAGATTTTGAACACTTTCGTTGCTTCAAACGAACAAAATGCACTAATTACAAATGATGGACTATAGCTTTAACTTTTTTAGACAACTTTTAGTAGTCTTTTAGTCATATATGATGTATTATAGAAAATTACACAAAAAAAACCTTCAAACTAGTCTTAAACCTTCAAACTCAACTCTCCAAAATCACATTCCCAAATAAAAGAACATAAATTTTGTTGAATTTGATTCCGTGTACATGTATGTCTTTAAAGGGCCCATGCAATGTATGTTTCTGCACTTCCCTAAAAAAAAAAAATTGAATCCATGCTTTTCCAGACAACTGACAGCGCTATTGCTGTGATATCATTTCAGGAAGACACAGTTCAGTTTAGGGGTTTTCTGTTCAAATTGTGCACCCAAAATTTGCTCATTGAAAACTTTATGTGAGACAGGGTTGCTCACTGGCTTATAATAATTAATAACAATAATTTGGGAGGCTAATCATCCTTACTGGAAGCTGGTATGTTGAATTGCGAAGGACGCGGCTACAACATGGTCGGGCCGCTGGCACGTAAAGGTGCCTATGGCTGCCGGCCACATCGACCCATATATGACCACAGAGCACAGCCAGAGATCGAAAGTGTTTGAATTTTCCGGCAGAAGGAAAACCAGAGGGCCCGGAGAAAAACCCTGGTGGCACAGGAGAGAACCAACGCACAACTCTACTCACATGTGGTCCACAGTCGGGAATCGAACCAGGGCCATAGTGGTGAGACGCGAGTGGCTTACACTGCCATGTACTTACACAACAACAAATCCCCAAAGAAAAGAAAATTGATGACAGCAAAATATCCAATATTTTAGCAATTTTTTGTACTGAAATAGCTGTATTAAATATTGAGGTTTGGCCCCTCCTGGCCCTTCTAGGGCATGTACATGTAGCTCAGTACTGTTCAAATCATTCTTGATGATGCACTATTGATGGATCATTGCATGGCAGGGGATATTGATCATTTCTATGACAGCAATGAGCAGGTTTAGACAAGGACCATTAGTTGACTAGTGTTTGGTATGTGATGTAACTGGACACCTGCATGCTAATTCCAACATGCGAACGTCTCCAGTTAATTGCTGTTCAAAAGTCATCATGTCTTGATCCTGGCTCCCTGCCATGCATTATGATGTGTGCGACTATTGGTAACTAGTGATGGACCACGTGACTATTGATAACAAGAGATGGACCACGTGACTATTGATAACAAGAGGTGGAACCTTATATTACCCCGGTTCCAAATAGTTGACTAGAGTAGTCCAACCATCCTGCATTCCAACTACAATGTATGGTTAACCATAGTCCCACTCAAACTTGCTTAATGTTCAATGAACTGCCATTTAGTGCACTTTGGAGTAGTTGTAATACGTGATCTCTTTATGTTTAAACACCCTATGTCTCTATTCAACGTCATAAGCCTTATCAAAGTCTCGTGCGCACGTCTTGTGGGATAGAAATTGGATAACAAAACCCACAAGTGTTGTGCATAGTAAAAGAACTTGTTTTCAATAGGCCATAACTCAATAAATATTTACCCGATTGGAAAGATTTCTTTGTTGTTGACAAGCTAAGGAAAATTCTCTCCAAATATCGATACTTGCGGGTTTTTTAAAGCTGTGAAAACACGTACCAGTGCACACGTACTGGTACATGATCAGGTACGCTGGTCAAAATTTGGACATTTTACCGCAAATTTCACACCTTTATACCGGCATCATTATTTTTTTATAGGATTCAGGAATATAGTTCAGTACCCGGGTAGTATATATCATTTCCTTATCATGTGTATCCACAAAATTGCCAATTTACACCATAAAACTTGAAGAAATCCAAGTTAAGTGGTGAAAACCATTCGCAGTTACCTGCGTTGTTATCAGGCAGACAGCCATATCGATATGGCTTATTCCCAATTATGAGATCTGATATAATGCTTTAAAAATGTGTTCAAACAGACACGCTTTTCATGTGGTATTCAAATTTCAATAAAAACAAAAAATCAAATTAGGTTTCGTGGTTTGAATGATCTGCAACAAAATAAAAACGAAAAGTAAAAAGAACTGTACAAATGAATGAAACCTTCTCACACAATCCCCGTATAATTCAGTCATTTCTAAAGATTCAATTCATGTAATCTAAATCGTTCAAATCCCTTATTTCTCCAGCAGTGTTGTATCCGATAGTAAAATAATGAGGTAAATTAACTTGTTTAATTCATGGCATTAAGAAATGTAGGTTGGTAAATGATTTAAAAAAGGGCTGATGGATTTTTGTTAATAATGGTACAAAAGCTGAATGTATAGAATGGATGCCATAGAATAGATTCCATTGTTATTCAGTTACCTGTGGCTGTAACGGATCCTTTCTCTGAGTGTGATCATAATACTGAATTGGAACAGGAACAATTTAAAACTAAAACAAAAACATTCCTAAAAGTATCAAATAATTGGCAGAATTTTAAAGACAATGATATGATTTCGGTAGTTGCTCAACTGATATAAATAACATTTCGGTTCTCCAATTAAAAAGTCAAATGTTTTATATGTTTTGATAAAATTTGAACGAGTAAAAATACAGTATAAAATTCACCTGAACACTGTTTCCTGTTTATCGCATAATACTAATGATAACACGTTACCGTTGTCCCTCCAGGAGACATTTGCAACTCCTACTCCAAGTTTCTTTGTTCAATCACAATATAAACCTTGTTCGTTTCTCCCCTTGGGTTTGTATATATTACCATGGCAACTTGTGACCGTTTTCTTGAGATACTCACCGATAGCATGATCATGGTCTTGCCCATGTCAACGTTGGATAACTGAGACTGCGCAGCAGGATCGACTTTGACCTCCAAACCTGAGCCCTACATTCCAAAAAAAGGAAACACCAAACTAAATTATCCCAAAGATTTGAATTAAATTTGATGCAGGCTGTCAAAAGATCGACTGCTGCAGTTGTTCAGAATAATTGGAAGAGCCTAGCAAATGGAAAATGAATGCAAACGTTTGAGAATCTAAAACCCAATTCTGTTTGGGTTGATCTGCATTTCTCTAAATCCTTTTTGGTTCAGTACGACTCTAGAACACCAGTCTGAAACAGTAGTAATACAGATATTGCAAGCATTTTTTAAAAAACAGGTACAACAAATGTGAACAAAATGACAACACGACCCACATGTATATAAAACACAAGAAAACTCCTACAGACCATTTTGACATTTCGGTTATGTGATATAGATTTTCGCAAACTAGTCTATTCTGCAATGCATACTTCATATCACTTGAAAAATGGGCAGTAATAAAATGTATTGCCGTTTATTGTACATTGTTGAAAAATACCATTAGAGAGATCCTTATGTGGCTGTTTTGTCTAAAGGCAAAATGGTCAATATAACATTTTTCTACAATGACCTCATGGTCTGGAGCATGCATTGAATTCGTGGTCTGCGGGTAATTCTGCGGGTTGTGGGTTCAAGTCCAGCCTGCGGCTATGGTGCGTGTGTACCCTTGGGCAAGGTATTTTGTCACTCATTGCTTCTCCCCACCCACGAGTAAATGGGTACCTGTGAGGGCAGAGATGGTTATTGTGATTGATTCTAACTGCCTTGCGCCGAAATGGCAGCATCAAGCTGTATACTCCCCAGGGAGCTTAGATGATATTTGGAATGTTTCATTGGCCCAATGAGCAGGGTAATAATAATGTTAAGCACTTTGATCTTAGTTCAAAGTGCTAAATAAGAACCTGTTATTATTATTATGATTATTTCAGTTCTTGATAAAAGTAGGAAGTAGAATAGTAATTTTCCTGCAAATGATAAAGACGGGAAATATGGAGAGTTCAAATCAACCCTTCTTCCAAACATCATCATCCTCACTAACCAAGTCTTACTCATTAGTCTTAGTCTTACTCATTTGCTTTGTACAAAACTCCTGGCAAACATAGTCCAAATCTTCACTATATTGACACATATCATCAGCCAATCAGACTTTCTGCATGAAGTCTGGAAACCATTAATGATCATGATTCTGGAACTTCAGGGTCAACTTTCAGGAAAACAGTGAAGGACACGGGTTGTTTGGTAGCGAATGGGAGAGCCTTTCTTTGTGCAAACCAAACACCTTCTCGCCTCTACCTGGATAGCACATAGTGCAGCCATATTAGTCGGATGTCAATTCTGGGTTGGCTTTTTTAAGGAGCAATCGGATTGGTCAGAAATTAAATCAATCCATATTTGGAAGAGTTCATCAGGTGAGAAAGACTACCCTGGCTAGCGAGGATGAACATCATGTAATGCTTGAATCGCTTCTCATAGACATGATAAAAAAATGATTAAAGTCAATACTGACTGCCAAGGTATATGCGATCGGGATTGGCATGAGATTGCGTAGAATCACAACAGGGTAGAGATGAAGAGTAAACTTGGGTGCTGTCAGTGAGTTGCCGTGCACAAACCGCATCACATCAGGCTCAGTCACAATCTAGGAGGGAAAAAATCCAAAGCAAACAAATAATACTAAAATGTCCAAACATTACAGAGAGTATAACTGTTTGCAAGGCAGTTCCCTTCTACTTCCCCAAAGCAAAATCATCAAAAAGGTTACATGTAAGAAAGGATTGGTAATGGTTGGAAAATTGGGAAACTTACATGGGTTGTGGATCTGATGAAGCCTTCAAACATTGGTGATTATTTCCAGAAAAGTTGTCAAATTTTGTGATTATTTTCATGTTTCACAAGTCTTTTGGAAACTCATAATGTCCAAAAATTGGTGCCTTCCGAAAATAATCTAAGACCCAACAATTGGTTTATTTTTTTAAGGAACCTATTGTAAATGAATGGGAGAAAGCCTGCATCCCCCCAATGATACATGTTCAACATTATGGGCTGGAATATATCTATCACAAGTCTTGTTAAAATCCAACTTAATCAAACAACTTACGTTGATGAAGAAAGGCGTGTAGCCTTCTGTTTTACAGGGACACCTGAAGGTCACACTCCCCTGACCTTTCTGTAGCTCCTCCCACAACTTCTGCCACATGACAGGGGCATCACACAGACTGTACCTGTGGGATTTATCACATAATCAGGATTAGCTCAGATTAAACCTTCTGGACTAGAACCTATTAAGGTCATAGCATGAGTAGGATGAGGGCTCTGTGAAAATCTATGTTAAGTAAGCATTGAGGAATGAGAACACTGCAGATATGAGTGGACACTAAGCACGCTTTTTCCTGTGTGTGCCTGTGCTCAGCGTCCTAGCAACAAGAAAACGAAATTGTGGCTACACGCAGACTGGATTCGTCACTATACTTTGAGGTATATCAATCAGTTTACACGTGGCATCAGGTTAAGGGATAATTCTTTACTCAAAGAGTACCTATACAGGAGACCATAACAAAACCCATTGGAATACACTCTTGACCACTGCCCTATCCAGCGGTAGTACTAATCATCACTGATTTCTTGTCAGCTCAAACTGGATAGATTGTGTTTCATAAGCCAGTTCGGTATCTCGATGAAGTAGTCCATGTCAAAGGTCATTTGGGATAAAATCGCTGACGTGATGAAATGCGATGTTACGCGGACGCCTGTACCATTCTGCTTGTAACTAACAGCGAGGGCGTCGTGCGCCCATCTCCCTGCGCATTCATGCGCCTTCCATGAGCGTTTGATTATCCCGAATGACCCGTGACCCATATCATTGTGTGCATGCGCAGTTGACATACCAAACTGGGTATTACCCTTTGACCTTTTTAGCTCAAAATTCTGCATGGGGATTACATAATGTGCAGTGTATACAGTAGTAAGTTGCTTTCCACTTCCTTCATAAAATGTGAAAGAACTTTGCATTCACTATGGTATTGGATAGGCAATGGGTATGAGAAAAGCATTGGTACAAGAAATGGATGGCTGATATTATGTGTTTGTGTTTGTGCTAGTAGTTGATTGGATGTATTCAGCAATCTGGAGTAACACTCAAAAAGAACTCTGACTATGGAATGAATTGCCTTCAATCAAAAACAATGCGCAATGTATGTTTAGTTGATGTTAACTTACTTTTGGCAAAGGGTTAAGCTGCTAAACTTTATTTAATCTTTAGTTTCCAGGATTCATTTTTTTCTTCAGGATATTGCAGAAAATGAATCGAAAGAAATCTGTGTACACACCTTCCAAATTTGACTAGAAAACAAAAAGAATTCCATAAAAAAATGGCAGTAGCAAATGTTAGAGGGTGTCGTCACATGCGAACAGTCTCCCCCCTCCTACAAATAATCGTGAGAAGGAGGCATTTGTATACTATTAGGTTATATAGTGTGCATGATTGTAGGATTTTATCAGCGCTCCACATTGAAAATATGGCACGATGGTAGGGTATGACAATTGATCAACAGGCCATATTTTCTCAGAGTAGGGTTTGAAGGTCATGTAAATCAGACACAGAAAACTATGTATTTACCATTATAATGCATGCTGGGATGGTTAAGCTGTTGATGTTAAGCTAAAAAGTTAGGGGTTTGCTGCTAACAGCAAGATTTTGCACATTTCAAACACATTTCATAACATGAACATTTTTTTCATGCACCTTTTGGGGATCATATTTCACATTCTTAGTATGCACTTGTTAAAACTCAAGCATTTAAAATGTAACACCCCAGGCCAAAGCAGGTGCCTCCCAGCTGAGAAAAACAGGTCTAACTTCAGCTTTCAGTATTAAAATTTTGAGGAAAAAAAAGGATAATGGAGAAAGGATAATGGAGCAAAATCAGACATTTCATTACAAGACCGAGTTCTTTGAATTCAGGGAGGTTAGTTGGATGCTATGATATTGATTCTAGAAACAGCCTGGTTTCACCACGGGGCATCTCATATTAAATGCAAATTATTTCAGCTTGTTTTTTTCACCATGGCAAATTACGCAAAACAATTGGAACAAAATGTACAAATTAATTGTAAGTTAAGTAGTAATAAAGCATGTTTGCATGAATGATAAAGTTGGTTTTACATCCTCTTTTGCCCCTTAATTAACACTGCATGATGGCAGCCACAGGAGGAAGATACAGAAAATATAAGTAGACCAACTGGCATGAAAACAATTTCTTTTCTTAGAGAATGAAGAGTAACGAATGGAGATATGCAAATAACTTTTAACAGAACCAACTGCTGCAAACCATTAATTGTAGTGATTTTAAAGCAAAATACTCTTTAACTTCATCATTTAGTTTATCAGGTTTGAAGAGGGTCAGGTCTGGGCCCAATTTCATAGTACTGCTTAACAGCCGACTTTGTGCTTACCAAGCCTCCAATCTATTTCATAGGGACCATTAAGCAGTAAGCATAGCAAAAGCAAGCTTAACCCCAGAAGAAAACTTTGCTTAAATCAGTGACGTAACAATAGAACTCTCCATGCGCGCGCAACCGTTAGCATGAAATAGTGCTTAAGCAGCAGCATGATTTTCTGCTATAGTAAGCACAACTTTTCTGCTTACTGTTAAGCAGTGCTAAGAAATTGGGCCATGTAAAACAATGGCAGTACTTTCAAAGTTAAACAAAATTGCAACCAAATTAAGCATACTTTAACTTTTTGGCAATTTGTTTGTTCAGGCCAATCTGCTTGGGACTTTCACATTGGTTATATTCAGAGAATACATCTTGTGCTGGATCTTACCACACTTTACCACTGGAAAGTTTTTCTGCATTTTTTCCTAGATTAAAAGTTGACATCACACTACTTTCACATGTACATTGAACAAATCCATCTGAAGTTGTGTATGGTGAACATGGTCTCTTCTCATGATAAATGGGAATGGGTTATATGATCGTGAATGATTTGTAAGACATCATTTATGATATACATGTTGTAACTGGTGTATGGAACACTAAATTTGGCAAAGCATTAATATATGCATGTTATGTATGTTGGTAATAAACATGCATAGCATTGTGCATAAACTTACATTGTCATACTATGGTACTATGATCTTGATTGTCCTCAAGGGTTTTGAATATTAATGTCGCTTCTACTTTAGAAAACACAATTAAAATATATGACAATGCCTGAAGCATTGTACTTTAAATTGGAATATTTTGAATTGAATTTTCACAGTGAGTTTTTTCAAATCCAATTAAAATCAAAACACGCAGGCATGTCAATGTGATAAAAAAAAAAATGTAATAATCCTGTTTTTCTGATTTTTTTAATCAAGCCATCTACTTCTTTAGGATTCCCAACATTTCATAAAACTAATACCATAGTATAACAAAACACTTGTCTATTCCGATATGTTCCATGGGTTGTATACACCCTTAAGGGCAAATTGCACCCCTGGCTTTGCATGTGCCATTTGTGCCCTTGGGCATACAAAACAGCACAGACCACATCAAAGCAGACAAAATGGCAATCTGTATTAGTACACATGTTGAACTCATATTAACGCAATGTGAGCAATGTAGGCATTGGGTTAGCGTAAGATGTCATTGTGAGATACAACGGGGGAACCATGCTATAATCATCACAGTATTCACTTACTCAACGTCAAGGCTAGAGAAATGGTGATGTCCATCCGGATACAAAAAAAAGAACAGCACACACAATCAGTCAAATACTCTAAATGACAGAAAAAGCTAGCCCTCTCTCTATTTATGCAACAATGCAGTAATCTGCTGTGCAATTGGCTATGGCAGTGCTGCAATAACGCTCTGCAATAAGAAACTCTAGTTGTCTTTTCCACAGTAACTTAAGGTTTGCATAAAAGGGAAAATAACATAATAAGCCAAATCACTATTAAATGTCCAATGAAACTGCACACTTCCACAAAGTTACTACCAGGATAAGCAATTCAACATATTTATGTGCAAAATAAACATGAATAAAAAAAACATTACGAAAACACTGAAGAAAAAATCTTGTGAACTATTCTGAAAACTGTTCTTATTTCTGATAACTCTTGCAACTGATTGTTAAAAAACAATTTAAAAATTGTTTTTTTTATGTAAATATTTTCATAATCATTCTCGATAGAGTTACTTTTTTATCTTCCTTTACTTCATAACAAAAGAATGACAAAAACAAACCTTAAACATAGCAGAGGTAAATTTAGTCTATAAGATGAAGTAGCTCACATCTTATTGAATTTTGGAAGACAAACATAACAAGAAACAGACAAAGCTTGTGATCTTACCTTTTGTCCAGTGGTTTGACCAGCAGCTGGTCATTGTGGGCCACATTGAGTGGCACTACAAACTTCTCTGACCCTTTGATTGTACCAAGTTTCTCAGTCCAGTTGGACACACGGGTGTAGATTTCCACATCTGACTCAAAGTGGTTGTAGAACTTGAGGAAAAAGAAAAGAAATTTGGATCCGAGGTGAAATATTACTCACAAATGCAAAGGAAATAGTTAAGTACTGGTTTGGTGTTTAATGACATTTCCTGACACACCAACCGACTCCTTCTGTGAATGTGCAACCATTGTAACATGCACCGACACTTTAAAGTGTCATAAAATATGAAGGACAACACTCTGATTAATCTTTACAACAACAATTGCAAAGCTCCAATTATGTAAACGAATGTATAAATGTCAGTCATGAGTCGCTGGAAAATATCATTAAAGTTCTTCAATAGATATTGTTTTAACCAAACATTATGGAGTTATACGTTTTGGGGAAGGTAATATATGTTTGACATCAGGATTATCGAAAAAAATTGTAGTGAACTTTATATGTTTTTGCAATTATAAATGAAAATATACTTACAAATGGGTCTTATTATGGTTTATTTATTTTTTATATATACTGCTTTAGAGTGTATTATAATTTACGTTATTTTGTTTTTGTTTTGCGATTTTAACTGTTTCACTGTAGAAAGTAATTTTCAAATCCTGCAAAATAATAAATGAATGAAATGAAATTATGAGCAGACTGCCTTACTTGAAGCGGTGATCTGATAGTGACTGTTCTGGAGTCTAGCTGAGCCTCAATATCCAATACCACTGAGATGACGGTAGCCGAGGGGGTCTTCTTAGATGGAGTCAGGTTATACAAGACCTTACCAGCACGGTATACAGCAATATGTGCTACTTCTTGATATCCTTCAATCTATGGGATGAAAAGCAACAAACAGTTACAATATGGAATTTATGCCAATGGCTTGTAAGCTTAGAAGTTAAATTAAGCCTATTCCATTCCAAACACTCTGATTTTGTTTTGTAAATGAGAGATCTATTTTATAAGGAAGCATGAAACTGCCTCTTCAACAACGGCATATTAGGTCTTGCATTAGTAAGACTGATTCCAAAACTTTACAAAGAAATGGAGTTGTTGCCACAAAATCGTCTCGAGGCTTCAAGCATAATTGAGCTCTTAAGACTGTAGCTCAGATGCAGTAAAATGACCACTTTTTGGGGAACTTGATTTGAACAATGTCATTTTAGAGCATTTGCATGAGTATAGTTGACTTGCCTAAAGCGACCCGCAAAGGATGGAAGTATGAACATAACACCGATATCACATACTGGAAAACCATTTTCACAGAATAACATATTTGCTACAGACAGGACGAATTTTTTGTCATAGATGAGGATAAGGATGCAACTAATTATGTTAAGAAATCAACTATAAACAAAGCTGTAAACAAACAAGTTGTTTACCTGGATGGATATTTCTCTATGGAGATCTGTTTCTCCTGATTTCAGGATAGATTTCTGCCTCGTGGATGCCATGACAGCAGTTGCTAAGGACAGACCCACTTGGGCGTTGTTCTTCAGGCTGTACTTGCCCTCAGGTGTGACGCCAGTCGGCATCTGAAGGGAGAAATCAAATCATTTGTTCTCATTACCCAATGTTTTACTCTTTTTGTTTTTGGCATCGGCCTGCCCCATCTCCTTCCAATAATCACAGGCTTGGCTCGAAAAGATATACATTTATTATTTATTTGATCGTATTTTTGATACTGTAATTTCATTGGTCTAGAACGGCCACGTGTACAGTCCATAAATATAACTCTTTACTTCATATACACGGCGTTGAATATAGATTACCTCATATACACTGCGTTGCATACAATTTACCTTATACACTCTGCGTTGAATATAAATTACCTCTGCATTGCAAGTGTGTGTAAGAGTTTGAACGGCACCGTTGGCTTCGTCTATGGTGCAATGCGCCCCTCGGTTGCTAAAAACACCGTATCCCATATCACAGCAGTCAACAATTGTTAAATATCAAGTGTGACTTGAACATAGCTCATGTCAAATTGGGGACTACTGAAAAGGAAATTATTGAAGGCAGCCTAATATTTATTAGCGTACACAGGTACATGTACATGCACATGTTGATGTTTAAGGATCTGAACTAGTATGGCATTGCCTGGCTCAGAGGATTTCAAAAGTTTAAGGTTTTAAGAGGGGATAAATGTCACATGAATCACCACTGCCTAAGTAACCACTTACATTTCTCATTCTCTGAATATGAACTACCATTGGATATAATACAAATATCCTAAATATCACATTTACACTATAAACTCTCTCAAATACAATAAAAAATGTATGATTCATTATGACCATTTCCATTTCTCAACATCTTCAGCAATGATGCCTGGAAAGTAGCACTTCATTAAACCTACTCTCAAAGGATTTTTCAGAGAATGTCAAAATTTGGCTGAGATATTTAAGTTTGCAAAGACAGTTATTATAGATAGTTCATAACACGATCACTTTCATCAATTATGGGTTCTTTTCATAGCTTGTTCTGTGCATCCCAAAAGGACTACTGTCAGCCCAAAAGGCTCCCCACTGCCAAACTGAGAAGGAAGGAAAGAAAAGTAGACCATTGTCCAGGAAAATGTTGCATTTTGAAACGCTGAATTGAAGTACTTACAGCGTAGTAACTTCCAGCTTGTACAACCAGCGGCAGGCCGGTGCGGTTGATCACTGTACATGCAGGCACGACTACATCATCTTTGATGGTTGTGTTAGGATCTGACATAGCCTCACCAAATGCCTGATGATAAAACCATAATAACACAAACAAAAAGGTTTATATATTGAACAACAGAATGACAACTTCTAGTGCAACTACACAACTTGGTAAATAGGTATCTACAATCCTGGCCAAAATGGTTAGGTCATGTCCACACAATAAGCATACCCTCCCCGGTCTCCCGGTCCCCCGCTCCCCCGCTCCCTCGGTCCCCCGCTCCCGCAATGAGAAACATTGGCCGGGGGCCGGGGGATGGGGGCTCAGCGAGTTTTGGTAAAATAAGTGTCAGTTGATGCCACATTAATTAAAAAAAGATTTTGGACGCCAAATACGTTTGTGCCTGAAAACTCATATTTACTGTCCAAATCAAAGAAATGACATTTAAAGATTATTAAATTCTCGCAAATGACCTGTAAGGGAGACATTTTTTGCTAAAAAATTATACTCAGGGAGACAAGGTAGATTAGGTACTAACATATGAATGTCTCCCTAGTGTTTCAAGTCCTATTTCTAGGCATCATTTTACCGTCTCAAATAGTGCGAATAGCCTAAATCAATTACTCGTTATGCAAAACCCAAAGTTCTAAAGCTTGGTGAGAGTAGGTTTAGTTTAGGTAAGGGTTAAGTGTCATTAAAGTTCAGATTTGTTTGTGCAAAAGTCTATGGGAATGTCTCCCAAAGAGACAATTTCTCGTAATCTATATTATGTTTATAATTTTACGAAAATCTATCTGACACAAAACTCAAAATATTCTTGGATGACAAGTTGGCTTTGAATCATTTTTTTTTTTACATTTTGCCTTATTTTAAGACTTATTTCTATTTCCTTTCAAATAGCAGACTAAGTGTTCACCTTGCCCAAGTTGGTCAGCATCTCCAGACATGTCTTGGTCAGGGTCAATTGAAGCATACTGCTGGAGGATAAGGTGACAGTCATGACAGGAGGGGCAAGGTGGATATTGTCTTCTTCCTCTTCTGCCTCACCGGAGGCTGCTACAGATGAGACGTCTAACAGATCATCATTCTTGACAACCTGAAGAAAGAAGCAATGACAGATTATCTTTACAAAACTTGTACATCAATATGACACCTCGCAAGTCAATTTTAGGGTGAGACTACAGTAACACCCATAATCAGTTACGAATAGCTTTTCCAAAAATTAAAACTGGATCGTTTTATAATTTGGAGTCCACCTTTATTTCTGTCCCTGTTAAATGTGGCATTTTCTTATTCTGATGCACTCTTTAATGCAGTCATCCTCCAAGAGCGATTATGAATTGCAAATCACCTATCTTAAAATTAAAGAAAATATGTTTGAAGTTGTTTCTAATACTTGAATGGCAAATAACAAAGCACCAAAGTAACAGGGACAGGAACAATCTCAGACTTTGGACCAGGCCCATCGCCAAGGGGGGGGGGGGGGGGGGGGGGGGGGGGGGGGGGGGGGGGGGGGGGGGGGGGGGGGGGCGGGGGCCCCCTGACAAGCAACTGCCCCCCCCCCCCATCGGCAAAAACCATAAGCGTCAAAATTATATATAAGTGTGTTTTTTACTTGTAGTGTGCCCCCCTAGTTTGTACTGTGCCTCCCCCCCCCCCCAATGCCAGGAGCTGGCGACGGGGCTGTTTTGGACCTTTTCCAACACCTTGCTAATGGGGCAACAATGAATTAAAATCCTTGTCAATTTTGTAAATCATACATTCATTATTCAACCTTAACCCTCTCCAACCCTTCAAAATCCAACTGCATGTTTTGTAGGAATCTGTTGGAACATGGTTGGAGTGAGGACTGCACTAGTAAACTGATCATGCTTTACATGGGGTCAGGCATACCACCAATAATCAGAGTCCAACAGTTTGGGTGTAGAGATGCCATATGGGTGTTGGATTTTGCAAGAGTGAGGAAGGATTCTAGTACATCACTCACAGGGGTTAGGATTATCTATAATTTAAATTAATGTAAACGTAAACAAACGTAAAAAGCAATCCCTTAATGTGATGCTTATTGAAAATTTTCCCATAACATTTGCACATTTTCACCCAACGCAATGTTTTTTTCCAATCAGAAAATCAATCCCTCACATTATTTGGTCCCCAAGTGCATACGTAGCAACATTATGATATCAGGAATTTCTTCTCTTTGTAATATTTTTAAAAAAAAAAACAACAGTATAAGTTTCAAGGGCTCTTTACTTGCATACATGTGTTTTACCTGTAACATTTCTTACTAAACATGATGACATTATTACAGTTGAGGGTGAGTAACTATTTTTATGTCAACAACTTTTTAATGTGACATCATTATTCCTGTATCGGTTGGATTTGTTATTCAATTAGATTTGTTATTCCTCAGATCATAATGGCAAGCAAGTGCAGAGATGGGTGCTGCTCATTATTGAGATCAAGGTTGTTCTTACCCCTCATTCAAACTTTGCTTTTGCCACATCACATTCACAGTTTGGACTGCCATCGTTCAAAATACTAAGGGAATATTTTTCAATTTTTAGCAAAATCTGTTATCAACCACATTTAACATTTATGTAAAGAACTGGCCGGCCATTGAAAAATGCTCTCATAATGTGTAAAAAAAAAAAAGGAAGGTCAATACATAAAGTCTTTCATAACGGAGGAAGGGGCGAGAGAGAGAAACAAGGGGCAACCTACATCCAGATTGATGTCCCATGCTTTATGCTGGCCAGGCTCTGCTTCCAAGGGTTCCAGGAGAGGTTCCCAGGCTGAAGCCTTCTCATTGTAGCAGGCTATCTCAGCAGTCATACGGGTCTCAACATGTAACTGCAAAAAGAACAGAAAGGGTACACGAATGATGTCAAATAAAACACATATGCTTTCCGAAGAAATCTTTCACATTGAACTTTTCCTTGGAATCTGACGTGATTGAGGGTCTACTCTTCAAACAAAATATCTGAAACTGTGGTTTAGACAAAGCAAGTTAATAAACCCACCTTAGATGACCAATCCTTCACCACTGCCTCCATGCTAGCATCCACTGTCAGCATGGGTACTGTACGTCTGCCTACGCTAGCTTCAAGCTTGATGATGATACTATTGATAGTTGCAACCAGTTCTTCTCCCTTAGGCTGCTCTACTGCACCCACTACTGCCTCCTCAAGCAACGTGGTCACATCTACTCCCTCTGTGGATTCATGAGCAAATATAGGAGTAGTGGTGGCATTCAAATCAGGACATTTTAAAATTCTGTTTGACTTCCACTATTTGGTTTGGATTTTGGTAACCGTATATTCAAAACTACCCTTTTTGTGACACAAGATAAAATGAAATCAACTGCGGAACATCCATTAACTGCCTCCATGGTCTCTGACTGGAATCAAATCCACTCGCTAGCAGTCTTTTTTGTTTATGAATAGCCTGCCCCTTGACTGATCAGCGAATTCCAACCTATTGTTTTTGTAAAGGCCCAGTGGTCATTGGATCCCGCAAACTATACCGTAACCTTTTGTTGGCATGACTGTGAGCTGAATGGGATCTTCCGGCGAAATCAAACAATCATCATTCAGTTTGAAAAAAATTAGGATAACCAGATTTTGAAATCTTCAATTTTTACCACCACTGTAGGAGTGTCAACCTTTGAGTTTACTCATGGTAAGAACTCTTTCAGTCTTGAACTCAGGATATCCTGGAGGAATTTTGCAACAATAAACCAGCCCAGTGATAGTTGGAAACACCTTTTTAAATACTACATCGAGCCCAAACCCTCATGGGTGCACATTATGAAGGTACATTTGTACATGCAAATGACTTTTCCAGCATGACACATCCAGGACTCAGGTACGACCCGTCACCTATATGGGTTTTATGCAAGACAAATTTAAGAGCTGCACTTCAGTTTTATTTTGTCTCGTTTTCTGGCACTTATGGGTACAAACCATTAAACAGGTCAGAGGAAAGGCATCGGCTATAAATTACTAGCCACAAAAATCAATCCATACCATAAAACTATAACTTTAGCTATGTGGTATGGACCCCTTGCATAAACATGATGGTGTTTGTTACCACTCATGCAAGCTCCGTGTGCAGGAACATTGCGTGCCTGCATTGATAAAGGTGAATGTGTGGGCGTATGGCAGCAATGCATTCCAAAGGCCTACCTTGATCTCTGTTTGTGACCATTGAGAGGGGTAATTGTGCATGGAGTTCATATGGAATTGTAGAAGATACATTGAATGTGAACAAACTTCTGTCAATACAAGTAGCAAAACTAGGCCAATAAACACAAAGCTACAAATGCCAATGATCCCACTCATGCCACCGTTCAAACTGATGGCACTAGCAACATTTTCTGGAGCATTATATGAAGACAAGCATCAGCACCAAGAAAGTGGGATTTTTCACACAAAATGTGATTTACAACAGATAGTAGGAAGTCCTGCCAAAACTTATGGACCAAGACATAAGTCCAGCCTGTTTTGTAAGGCACAGTTTTAAAAGGACGACTACGGTTCAACTCATACTGACTCCTGTTTCACGGACGAAACCATGATAACTGATAGCCATCAGTGTTACTCTTACTTTCTTCTTTCAGGAACCAGAAATTACAGTCTGCGATCTTCTTGGCATCCCACAAGTCAGCCGGAACAATGGCTTTACTACGTTTCTCCTCAGCTGTTTCCGTCTGAGTGTAAGAATTCAACAATTCAGAAACTAAGAATTGGTGATTAATCACTGTGATATTCTCTTTTGAATTTTTTTAAATTTTCAATTCTAAAACATTATATGTATGCAAAAGCAACAGATGATATGGGATTCCCTTATATAAATGAAGTTCAGCTTTGGAGGAGAATCATATAGTGTGTGTACAATAGAGACATACAATTAAAATTTTCCACTTTAATGGAAGCATAATGAACATTTAATGGAGGTTGGTCACGTATTTTCTGATGAAATTAGTCAGCCATTTCAAACTGAAAACATGAATACATTATGAAACACGAAAAAGTCACTGTTTTGACAGCAGCATTCTAATATTTGATTTAGTGTTTTCTAAAACAGACATTTTCAAAAAGGAAAACCTAGCTGTAAGCGGGCCATTTGCATTTTATGGTTTCTTCCAATTAGGGATGGGACGGATAACAAGATATCCGATACACAACCAAAAATGGTGGGCACCTGGTTCCATTTCTTCAGTTACCCAAAACGTCTTTGCTGCATTTATAAAATGCTTCCACACAAAAGGATTCTTTGTTTCAAGTCAAGTTGGCAACCATTTCAGATTATGGCTGAAAGTAGTTACATCCTTTTCTTTGATCCTAATTATATACAATCCCTGACACCCAATGTGGACTTGACTATGTATCATTTACTAAGTGTTTTGTTATAGACTAATGCGGCGAAAGAAATTAGAAAGCATTACTGAGGTGGAACCACATATGTACGCATGTTTCACAAGTTCTTTAAGTCGAGACGTGTGCACCTCTTGGTAACCCTATTGGTCAAGTGCGTGTGTACCACCTGCACCCGAACATGTCAGAATATAAAGATCAGTGGATCCACCTAAGTAACGGCTGGTTGCCAAATTAGTCCACAGATCACCTCAAATGCATTTGTTGTTAGTTTTCTGCAGGTACCCGGCCACAGGCGACAAGTAACCGGTTTCACAAATACCTTTTAAAACACCCTTATTTTTAATTATTCCAGGAATGGCCTAGATAAAACGGTACCTTTGGAGGAGTGAGCGTCTGACTGACGGAGCTCAAGACTTTGATGACCTCGGGACTGATGTTCAGAGCCAGCTGTTCAATCAGCAGGCTGATATGTTGACCTTTGCCGTCTGGGGTGTTCAGGTTGAAGTCAACGTTACATGGAACCAGCACCTGCTCAGGAATAGTATCAATGAATTAATTGACGGAGACTATACATAGAAGATTAGCTTTGAACTTGGTACTCTTAAACTTTCCGCTTTTCCACTCTGATTGCTTCAAATGTAGGTTTTTTTCAGTAGGCCATATGGGACATTTACTAATTAATTTAGACTGTTGGCTTTAACATCCAAATCCGAAACCTGTCATTAGATTATACAGTGTAGAAGGCCCAACAACTGACTGCTTTGCCCATCCTGTGGTTTGAATCCTGGCAGCAGTCACTGACAAATAAAAATAAGACCTTCATGTATCAAGATACGATCCAAGACAGTTGGCAAAGTCAGTGTGAAAACAAACATTGGAGGCACTGATTTTTCCAGTTTCAGAATAAATAAAACTTAACAAAATCAAATCCATAAAAAAATAATTGAAAAAAATGAGTTTGTCACTTCCAAGCATTACCCGGATGTTTAATTCCTTTTAAGAGTTTGTGTACATTATATTGTTGATGGTGTGTATTTACAGAAGGGATATATTAAATTGTCTATGTTCATGAATTTGCTTGGTTGTTAAGTTGTACCTCAGTCTCTCTGCATGTGTTGTATTGCCTATTTGTGCACTGGTTACTTTACCTTGGTCATTTTGCCTTTGCGTTGGTCTTCCAGGTAAGGGCAAGCATTGATACGCAACTGTTGCAATCCTCCTTTGATGGACATGGTCTTTCCTGATATTGTCATGTTCACCTCTCCCAGAGTCTGTAAAGTATAAGACACAATTTTTACTTTGATGTTGATTCTTCTGAGGGAAACTGATGCTAAATCTAGCTAAATTCAGAGGTGAAGTCTGAATGGCAATGTTATAGATTCACTCAACAGGTGAGATTGAAATTGGAATAAAGAGATATCACATGCAAATTTGAATTAAGATATCTGATATGATTATTGCAGTTCTATATAAAGATGATTGAAATGAAAACGATGACAATGACATGAAATCAAATCCACTTGAACCACTGCAATAAGAGATGAACAGTAAACTCTCATTAAGTCAACTCTTTAAGGAATTGATAAAAAATTGGAGGTATCCTGAGTTTGAGTTAAGCAAAGTTCTTAATTTTTCTACAGTCATGTCATCTACACGTACATGTATGTACATGAATGGCTTCACCGTAACTCACTATGAAACCTTATCGTCAATGTACACAATCCTGTAGCATTCTCATTTTAATATGCACCTGAGTGTGGGTCTACCATGGCACTCACGTGTCCTTCCTCTCCCTTTCTTTTTCAAATGTGAAAGGGGAGGACGTACTTGTGGAGGGAAGACATAGGATTTCTTGACGACCGCAACAGACCTACCTTCAGAACCAAAGCATTAGTGTCCTTCTTGGAAGAGTCTGCTACTAGCACAATCTCAGGGTTATCCAGCAGGGCCTTGATGGTGATCACCCCTTGCTGGGGAGCATCCGGGTCCTCTGGGGTACCTGTCGGGGTGTTTGTGGGGGTTTGTGTCGCCGTCTTGATGGGTTTCTTTTTCTCCTCCGTCTTGGCCACTGCACTCTCTTCCAAGCCTTTGGTGAAGATCTCGGCTACAGTCATCAAGAACTCGGCACAGACACAGGCATGGAAGTTCCTGACTGATGCCTCAACTATTCCAACAACACAAATACAAAACTTGTAAGGCACAATTGGGATAATTGGATGATAAACAAATGGCTGTTGTCTCGAATATCATTTAAGCAAGGTGAGTTGACTGTTTGGATGAATGCCAGAGCTTCTCTCCTACGAGCTTGATTTGACTGCCTCATTGAACTCATTTCAAACTAATTCTTTTTGTCCAATAGGACATTGTCGTTCTCTGAAGAATGGTTGGCACTGTTGAAGTGTGCGTACAAGGCCAAGTCCCCACATCCTGAACTAGCCCTCCATATGCTGATACATACTTTCCGTTTAGCAAATGCCTCACGACTTTGTGGGGCCCACAATACCTTTCACATCATGTATGCATACACATATGGTTAGTTATCGTTACCAATATAAATAAAAGCTGTAATCCAAAACGGCAGCCTCCAATGAAAGTTTTGTATCTGCGGTTAATTTTGCTTTGAGACACAGACAAATGGCGCATGTATGTTCAGCAATTCATCCTCTTTCAATCAAATCATAAATTATTAAATAACATCAAAAGAGAGGATAAAAATCGACAATTTACTATGCGTTTCACAGTGACACGTTGTGCAAGACAATCTGTGCAGTGTAGTGGATAGCGAGTTGTGAATAACTCACAAGATCACGCAAACTGATGACCTCTCCGGTGCGCCAAGCATATCTGTTCACCTGCAAATTTCCTCTTATAATATATCTAGTCCTAGTCTACCTGCCCGGATGACAGGGAACATACATAAGCATTCATCTACTCACTGTTTTTGTCCTGGTTGGCTTTCTGCTCAAACTTGACCGAGATTGTTTCCATGTCATCAGAATCATCGCCATGGGAACCAAGCATCCTGTGGAAGGGAAACAAACAAGCAAACAATTGTTTTATCATTTCCACAATCTGGTCCTAAATTGTGGATTAATTACAAATTTTCCAAAACATTTAAAGGAAACCTGAATTACACAAAAGGGACAGGCTTCGTTCATGCGACCTTCGTTTGAGCTCAACATATATAGCACAAATATTTATCGATTTTTCAAACCTTTTTAATTTACGAAACCTTAGAAGCACAGCAGCACTTGATTACATTCGGGGTATACGTAGTTAAGTTTTTACGTTTTCAATGACTGCCCCCTATTATGTCAATCATTGCAGATTTATTGTGTCAATCACTCCAGTCTACAACTGCAGACATAATGAGCAGGGGTCAGCCTTTGTGAAACGGCCAACGTTTAAACAGTTATTAAAATTGTTTTATGTTTGCAAAATTAAAACACAAAGTCACATCCTTACTAAGTATTTACACCATGTTGATTGGGCATATGAGTGTTTGGATATATACCCGACACAGGTAGACAAGAAATGTACAAATATTTGCAAAAGAACTCAAAAATGTATCTGAGTCTTTTTGTATCAAATACTTGTACATTTTCAAGAAATCTTTTCAGCAGACCTATTGAGATTTCTACCCATCATCAAAAGTCCAAGTATTACATACATGTACTAGTTTTGTTTTTAACTCTTGGTAACATTTTCTTGCACCCACCTTGTGATACCATCGCCTCTACCAGGCCTGATGTCATCCAGGAGTATCTTAGCCAGTTTAGCAGCGGCCGTGATAGCCTGGTTGGACTGAATGCTGGCCTTGACTCCAAGCTGACAGATGGCAAAACAGCCCAATGCTTCATGGGCTACCCGCTCCTGACGTCCCTCGTTTGCACGCTACAATAGGTCAATGTTATAATGGCATAAAAATGGAGATATTTTGTCACACTTACATGACTTAAGGTTTGAAGGAGTGCATGTGCAATGGTTTTTCTTCAGTTGCTTATTACTCAGCGTTCAAAGAAGTATATTATGTGAAAACAAGTAAAATTAAAAAGAAGTTTGGCAATGCAAATGCAATCACTCAAAACACTGAACTGAATACTACAGACACTGTTTTTTGTTGGTTTTCTTCACACAAATGTTCCCTTGAAGAACACTGACCACTTAGAAACAGAAAAAACAATTCTATTCTTCCCCCTGCACATGAAAACCAAATTTTGCTTTACATCCCACACTTCTAAATAGCTTCACCGACTTTGTCCATCAATGAGTTACTACAGAACTTTCATTCACACATTGGGGAATTACGAGGAACTTTAAAACAATGTCAGCTTAAGACAAAGTTAAGGTTGGACAAACTTTCCCGTAAGGCCGAGGAAAAGTGAAAATGATTCGTTTTGCACCGTGCTGGGCAAAATGCATTACACTGCAGCATGCAACTGCTTATTTTAAGCATGGCACTTTCATTTTACTCACTGTGTATCGCACATGTGAGTTCCAACGTGGTGTGTCATTTTTTCATTGTGGGGGATTCTTAATTTTACTTCAGTCAGCATGGTGAGAGCACCACCCTTAGATATGCCTGGTGAAACTGGTTATGATTCAACCTACCAGGTCTAGTTTCCCGGTATACAGGGAGGCACAGATCCCTTCCAGTTCAAAGTCAACACAGATCTGTTCCCATGGCTCCTCAGTTGTCTCTGATGGTGGGGGTTCTGACTGGGACTCCTTTGTCTTCTCTGTGTGAGTCAAACACACACGCAGGGGAAAATAACAAGTCAGAAATACCCGAGACAGTTTACCCATTCCTGTTGGTCGAGAGCCTGTCATGTGTGTGGTTTTAAACCACCAATAAAAACACTGCTGCATTCTGCGCCACTCTGCTTGCCCGCCAATTTCCAAATAAGGAGATATTAAGTGCAATGTGCACGAGGCACATACCACAGACATGGCTGGAGGGGTGTTTCACAAAACCTGAAGTAAAACTGTTGAGCAAAATCGTTGGAAATCTGTGACTTTTGGGCTTCTTTTGACTTTTTTGACTGAAAGGTATTGATGAATGGGAATAAATTATGTGCTTGACCGGTATTAAACAAGTCATTTAAAACTGGCTAGAAGCTTTGGCCCTTATCTGCGTCCAGGCCCCTAGGCAGTTCTAAATGTACTAGTTTAAATCCGGCCAAGCACATTTATTACCCAATTCACAACCTACCTATTTTACTTGATATTTAGAAGACTTTATACATATTTTCCAGACTTTTGTGGGTCTTCCCTTCAAAAATAAAATATTAACAGCGAAGCAGCACTTACTAAGTGCATTTCATCTTTAAAACCTTCACAGGCATCAGTTTAAATAACATGAGTGTAGGAGAGAAAAGGATGTTTCAAGTGTGGGAAACAGACTTAAGCAGTTCACGTTGGATGACGTGTACATGTATACACGCAAAAGTTTTGCAGTATTTGGAACGGATGACGGATAAACATGCAACGGGCGAGGCCGGAAATATCTGTCAGCGACCCGCTCGCAGCAAGCAAGCCGGAAATATCAGGGTGTGCTACCCGCAGATTACGGCCTGAATTCATCCGGCATCAAGGTTCGTGAAAACAATCCCGCGCCTGGGTCCAGTCAATGTCAAAATAATCCCGGCACGAACTGGTTAAGATATTGTATACTTAATCGTCAGGTGAGGAATTCTAAGGGGGCAATGTTGGAAGCCAGTCACAAATGATATAGGTCTGAGAAACCTGTCCATGGCAAAAAAGTTCCATTTTTCCCTGAAATTTGTCTTTAAAGACTTTGATTTCCAATTTATGTTTTTGTCACTACAAGTCATCAAATTGGGTCCATCAGGCAAATATTGAAACTCTAAAACTCTACTTACCCATTTTTGCCGCAGTGGTTGCAGTCCCTCCTTCTGCCTTGGTTTCCCCACCCGATGCGGCAGGGGAGTCCTCACTAGGTGTGTCGGGCTGCCCTTCAGCTATGTTCTCATTCAGTATGCCCATCATCAGGGCAAAGTCATCAGGACCTATGCAAACCTACAGTAATAGTGACATTGCTGAAATTAACAAAATACCTCATGCAGCTTGTAGTATTTTTCCAAAAGTTAAACTGCCCCAAACCATCCCAACACGGTATGATTTTGATGAATTCATCAAAGCGTAAGTACAATGTAATACAAGTGCATTGACAGTAAAGACACAACTATGCAGCCTATATTACACTTAATTCTCAAATTCCCCCACTCTTGCAATTACAATGGAGACAAGAGGCCAAATGAACATATTTGTTTTTATTTTGATCGACCAAAACGTAAAATTGGCAATGAAAACTGCTGCTATTAACTTCTAAATGAAAAGTGTCTCGCTTTAGCTTTTTGATCAAATGAGAACTTAACGTTTCTGGGGCAAACTTTCTTTATACTAAAGACTCTTTCTTGAGAAGTCATTCAAGTAAGGCAAAACTTTTCCCACAAGCTTTATATAATACACCAAGATTCCAGACAATATTTTTTCAAAACCCAGATCCTTCAAAAATATTTCTTTGCAAAAATAATTCTAAGGCTACACACAAACATTTCTTCATTGACATTACCTGGATTGATGTGTCCAAATGATTTGAACAGGAACAGTCTATTTCAATTATATTTTTTCTCAAGTTGAACAAAGAAATTGACTGGAGCAGGGTCTGAGCCTGCGACCTCTAGATTACCGTTCCGGTGCTCTACCAACTGAGCTATCCAGCCCTGTGTTGGCGATTCCCCGATTTGTCAATACCCCTGTTCAAGGGTGTTAGTTAGATCTGTATTCATATTTTGTTTTATTTTAACTTTTTTTTTATAGAGATAACTGTTTCCAAACCTTGATAGTCTGTAGTTTTCCAGACAGGGCTACTGCCGGGGCATTATGGTACCAGCTAGCTGCTAGATTACGAGTCAAGTCAACATTCAAGCCCATGGGTTCTAGCATCAATACTTCTGACTTGATACGACCTCCCTCCATGATGGCTCTGCAAAAAAGGCAACATAACCATTTCATCATAGTGTAATCCCATAAAAAACTACACTTACTAGGGGAATAAGCCTGAATTTCATTTTTTTTAAACCCAGCTTCTAATGAACAAAAAATAAATGTTCATGAGTTCAATAGTAAGTATAATTTCATGAGGTGACAAATGGACTTTTCCATTCCACAAGGCAAAGCCGAGTGGAATGGAACATTTCATGTTTTCAATAAAAGTATTCTTTTCATTGCACGGATGCGAAACATTCATTATTCGTTTTATCCAACGCCTAAATAAATCCTGGAAACCATCTGCCATTTTGTGTGAATAATGTACAACATCAGAGCCGTGTCGCGTCAGCAATAGTGTGACTGTGCAGTGTAACTTCTATTTACTGCAGAATCGAACATCTATTCTTGACTTAACACAGGCCCTGTGAGGCCTGGTATACTGTACAGTGCACTCAAAATACTTTACACCAAATGTGCATAAATCCTCATAAAATGTTGTGAATTGTCTGTTCAATATGCTTGGATATGCACATGTACAATTGAGAAACACAGCCTATAATGGTTGGACAAAGGTTGGTTGTATTGCTTATCCTACACAGCTGCATGTATTAACCCTAACCTTCCCAACTCCATCAAAATCCATCCCCCATTTTGGGGGATTTTGGCAGATAAGCCATGTGTACCAAGTCCATTAAAATCCACCAGCACCAGTGGTGGATTTCCATGGATTTGGTCCTGAAGCATTATGTGAAGCAGAGGGAGTGATGGATTTTGACGGACTTGGCCCTCTACTTAGTAAAACTAAGCAGGGAGTTAGGGTTAAAGTGTACATTTTGTAATGAATGTACTTCTTTTCCTACATCACTGTACTTCACAAAGGGTCTTTTATAAGTACACTGATGTGTACATGTACATCATGATTCTACCGCTAGTTAACCATTGTCACATGTGGCAATATTCCTCATACTGGGAGCAACTAACCTAGAGAGTTGGATTGACTGCAAGGCAACCTCCATCTTATCCAGCACAGCAGGCAGCTCTCTGCTCTCAGTGCCTGCTGCAATACTGAAGGAGTTCTGTACCAGTAACTGGCCCAAGTCAGCCACTAGAGCCTTGTCTGAGTTATACCCCTTAGGGATGATGATCAGTGGGGCCTTGATGACAATGTCCAGGGCGATGCGCACACAGCGCTCCTGCAGATTCTCAGCGGTCTTCTTAGCAGCGGCTGCAGCATTGGCGCTGGCTTCGGCTGCTGCTGCCTTGGCACGAGAGAACTGATCAACAAAAGACTGAGGAAAAAACAACAACAAATTCAGTTTCCTTTGCTATTTCCAATAAAATAAAAATTGGACATCCAAATCATATAACTTCCACAAGCTTCTCGGGTTCATCCTTGTCACCTTCGATTTACTGATATCACTAGAAATGTAATGGGAGAATTTCCGAATTTAACCCTCCTTTTGTTCTTTCGGTCACAATCAATCAAGAGACTGTTTTCAACAACTAAGAGCTCACAGCCTACATAAAGCAGGATAGACTGGCTGTGACTGTTTATGTAACTTGATACAGCTACGTTTGACTGCAGGTGATTGATAAGCCAGCTGTGCCTACTTCTTGCCTGCATTTGTCTGTTGACTGAAGTTTACTAGTCACAGTGCTAGTAAAATATGATCTGACTGCTGGGGAGTAACCTGTGTAAAAGGTATGGCAGGGGAAGAGGATAGATTTTTTGACTGTCTGTGACTGTTCAAACAGCAGAAGGGTTAAAGGGAATAAAAGTATCCTGCAACAATTTCAAATGGCTTATTCAGAAATTTGTACACTTTTTTGGGTCCTTTCCACATACTCATTTTTTTACAAGTCATCAAGATGTCTGGTTATTTCTTGATTTAAAATTGCAACTTGAAACAAAGGTAATCCTTTCATTCACATTACCCCCTGTTACATGTGATCTTACTAGTGAATAACTTGCCTACACTTCTGCATGAAACCTTGCAACAATCTAATAAGACTGTTCACATAAAACTGACATAGCAGGCACCAATATAAGTTGAGGATTGCAGACATATTCAAATGCACCTCGGGCTAACTGTGGTCATTAACACAGTGCTGTAATATAATAATAATAATAATAATAATAATAATATGAGTTCATGTGGACGTGCGACTCACCAACAGCCTCATGACAAACTTATTGAGGAATATAGCTCTCATTCTTCCCATGCTCAGCCCCACACGGATGTCGACACAGCTCATATCAGAGTAGCCATCGGCTGCAGTAGCTCCGTTAAACAGCTCTGCCTTGACTTTGAATACTTCATCGTCAACGATGGAAACAATCTATGAAAGCAAACACATCGCCATAGTTGCTTAACATGGGTACCAAATCTGTAATTGTCCCCTCATTGTTTCACCTATTTTTAAGTCAGTCAGACTCTACTGAAGGTAGTCACTTGTCAGTTACATTCTGCTAACTACCAGCCCAATAGGGACCAAGTTCATCATCAGTACTTCAAAGTAGAAGTGCATTGCATTATTAAATTTTAAGTTGAGTTACATTCCTGTGTGTTCCTGTTGCCATTTCTTTGTCACATTTTACTGCAAGCCCACAGATATTGGGTACAGTTTTGGTTTTCGTTTCAAATTCCAATGACCAGATCCAACAGAACAAGTCTTAAGGACGTTTTCCACTGTGCTTTTTGAATATGTATTACAATGAGTATGCACAGCTCATGACTCAATTACAAATTCTCATGAGCACAACGTGTGGGTGAAAACATTGACTGTTCCTTAGATTTCCATTGTGCAAGATGTGCTCGAGGGCCTTTGACTCAAAAGAAGATTGCTGCTTCATCCTCGTGGTTGTGCACTTTTTGATAAAAGCATTTTTTTTCCGGTCAGTCCCAATGCCATTAAGTCTTGGTTAGGCTCCATGTGTAAATATGGATGATACATTGGGAACAAAATTGAGTTCCCTTAATCACAGCAATGCCTTCTAAGACTCCAGAAGTACCTAGAAATAACAAAACCAACATAAAGTGACCTCCTGGCGTCTGGCAACTGACCTTGGGATGTAGAGCTCCTGGTGTAGGGTCAGTGACAGTGATGTCATGCAAGGAGGCAGTCACTGTTGTCAAGTGTTTCTGAAGCAGAACACCAGCTTCCAATCCTAGATGAAGGGTAATCAAAAGTAACATTTTAAAAACCTGAGTGTGTGTGTGCTGGCTTTATGTAGATGTATCACCTAGTCCACTGGTAACCACTTCCTAAGACGGCATGACAATCGTGAAATAAATACATGTGCTCACAGAGAGCACATTACTTGCAAATTCATAGTTGGTGTTCCTTTTTGCATGTTTGGAACATGTTCGTAATTTTATAAAATAGTCAATAACTGAGAAAGACAAATGAATAAAAGGAAAAAAACAAACCGTTTTGCACACTTTGAAAATGGTGTCTTGTTGGCAAGGGGTCCAATGACATGTGGTCTCTATACTTTCAATAGTATAACTCCCTGGGAATATTTCAGACTTAAGAGGAGGATTGTTGATTTAACCACTTAATTCAATGATGTGTGCGTGTTAATAAGGGAATAACAGTGTGAGGAGCCGGTCTTCACTGCGTGATAATGACCGGGTGTGGGGGTGACCGCTGTTAATGGACCGAGACGAAGTCGAGGTCCATTAACAGCGGTCACCCCCACACCCGGTCATTATCACGCAGTGAAGACCGGATCCTCACACTGTTATTCCCATTAATAAATACCTTTTTAACGAAATAAACAGTTAAAATGCTCCAATTTTGTGACTTTCTTTCGGCGATATTTCCAGACTTTTTTGTGTTCATGTTCATGGGCCATATTTTAGCCTAACAGCTATAACGACGTAAACTCAACAGAAACTGCTGCCGTAGCGAAACAAATTACAACAATGTTTTCATATCTTTACCTGATGGAGGAAGCTGAAATCTCGTTTACACATTCCTTGTGTCCGGAATTACAAAGATGCATGGTTTAGGAAAGGTAAATATGTCGGTGGGTGAAGTGTTAAAAGAAAATAAATCGTAGATCTACGCTTTCGTCGTAAACATCCTCAGTATATACTGCACTGCTGTACGATGTCGTTTCAAAACTTCCTTACGCGCGCGCACGCACGCATCCCTAGCAACTGTGTTGCGTACGCGAGTCAGTCTCACGCGATGGGGGTTGAGCGCATGTGCAGTGCTCTATTGTTACAAGCTACCGCAGGACTGTTACTATATTTTGACCAATCATTGGCTTGCATGGGGCTGAACGGGGCTGGATCAATGCTGGTTCAGGGGCCATTTATTCGCTTGATCTTTGAAGCCGGTCCATTATCACCGTTAATGCCCGGCCACGTGATCGAGTCTCGACCAATCAGAAACCATCAACTCTCCAAGGTATTTATTAATACTATTTTTTCCCATAACAAAAATTGTTCTTAATGCTGCCTGTTGCTATATCAGTTTAAAACCAGCCAGCAGACTCAGCAAGCTCAGTAGTTACGTGGTCATCACAGGAAGAGGTCATGGGTTCGAGTCCCACCCAAGTAACCTTACGACAGCACTGAGCACACAGTTAGGTCAAGAAGGGCAAATCCAACATTACACTGGTCACTATCACATGATAATATGAAGTGATGTTTAAACAAATATAATTACCTTTGATGTATACCTCTGTGAGGCAGGTATCTTTTGTGCACAGGACCAGAGAGATGACATCTAGATTAGCAGTCACTTTGACATCAATCACATCACTAGGCTTCACTTTCTTGACCCTCTTGCCTGAAAAAAAACAGACAAAATGTGCTTATATTCCAAGGGAAGAATGCATCATTTTGAGTTAATGCAGATACTAAACATAAGTACTTATTTCAGAGATGCTGTGTGTATCTGATTTCAAACCTTAATCAACGTTGCCAAGGAGAAAGCTAACTCAGGAATGGGCGTATACAATTGACAAATGAGTACCTGGATAAAGTCAAAAACCTCCTAAACTTGAAAGCTTTGGTTAGACCCCAAATTGACATATGAAAACCAAAATACTTTCAATTAACACATCATGGAAATTGAAGCGTCCAAAGACGAGCAATCCCGGCCTCAAGGACATGAGTTGTGTGGAGAGACTGTAACATCTCTCAAGTTACCAGCCATAGCATACCCAGGTGCAAGACATGTAAAATAGTCACTGGGATATACAACTCAGATGTAACAAACCTCATATAAAGGGGTTATCAATACAAAGTTTCCAAGAATAGTACCTCATTGAATGTTAGAAAGAAGTGAGGTAAGTTAAGCTTTAAGCATCTCATTTGAACATCTGCCAACTTTTGCAATAATAGCACAAGTAGGACAGACCGTGTGAGAACAGTCTTCCTGAGCCATTTGCTATCTGTGTCACACTCTTGAGCTTTCACTGCTGAAATGTGCTGTATTTCTGCATCAAAAATCTCTAGTAACTTCGTTTATCACTGGCCAAAGTTTACATCTAGTCGCAATTAATTTTCAAGGCTTTGAAAAGCTGCTATCTACACAGTGCCCTTTGTAGCACTGGGCGCAACCATTTTGACAACAGTTTTCGATGGCACTGTTGTTCCATATTTGCAGGGCCCAGCTAGCACTAACGCTTAGGTTGCCATGAGTGGGACGCAAACCTGATGCAGCCTTAGTTACATCAATCAATTAGTCTGGTTCCCTGACCCCACTGTCCTTTGGAGTTCAAAAATGGGGTCCGGTAACTAGCGGTGAATCTGGCATACATTGCCCGGAATTCTAGGTAATGTATGTTAACTATATGCATGTTGCACAGTGGTTTAAAACCAGATGTGACCCAGACATCAGTATATTCCAGGATTTTAAACAGTCAAATGTCCTATAAAATACATCAAGCATGTTTAAGTACCATCTCTGGGTATAGAAAACTAGGTTGGCTATTATCTAAAAACGTAACTCACCGAAATTGTCAAAAACTGGAGCTAAATTTCAAAAGAGGGCACTATTTATCAATGGCGCCCTACTGTGACGATTTTTGCATTAATGTTTATTACACGTCCATATCGCTTCTCATCACCGTACCGGCACGGAAGCCACACATTTTGTTGTTGTTAATTTTGGATTTACTATGTTAAATAAAGATTAAACCAGCTTGTAGATGCAAGTTTTCAAGGTGATTACTTTGTTATTATTTTTAATAATGTATTCCCTGTGATAAGGCCATTTATATGCAAAATGTTATCATTAATCTTACTATTATTTCCTGTTGTATTTTACCGTGGAAATCCGAAAATGGTGCTCTTAAGTGGTGCAGCCGGTATTTGTTCCTTCTAGCTAAGAGAAAAACCTGTAATTATTGAGACTTATTTGTGAAAACAGATAAAATCATATATTGGGCCACTGCTCTTACAAAAATGGCTGTCCTCAATTCATCTAATATCGCACCCGTTCTGTTGCTGCTGGCGTGGTTCCACTTCATCTAGAGGATTAATTCTCGGGCGATCAAGCTCAGCTTTGGGAACATCAGCTTCATCCCCTTCTGACATATATGTAATTGTGAAATCCATCGCCTCCGCAACAGTAATTGATTAAGTGTCGAGCATTTGTTTTTGACGGACGGCTCTTTTTCAATACTTACAAAATGTTCATAAAAGAAAATGTGGTTGGTTTTTGAGAGAGTAGCTGCGGCGGTGATCTATTAAATTCGGCTCATATCTAATTCTCCCTACATTTTCTTAATCGCTTAGAAATGGTAAGTTAAATATGTAACCTTCTCATGTGTCGGTTGTAGTCTATTATTAGTTGTTATATAATCCGGCCTCTTGTTCCGGCCGATCCCTCTCTTTAGATATCTATTCCACATCTCATTTGGAGGGTGGCGTATTTGATCGTCCGATCTTCTTGCCCGTTGCCAAATTAATGGAACAGATGGAGTGGAGGAGTCCTTGTCATAAGAAGAAATTGGGGGACGTAAGGGCTTGGTTTTAGAAAAGTCTTACAGAAAAATAAAAATAAAATTATCAGAAAATATTATGATCTCAGTGTTTACATTTAAGTCATTGTCGATGCTTTATATCACAATGACAGCTCTGGTCAGGAGTTGTGGCTGGACATTATAATCAACAAATCAGTCTTTGAAAGTATCTGGCTTCCGTGGGGAAAACACGTTTGGTTGGCTGAAATGGTGTTTAATGGTTTTCCTGGCCTTGCCAGGCCTAAGACATTTTATTACAATCACAAACACCAGGAACATGATGTTGTCGTTAGGCTGACCGCGCCCGGTGTGGGCCTACACCAAAACGTTGTGCAAAAAATAAAATCTTTCATCTCTAATTCTATCTACATTTTCCATAAAAAAGAAAACCATTAACAGCTCAATTTCTTCAATAATGGTTTACTGTAAATCCCACACGAGCCCCGAGATTTGAACCTCCTTACACAGATTTCCGAAGTGCAAGCGACGACACCGAGCCCAACACAGCGATCACGCTAGACAAATCTCAACAATAGAGGGCGCTGTTCACTTTGTCGCCAGCGACAGCGTTTTACGTTAAATCCAAGCTGAGGACTGCTTACAAAGTTGATATTCTTCGGCACAACGATGTATTGCGCGACTTTTCCGGTTGATTATATTACAAGCTTCAAGATGATGCACAGTTTTCTATCTGAAGATATAATTTTGGTATAGAAAAACAGGGTTTTTTTATTGTTGCACTAATGTGCCTACTTTAATAAGACTAACCCTCTTAGTTTTGTGTAGTTATGTACTTGAGTGATATAAACGGTAAAGATGATGGAAATTTTTTTTTTTATCTGCTATAAATTAACTTATTAGATACAACTAAACTAAATTATGGCATAATATTAGGGGAATTTTTTTTTTTAAATGTCTGGGTCTTAAACCACTGTGTGATGTGCGTAGGTCTGAAACCCGCCTTGTGCATTCTAAATCACAATAGTAATGTTTGCGCGCAACCAGCCTGTTGCTGAATTTGAAAGTATCTCTGGCAAATATCAATAAAGAGAGAAATTTTGCTGTTCAATATTTATAACCAATGCAGTTGAAATGTTTGAAAGTTGCTGTCATGTAGACACTGGTGATTGTGTGTACTTTTTGTGGTAAGACAAGTGCGAGTTTCTTGATAATCGTGAGTTCAATCACCGGCGCCCACGCACAAAAGTTGAACAGCGATTCAAAAATAAGCAATCTGCCCGCACAGAGGTGATCACATCAAAGGATTAAATGGGAGCTAGTTACCAGTCCCCATATCATTAGGGGGCTGGGAAACAGTCTAATCAATCAGGATTCTGTACTAAATTTGCACCCTTGCCCTCTGACCCCTCACCTTTGGGCTTCTTTTCATCCTCACTCAGATAGCCTTCGTCCTCAGTCTCGCTGGTCTCACCAGTCTCTTCTTTCTTGCCCGTGTCTAGACTTGCTACCAGGGTGTCAGCAAAATCTGTGATGTTCAAGATAGCATCCGAGTGGGCAACAACCTCCAAGGTTGTGAACTTGACGGTGATATTCTGCTCGGTCGATTGGTAGGTGGTGGAGAACTCGGGGTTATTCTTCTCAGCCTTTGAGAAAGAAGAAATAACAAAGTACTGTGTGACATTTTATGATGTACCAAGTCAAGTTTTCAATGAATTTTTTCTTTAATTTTTTCACTGGTTCTTTTTTGTCTTTGTTCTTTCTTTTCTTTTTCTTTTGGACAAGCTCAGATGAAATAAAGGAATCTTAAAAGTTTTAACAAGCAATTTAAGTTCACGAAGTCAAGCTTGTGGTCAGGGAGATCAACCTGTCAATATATACTCAGGCTGGTTTTTCTTACCTTTTGATAATTAATGGACAGCAGTCTGTCAGTGCCTTTCTCGTAAGCTGGTGTCCTGACTAGGTACAGGTCCCCACCATCCAAAGCTGTAGAATAATTACAAATGTTGTTATAAGTAATATGATTAGGGAAAAGAATGACAGGCAGTCATCATATGTGTGTCAAACCTCCCATCACAAATGACATTGTATTTACAACCAAAGTCACGATGATGCCCCACAAGTCACTCTCTGCTAGTTTGAGGATCAGACATTCACGTGGGCAGAGCCACGGTTGAACGTCTGATTTATCGCAGAATGTAAATTTTATGCGACCCCACGCGCCAGCCAATCCGAGTGGTCTTTAGAGACAGTGACATAATTTCGATCAGAAATGTAGACTAAGCTGTGATTTGGTCAATCTGAATGCCACATTTTGATAATACAATAATGGGTTACCGAAGACCCGATAGAAGGCGCCCGCTGAATGGTCAAAATCTCGAGGTCAAGACGCATTCTTGTTTTGCATAACTAATCCCGAATCTGCTCGCATATCATAGACCCTTGCTGTGCAAGGGGATATTCCATAGCCTAAGTCTCTGCTTGACCATACTCAATATAGGAAATTCTACTGAGGGAACATGACAGGACAATGCAATCCCCAACAACCTCAAAATTTAACGCTAACCGCGTGCACTAGTGTTGTATTTCAGTCCTTTTTCAGTCCCAAAACTGCATACCAATACTATGGTATCCGAGTACTTTGAAGGCGTAGCAATACGAATATATGCATGGTCTGATGCACGTTTACAAAAAACAGACAAAAAGCACTTTGACTAGGACCGTTTGGTCCAAATACTCAGATTTCTGGCCATAATCAAAACATAGTACACTTTTAGCTCAGAATTCAAAGAAGCATCTGGACTTCTTCTGTTGCAAAAAACTTGCAATCATCAGGATTTCTCTACATCTTACCTTGGAACTGCCTATGCTGTACTGACACACTACCCAGTGAGACGCTAGCGTTCATATCCCATGGCTTCATACGGACCTCGGCTCCCAGGGAATGAATGGCTACTGAGATCAGAGGCTTGTCTTCTCCAGACAAACGCTGGTATAGGTTCAACCCAACCTGCAGTAAAACAAAACCACATATACAATATGGTAGTGGAGGTTAAATATAATGAATACTTGCTTGGTTAGTGTTCATTGCTACTTTGCTCATTGCCATTATAATTAGCAGGTACAGCATCAAAGTTATGATACTACACAAAAAACACAAAAAGAGTTTAATTGTAACAGTCAAGCAGGCCTTATCGTTCTCCATGAAGATGCTCTACTTGCTTCTTGTTCCCATTCAGTAATACATGTACTTATATTACACAAACATGATTCTTGTTTACAAGTCTATTCTCTTTATTGTTTATGTTCTATTTAACCATCAGTTGCATATTCTATTGTTTTACAGAAAAGATTGGTTACAGACCAGGAAACTACTAAATATAAAATAAAACTATAGTTACTCACAACAACGAGTCATGAGTGCTATATTTTGTTTTCATTTCTTTTATTATTATTGTTAATTGCCTGAGCACATACTTTACATTCTGAGACTCATTTCTATAGGCAGAACCTTTTGGTTACGTCTCAGATTTTTCCCCCGTTGCCATTGATGTACGAAAACGCAAATTTAAAGATTTCAAAAATAAAATGAACCCCACAGAATCACAGTTCTCAATTGGTATGTAACAATGTTAATGAAGTTCACTTGAATAGTCAGCCAGACAAGCTCAACCATTGTCAACTGGCATGTACATGTATGAGTTTGCTGCAAGTCTGTCACACTATGGTTAAACCAAACTTCTTGACTGACCTTAATAGTGAAATCAGAGGTCACATTATTTGTAGTCTTGGGTCAAGACAATGTTGTATATTGGATACGCGATCACCAAACGAAAGAGGGCGTCATCAAAACAAACAGCTATCACCCATGAATGGCTATATAGCGTCTTGGGGAAACTAGGCCCCATGGGCTACTTCTGCAGGCTAAAACGGTCCAATTCTCATTTACACGCATACCACACATGACAAAAGACCTAACATGAAGTTGCATAACAGTTTGGTAGCATCTTGTATGCCACTGACTTTGGATCAGAGCTAATAATGCAAGGTGCTAAATGCGTGCAGCATAGTTAGGCAAAACAGGTGTGGGCACACGACACAACAGCTACAAGTTTCCTAAAACGTTGATGCGATAATGGTTCAATGGATAGCACCCTTTTTCTGCAGGTGATAGTGTATCCATTATACAACACTAACGTCTTGACTCAGGACTACATTCGCTGGTGCCCCACTGCTCCGTATTACAGACAAAACCTTACCTTCTTGAGTTCAAAATTGAGCTCAAGATTGGTTCTCTGCATGTCAGCCATACTGTCATGTTTCTGGACGGCCGGCCTGGCTGTCCCGCCTTTGCCGGTTGTCACAGGCTCCGCCCCTGCATTAACACCAAGGCTGGTTTTGACTGGGCGGTCCGATGGAACAATGGGGTCTCTCTTTAACATGGAAAAAAGGCAAGAAAAATTAGCATGTTAATATTGAGAATTGGACAAATTTTCAAGACAGGCTTACTGTAACTTACAAGCCTTGAGTTCTTCAAAACCCAATTGCAGATTCTGCTGGTTGTTCAGAGCTCATGTAGACTAATCTGTTGGCTTTATTTTGTGGGAATGTTTGAGAGCAGAACTACAGTTTGCCCGTTTCTAAGCTACAGGATGTGCACTTTTCTTAGGAGTCATCTCAGTAGGAATCTTGCAAGTATTGCAGAGAATATATCCTTGATAGGGTTCCTTTTGTCGAAATAATTAAATGAAATCTTATGAAAAAAACTTTATCAAAAAACTGAGCACAACTGTTTGCCCAACAGAACACCCATTATTTGCCGACTGGGATGAAATCAGAACATTTCCCTGCATCTTTTCCGGACTCATTCTTGAGATGACTCCTTAGGCACTCTTCTTTAGCAAATAGTTTTGTTCGCATAAACCTCTAAGATGACATTGAACAAAATGTGTTACTGTTTGTTTTTTTCCATTAATATTCATTTCAAGGCACAACAAACAAAAAAACTGCATGAAATTCCGGGGTTCGTGTTGTATAAAACTGGTGTAAATAGTAACAATGGAACCCTGTTTTTCAGCCATCTAATTGATGATCATGTCATGGGCGTATGAAACCACCACTACCCATGCAATCAACACTGAACCAAACCCAACCAGTTGACTGTACTCTAATGAACCAGTTGACATGAGATCAAGTCCTTTACCAGTCGTCTTATCTAAGGCCTGTGACCCAACCACACTGACAAAAATAGAAAATGCCCCCCCCAAAAAATATGAAAACACGAAAAGTATGTATCATGATTCAAATGAGCAGTGCTACACTTAAACTAAGCAACACTGCATACTGCACAGCACTGCTTACTGCACAGCAAATAGTGCATCTATCTTCCCCACTTCATACAGGAAAGGGCCACCACCGTACCCTTTATTACGTCTAAAAGCTCTATTTTGAATTTCCCAAATCACTGACTGAAAATCTTTGAGACTGCTATCCTTAGCTCAGTAATTCGTCCACTGGCAGGTTTCATGCTTTGCAACATTGTGCCCTGGCCCCATGCATCAGTTGGTCTTATTCTGTGAACGCTGAACTATACTTCTCTTTGCCATTCAACACAGCATGTACATGTAGCTAACTCACTTTAACGCTGGATATAGCAACATGATTGATCACATTATATAATTAAAATTTAACTGCAGTCTGTTGTTGCTGTCATGTATGTATGTATGAGCACAATATGGACAAAGGACTTGATCTCAAGTCAGATAAACCTGCTGCTTGCTGACATAACATCGCAAACCCTTGCATTGTGCTCTCAGACTATCTCATCACAAGCCTGTCCAATATCAACTGAGAAGGATCCTTGCTGGGATATTGGGACACAAATTAAAGGTATCCCCAAGAACTAATGAAAACTGAGCAAATTATGAATAATAATCAGCAGATACAATTTCAACTTTGTTGAAACTTAAAGGGCCCATGCAATGTAATTTTTTAATGCAATCCTTGAAAATGCACCTGTGTGTCCCATTTATCCTTATTTTCAATTTTCGTTTTGCCATTTTCAAGGGTATTTTGGTGCATTTTTTGTTTTTATGCCAATGCAAAATTCCATGCTCATGAGCAAAAGTGTGATGTCATTTCAGCCAGAAACCTGTGTGCTACAGCTACTTCAGCATCAAAACTTGCCAGAATTTGGAACATTTTGCTGTCGTGAAATTTCTTTTCTTTGGTGATTTGTTGTAGTGTCAGTAGATGGCAGTAAGCCAATGAGCAAACATTTCTCACAAATGTTTTCAATGAGGACATTTTTGGGTTCACAATTTGAACAGAAAACCCTAAAACTGAACAGTGTCTTCCTGAAATGACATCACAGCAACAGCGCCCTCAGTTGTCCAGAAAAGCATGGACACTTTTTAATGTTTAAGTGAAAGTGTTGTTAAGAAGTGCACTTTTCAATAAATTTACAAAATAGGGATGTTAAATAGTTTTCATACATTTAAGAGTAGAAAGTTGCACAAAATGTGTTCCTAAAAAAAATCCTTTTATGGACCCTTTAAATAGCAGTCGAATGATGCCTATTGATTAGTAGTTAGTAACCTCATAAACAATCAAGTAAATGATTAGTTTAAAATTATAATTGACAACAAAGGACGTAAAGTATTTTACTGTGGCTTCCCAGGCAAGAGTCAAAAAGTGCTGTTTAGGGTTAGTATATTTGTAAACAGTGTTTTTCAGCGATTAGCTATCCTTATATTGTAAACCTGTTAAAACTAGAATTCTTATAATTGTCTTAACCCTAACCCCCAAAGGATATTTTCTAGGCACCCTGCCAAATGCAACAGCATGCAGTGCACTAATACATGCCAGCCTTGGTACCAAGTACCTACCCTGCTCAATGCAACGGAATGCAGGGGTGGAATGCATCAGATCAGGAGGTGCAACAACTTGCAACAACTTTTTACCACCGGTGCATTCTGTTGCATTTAGCAGGGTTAGGGCTATGACAGAAACTTTGATTTACATGTAAGAACACTATAAGGTCCTCTTTATTTCAGACTATAAACCCGAATGAAAACAGTTGTATTTGTAACAGAGAGACACATGTGCCATGCATGTACTTCAATGATTCCCTATTATGTTATTTCTTGCAGATTTTCTGTGCATTCCTGCATTGGAATTGCTGCAGTCGTTTTGCTGTCGTGATTAAAATATCAAGTGGTTTTAGTCTGTTAAATCAAAGATTTATGGTTAGTACAGCATCAGTTTGGAAAAAGAAAGCAAGAATGTGAGCAAAACCTTTACAAGTCAATTGCGGTACACAGCAACACAACCCAATGCTGAAAGCAATGAAGCCTGCTGATGATGATGATGGCGACTACAAACAAGGCATCTAAATGCGACGTGCATGTCACAGTGCCAAAATGCCAACAAGGAATAACTGTGGGGGGAAAAAACAAACAAGCTAAAAAAAAAGATGTGGACAAACAAAGCCAATCAAACAGAAATGGTCCACTCGGGTGAGCTCTGACTCTTGCCTGGTCAAGAAACCTGTCGCTGGCTGTGTAATATTCCTCTGAGTCGGAGCTATCAGTATGAGCATCCACACTTACACGGACAGGACCATCGGGTGAGTCAGCCACTGAAGCAAGGAGAGGGGACAGTCTAGGAGAGACAGGTAACTGGTCCTGTACAGAGTAGGGGTGGGGGATCAGACGGGGTCAAGCTAAGGCACTTATAGCACACATTAGATACAGCAGGCAACAGATATGTAACAACAAATGAGAGGTACCTAAGTTTTGGGGTAAAGCAAGTTGACAACCAGATTTCCTTAAGATATGATTTTAACTGTTTAGAAGAATAGCATTGATTCCTTCCACAATGTGAGTATAGCTTTAGACATTGTTTATTTCAAATATGCGAGGTTTTGTACCTGCTGTCACATCTGACATAGAATATTCTTAAAGTCACTTTTGATATCCTTATTTATTTGCAACTGGTTCCAGTAACCTTTCTGTTGCTATTAAATAATTATCTAAGGAAGTACAAGTATCTTTTGATTTGTGCATTAAATTTCGTTCACATATTCTATTCCACTTCAACTTGTCAATAATTCAATTCGGTGAGTGCATGGAACTATAATTTTTTTCGTGCTCCAATGAATTCACCTTGTCTAAATATCATGCAAGGCTTCGCCTCGAGTCGCCCACAAAGCGGGCCATCACCCACTTCGTGTGAACTTGTAAACAAACAACTCATGAACACACACATACACACCCTCTGCACTTTATGGTACAGCAATGAAATAACATCAATTTATGAAAGTGATGCACCATATTTCTCATTACTCTGTGAATCACAAATTTGTATGACTATGAGAAAGAGGTTGCTCCATTGCACTGCAACACACTGTAGGGCATTGAGGTCACATAGCAGCACCTTAACAGATCACATAAAGATCACATGAATGCATCACAATCTACACCCAGCAAACAGTATTTTGACTGAACAAAAAAAAAAATACGCATCAGCATGAAAAGCAAGCAGCATTGTAGACACACAGGCTGTTATCTCTCAATGATCAGTACTTGTCATAATTGAGCCAGTTGTCAGTGTCACTGAAGCTTGGACGGCTTGAACGTTAAAGATTACAAAATTCTCAACCAAAATTAAGGAAAAAGCTAACCTGTTAATACATGATATTGATCTGCTAACATACCAGGAAAGTCAATTATATAATTAGTCTTGTTAAGGTGCAGGGCCCAATTTCTCGGCTCTGCTAACCACAGAATTCCCCGCTTACGATCACCATTCTGCGCTAACAGTGCAAGCAGAAAAATTCTGCGCTAACCTGTAAGCACAGAATCTTTAGTTACGGGATGTACATGTGCGCAGAAGCCATAATTCCTCGCTAACCCGTGGTCAACATTGTGGTTAATGTGTTTTGAAGCATTGCATGGTAGATCGGTACAGTAACCATGGTGCACTTGCAAGCCTTTCACAATATTGACAATTTGAAAAGCTTCAAACTGCAAAGTGTTGCCCCTGAATATAGAATGCATTATGCCAGTATCATCAATAAAAAATATTTAAAAAACAAAAAATTTTCCACAAATTGTTTCATAGATATTTTAATGCCTTCAAGATTCACCTTCTGTTTTCAATGGCCATTTTAAATGTGAAAACCAACAGCTTTCCATCATTTCACCACTGCAAAATATTTCTATTCCTGGCAAAGTCCCAGGAAGAAAAAGCAATGTTCCAGCACCTCCCCTGCAAGAAAGAGCTGCTCCGGTGTTAGAATCCACCCAAACACAAAACATTTTCATAGAGAAACACCTGGTGCTCTCAGGCTGTTCCAAATGCAAACGCATAATATTTCCAGTGGTATGTTTCAAGCATGGCAAGTTTAAAAGATGTTCTCTTGCTCTGTGTTAACAGTCCGCTTATTACATGTCCATCCCCATGATAGTTCAAAAGAGCCAAAGACTAAGTTGATCGACTTACCCGAGCAAACTTGGGTTCCGGTTCTTTGCTCGTCTCTGGAACCGGAATGCTTAGTGCAAGTTTCAGCAGTTCCTGGAGCTTGAAATCAGACACATCCACTGTGACGTCAGGGAGTTCTCCTGTTATCTTGATCCTGAATTGAGGTCAACATCTAAAGATGTTATTTGAGGATAAGCATGTACTGAAAAATATGTTCTCATCACGGGGAGTATAAACCATTACCATTCAAACATTACCCATTCTGGGGAGATTCCATTGTCAAGTTCTATAAGGGTGAGCCAAAAGGGGAACTGATAACCTCAAAACAAAACAAGATGATCCCAAATTTATTGTTTTCGACAAATGAAGAATAAACTAATCATTTCAATTTGCCAAAGGCCCTTTGATGTACTGATGTGCCACTAACATTTCAAATTTGAGCTGTGCATGCAAGTAATGACCCTGCCAAATAAAAAGACAGGAATGGATTAGGGGTGAGATTGAGGGAACATGAAAAATCCATGAAATAATCTGCAGAGGGTTTGGAGGGCCGCTGAGGGCCCAAGAGCAATGAAGAGTCCATGATATACGTGTATGTTTGTATCTGTCAAAAGGTATCCCTTAAAATCTCCATTTTCTTTTGTTCCATTCCATCCCTTGTCCTATAGCTAATGACATCTCTATGGCAAGACCTCCTGAATTCCAGATTTTTTTTTTCTTTAGTCCTGAAAAAGGAACAGTCCCGACAAATATCTCCCCCAATTGATAAGACAAGACTAAAGAAGACAGGGATGGACACATAGAGATTAATAAGAAACACAAATGGAAAGACAGGGAACATAAAAGACCTTGCTTCAATTCCATGCTGCCTATATGACTAAAATGTGCATAGTACTTTTTCTTGCTTAGCCAAAGCTGGGAACCAGTCAAAAGCTGTATACATCACATGACATTTCAACTGGTTACCTGATGTTGGTACACAATTTAACCTTATTGTGGTAAGCCAATTTGTACTCTTCATAACTTCATGAAAGTGGTTCCAGATAAAGAAAGTACGTACACGACACTAGGAAAACTGACATACATACACTTGCAACACCCCACATAAAAGTACAGCAAGAAGCCAAAACAAAGAAAGAGATGACAAGCCACGCAGAGACAGACGACAAACAAGAAAGACTCAATCTAACTCACTTGGCCAGCCTGGAGTCTTCCACCATACATTTATTGAGTCCCACATTCAAGTCCAACGGCTGCAGGAGATGTAGAGGGGATCCCTTGAGTTCCCTGGCTGCCTGCCAATCATCACCTACAACAAATACAATCAACGAAGGAAATCTAAATCAACTGCATGCCCCTTGAAAGTTGAAGGATGTGCCCTTGGATTTCTGTATAGTGGTTGATTACGCAGGATTCTGTAAGGTTCCTAATTTTCAAAATATGAAATTTATTTGCAGTCATCTCTACTTCATCATCTGAGTTTTCCTCACAACTAACTCTCTGGGATTATCCTCCAACACCTACAAAACAGACTTTTTCTCTGTTGTCTTCTTAAACGATTCCTGGCTGCATTGAAGTAGTGACAATATTTACCTTAGATTAGTGTTAACAAGACATATCAAGTCTATCTGATGCTCGTGTTGGAAAGAATGTTGCATCCTGACGCCACTTTTTTCATCGTATATCGTCTCAATGAAGGTCAGTCATTGCAACAATTTTGAAAAGACATAAATCTGGGACTGAGAAACATTTCCCATGTCCTTGACTCTCCATAGAGTTTGTACACAACGGCTGAAGTGGCGTATGGATGCTACATTCTTTCCCTCTTGTTTAGAAAATACAGCTGATATTAATGACCAGAAGCCTTATAATAAAGTCACTATAAATCCTCATTTTTCCTCTTTGTACTTTGATAATTCAATGACAATCAATAAGCCAGTTAAGGGTTCCAACTGCACACACATATCAACATGTTTTTAATATGACTTCGGGATAAATAAATAACTTAATAGGGCAATGGTACAATTTCATCTGATTTTTTTCGTGCAATCAAAAGGGACATGGAAATAATACCCACACAAAGTTTTGTAATTTCTTTTATGTAATGTAGAACAAGGAACTCTTCTTGAGTTTTGCTGGTAGCCACTATAATTTTGCTTGCCTATGGCAGATTGTTCTTCCCAAAGAGAAGACTTGTGAAATCTGGATGTGTGCAAGACAGGCCTACTGTTACTACATGACCGTTGGGTGGTTTGACCTACCTTCAGCTGCCAGGATAACCTGTACAGTCTGCAGCTCAATGTTGAACCTATCATAGGCCTTCTTCATCAACTCTTCTAGAGATTCATTCTGATTGAGAAACAAAGTGTAATATGACCAACTTGAATTTAGTCTCAAAATGCATGATGTGATCTGTCATAAGGCTTATGAGCTTGAGTCTCGAGGCACAAATTTTTTTTGGGGTCATCAGCACTGATTTGTGAAATAGCATCACATTGGGAGAAAGGATTCCACAACTCTCACTGTCTAAACGGCAGATGCTCTTTACAAAAAAATCAATACTTTGGATCCTTTTTCAAAATTCAAATATCAAAATTTACAAATTTAACGATATCAAGCAAGGCTACACCATTTTTCAGATTATCATTCATTTTCAAAAATTAGTACCAAAGAAGACTGCATATGGATAATGAGCCCACTTTTGAGATTTACATTTTTAACATCACACATATATAATTAATAGGTCGCAGGTTCAAGCCCCCCTCCAGTCATTTCTTTGTTCAACTTTTCAATAAATTGTTATAATTCACCTAGTCAGTTTCCCTTTGTGGTTCATATGAATATTTGAATTAAAAAGCCGTATCCTCTCTGAGTGATTTCCTATCTCTGTATCATGACTTTGGGCGTGATCCCTGGCTGCATGGCAATTACAGGTTTATGGCTTCTGACTAGCACCCCTTGAACAAAGATATTCACGAATTGGGGAATCGCCAACATAGGGCTGGATAGCTCAGTTGGTAGAGCACTGGAACGGTAATCTAGAGGTTGCAGGTTCAAACCCCGCTCCAGTCAATTTCTTTGTTCAACTTTTCAATAAATATGAATTTAGTCAGAAGTCTGAAAATAGCCCCAACACCCAGTTTATTCAAATTGTGTGCAAAAAGTATCCATGCAGGCAAACTGTTTGAGCCATGTCCACATTAAGGTTTTTCCCACTGTTTATGACGCCATCATAACAGTGATATGTGTAATTGGAGAAAATATATGGTCTGGTACCTTGAAGGTCAAATTACCACATTAATATTCATACCTCCAGTCTGGGACCCTTTGGCCTCTCCTCATTCACTGTTGACATCTTGAAATTCCCTAGGTCTACAATCAGTGAACTGCCCCGGCTACAAGATGAAATAAACAAAAATTAATAAAAATTGCGCTATTTTTCATAACTGTATCCATTTAAGGTACTAAATGTTTTGTTACTGTTTGTTACTTCGCAAACAAATTTGCAATACAATCCTGAGAATAAGTTAGCCAAAAATCCTGTTACCATATGCATACAAAGACCATGCATCCTTGATGGTTATTGCAAAAGTATTTTAAAAGTCATTTAACACACAAGAAGTGTCATATCGTTACTCAATTTTGTGACTACATGCAATCAACTGTGGATCATTACAGGATTTGTGCACCCACTTTGTTTATTATGCCATCCTTGTTCTGAAAATGTATTCATCATTACTTTATTCCAGCACAACATGATCAAATGTAGATTAAAGACGAATTTTCATTTTCCAAATGTTGCAGTCTGTCCTGATAAGGACCTACCCGTCATTGACTCCATTCTCTGGAATGATAATGTAGGATGACTTGACGTCTATGTTGACATCCAGAATGTTCTTGTTATCAACCATGAACTGCAGGCCGGTGGAGGACTGTACAGTGAAATCACCCAATGAAGACACAGCAGCTGCCGACAAACTAGAAGAAAGCAAACAATACCAATGCATGACAATTCTACAGGATAATGAGGAATATGCAGAATGGCCACATACAGGGAATAAGACCAATTTACGAAGAGATTTATTTTACTGTGCCGCAGAGTTTGCGTGGAGTCATCCACATGTACAACTCATTTCAGATACATGTACCATACTTTCTGTAGGGCAAGTCACTCACAAGCCACACTTCTCTCAACTACAGGTTATTTGAACTGAATACATGTAGGTTTAAGAAGCTTTCCATCTGTCATGCTGTCATTATTAAAGACATATGCAGGAATTGCATGTTGAAAATTTAATTTGGAAAATGGCTGACTGGTTATTGATGATTTCAAATACAGAACACAGAAAAAATGAGGGGGAAAATGTGAATTTGTACCCTTTACAAGATAAAAATAAATAACAGCATCTGTATTTACACAGAATTAAAAACACTGAAAAGAATTGAAAGCAACATCCTAGTGAATATGCAATTGGCCTTTAATTTATATAAATTTAGAATTTTGGCAGTTTTATCTAAAACGTAGTCTATGGAATATCCTCTTGCACAGCAAGGGTCTATGATATGCGAGCAGATTTGGCGCTAAATTATGCAAAACAAGACTGCGTTGTTGACCTCAAGATTCTGACCATTCAGCGGGCGCCTTCTATTGGGTCTTCCGTAACCCGTTGTTGTTCAAGTCCATATTTCTGATCGAAACGATATCACAATTTCTAAAGTCCACTCCAATTGGCTGGCGCACGGGGTCGCATAAAATTTGCATTGCTCACATATATCAGACGTTGGATATGGAGAGGGCTTCGTTGGACAATGGGTGATACGCTGGTGTTGATTACTAGATTGTATGCTCTTGTATCAGCCTATTTGCAAGTGCTGTGTAGGCATACATCTATATGTTTAGAATCAACTTGTTACTCAGACACTCAGTGCGAGTCATTAATTACTCACTCATCCAGATGGACATCCTTTGGAGGCTCAAAGAACTTCACAAACTGATTGATAGTATTCTAGGAGAAAAAAACAGCAAAGCAGAGTAACAGCATCAAGCAACATTCACCTTGATGACGACTATTATTTCAATCACAGCAATTATTCAAAGTGAATGTTGAAATTCCTGACTTTCAAAGAAGCAAACAATTTAAAAACTACTGACTGTGTAAGGGCCTGTCTCCATTCACATCCGGAAATAGTTCAAGGACAAGTGCAGAGCTTCTTCCAGACAAAGTGAATGATTCTACCCACAACTTTTCTGGAACTCATCCTGGATATGAATTGAGATGGGCCCTAACCCCCTTGAGCTGAGATGGGCCTTAATCCCTTGAGTGGCAAATTTATACCAAATTTAGCAAGTTCTTTTTCACAGCTAGTCAGGGAAATAGTTTGTATCCGATTCGTGTAGTGCCTTATTTAATGTACAATTTCAATCTTCTTAGTACAAATGTCCAAACTCTTAAAGACTCACCGCATCATAAGCGATCTTGAGTGGCCTGGTATAGAGTTTAACCCTCTGATCTGCCTTGCCATCCATAGGGTTGGTCTCTACCAACAAGCTGAGTAGGGCGTACTTCTTATCTGCCTCCAACTTTTGAGATTCTACCATCTGAGGGGTGGTCCCATCATCCAGGGGTGTGCCAAAGACACTGAAATCATCAAGCTTGGCTTCTAGTCTGTGAAATAACAAATCATCATCAAATCTCGCATAAGTTGTAGAAATGCAGCTCCTACATGCACAAAGCAATGGTTGGGGTACAGGTTCCCAGAATTTTATATTTGTTCTTAAGCAAGCTACTTTATCGACAGTGCTTTCAATTTCCCAAGAAAGGGATTTGTGGAACAGACCTGAGAAAACTCACAGCAATCAAACAGTTACACTGCAGTAATTTTATGTATTTCTTGCAAAGTGCGTAAAAACCTTTATCTGTTTGACGCAATGGCACGATATACATTGTAACAAAACAATTCTTGACTGCTGTGATGTGTGACAGGTGTTAACTTCTGGAGGACGCATAGTGCCCTTGGCTTCACCTTAGGTGCAATGCGTCCCTCAAGCGTAAACAAAAACAGCATGTCTCACATCACAGCAGTCAACAATATTTAGATGTAACTCCAAAAAGAATGGAGAAATAAGTGGACAAAAGGCAATTTAAATCTGGATTTTCATTCACAAGAGTATGTGATCACTCCTACCAGACCCTGTATGCAAGCTTGGCCATTCATTCTGGGTTATCAGAGGTAATGATAACTGTGGGATTATTGAGAGATTGGATTGTTCCCTTACTTGATGGCTTCGGCAGCCGGTCTCTGGCTGAAATTTGCTGTCAGCTCAGTCACGGATAGGTTCAGGATTTGAGGCATCTTGCGTTCCTCATCCAGGATCTTGACGCTGGTGCTCTTCAGGTTCAGATGAGCTTGGATGCCCACATACTGAGAGAGAAAGTAACCAACAACAAAAGAAACAATTGATGCTTTAAAAGAGCTGAAAGAGTTTTTTAATACAAAATAGCTGCAACCTTGAAAAACATTTTCAGTAAGAATATAGCCGCCCACAATTTTTTTTTATCCTTTTCATTCTCTTTGCTTTGTTTTTATCCTGTGAGCAATAAAAAGTTGAGAGATACTCTGTATTTGGTGGTAATTATTTCTCTCAAAATTTTCAAAATCACAAAAAAAACTGAAAAATCCAGTGAATTGTACTTTTATAAGAAACTCAGTTTACATCGGGCATTTATTGAGTTTGTAATAAGAACTTGATATTGTTTTAAGATATATTTCTTCTCTTTTTAGGTTATGTAGCTTGGAGTTTATAATTTTATTCATATGCTCCCTTGAACTTTGGTCTGGTTTCAAGTATAATAAAACTGGCTCCGAATTTTTTTCACATTTATGTTACAAAAATCCAATGATTCATCTAAATTAAAGGGTGGTTCATATTTCATGTGAAAAATGTACACAAAGTGAGCTTGACATCATAAAAAAACTTTCACAATGAAATTTGCCAAGCTGAAATGTGTGCATTTATTATATATTCACTGTGCAAATACTTCTTGTGACTGCAAACATTTGCTGCTCCATTTTCTTTCAGCCATGTGTGAACCAGCCTCAAGACGTGTTGCCATGAAAGTTATGATTACCCATTGTAAGTTTTGTGAAATCATTTATATCAGGCATCTTAGGTTACGATACATCATCCATGATAAGTTTTTGTAGAGTGGATCATAGTGCTTCGTAAATTGACCCCTAGTGAAACACACTGTATTGTCAGATGTGATATTGCCACTACCTCATTATTACTGGCCAGAAAAAAAGGCCTAAATTCAAGCTCCCTTCTTAATGCCAGCATGGTCTAAGGTTCTTTATATTTTGTCCCCACAAAAAGACACAAATGTACACAAAGCCTCAACAATCATGAAGAATGTAGCATAACACATTCATCACTGACTTCATCCATGCAAGAACAGACAGAAGAAAAATACTTACATCTTTGGGGAAGGTGGGGTCGACACTGTTGTCACTATAGCCAATGGCATCGTATAGTTTGGCCTTCTCCTCAGCAGACATGGCCTCTTGGAAGCGGCCTGTGCAGACATAGAATAATACAAATCAAACAGATCAATGACTAATTTTAATAAAGTACCTTTCCACCATCTGCCAACAACAAACAACAATCTTGTACTAAGAGCAGTGTGCACAGGGCAATATATGGTTTGGTAGTTTACTGGATATAATCATGGATATTTAATATCAAATGGTATTTATACAGCACTTTAACAAAGATCAAAGTGCTATACACTATCATTACCCCTGCTCACTGGGCCCCTAACACATTCCAAAGACCATCTCAACTCCTTGGAGAATAGGCCTCTCTCAAATGACGTCATTTCCTACAGACCAGCCACGTGCATCGGCATTTTTAGCGTCAACTTGCATAACGCGCATCGGCTGCGTCATATTTCGAACACATTTTGAGCAACAAGCATGCGTGTTAAGAAAAATTTTCAACACTGCGCAATGCTTGCTTGATTGCGTAAAATACGCAGTTGCAGTTCTCCTACAGAGATGGCCGTCTTTGAGAGAGACCTATACAGCTCGATGCAGCCATTTTTTTCAAGTGCAAACATATCATTTTAAACATAATTACGACCTCTGTCCAAACAGGTACCCATCTGGGAGAAGCAATCAGTCGCAAAGTGTCTTGCCCAAGGATACACACCCCAATAATCTGAAGAACTATTTACACATCTAGAATTTGATGCTCTAGACCATGAGGCCACAGCACTTCACAATAACGATTTAACATAGAGTACATTCCAGCAACAACTGTACCACTGGAACACCATCTATCACTGGCAATGCAAGATTCAGGGTAAATGAGCTACAATCTCGCTGGGCCCCCAACCCCGTGGCTCCACTCAATGTTGTCTCTCATTGCGCAGTGTGTGCTCCATCGGCTGGAGAGAACAACATTGACCGGGGGAGCAGGGGGGTGGATGACCGTGGCAGGCTCAAGAAGTGTCCCGACCATTTTGGCCGGGATTGTAGGCAGTTCCTGAGTAAATGTAGGCTAACCAGCACTTGATTGTTGATATCATCTTACCTGCAACGTCGCCCAAATCACCTTCGTCCTTCTTAGCTTCTGCCTTCTTGCCTCCTCCAAACCATCCCCCAAACCACCCTTTCTCTGCCTTCTCCTTGGCCCGCTTCTTGCCCAGTCGTTGGAACTCTACCTCAGCCTGCTGACGGCACATGGTGATGTTCATTACACTCAACCGCTTCTCAATATTCTGCAGGGAAAAAAATCCATGATATCAGAGATGAAGCAACAAAAAGTGAGGCCTTGTCACAGCTAGGGGTAATTATGTGTCATTTTTCTGCTCAAGCCATGTAAGAAGTGGTTTGAAAGCTTCAGAATTATACCTGACAAGGCAAATTTTTAAGATGATTTTGTGAAAAGAGTGACCTGTTTTTTTATTTCTTAGGAAAATTTGTCGTGCATACCCTCTTTTGAGCTTTGTTGGTGAGTGTCCACACAGCATCATATGCTGCTGACACTCAGAGTCAAAATACAAAGAATAAATACATGTATATGTACAAGTCTCCAGTAGTGGTGTGCATTTGCGGATAGTATGGGAACCAGGTACCCCATTGAAGTAAAGCCTCGGATATCCGTACTCGGATATCCGTAAAAGAAACTTATCCCCAAAATTCAAATCCTAGAAGTTGTCTAAAGGGCTTTATAGCTTTTCGGTGTAAACTGCAACTTGGCATTTGAGACAATTAGGGAGTTACTACACATGGAAGATGTCGAAAGATGTACCATTACGATGATCAAGTCATGGGCCAAACTTAATGTAAATTTATGTAAATGTACGGTAATTAGAGAGATTGGCCTTAAGACACCTCATAGCGCTGGTATTGTTTTGAAGGATGCGTGCGCTGACGGATGAGTGCGCTGAGGGATGCGTGCGCTGACAGATGGTGCACCAGACTCCCACCGGTCTTAAACAGAGTGTTTCAAACCGGCCATGCACACATTGATTCCCTTATGTAAACCTCATCAATAACCTTGCTATTTTATACCCCATTACATTGTTAAACTGCCCTCATGCGCTCATTTCAATTTGGATTTGTTAAGCATTTTCAAAGGTCACCCACCTCTAGACTGGCAATCAAGTCCTTTCCTGGTTTACTAGTGTCTAGTTTCTTGACATAGAGCTGTTTGTATTCCTTCAGCATGTTGCGATGTTCCTTGATGTGTTTCCATGACCACATCTTGTGCCGTCTTCGTACCGTCTCCTCTAGAACACTGTTCATGGCATAGTGCCACCTGATTGTAAGAAAAGAAGATTTGCATATTCTGTTATGGTTTATTTATAAAATTTAAATATGCAAATGTGCAGAAAACCACCAGCAATTTCTTGTTTCACATTATTGCAAACTTAAGGTCAAATAATCAGGTTGATGTACTTTTTAACAGCAGGACCCATCCTACGTTGTTCTCCTTATGAATATGGGCCAATGAGTGTTTTATTTTTTAATCCCAAACAGTGTTCTTTTTTTTGTCATCGGCAACCCTCTGTATAAAGATTTTTATTTGCGGTTGCTTTTGCACACAAACAGAGCCGCCCTGTCAAATCGAAAGTGTCAACGTTACAACTAAATCTTGTTCAAATAGTGACAACAGAATGTACACTTCAGATTTTTGGAGTGATATGATGTGGGTTTGAATACACATCACCAAAAAAAATCACAACTTCCTAATAATCCTTTTCAATTTGAATACAAAATTACATACCAGTTGAAGGTGTGAAATTTTCAGAAGAAGTAAAGTATTTGTTTACTGATACAAACTACAACTAAATATAAAGAACCCAACAATGTTTTATAGAAGTGTCATATTTTTTGTTTGGATAAGTATTTTTTACATGGAAACTAGTCTGCTGCGCCTGTGTACCTACCAGGCTTTGGCGTTGCCTTTTAAGGGGCAGGTTGGCCGATATTTCCTGAATGGCTCATTGCGGATCATACGCTCAAACGAGTCCAGCATTTGCATGACATCGCGGAACTGAGAATAGTCAAATACATTAAATAATTATACAAATGAAATAATGAAATATTTTCAGTTCTAACCTAAAGGAGAGATTATCATGACTGCTGGCTGCTTTTTATCCACCACTTTCATTAATTGAACATGGGGTTAAATTTTGGCAGGTAATGGTGTGATAATCAATCTTTGTTTGGAAAATAGCCTTGTACACTTCAAATTGATATTATCTAAATTAGATAAAGGGTAAGTAGTAAAATAAGGAAAATTCTTCTCCATTTTGTTAATGAGTATCACCATGAAATCAAGTTTAGAGAACATGAACATGCCAATCCTTTCTTCAACTTGTTTTTTTTTTTTAATCTAAATTAGGGTTTGTGCTGTAGTTAGATTTCCTTTATATCCTCAGTTAAGCTCACTTTATATCGTCAGTTAAGACTGAGTAGCTGAAAGACGTTAATCAATCAATCACCTGTTTCTGACGGATGGCCAGCCCAATGCTATCGATGACTAGATTCAGCCAGGCTTTGGGGTTGGATAGATCATTCTCTGGTTTGGTGTTCAGTTTCAGCTCAGCTTTCAGGGAGATGGGCTCTACCACTGTTGAGATCACAACAGATGGCCAAAAAATGGTAACCAACTTATCTTCGGAGTGTATGGATTACTTCATGGAAAGCAAATAGTATTTTATTATTGCAAAGCATTCAAAATTGCATTGCCAAACTCTGATGTGTACTTGTATGTATTCTATTAGTACTGAAACTAAATCACATTACTATGCACTTAAACTGGCATTTGATGGTGTCTAAAGGAACTGTACACACACATTCTAGAAATCAGTACTTACTTGCAATGTCGCACACACAAAGCAAAAACTTTACAACATTATAACGTGTAGATAACCTAACCTTACAAAACTTGAAGTATGTTTATTGTGTACAAAGCTAATGGAAAGTAGACGCATCTTATTTGAGATGGAAGAGTTTGAAGAGATTCTTACGATGGAAGCCGTCAGTGTTTGAAAGATGTTAACTATGAATAAAAAACTGACAGCATTTTTTTTTTTGGTAGGATGAAATCATTCCTCAACAATATTGAGAGTAGCATGGCAAGTGAATTCACTTATACTGTCTACAAGATCCACACAAGGTGCACTGCTATTTGGCATGTGTCAGACGAATATTACTATTGTCAACATAATACCATAGATAGAGAGAGAGATACTTACAATATTGGAAGTCACCAGGGGTGTTCTTGGGGTCAGCAGTGATGGTGCTCTTCATCTTGGCCTGAGTGAATGATATGAAAACACTGGTAAACACCTGTGCGTTTACGATGGATTTCCAAACATAACTGACAGCTTGTTCACCATTGAATTCAATTAAAACTCACAGGTGAGCTGATCATTCACAGCTATAGCTAATACAATGCCATTGTAAAGTCACACTGAAAATGCAGACAAGCATTATAATACTCAAGTTTAGTTCCACCCTTCCAAACTACAAGGTTTTTTTTTTTTTTGGTAACTGGGGACACTATAATGAAATGCTGGCAATCGACATGTTTAAATTAAACCCAACAATCGTTTGATTCAGATAAATGGGATAAACAACATTACATTAATTGTGGCAGTCACATAGGCTATGGAGCATTTCTGTCGCTAAAGTTAGCTGTAAAACTAATTTTAAAGCTAGCTGTAAAACTAATTTGGGGATTGTGGATGACATAATTAAATGTTTCTTCTCACATATTTGCTCCGTGCTAACGTTAATGTTTTCACACAAAAGGTATGTTGAAATATTGCATTTTTCATTTCAAGTGCTTGACACTTTTTTTACAAAGAAGTTGCATTTGACATGATTCGTGACTTCTACTAGATTAAAAATATGCTGAATTTAAAGATTTCTTTAATTAATATTTATAGGACTCAATCATTACATGAAAAGGGCATTGAAGGTTGGACATAAAACATATGCATTATTACAAACAGATGGGCATGTCAGGATTCTTGTAATCATGCTATGTATTCCTCCAACCATGTACAAACATTCAACAGATGTCCAAAATGTACATCATCACACGTTTAGTAATTTCATATCTTACTAATAAATGAAATCAGAAAATATTTTGATTTCAAGTACATATACATGTAGATATCAATGGAATGGTTTAATCCCAAAGAATCATTGTAACCCTTCAAATGCAGCGTGTGGTTTTAATGTTGCATAATTAAGTTAGGGAAACTACAATGAGAATATCTCATGATTTTGACACTCTTGACATGCCTATTGATACGTAAAACAAAACAGACTTATCAGTGCCAAGCACATTGCTGAGCTTGGTATGACATATCACCTGTTGTTGAGGTCTGTCCAATCCAGAGTACAGCTCACTGTTACAATTCCAGTACACAGATAGGCAATCCAGACGGAGCATCTGTGAACAAACCAACCACTGATTGTAAAGCAAATACTAAAAACAGTGTGTACCAAAACAGTAGGGCAAAGAGGTTGATTAAGAGTATGCATCTTCATCTTCTACCTCACTGACCCTGGTTTGAATCATTCCCAGGACAAAATGTGAATTGGGGTTATCATTTATCCGTCTGTACCAGAATCCAGGGATTTTTCCCATGCAAAATATATCTGAAGCTTTTCTTCTACCTCTAAAACTGTGCATTTCTTCACCGACATCCCTTGACAGGTTTATTCAGGCTTGGAAACATAGGCACTGTGAACGTGTTACATGTAGACTTGTAGAGGATTCCTTGCTTTCATTACCAGAAAAAAATACTAACGCTTATAAAAAATAACAGTGTTGCTGTTGAAACCCCTCTGCCAGAGTCAAGTTATCATCCGGAAACCATTAACCTTTAACTCACCACTGTGACCTTGACCTTTGACCATTTCACCCCAAACCAATCCCAACTTGCCTGTATCCAAGGGCAACCTCCTACCGAAGTTAGAAACCGAAATCTCATTTCTAACTCAATCAAATTAGGTTTTGCCCTTCACCGACATATAAACACTGTATACTCAGTGTGTTACCTCCCGAGAGAAAGTTGGAAAAATCACTCGGGTGGGACTTGAACCCACGACCTCCTGCTTTCTAGTGCAGATGTCTTGCCTGTTCCCAAGGGCAACCCCACACCAGAGATTCAATCCCAAACAACATTTGTAACTTAAATTATCATCTGGAAACGCCCGGACGGACGGACGGACGCCATAGGCGATGACAATACCCCTCATGCCTCTCGGCTGAGGGGTAAAACTGGAAAATGAAATGGCATACATGTACATGCACCTCTTATCAGACAAACATTTGTATCGAGCATTGATGCAGCACATTATACAATCAGTTCTTATATTTCAATTTAAATACAGTGGTCTAAGCTAAGAAAGAAATGCCCTCAGTCAATGCTTTTCAAATTTCAGTTGTTCCTCTTACATGTACATTGCTCTGAATTTACAGCTTTATTCTAAAACCTACCTTGTAAATGAGTTTTGTAGAGGCATCAGCCAAGCATTCCTTCCAGTTGGTATCTGTAGTCTGAAAAAAAATTCAATGAAATTGATATAATGATATGTTTGTGAGTTTCTGTTGAGTTAAAAGCCTGGTTTGCTATTAAAGACAGAGTCACCACACTCTCGGTGGTCTCAAGAAATGACAAAAGCACTGTGCCAACTACTACCATGGGGCATTGTTTTGTACAATACCTGTCACATTGCCTCCAGCATTACTCAAATTTGAAAAGGTAGATGACAAGAAGATGTAAATTCTGTTTTGATCTTGTCCTGAAGAGGTTCTCAACTTAACACATTGGGTGGAATTAAAATTGTGGCTTGAACGCTGACCTTGAGTGAGATGTTGTGTAGGGTTGCACCGATAGAGAACGGAGCATCAGGATTGGTTGTCTTATCCTCATAGCGCAGATGGATGTCTGCAACCTTGACTTGCAGATTCTTAATCACCTGGGTGGCCATCTTCTCCACGAAGGAGTCAGCTTTTGGGTCTTTCTCTGCAGTTAAATAAGGGTTCAATCAACTCATCAGTTCATTATTTCGTATATTTTATTTCCATTTTTAAGAAATCTTTAAAGGTTGCCCACCTGGCTGTAGGTGCAAAATTAAGCTTGTAAATTAAATCAACAGATACTAACTAAACTGTTCTACACAAATATTTGCAAAGACATGAGTGATACAATGCTGATCATTAGAAACATTTGCAAGACTTTTTTGATATTACATGTCCTGTCAGTGACACCATAGAAAATTCGATCATAGCAGGAAATCTTTTAACAATGTCTTGCACTTTACAAACAAATATCTTTTTATTGAAATCAAATCTTAATGTAAAAGAAAGAAAACTTTGGGTTATGAACTCTGACCTTTGCCCTCCTCTCTTTCTTTCTCCTTCTGCTTAGTGTCTTCCACACGCTGCAGGGTTCTCTGCTTAACTTCAAACTTCTGCTTAGCATCCTTTTCTGCATCATACTTGATGTCTGGGTAGAGATAGATTGGGTCAAAATTAACAAATAATTATAAAGTCATCAAATGAAAGTTTACCATAAAAGCCGCTCTCAGGTGGACCTGGAATTTCCTCACGCCGTGACAGAACCGTCTCAAGCTAAAAAGTAATGCTCAGGTCACAAAACAGAGAAATTGTGTGATTCTCGTGTGAACATGCGGCATCACAACACAAAATAATCGCAACCATGGTCACATCACCCATGATGCGACGTTTCCTCGACATGGACTGTGATCATGTGAGTGTTTCAAAATGGCGGTGCACGTGTTGCTAATAATAAACGATCTTTCACGGTCACACTTGTTCATTCAGCCATTTTTTGCCACATACTGATTGGCTACACAATGAAATTGGGTACACGACGTCATAACTTCACCGTATTTTTCTACTCTTTTGCGACTGTTGATTTTTTTTTTAGCGCCGATTGATGCCGATTGATTGTCTTAATATATTTGCAGTTACACTCAGGTCGCAAAAATCAGCAACTGATATGTTCCCGACGACGGGCATAGCTCAGGTGCAGCTTGATCCTTAGAAGTCAGACACCGACTGTTGTCGCAAGGTCAACCTGAGGGCGGCTTAATAAAAAAAAAAAGTTTCTCACTTGGCTTCGATCTACAATGAACTTTAATGGTTTGCTTGTTAAAAATTGTAGCTAAGGTAAACATGTAAGGGAGCCATATTTTCTCTGCTTTTATGCAGTGACTTAGGTCATATTCTCATTAGTTAAAAAATGAAAACACTTGAGTTCCAGCTGATCATTCCTCAGCTTCTTCAAGAAAGATAGTCCTTGTAGAGGAAGAAACCTGTAATATTCAGTTTCTTTTCTGACATGTATACATTTAACACTTGGTTATTTTACATGTATATGGCCCAGAAGGAAGCAATTTCATCAAAAAGTAGAAGTTTATTGCGATTACATACATGTAATGACATACATACATGTATACATGTACCTTGCACACACACAAAAAACAGGAAACTGGAACATAAGTCAATCGACATGTATAATCACTTATCCATAAATACGTTACAGCTTTTTAATTGCAGCATATTGCAATATGGATGAACAGCTCTTTAAAACAAGCTCATATACTGACTGCAGAAAGTTAACTGGACTAGTCCAAAACTAACAGGAGAAAATGCAATGGTCTCACTCTTGTTAACCATTATTCATAAATGCAGTATCTCAAGTATTTGTATCTTCCTACCTGTGTTGGGTGCAACCAGGACATACAGGCCCTCAATAGATGCCTCTACAGGGGCAGAATACAGGTTCTTCCATGGGATCTTGAGGGTAAGCTTGCCCAGATGGCCTGACTTGATCTTGACAGGTAGGTCTAGCTCATCCTGTTGACAGATAAGACAAGACCATTCATTCATTCATTCAAATGAGAAGCTAACCCTTGCCTTAATTAGAAAGCACACATGTGCATGGATATTTGTCAAGCACGTAAATTAACTTGCGTTTTTGCTGGTACAAATGCAGTTCATGACCAAATGAACAGCAAAAAGCCTTAATCAGAACCACAAATTTTTACATTCCTTCAATATAACTGTCAATCATGTCAACAGCAACATGACAGAGGTTGAGCTTTATGCCTCGACCTCCATTCATTTCATTAATACATTTTCGTACCCAATACCTGTAGACCCCCTACTGTTCTATTGTTGCCACCACTGGATTTAACAAAATGCTATCTCTTTGTAATTTAGCCTCCTATCAATTAGCAAGCACATAATTACACTCAGGTGACTAGTGACTGTGTATCGATCCCAAAATGGCCTTCATCCTGACTTGATATGTCAGTGTTAATAGAGGCAAGTGAAAATGCTAAGTATCCCATTTACATACATGTACATGTGGACTTGATAGTAGTTTATGCCACCACTTGTATGATAGTTTTCATGTTGAAGGTTCCAACATGGAGAAATAAGATACAACATGGAGAAATAAGATACAACATGGAGAAATAAGATAAATTTCTCCATGCTAGAACCTTCAAGTCATACAATGTACATCACATACCTGGTCATTTCAAAACGTGGTCTGTTTCCCCTGGTCGATATTTATGTGAACAGGTGTATTTTTCAGCTAATTCAAACAGAAGGTTTCAGCTCAATCAAGCTGTTTTGTCAGGTATTTTGAATCAAATTGCAAACCCTTTATACAAGGAATGATTTAGGGTCATCTTATGATGAGAATCCACAGACTTTATACACAGTTCTGATGCCAAGGTTTAAAGCTATAGTCCATCATTTGCAGCCATCCGAAAAAGTAACTGGCGTATTATTGTTGAAAAACATACTTGGTTGAAAGATAGTAAGTGGACTAAACTCCGTGTGAAATTAATCTTTCTGACAAGCTATCATTTTGAAGTAATCAACGAAAGAAGGCCTTTCCACCGTAGGAAAATTTAAATTAGTAGTTCGTTTTGTTATTCGGCGCAGCGCGCGCAAGCATTGGCACGACGCACAGGCGCGCGAGGTTGCTATAATTCGTCGGATCAGTGTGCGACATCGCGTATAGCTGCAATTCAAAACAATTCAAAACATGATTCAGCAACTTTTGATTTGAAATTGAGATCCTAGAATGCTGTTTTTCTCGGAATATACAGCTGAAGCTGAGCTGAAACTTCATCAGGTTAGTTGTTCAGTATCCTTCATTAGATTTTGAACACTTTTGTTGCTTCAAACGAACAAAATGCACAAATTACAAATGATGGACTATACATGTATCTTTAAGTATTTTGGTTTTATAAACATGGAGGCTAGTGCATGTGCGCATTATGTTTTGGGGCAAATTGTTGAACCATGATATTAGATTGGGAAATTCACTGGTTGAGGACGTATTTCAGAATGTCATGCATGACTACTAATGTACATGTACTGTACATGTACATATATGGCATCCTAATGGACTCCGCAGAGTGCATCACAATAATGTAGCCAAGCACATCATCTTGATCACTCCAAAACACTTGTGAATATTTTGTCCCTGCTGCCCTTTACTACACAGCTAGAATAGCTAGACCCTGGGCATACGGCAGGTAATGTACCCCAGGGCGTGCTTCAGTCTGTGATGTGCCTGTACCACAGAGGGGCATACTGTATATGAAAGACAAAAGCATTGCTCTATAAAAGAATTGGAAACGTATGGGGTGTGAAAAAGAAAAACAGATCCTAGTTTTTTTACTAAAATCAAAAATGCTGTGTTTCTGGCATTTTTCTGTTGTGCATATAGGGTCGGCAGTTGGATTTTCTTTCTTCTTCCTTTTATAGTTGATTTTTTATTTTTTCCTTTATTTTGGGAGGGGGGAGTGAAAGAATATATCCCAAATGCAAGTTTGTATCAAACCTTTCGAATCCTATCATATATTACATGTACATGTACTTCTAAAAAAAAAAAACATTTATGCATGTACCATGGTACAACAAAACAAATGTTGCCTGTTGTGATGGGCTTTGTACAATGTACACCCTCAGGGGGCAAATGGCACCCATCTGTTTCACCTCGGGTGCCATTTACATCTGTCGCATACAAAACACCATGGAGTACATTACAGTTAGAAGACGGCAAACGATCAGTGTAAGCTACAGATTCATGAGTTTGATACTGACAAATAGATTTTTAGAACACACCCGATCAAAAAACAACCCAACTCAGTTATCTGCACTGATGGGTTTCTCTTTTTAAAAACCAATCATGTGCTGCACATCAACATGTTACATAATAATTTCATCATATTGTAAATGTAAACTGTATGTTTAATTTGAAAGTTATTATTGCAATACTTTTCCTGTTCAACTTAGGGCAAACAAAAGAAAAAAATAAGACAATTTCAATGGAGTTATAGTACAATGATGATGCAACACATACAGGCACTTGTAATTTTGAATGTGCTTCGGTATTCAACCTACATACATGTACATGTACAACATGTACATGCACATGTACAGCTTTCCAACACTTTCCTGTCTCTTGTCAGTCAGCTGAAACAGATGCACTAACCAGTGGCACTCACAAAATGTTATGAATAAATAAATAAGGCTCCCGCATCTTCTCATGAGCAATTGGTTGAAGGCCTTGCTATGAGGCTGTGCGGTGTCATGAAGAGAATTTGTGAACCACAAATTATAAACCTGGCCTACTTGTCCAAGGCAGTCTCCGTGTTATCAAGGGAGAGCACACCATGTCATGGATGCACACAACCAGCACACACGTATAAAACAGTGTGGAATGTGTTTTTAAAAGTCTTTTCAATTACGTTCTGTTTTGCCCTCAAAATTTAGATCGCATGTTGATGAAGTATAATCCTTACTTCAACATCAATACATGTACCGTATACACTGTATGTTTAAATCACTGCAAAGAAAAGTGGGCAACGAATCAATGAAAATAATTGCACACCAAAAGAATGCCACATGTATGTACAATGTTTGTGTAAAGCCACATACAATGTATACGTAAACATATGATGTATCTAACCCTCCTGCTATAAGAACAGTCACAGACCGTCAAAAAATCAATCCTCTTCCCCTGACATGCCTTTTACACAGGTGGAGGGATACACAACATATATGATACACATTTACATTCTCTTGAACGCTTGTCTAATCACTTTAAAGCTATAGTCCATCATTTGCAGCCATCCGAAAAGTAACTGGCGTAATTATTGTTGAAAAACATACTTGGTTGAAAGATAGTAAGGGGACTAAACTCCCTGTGAAATTATTCTTTCTGGCAAGCTGTCATTTTGAAAAAGTCTTAAGACGTACCGTAGGAAAATTTAAATTAGTAGTTTGTTTTGTTATTCGGCGAAGCGCGCGCAAGCATTGGCACGAGGCACACGCGCGCGCGGTTGCTATAATTCGTCGGATCAGTGAGAACGCATCTCGGACGCTGAATTCAGGCCCAATTCAAAACAGATTCAGCAACTTTTGATTTGAAATTGAGATCCTAGAATGCTGTTTTTCTCGGAATATACAGCTGAAGCTGAACTGAAACTTCATCAGGTTAGTTTGTTCAGTATCCTTCATTAGATTTTGAACACTTTTGTTGCTTCAAACGAACAAAATGCACAAATTACAAATGATGGACTATATCTTTAAAACATTGATATATTTTACTTTGGCACTTGTTAAAAATTCCTCATAACATTTTGTAACATTCCCTTACATGTACCGTAAGTAAACACACCATCCCCTAGCCCCCAAGATGCCCATGATTTGACAAATCTTTAACAACTTGACATGTAGGCCTATACATTGTGAATGTCTCAAACTCTCAATATGTAAATGTAATGTATGAAGTTTTACCTGAAAAACATGTTGAAATGTACAGTGTATGCATACGTGTACATGTCCTATACACTGGGTCCAATGGAATTACAACGCATCCCATGCAAAATCTTTCTGTAATTAAATAACTGGGCTGAATTTTCAACAAACGTAACTGTGTCGCATCATGAAATTAAGTCAGCAAAACAGTTTTTTTACATTAAACTCCTGCACATTACAGTGTACATGACATGTTCAGTTCCCAACAATTAAGGATTGATCATTTCATGGTTCATTTATATTCTCATAATCCTTCGTGAGGATTGATGTGCCAAAGGTATAGAAGCTGCAGCAGGGATCAAGTCAACTGAGATAATTGTACAACATGTATTAAGTTTTATGAGCTTCGTCTGCAGTCTGGCCATCTTGACACACAATCATGTACCGGTACATTTTGGACCATCAAAAATCTGTGAACAAAACAGGGTTGCTGGGGTCATTTGGACAGTAATGAAATCATTGCTACAACTAACAAGCTGACATTTAGTATTCTGCTAGGGTGATGTAGGACTCAACTTTGCTCTCCTAGTACCCCCCCCCCCCCCACTTGTTACTTGTTGAGGGAATATTTTTTTTTTTCATTTGATATCCTATTGGAACGCTCATAATTAACCAATGTAATGCCAGAAAATTATCAGTTCAATTTGAAAATCTATTTTTCAAGGTGCCACACCCAAAAAGCATGTTATACCAACTTAAAAAAAAAACAGTCCTATTATTGAATAAGAGAACTGTACTGCTGTCTCAGTTTTAAATTTGAATTGTTTCTGTGGAACCAAAAGCAGACAATTTCTACCACTTTATTTAATGTCCAACTGAATATGTGCAATGTAAAAACATTTTTCCCTCTGCACGAGTGGCTGTTCTCTGGCATATCTAGTAAACCTCTACATGTACATTTAAATTTGTAGACCATATCCTACATTATATCTCTACAAGGTAGTTCCATAAAAATAAGTCCAGCATTCTAAACATTTTATTGACAAAGCAAATTCCATGTACCCTCCCTAAGCTTGTAACAAAGCTCCAATTGAGAGCCATTCATGGTGTACCGGTACCAAGATTTCAATCATCTATGGAATGCAACAACTCTGATAAATTCTGAACCCAAATTTGGTGCATTTAGTACTACACTTGTACAGTTCCAACAATAAGTTCTTTCAGTATTCATGAATCTGTTTCATATAACCTTGACCGAGGCCTCTTACCCAGTTGTAGTTCCTTACATTTCCTACAGTACTTGTGGCAGTGCTAAATGGGGAAGGGGGGGGGGGGACATTTCTCCCCAACCCCAATTTTTTGCCAATTTTTCCCTTTTTGTCCCCCAAACATTTTCTTTGACCCTAACTTTCCCCCGCCCCCTCCATTTTGTAGATAAAGTCAGTTGCCAGCATTGAGTCATACATGTACATCCATGCATGTTGGTAAGGATATTTGCATGTTCAGCATGTTCATGAACATGTACAACAACAGGCGTAGGCCATTGCCAAGATGTATCCAATTTCCAGCCTGTTAGACAATGGAGTTAATTTCGCTGTTAGGTTGTTCCCTCTTCAACAAAGTGGCTTACAATGCAAGTGAATTTTTATTTCTGGGAATTCATATGATTTTAATTTGAAATTCACGTATACATTTGTACATACCGGTATATACATGTACTGGCACTTTTACTATACCGGTATATTGAACATAAAATTGGGGTTTCAGAAGAATAAAAATGCAATGGCATGTTGCAATGCAAAATTGCAATACATATATACAGTTAGTCAGTTACAAGCAATTATTTTCAGCGTAATCTTTTTAATTAAAAGTTACACACAAGTAACGATTACTTAGATACAGGTATCTGACATGTTTTCTTGTTGTTCTAAAGCTGCTGCCTGTAGAGCAACATGTGTCATTGCTGTAAAAAGTACTATCTAGATGCCTGGAAACAGCAACTGGCTTTCTGACTTTAAGACCTGCACCCGGCTTTGTCAGAGACTATTCTATATAAATTTAATTTATCAACAGTGATTATAGGTTTACTCATTCTATCCAGCAATACCAAACCACTGCCCTCTAACTCCACCTTAATGCACAAGGTCTATGCTCAACGTGTATAAGGCCAAGTACAAAAAATACCAGTAGATCGTCCCCGCCCACTTCCTTTTTTGAGGCTGCAACAAGTTTTTATATTTTTGTTTTTCTAATTTCAGGCATAAATGTTTTTTGTTATGATTCAGACGTTCAGATCCTTGTAACTAATATAATGTTCAATAAGCACTTTAAGAAGGTTTTGTGATTATCAACTAGTAGACAACTACCCAGAACTATCAAATAAAAAGGGCTTCCTCCCTTTTAAGGCACATATCGTGTAAGCTAAATATGGCTATTTAAGCCTATTTTTTAATTTTAAAAAAGTTTAAAGGCCCTCATCCTCCTCTTTTAAAAAAAAAAACAGACGATCGACTGGTGTTTTACTTTACTTTTTATTTGGCCTGATTCAGAATTAAAAAAAAAACAAGCCGGTCAAGCTTAATGCATTTAATCATGAGGATCGCTCCAACAATGCTACATGTACAGAGCCATCAACCAATCTACTACGTGTTGACTAGTGTCATTTGGGTTCTTCAGTCACAGCACTATAGCAGGCCAGACGACCTTCATGCATAATCACTGAAGAACCATCTATGGCAATGGCCAACACTACATGACGTTGACATTTGATCAATGTACATTGTACATGCCTGTATGGTACATGTACACACTGCAGCTGGCCAGACAACCAGCATGCATATTCATGAGATCAATTCACCAATCCATGGACAATGCAATCTGGTAGAGTAACTGGGTAATTTACAGGAGTGCTCTGCACACAGATCACACGCCATTATTTTCAATTTCCCTTGGGACACGGAGATCTGTATAGCTACCAGCCCAGCCTCTTTATCAAGGTCATAGCTCTGCAGACAATGTATACAAAGGCTGCCCAATATGAACAACACAATTCTGCTAGCTAGTTCGAAATAATAAGTGTTTTAGAGGTACTGGACGAAGACCTTTTGCTGTAGACCATCTTCAGTGCTCACATGTACAGTATACAATGGAGGAGGAAAGAAGAGTCTTTTTCTTAATCCATACGTGTACATTTGTATCATACCTTATATGAAATTGTTGTAGACATATATTTTATTTTAAATAGAATGCCCGCTTTGCGAGCAGTATTAGATTAAAAACCTAACAATACTAACAAAAAATTAAAGGGGAATATATCAGACCTTATCTCCTTGACCTCTCATTTTCGGGCAAAGGCAAATAAATTAATATACATTGTGAACAAGCTCCTTCTAAACTCGTAGGCTACACAAAATACAAAGCACAACTTACCAGGGCCCCTTCCTTCACATCCAAATTTTCAAGAACAGCATCTCCTGCAATGAGAAAACATACAAACAATAAACAATACATTTGTGTTTACTGCATCCATGTGTTTCAAGTAAAAAACGTCTCCCCAAAAGTCAGTTTATTACAGTCAAGTCTAATCACAAAATGGCAATTCCTGGCAAAAGTAAACCAGCAGAAAATTGGAAGTTTTATGAAATTTTCAGAAATTCAAGCATCACAACCTCAAATCTGGTATACAATTAAAGGGGGCAACAAGACATTTTGAATGGTGTGCGAGTGTGATGGGATAGATAAAGTGTTTTTGTTTTGGTAAAAAAAAAATTGTTTTGGGGCTAAAATTGTGGATTTTAGGTAGTCATGTTGGCATGTTGTTTTCACATGTGAAATGCAAGCTTGTGTTATTGTGAGTTCTCGTTTAAATGCAGAGAGAAAGGTTAATTTATTATGCCAAAAGATTTCTTGTAAAGGAAAAGCATAATTTTTAACTGATTATTTTCTATTTTGTAATGTAATTTCAGACATGTATGTCCGGCACCAATAAATGTACATCCGGCAACCACAATAAATGTTGTTAACTGCAAGTCACAATCAAACAAAAATATGTTTTGCCATAAAGTGTATTTATCAGTAGTAGGTGATGAACACATAGTAGGAAAAAAAATTGCTGTAAGTCCAAACACATTACAGAGTTTTTGATATTTATAACAAAAAATCAATTTGTCAGAGTATGTGCGACACTGTGATGTTTTAAGCCAATTTTCACAGCAGCTAAGAAGTTGGATGAACAATTTCTTTTTAAATCATTGTAGAAACTACATGATGTAACTGATACCTTTTATCAGAATTTAAAATCACCATATTATTAAGGGAATAAATGTGTGCTCCGGAGGTTTTTATCACTCTGTTTAATACCACTTAGAGTCTGGGTGCTGATAATTACCCGAGCCGGAGGCGAGGGTAATTATCAGCACCCAGACTCTAAGTGGTATTAAACAGAGTGATAAATACCGACGGAGTACATATTTATTCCCATTCATAAATACCTTTTCGGTAAAAAAAAATCATATAATTCGTTCAAAACATCCCGATTTTGTTCAACAAATTCACTTTATGCTTTTTGAAACATCCCTCCTGCAAAATAATGGAGTGTTCAGCTGGCGAGTAAGATGAAAACAACCCTTTTATGGAGATTGACGCGCGCGTATCATGTTCTACGCGATGTCGCGCAGAACGCACCTGGCACGTTGCGTTTTGAATTTAGAACTATAAAATTCTAACTCCCTGGTAGTGTTGCGCATGCCTACGTGAGGATTGTGGACGTTCAACCAATGAAACGATAAGAGGCACTGGATTTTTAGGAGTCCATATTTTATTGTGACACTGGAAAAGTGTTTAAGACCAGCTAGCCATGTCTTTATCATCCGTTTAATACCGGCCACGTGACGGGCTCTCGACCAATAGGAATGGCTAAACTGTCTGAGGTATTTATGAATATATATTCATAAATACCTCAGACAGTTTAGCCATTCCTGTTGGTCGAGAGCCCGTCACGTGGCCGGTATTAAACGGATGATAAAGACATGGCTAGCTGGTCTTAAACACTTTTCCAGTGTCACAATAAAATGTGGACTCCTAAAAATCCAGTGCCTCTTATCGTTTCATTGGTTAAACGTTCACAATCCTCACGTAGGCATGCGCAACACTACCAGGGAGTTAGAATGTTATAGTTCTAAATTCAAAACGCAACGCGCCAGGTGCGTTCTGCGCGACATCGCATAGAACATGATACGCGCGCGTCAATCTCCATAAAAGGGTTGTTTTCATCTTACTCGCCAGCTGAACACTCCATTATTTTGCAGGAGGGATGATTCAAAAAGCATAAAGTGAATTTGTTGAACAAAATCGGGATGTTTTGAACGAATTATATGATTTTTTTTTACCGAAAAGGTATTTATGAATGGGAATAAATATGTACTCCGTCGGTATTTATCACTCTGTTTAATACCACTTAGAGTCTGGGTGCTGATAATTACCCTCGCCTCCGGCTCGGGTAATTATCAGCACCCAGACTCTAAGTGGTATTAAACAGAGTGATAAAAACCTCCGGAGCACACATTTATTCCCTTATTTATAACAATGTTCACTTGTGATTAAACTGCCCAAAAAGTTAGCTTCTAACAGGAAAATGAGAATCATTAGAATTAGGCCTATTTGGCAATATATAGAAGATCAACATTCTTGAATTGGTGGGGAGCTGTGAAACCCGCTGACCAAGAATGCACACTGCATGTGAGTGCATGAGTACAGTACATGTACTAACATGTACAGGGGATGCAGGGAAGACTAGTGTCTGCCTTTAATTTACAATACTTTCCATACATGTACATGTACATGTAGATCATGTTTGCATCGTGTAAAACCTTAACTTAAACTCAAGGTCTGCTGGTGTCCAGTAAGTGACCTGCAAAGCCTTATCATTAGTAACAAATAGGGTTAATTTTTATAATTTGTCACATCAGAAAATGAAATGTGGCTTCAGAAAGTGGTACATGTGGTGACATTCACATGCAAAGACATGTGGGTACCCTGCGATTATGCAGCAATTTGTGATGTGTTCACTCAGAGTACTGGGGGTAATTAATGAGTTTCTTGTTTATGACAGATCCGCATGTAATCTCTGACCATCCCAACTGATGGGGCTGGAGCTGTGGAACTGACTGGCATTCGTTTTAGAAAACTGTAATTTAAAGTTTATGAAGTATGAATCTTTAGAGGCTCATTCCGATGATTGACACGCTGGATGCCTGCAACATCAAAAACAGTTCCAGCACTATGATCAATCAAAATCATTTTAACAAATTATTATATGTGAGGTGTTCTGGCAAAACGAGACACAAGTTATCAGCAACCACGCATTTTTATTGCCTTATTATTTTCCTAAAATTTGCACAAAATATGTTTTGGAAAAAAAAATCTAGGAAATCCTGATGTTAATTTTTTGGCAGTGTATATTTTGCCGGAGACGGCAAACCTTTAGTAAACGTTAGTTTGCCGGATATGCACTGAACATGCGCAGTTACTGTTTTTTTGTACTTAAACATTCTCCGGTGAAAAAGTTTTAGTCTGGCTCCATGCCAAAATTATCGTTGTTACCTCGTATTCACAAGATGGGATTCCGACCATTTTATAATTTCGGACTTTATTTCCCTTTTTAAAAAAATCCTCCAGAGCCACAAATCTGAAAAAGAAAATGTAATACTCTGCAAAAAATGTTTGAGACATGTTAAAATAATAAAAGAACAATATTCTTATTTATTTGGGGATGAGGAAAAAAAGTCATCCCGCTTACTAAAGCCTTTGCTTAACCATTACACCAAACGTGCTACACAACTTTTGATGGGAATTTAATACATCTTATAATTCAGCCCTATTTGAAAGAGTACAGCGCCCTCTGTTGATATGGATTGCCGCCGGCAAACCTTTAGTAATCGTTAGTTTGCCGTCATTACCTCCGGCAAAATATCCACTATCTAATTTTTTTGTGGCTGTATACAAAGTCTATGGAAAGTCTCTCTCAGTTTATGCACGTGCACTAACTTAAAAGTTGAACTTGAACTTATTGAAGTTGAAGATTCAAGAATGACTATCTGACCATGCTGACTCTTGACTTGAAAATGAAATATTTCTAAAATGGGACATTATCTCACTCTTAATCTTATTCTTAAGCTCTTCTCAGTTACATTCATTTATTTGTTCATTATTTCAATGTAACTTAGGCCTAGGCCCTACATGTAGGCCTATTTGCAATGACTGACCATTACCGACGTTATATGCTGAAAAAGGGTGCTGCCTGCTGCGTGCTGGCTTTCAAACCGGGCTGGGGGAGTGAATGCACTTGTTTTGATCAGTGATAAACACGTAGTACACGTGAACTGAACTGGTTATCATGGCTAGACCCGTGAACGTGGCTTGTATTGTATACAACGCCACGTTCACGGGTCTAGTTCATGGCGTGCACTGATTGTACATGTACTGTACATGTACGTGTTATTTCTACCAGTAACCATGCCATGGCATAGAGCAAGAAACTACTTACCACCCCAAATGCCAAGCTTCAGCTGCGACGCATCCAGATTCTCAACATACTGGCCAAGAAAACGATTCAACAAGTCTACAACCAGCGATTCGAACACCATTTTCTACCGATTTACGCCTTAAAGCGTCATGAACATCGGGATAAAATGGGCGGACAACCGTCGCCAAATCGATCGTCTGTCCCGAATAGCTTTGTCGAGGGCCGGCCAGGGACCTGCTGAAGGTCAAAGGTCGGTGCAGACTTGTCGCTGTAACTAAAGTTGTACCAGTCGTTTCTTCAGTTGCAAGATTATGGTTTTGTATGTATACAGCATGTACATAGTCTACACGTACTGATTATGGTTTTGTATACAGCATGTATAGTCTACACGTACTGACTGTATTGGAAAAATGCTACTCCCCCCCTTCCCGCAACGTCCTTCAAAATATAGAATCCTGAAATTTGGGCAAACTGTACTTTTGTGAATGATAAGGGGGAACTGGAGCGCATAAGATAACTTTTGGCAACATGAACCTCATGTGTTTTTTTCTTGGCCCTTGGCTGTTCTTTCACAATAAACTAGATCGATAAATTTATGATAGTTAGGGGCGAGAGAAAAAAAAATCAATTTCAACCCTTCTCTCGTTGGCGCATCTTATGGACAGTAACTTAGTCACTAGAAGAGAACATGGATGCGTTTCACAGAGGCTCTTGGGTTCAATTCTTGGTATTAAATGGCCAAAAGAAGATCACACTTTTTAAAGAACTCTACAAGAAAACTAACGAGATCCCTTGGAGTACTGCCATTACCAGATGACGTCTGAGATGGACAGGCCATCTCCTGAGACTGCCCGAGGAAACACCTGCCAAGCAAGCGCTTCTAGAGGCGATCCGCAAGAACAAGCTGCCAAGAGGTGGGCAACGAACCAGAGTGAACAGGGACCTGACAACCACGGGGGTCAACATCAAAGATCGACACTGGCATGTGGCATCATCCGACAGGGAGAAGTGGAGGACACTTTAAGAGTGCGCGATGTCAGATCTACTTGACGCAAGCGCCTAGATGATGGCGCATCTTGGGGTCCAAAGTGATCATTAGCAGGGGACACTTGCAGTCTCGGGAAGGGGGGGGGGGCTCCAAGTCGTTTCAAACAATGTTTCGTCTCCCCCGTTATTTCACTGATTGGCATGAAAAATGATGTACTTGTACTTATGTGCATTTTCTCAATGGAATGGTCATGACTTGTATAACACTACAAACAAACAAACAAACTAACAACAAAATATCGATTCAAAATGAAAGTTTATTGATACAATTTACAAAATTTCGATTTACTTTTCCGAATTAAATTTAAAGGAATATAATGTCCTGTAACAAATAAATTTGCTTGTTTTTTGCAGGCCTTTATACAGTATTTTAAAAATGGTTTTAAATGGCGCGCTCCAGTTTAGAAAATGCGCACACTATTTAGAACGAATTAGGTGAGAGTAGATTACTTGTCATGGGCCGATTTTTTTCGTGCGATGTCTCATTGGAAAGCTCATAATGGAATGCTAGAAAATTATCAATACAATTTTGAAAATCTATTTGTCAAGATGCCACACCCAAAAAGCACGTATACACCAACTGTAAGGTTGCATCACCCAAAAGCATGCAAAATAGTTGAAGCTCCACTGATAATGCAAAAATGTGTCATTCCCGGAAAAATGTCAACCCAAAACCCCCTTACTATTAAGTGCAACAGTTATTGTCAGCTTTCCGGCACTCCGCATGAATGCACTCAATACACCTCAAACTTAAAAAAGACCTTTTTTTATACGTATAGTCCTATGATGGAAGGGGACAACGAGACTGCAACGCGAAAAAAATACTACATGTATATATTTTGCTGATTTTGCCGTGTAGTTGTGCATGCTGTACGTTTTCATTGCTAAGAAACGCTCAGAAAATCCTTGTTTAGCCGGAAAAAAAGTCGTTTGGGCATAAACCTATTCTTAAATTAAAGCCAGGTGCACACCTTTCCGATTTTACCGGTTCAGGATTACCGGATCACCGGTAGGCCTGTATACGTTTTGGGTTTTTTTTCGGTCAACTCGTACTCCCCTCTTTTTGGGGAGTATAAATGGATGGTTCCAACAAAAAGTTCCGATTTTACCCTCAAAACGACGACAGAAATGGTAGTTACAAATTAAGTTCGAGGTTTAAGGGAAACTTGTTCATGTACATTGTACATGTAATAGGATTGTTATGACTTTACACATGTAAAATCTTTCTTGCCATGTTACTGTGACTTTCCACCTCCTTTGCACTTGTAGCAGTAACAGGAAGAAATTTCAACATTTCTGTTTTTATGCTAATGAAAACTACCATATTCATGAGCCAAAACGTGATGTCATTGAAGGCAGAACAGCCTGTGTGTACAATATCAAACTATTCTTTATTTGGAGTAAGTTCCACTCTGTACTAGTTTATCATGTTAAACAGTTTGTTTGGAAAATAGTAAGTGGTCAATGTTTCTTCAATTTTTTTATGGGTAATTTTGAAGGACTAATTTTTGTACCGTTCATGCAATTTTGACCTTGTGTGACAAAAGCAATTAAAGTAGCGCCCTCTTGCGTGTATTGATGAAAGGATTTGCTAATAATTGAAAATAACCACTTTCTTGTCACTTCCAATGAAAACAAGTATTAAGGCCCCCTTTACACAGGGCTGCGACCTTTGTACCACCTATAAGCGACCCAAAAAAAAATGGCCAGGACGCTCAATGCATGGTCGCCTAAACCCAGAAAATCCTGTTTCTATGTAACTGCTCCAGCGATCCTTGTGCCTAACTTAATTGACCACCAAAACTGCACTTTTGGGGCATTTTCATGTCAAGCTACGAGAGACCTGTGCGTCCACTGAGCCACTTGCCTGCCTCCCCCGTGCTTCCCCTGTGCCGACCGTCGGCAACCAACGCGATTATAGGCAACATAGGCGACCCCCGAGCAATGGCCTCCTCTGTATACCTCTGTGCCATCATCGGCGACCAACGGCAACTAACGGCGATCACTGGTCGACCATTCAGCCATGCTTCTGCTAGCCTTGGTCAAGGCGCTAGTTGTTATTAATCCCGGTGTGGACGGTAATTCTGTCCCCCGGTAAAAGTGTCCGGGGGGACAGAATTACCTAGGTAAAAGTGTCCCCCCTGTCCCGTTAATTGTGTCCCCCTCCAGGTAATTCTGTCCCCTCCAGTTAATTCTGTCCCCCCTGGTTTTGCACGCATAAGTTGTTTGATGTTATTATGATAAATTCAGCGCACAGGTATACATTTTTAGATTTTTCCACCCTTCATCAATAATTATCAAAATGAAATTAACGTTTAGATGTTAATCAACCGATCTATGTTTCTGCAAGATCAGAAGGCACGCGTAGTAATACTCAACCTATCGCTAGCGCGCATCAGCCGCCGATACGCGTGTGACTGTCATGGCGGACTTCAATGAGGAGAATTGACAAAATTATACGCGACACGGGTCACCGCGCCGCAGGCCTGCTGCTGGTGCAATGTTGTCCCCGTCCCCGGCCGCGGCCCTGGCGCGGCCCGTAGGTGCGGTATCGCGCGCACGCCCACCATGCAAATCGTTCGCTCCCGAAGCCGTCATCAAAACGGGAGTTGTGCTTTGACGTAAGCACCATTCCCGAATTCAGCAAGGCGCCGCGCTTAAACAGTTAATAACTTCACTTATATACAGTCTGGGTGCTAGACTTGTGACGTTGCACGGGGACACATTTACCAGGGGGGACACATTTAACGTCGTGCAGGGGGACAGATTTACCTAGAGGGGGGCAGGTTTACCTAGGTAAAAGTGTCCCCCGGACAGATTTACCGGGTCACGACCCGGTAGATCTGTCCGGGGGGACACATTTACCAGGGGGGACAGAATTACCTGCCACACCGGCCGTAGCGCGGTAAAAGATATCCTCGCTAGCGCTATGCATGCGGTGCTAAGTACAGCGCGAACAGCGACCTCACGCGGCCACCATTTCTATGCAAATCAGTTGGACCCAATCTAGCGCCTTGGTTCAATCGTCGGCCAAAGCTTATGTTTTTCTTTATTTTGCGCTGGAGTTCTAGCGCACGACCTCGTATGCGAATACAGATAAGTGTAGGCGGGGCTAATATGTGGAGTGTCCAATCACACCTTGGTAAATCCGGACGTCATCAAATTATTTGCAGCCATTCGCCTTTTGCGGACGTGACAGGAACCACAGTTTTTGTGCATTGGTGCCGTGTGCAGAGACACACAACGTGTACGTGTGTGGATTATGTACGGTGCCACGTTTCACTCTGCAAGTTTCCACGCAACGATCGACCAATAAGAAAACGACTTTTAAGGTCAGCTAAGGCTATTAACAATAATGAGCACCACCCCCAAAACCTCACATGGACGATTGAACCAAGGCGCTAGATTGGGTCCAACTGATTTGCATAAAAATAGTGAGGTCGCTGTTCGCGCTGTATTTTTAATGCACTGCATGCATAGACATTATGAATAGCGCTAGCGAAGATATCGTTTACCGCGTTACGGCCGGATGAATAACAACTAGCGCCTTGACCAAGGCTATGCTTCTGCCTCCTAGGCGACCCTTGAGGCACAAGGGAGGCAGAAACATCGCCCAGATTGAAGGTAAAATTTGCAACAGAACGGATCTATCACGTGGCGACCATTGGCCGACCATTGTGCATCCATTCTGCAACCACTGCAATGCTTGTGCCTTCCTTCTGCCTGATCTGAGCAACCAACCTCCTCGGCGACCTTTGTGCTACTGTTTTGAACATGTTCACAAATTTACGGCGACCATGGCGACCATGGCGTCCATGGCGATGTCTGAACATCCTGTGTACCGCCTTTGAACGACCAAGGCAACCATTCGGCCCCCTAGTTTGAGCCCCCAACGGCGGCTTGGCCAGTTATATGGTGTAAAGGGGGTCTAAGATCTTGTGTGTATTGTTGCAACACATAGCAATGTGCATGAACACGAGATGAGCTGAATTTCCACTGCATGTTTCCTTTAAGGTGGGTGGTTGATGTTACCTCACAATCTGGATGAAAAGGGCAATTTGCCGTTTTCCGGCGAGGGCTCCCTCGCGAGTACTGCGCGGAGGCCATTTTTAAAATGGCGTCCTGCAAAGCACACTGCTTGACCAGAAGCATAAACTTGCTTAGACCTAATTAATGTACATCAAATCTTAAGAGAAAATAAGTTACACGAATCTGAAAAAGAGTCACACAGACACAAATATTTTATTTCCTCATTTTGCCGCAGTACCACAAATAGTAGGTAACAAATATATTTTATTACATGTATTACCCCCTCAAAACATCATGTACATGTAATTTCTATGCAATTACAAAAATGTAGTTCGGTATACATGTACAGTGTACATATATATTATGTCGTAACATAATAATTCTTTTGCAGCTCCAATAAGGTTTCTGCGATAACTTCAACTAAAAATAATATTATTATGCTCACACAAATTTAGGATTCTTAATTATTTGTTCACTTTTGAGGCATCCACAATGTCATCAAGGTAAAACGATAAGGAAAAATGTGGCTCGATTCCGTTCAGGGATGCCGAGAAATATGAGTTTATTTCTAGTCTGTCGAGTGTGACAGGCCCGGCAAAAACGATGTTACCGTGCGCAGGCCCGGCAAGATCCCTCGACTTCCATTTTACAGATTTTATTTTCGAAAATAGACAAATATTTGGAGCTGCGGTTACGAATTGACTAGGGAACGAATTGACTAGAGAACGAGTTGACTCGAGTACGAGTTGATGACTCGAGTACGACCTGACTCGGGCACGACCGTGACTGGGGTGTCAATTTTATAGGGTACGGGGTGAGTCGACTCGGGCACGAGTTAACTCGTTAACATATGGGGGGGGGGAGAGAGAGAGGGGGGGGGGAAACGGGCGTCTTCCGCCACACCCCCATTAGTCAGTTTTGTCGGCGAAATCATGGTGCTGTCGGTTTTCGCAACTGAAGAATAGAGGAAGGACGAGGGAAGAAGAGAAAAGGGAGAATGTTATAATAAACACCACTTCTCAAAACCTCGCGACGATAAAATCCTGTTATGCAACCCAGGGTAAAAAAAATTGTACAGTTGTGCAAAACACAATCACGTATCAAACTTTTTGAAGTTTAAGCTATCCCACTGAACAAATAATTTCATTCAAAATAATCAACATAATTAACTATTTCAATTATTGTTTGTATGGAGATAATTAGAAACAATTGGCGGGATAAATATAATGGTAGATCACCAGCTACTTTATTTTGATCTTCAACACTTTTATAATAAGACTGAATGGTGGAGAATTAATTTATTAAAACCTTTCAATTTTGGGGAAAACGTTCGGGACAAATATAAAAGATAAACTACATTGTACCCCAAAAAGCCATTGTAAATGTTAAAACAAAATTGACTGTACATTAAAAAAAATAATAATAAAAAAATATATGGCAAGCATTGTACCAAATCTCTCTTGGGAAAATGTGTTGGCTCTGAAAAGAGCCGTTTTGGTTTGGAGTTTCTCCTTGCGACGGTCATACGGAAACTCTGTTTTCTGCTGACGGCAGAAGTCTGCTGCTGATGAACATGCCGAGATTGCTGGGTCTTGACTTGGACGGAGCTGGCTGCAAGCTGCCCAGGTTGGTTGGACAGTACTTGATGGTATGTGCCTCATCTCCGCTGGTTCCACACAGCGGACAGATGTAAGCCCGTAGCCTAGGACAGACCACCTTGTCAAGGCTGTTCTTGAGGATGTGTGAGGTGTAGACCGCTTCGCTCTCGCCGTTGTTCTTACAAAAGACACACCAGGTTGGCTTGGGAACCAACCACCGATTGCCACGTCGAGATGGCCCGGTCTCAAGGGACAGCTCGTCCATGGTGAAGGGACGGAAACCGGTGTTGGACCCGCTGTCGATACTGCTGGTCTCTTGGTCCGTCTCCATGTCTGGCGTCTGGAGTCCGAGGAACTGATCTTCCGATGACTCCGAGACAGAGCTGGTCCTTGGAGAGGTTACGGTGATCTTGGTGATGAGACGGGCTAGGCCCAGGTAGTCATGGAAGCGGTCAAACTCTCCAGGCTCTGGGACAGGCAGCTCGTAGTCTGGCTCGTTGTCTTGAAAGACCAGGGAACTGAAAGTGCTGGTAGACATCTTGAGGTATACTCGAGAACGAAACTGATGCTACCGGTTGATGGATGAAATCCAAAGTGATGACCACCAGACGAACAGGCCAGACTTTATCATGAAAATCTTGAATGAGGTCGGTACTTAGACAATAAGAAGAAACCGTTGGCGGCAACATTAAAGGTGCATGCGGCATCTGTGATATCCTTCATGGTGTGCATGCGGCCTCTTTGATATCCTTGATGGTTGGCCGCACCGCTTTACGGTAGATCACACGCGAGTAGTCAACAATAGAGGGCGACCGACTTGGCCTGCAGACTCCAATTTGCGGTTTAGCCAGCAGGCGCTTTTCACGCCATTTGAAAAAGGGCATCCTTGGAAACTACACTGTATAGTTTCTTTCATGGGTTTGGCTTTATTTGGTATTGATGAAGTTATCAAAATGACTTTTATTGAAAGTAATTGGGCTTTTTAGTTGCTGCTCGTTTTCTTGTCTGAACAGGAATTTAGTTTTGTTTAGCCGCTGCACTGCTGCAGTAGATCAAACGTAAGATGATGCCACGTGCTCTGCAAAAAAAATGGATTTTTCTTCTGTAGGTATACGCGACATGAATTTGCTTCTTGCGTATTTTAGTTTCGATGGAAGCCAAAAAGCGCTTTTGCATTTTGTATATCATAAACTTGGGACATGATTCTCGTTTCAGAATATCAGAAAATTTGCATTAGTATTAAAACCAAGAGGTACCAAAATATCCTTAAAACGGAAAGTTAAATAGGTTACTCAAGGATTGATTGATGTTCAAGGATTAATTGAAATTAATTATTACATGGCCCTTTGAAGGAACAAAAAAAATCGGTCACCACACATTCACAGTTCTTCTATCGTTATTTATTCCAGTGACATAACGCGTACAGAGCTCCACAACAGCCATCAAGATTGATGAGCAGTCGGATCAGCAGGCATGGAAGCAGAAGACAAAACACCGACATGTGAGATGTGGTGACAGCGCCACCAGCTGTAAGGGGAAAGATACCACAAACTTCAAGTTATTAAAGGTTTAAGTTTAAATGGGCTTACGAAGCGTAACGGCACAACCTATATTCGCGATTTTTTACCCCCCCCCCAAAGTATTATTTTAATATCATATTTGCAATACCGTGGGGGCGCAATTCCTGTAAGTTTCACTAAAATGTCTTACTTAAGACGTCCTAAACGTTCCCATTAAAAGAAATTTGGCCTATGTGTCTTTTACAAGTGATATACTCCTGTTTAACGATGGATCCAGGGTGGACAAGTTATTTTCTCCTATGGTCATATTAGCCCCTCCCCCTTAGTGCACCCCAAACACTATCGTAATGATTTGAGAAAGTCTGACTTGGTCTGCAGATAATCCAGAAATGCGGCTGTTTCATTCAACTCTATGTACGTGCAAATATTGCAAAAAAATAGGATGATTGAAAAAGTCAGCCCCGGCCCGTCCGATGTATGGATCCATCCCATCTCTCCTCCCTATAGGGATCCGCTCATTTCTCTTATGAGACCTTCTATAGATCAAGGGCTTACATGGTAACTGCGTGGCCTGTAGACAATGTACATTTCGTGAGCTGGGATTGCAGAGGCATGCCCCCGTCATGCTGTTGCACGTCGCCCCTTGCGGACACTGACAGAAGCTGGTACACCCAGGTCCATATCGTCCCGATGGACACTCTGAAGATAAGTTTGGAGGGGAAAAGAAGAACCAAAAAGAGATAAACGCAGGGTAATGCTTTGAGATTATGCGCCACTCGACATCTAGTTTTGGGTAAACTGCCGATTAAGCGCGTTTCGGTAATTGGTCTGCACACCACTCAGTGGAAATCTATTAAATGAATATACAATAGGCCTAATACTGAATGTTCTAATCTTCTGGTCACGTTCGTAAGTGAAGAATTAACCAGGCCATTCACACAAACCGTTCACTGCAACCGCGCAGGCTACATGTCAACTCACCTTCATCACACGTGACGCCATGGTAGCCAGGCATGCAGGTGCATTGCCCATCCATAGGTCTGCAGGTGCCGTGATCTCCTTGCAAGCAAAGCTGTGGACATCGGAAGTCGCAGTTGATACCATAGTAACCCGTTGAGCAAGCTGTTGACATTCAACAAGTGAGCTAAACGTTTTGTCTGAACAAATTGTCGATGTTTGCAAGTGCATGGGCAAATAAACACATCAACTATAAGTTCTTACTGTAAAGTATAGATCTTGTCAAAAGGTGACACTAGTATTAACAGGATGCAGCCTTTTCACATCTCTTACAGGAGCGGTTCTACCCCCCCCCCCCGGTAGAACCACGCCCGATAAAGCCTACTATGAGGTTCAGACCATAGCCGAACACTTTCTCCTTTGTTTGCCAAATAACTGAGCAGTTTGGAAATTATTCTTATCATTGCTAATGGTGAGTTTCATGTTGAACTGTTTAAGTTAAAGAAGAAAATTGTCAACTTACGATGGCACATGGTACCTTTAAGTGTGTGGCCTGGGCAGCATACACGACGCACTTTGTAACCGGAACGGATTTCTGTCTTATACGCAGCTCGGTACACGGGTCTGTGAGGAGCGGGGGATAAGTTACAAACACCGCTATCAAAATGTTATTCCATTGATGTCAATTAATAAAAACAAGATGATTACTTTCTTATATGGAGATCTACTGATCATCTACCCGCCCTACATGCATTTCCTCGTAGCCTATGTTTGCTTATTTAGTGTGAGTCAAAATGAAAAATTTCATGCGAGCTCAATGTCACCCTGGATAGATATTCTTAATTTCTCATTCTTTAAAAAAAATATAATGTTAATGTTTTATTTGGGTTTTTGATGGTAATGTTGCATTTCCGTTAATGTGCCCCTTCGCGTGGAAGTGAAACGAGCACGCTTACCGTACCCCAACCCGAAGTACCCCTGCTTTCCGAATATTTTTTCCCAGCTGAAAATTTTCTGCGATAAAAATTATGAAGTTGAAACAAACCACTGCTCCAAACGTTCCTGAAAGTTGTAACAAAACTAAAGCATTGGTACCATGCAGTGCAGAAGTATATGCCCCCCTACCTTCGAACGGTACATGTGAACAATTTGAGGATGTCGCCGCATGCTACGTAATAGATCCGGTGATGAGCAAGAACCGTCGTTGATATGATAACTGGCTCCCTGAAACTAGAAGTGAAATCACCATTGACGTGTGTTAATCCTCTTGCCTTCCAGAGTCACGCCGGGCGGGCATACAGTTCTGAAGATGATGGTGTGCATGACATCATGTTTGAAGTTTGAAACAAATATGACAAGCGACTTTGTCGAAAGATCGACTTTTACAGTTGTTTGAAACGCCTCCAGAGTCTTACTAGTCAATGGAAAATAGATACAAGAGTGTGTTTGAAGGCCACTCTGAAATGGTCGTCAGCTGCAACATGATATAATACCAAATATCCGAATCTTTCTCTTAATAATGAAATATAGCAGACGTGTCTAAACATTCAAATTTAGGGGGAAATGCCCTCAATTTACAAAAATCAGCCTCAAACACGGGTTTTGGTCTTTTCGGAAGAGACCGGCGCCTCCGTGGGGACACTTCTGTACAATATCAAGCACGTCACGCATGAGGACTTACGGTGCGATTTGTTGGCAAACATGATCCCCAGGTTGCGCCAGTGGGACAGCCTTTCTTAAGGGAGACCAGTAGGCCGCCACCTCGACGCCCATTGCTATCAATGCCGCTGAGATTGTGAGGTAGCTCGGTAACATCTTGGGACGATCTTTTGGAATCTTAACAGTGCTGGATAAACGGCAAAATAGATTGATAACAAAATATAACAGGATAAATTCCAAGAGACCAACAGGTACTTGACTCTATTTGATAAGCTCATCCAACCATGATTTCAGCTGTATGATCCTCTGACCATTACTCTTGTTTAGTGCCACATGCTTCGAGGAACCCATTAATCTCTCGATATGGGAGATGAGCGAGGACCAGGACACAAAGACTAACTCAATACCTTCGGCTAAAAACTTGTGCTGATTTTTTTTTTTTTAATATTCCAAAATGTCATTTATATAAAATAATAATAATAATAAAGCTCACCTGGACTATACGAAGGTATTAATAACACCAACATAGATTTGATGGTAGTCTATGCGACATCACAATTTTGTCGACCATAGAGTGGACATGTTGCTAAATCAGTGAGCGGTGTAGCGACAACCCCCTCTGCATCCGATCTGCATCACAGCCTAAACTGCCGATCCTGAGACGTGTGGTGCGTGCTAACGTACCATGCATATTCCTTGGGGACGGTGACAAGTCTCTTAGGATTTGAGGTAAGGGAAGCATGGGGTTGAGTCATCTCGAAGGTCTTTAGATTTAACACATTATCAACGTTTCAGCAGCTCTATCACCACTTAAGAGTCACTAACCTAATGCTGATACTTAGTGTCATGCATCGGTAAGTATATACAGAACTATTTTTAGAGAAGTCACTTATACGTTAACGGGGAAAAATTAAGCACCAGGCCATCGTTAGATTTCGGCCCCAGCCCAACTTCTCCCGTCCGGAGCATCCGAAGCGAGAGGAAGTAATAATTGGTCACGCCCCCCAAAAAAATGTCTAGCCCCCCAAGAAAAATTTCACAAAAAAAAATTGCACTAGCAAAATGTAAGAATGTGACGTACATGCGAACGGTCTCCCCCTAAATAAATAGTCGTGAGAAGGGTCAATTTGTACACTTTTAGTTAATATAGTGTGCCTGATTGTAGGATTTTATCAGCGCTCCCCGTAGAAAATATGGCACGAGCCCCCCCCCCCCCCCCCCCCCCCCATTTTCGGAGGCCTAAGTGTCCGGAGAAAATAACCAGCCTACATTTCAGCACGCCCTGAAAAAAATTATGGCCCACCCTCCTAGCCCCCCCCCCCCAAAAAAATTTGCTCTAGAACCGCGCCTGGGCCCACGCGTAGGCCTACTCTTATTAGCAAAGCACTTGTTCCGAGCTCCATGGTACAACTGAGTCGCACAAACGGTTTTCTTCTTTTGGCCAAGCACGGGTCTGATGACTTGATTTACAAGTGCGTTCAAAGTTGGATCAAACAGTAGCCTATACTAAGGTACATCCATGATTTGAGCCATATAGCTAGCTTGACGCTGGAAGAATTTGGGTGGAAATTTGCAATTTTTTTTGTAAACTTGAGGAGTCAACATGGCATCACTTCCTTTTTTGGTTGCTCAAAAAAGAAACGCTTGAATTATATGCTTTGGCGTTGAATTCCGAAAAAAGAAAGAAAACAAAAACAGCATTATTAGCCCTGTAGAGGGCGCTACTACTGATCCGCGCTCAGAGCGTGTGCCGTACGTAGTCCGTATCCGTACCATACCGTACGTACTTGCGTAAGTACGTAAATAAATGAGGACGAGTGACAACAACATGCAACATGGCTCACTTCAGTGAAAACCAGAATCCTGCTCAAAGAGAAAGGTGATATTTTTCGTACAGTGAACACTATTATTCTGAAAGGCTGCTTGTTTATAGGCTTGACTCATAAAAAAAAGTGAAGGTATTGCTAGTTTCCGTTTGCAAGTTTGAGTTCAAAGATCAACATGATCAAGCAGGCTCGTCATGCTCGTGAAATATCCATATGGAATGAGCATTTAATACGTTGCATCCATTTCGTCCATGTTAACTTATGTTGCATCCATTTCGTGAAAACAAAATATTGTATACTATAGTATACGCAAAACTTGCAACATATCAAATTTAACTTTTTTCACTACTGACTAAGAAATTTACGTACATTATAGTTTAGTCCGAGTAACTTGGACCCAACTTATCGCCTTTTTTAACATTTGGACATGGTCTGGCGATAGTGGGGTCCAAGCTAATACCGCGACCCGGACAACATCATCCTGTCACTGTCCCAAAAACCAACATTTTCCAACAAAAAACATTTCACCTTCAAAACGGCCTCCAAATTACTAGATATGCCACCTGAGGTACAAGTAGACCCATCGATAATTAAGATGGTTGTACTGAAGTTCACTTACGATCCGGAAAAAAAGTGAAATTTTCCGTTCATTTCGGAGAGCTCCCCTCGCAATCTTGAACACGTTAAATTTCCGATCGTGTTTAATGTTTGAACGACGCGATTTCTTCTACATGCCCAGCGTACATTCGATGGTCCCCGTATCCCGAGTGCGATTCCGTTACCGAGCGTACGCGATGCATCGATTATGATAATGAGTAGACGTTTGTAAACACGTGCATTTCAAACGATAATAGGGTAGGGAGTCGGGAACTAGCGCAGCTTTTATGGCGGATACCAGTTCAAGCTGGTTCCGGATTCCCTTTTACAGTTCGAAATGCACATGTATGTGGATACGGGGACCATCGAATGTACGCTGGGCATGTAGAAGAAATCGCGTCGTTCAAACATTAAACACGATCAGAAATTTAACGTGTTCAAGATCGCGAGGGGAGCTCTCCGAAATGAACGGAAAATTTCACTTTTTTTCCGGATCGTAAGTAAACTTCAGTACAACCATCTTAATTATCGATGGGTCTACTTGTACCTCAGGTGGCATATCTAGTAATTTGGAGGCCGTTTTGAAGGTGAAATCTGATGTTTTTTGTTGGAAAATGTTGGTTTTTGGGACAGTGACAGGCTGATGTTGTCCAGGTCGCGGTATTAGCTTGGACCCCACTATCGCCAGACCATGTCCAAATGTTAAAAAAGGTGATAAGTTGGGTCCAAGTTACTCGGACTACATTATAGTTATACTTTATAGGTCTACCTCACCTGTCTCTACATGTACATTGGGTAAGTTCAGTCAAACTCAAAGTGCCCGTACAACGGAAACACAATCCATGTTCTGAGTCGCGCCGTGTAGTTTGTGGATCGTGGATCATTGACTGGCATGACAGGAGTGAGTGACCACTTGTAGCATTTGGAAAAATCACACCGCTCAAACTTTACGAATCCGAGTTTGAGTGCGTGAAATAAATAGGCCTAGGCCTACATGAACAAAAAGTGCACAGAATAGATGCAAGTCTATGTAATTTCAAGAGGAAATGTTGATAGGGTGTTTAGTTAAGAATTCCCCCATAGACTCATAGCCCTAAAAATGCATTAAATATTCAGAGCAGATAATCTAGTTGAGAATGATGTGGTTTTGTTCAAATCGCTGTTGTGGTTTTAGAGATATTGAAGATTTAGTGAACGCAAGTGGCAAGACTTTTGGGACACCTCAGAATCTGTTTTTCTTGTGTTTTTCTTTATTTTCTTCACGGTCATAGTTTTATACATACCATATGGGAAAGGGTTACGGATAACAAAATTAAATATCACGCCCCCGGTATTCAGCTACGTGCGCTAAACAGTGCACAGCGTACGTGCGGGAATACCACGTGCGGTTACCCACTTGCGCAGCCCTATTCAATAGTACACGCTATCGTCAGCAATAACTTTCTATACTCCCCCAAAACTTCACACATACTTTATTAATGTAGGCATTTACCTACTTTGCCGGGTTTCATTACGGCGGCTATTTCTAGGGGAATTTCATCGCCCAAAATCGTTTTCGTGTAGCTGCATGCGTAGACCTACATAGATTTTTCTCAGACAAACAAAGGGAGTACCCCGAAGGTTTCCGATTTACGATGACGTCAGAACTGTCTCGATTGCACCAATGAAAGTGATCCTATGGTTGCTAACGCATGCTCGAGTAATTTCGGTTGCAGTGCCGAAGCGCTCCGATTTGACGGTTGCGCCACTTGGGCGTGGGAGGGCGCATCGTTTGTACACGTAAAACCAATGTGAGTGCACGGGCGGTCGCCGCGATGGTGTTGAATTTTTCACTATTTCTGAAAAACCAGATGCTCTTTTTATTTCATTTTTTTAACATTATAATTGTAAGATATTACTTGTAACAACACCTTAGTTTTGTGTTTTTTCCTTAGCTAGTATATCAGCTACAGATTAATAATTTTGCTCTTCGCGTTCAAGTTTTGTTTTGTGCGCGAGTTTTGTCCCCGATAATTATCACTTGACCAAATACCCTAATGTTGATAATTTGTTTGTTAACCCATTTTTTCCCCAAGCTTTCTGCCACTTTGCAAAATTGACGTACAAAACTTTACAGCCATTTGGATGTGGACAGTCACTTGACTTTTTTGTATCCAATCCTGAAGTTTGTTGCACATTGATTTTAATTTGTTTATTTCTGCATATGTACCAGATGGATTTGTATCTACCCAGCGTATATCAACAGCAAAAAGACTCTACCAGAAGGAAGGAAAATTCCTAAGAGCAAAGCCATTGACAACCCCACAGCCAACGAAATCAAAGATATATGCAGTGCTGCTGGCTTACAAGTTGCCTTGGAGGTATGAGAGTTATCAACATGATTTCTACACACTTATTACACTATTAACCCTAACAGAACTCCACCCATTAAACCCAACGGCATGTTTTGTTGGAATCTGTAGGGATGGGTACAGTACCCCTAAACTGACAGTCTTTCACATTGGGTTGGTACACCTCCAGAATCAAAGTCAGAAATTATTAGGGCTGTGCCGAATATTCGAATATTCGGTTATTCGATCGATAATCAAATATTCGAATATTTATTTTCGAATAAGAATATTCGGTGGTGATATGCAATGAAATAAAAAGGTGGAATTTTTTTTTTTTTTAACAACAAAAGTGTATTCTCAAAGTTAAGTTTCAAGTTGCTGCCAAAAAACCCATAAAAGTAGCTTGTATATGTGCCAAGCAATAATGCCATACATATATTACTTCTGCTTTGGGAGTGCTTGCAGTAAAGCCATGCAACCCATTTTTTTAACGCCGGACTGCAACACCAATCGCTGATGCTTCCGACAAGATAAACAAGACATTTTGTCTTTCATGTCTTCACAAAACACTTCCTGACACCTTTTCATATCAAACTTCTAGCATGAGTAGTAACGTTTCCGTTGTCCGTATTTTTGTTTGTTGTTGTCCTACTTACAATCCCTACTTTCAAAAGAAAACCGCCGCTGTTTTCCCCGATGCGATCCTGGCAAGTTTCCCCGCGCGTTGGTGTTACATGTACATGTGTGCAGCATAGGAAAATGCAGCGTGGCATTGGAGAGGAGCACGTGTTAATTTGCCCACGTGCGCAGTGGGAGGGGCTTACTGGATCAGCTATTGACATCGCGAAAATGGCATGCCAACATCAATGTAGAAGACCTCTGCAATCTCATGCAAAGAACTTGATTTCTTTTCTCTGTGTGGGCCTTTGTATTTTCCGTTTTCATGTACTTATTTTGAGGACGTACTGCTCGCACAGGGTCGCACAAGAAGCGGTACATTACACTGATACAGCGAAGCCAATTCCCCCCAAAGTTTTCCATCGCCTGTTCAATCGTATCGAATGCACGTGGTTATAGGGAATTGCCTTGCATGCAGTATGCTGCCCACAGCACGTGGCGGTGTTGTAGAAAACTTGTCATGAACCCCAACATTACATTATAACGTTTTGAAAACCTTGGTTCATTTACGTTACGGACTCTGGGATTTTTCTAAAAGAATTTCTTGTTTACTTTTAGGGGTAAATTTATTATGGCTGTTCGATGTTCGCCTCAATGCCTCCGTATACATGTACATGTACAAAATAATCTAGTTCTCTCAACTGATCAGAACACCCTTTTATCGAACACATTTTCGTTCGCTGTCCGTCAGCTTTGTTCGCTGGGTTAGTCTGCTAATTGCACCCAATATTTGCACAAATAAAACATACATAAACACTTCAAAAACTAGTTCAGCAATTATACTTTCAGTAATAATAGCGGGAACCTCTGGCTTATGTCCTCCAAGTCGAGCAAAACGCAAGAAAAAGGGCAGACAACAGAGAGGATTTCAAACTCAAAAGAGCTCTCATTTATTTCGCCAGACAGACTTTGCGGTCAACTCACCGCACCGTACCCCTGATTCCCAGCATAGAAAACCACAGCTAGACAAAATGTATCAAAATGTTGCAAGTTGGAATATCCAAACCTTTTAGTGGCCTATTTGTTAGAAAGTTATCTCCAGAGCACGCACTTAGCCAGACAAAAGAACCGGGTCAGCGCACCTGTGCCCTAATTAGCCCGCCAACAATGCGCCCGCCGGAGCTCGGCCGGCGATTTTTTTTTTTTGTGCTGAAATGTCACCCTTCGTGTTTTGGGTACACAGCTTATAATACATCCCCTGTGGGCAAACAAGGAAATACTGCTTTGCACGTGTCAAGCTGGGGCGTGTGTATGCCGCGCCCACGCCCATTATTTGCATAAACTTAAATATGCATTTACAATTCAAAGACCCATATTTCATTGAATAAAGACATTAAATATCATAGGTTTTTTTCTTGGAGATTTTGGTTGTTGAGAATAAGTTATTTAAAATGATATAAAATCATTTCCTCAATTCTTGGTGACAAAAGTGCGAGTTATTATTATAAAAGTGTTTTTTTATCCTCAATACTGTGACTAGGAAGTACACCGTTTTGTAGACTTCAAGAAGCTTCCAGTAATATATATGCTCGGTTCCTGTTTGCGAGTTAAGGGTCGGAGAGTCACAATAGCTGACGCCACCCGCCGTGTTTGGGGTTCACGGCTTAATACGTCCCCCATGCAAACAAGGAATCCTTCACTCTAGCTTCTCTGATTATTGTTAATCTTTAAATTACTGACGACTGAAGAACAACTGAATGTTGACAAATACCTGACTTACCTGTGAAGAAATCATGCATGGCATGCTGACGTGCGCACGTACGTTGACTACATGTACATGTATGGCATATTTTTGCTTTTGAGGGAATTTGGAATGGCCAAATAACCGAATATTCGAATATTCGATTGATTGGAAGGTCGAATATTCGAATATTCAATTATTCGAATTGACTCAGCCCTAGAAATTATGTGTGTGCAGTTTCCTATATGGTGTTGGAATTTGCCAGGATGGGTATGGTTCCTAGTAAATCATGCTAGGGAGTTAAAGTTAATGATAATAATCAGGATTTCTAGATTTTTGTGTAGTAATAAACAGCTAAACAACCCAGTGAAACATGAATGGACATTCTGACTGTTAGCACTCTTTGCTTTGTAATTGTAACATGTTCAGTGCCTGTAGACTTACAAGTGTACATGTATTTATTTGTTTGAAGATTGGAAGTGGAAGAAAGCCCTCTCAGGCTGACGATGCCTGAAGCTTTGTATTCTTTTTAAGGATGTGACATTAACATGTTTAAAGGGAATATACATCATTTGCTTTTGCTGTAATTTTCAGAAATGGATGGAATTGGGGGGTTGAAAATATAAAGCAAATATAGTTACACTGACTTTTTGGAGGTTTTGGGTTCGAAAATGCTATAAAAACCAAGAAAAACGATCATTTTCCTGTAGTCTGGTTCCCTGACTCCATATAAGAAGAAACAGAGCAGTTTACATAAATTGGGGAATTGTAAGGTCAGGGAACCAGTCTAGCTGGCTCGAACCCGTTCATAGGTTTGTAATCGATTGCAAACAAGTGCAATGGTCAATTGGGGCCAGTATTTGAAAAAAAGCCAGTTGTTTCCAACGCTGATCGGCCGATCAGCGTTGGAAATTGATACAAAAATACCACTTTTCTGGAAAATGACAGTATACCAGGTGCCATAATTTTACAGGATGCTTTAGACGGTCATTTACCAACATCCTATTAAGGTATTTCGCAAAAACTTGGTAGTTTTATTTTTCGATGTTTGCAAATGTTGTATATTCCCTTTAAACGTTTTTAAAAGTTTAAGCGTTTTTAAACGTTTAAACAGAAAAAATGCGTTTTCTTACGTTGTTTACAAATTTTCCAAAATGTTTAAACGAAACTGGAATTATGAAAAAGGGACCTATTGTCACATATCTTTCTTTGAGCTCAACATTCATAGCACATTTCGTAACTTATTTAATTTACAATAATTTAGAAGTACCGCAGAACTAGATTACATTTGTGATATACATAGTCGAGTTTTTACTTTTCAAGGACTACCCACTATTTGTTATGTCAATCACTCTTGATTTTCGCCGATCTGCAGACACAATGGGCAGGTGTCAGCCTTTGTGAAATGGCTAAACGATTAATTGTTTGAACGGTTCTTAAAATATTTGCTGGACGTTTACAAAATTAAATGCAAAGTCGCATCCTCAATTCTTTTTTAGTATTCCTTCAAAAGCTTCACAGTGAAGTCATTGTTTTCAGCGTTTCATTTGCAGGTCATCATGGTTTTGCAAGATCTGTGCCCAAAATGAAGCTTGCAGGGTTTTAAACTGGGCTGATCTTAATTTTGGTGTGCAGACTCCAAAATGTACCCTCTGTCAACTACCCAAGATAGAGCCAAGGGATGATATTTGGGGAGAACGGGATATTTGATTGGCTGGTTACAGCAAAACCTAGAATTACTTATTGAAATCTACCTCTTAAATGCAATGTTTATTTGTTGTTTTTGACATTTTCTTCACAGGCAGGGAAATGTTACCCCCGAGACCTTAACAGAGATCCACTATACCGGGGAAGGGTCAGAGTTCAACTCAAGAATGAAGACAACACACCCTTCAAAGAAGAATTTCCAAGCAGTAAGTCAATGATGATTTCATTATCCCTTTCCTGAAGGAACCCTTTGTAACGCACTCACAGTTAGAGTGGGGGGGGGGGGGGGGGGGGGGGAGGAGGGGGGGAGGAGGATGGATTTTCTCCCCTCTTTAGATCTTGTCCATGCAGTAACAGTTTATTGAATTACAGTCTGTGGTTCATTTAGGGTTAAGCCTACTACAGTGGTTCACTGTTTAAAGCCAGAGTCCATCATTTGCAGCTATCCAAAAAGTAACTGGTGTAATTATTGTTGAAAAACATACTTGGTTGAAAGATAGTAAGGGGACTAAACTCCCTGTGAAAATATTCTTTCTGGCAAGCTGTCATTTTGAAGAAATTCACAAAAGAAGGCCTTTCCAATGGTGCTTCAAGATTAAGAAGCACTGTAGGAAATTCAAATTAGTAGTTCGTTTTGTTATTTGGCGAAGCGCGCGCAAGCATTGGCACGATGCACACGCGCACTCGGTTGCTATACGGTTGCTATACGCGACATCGCGTAGCTGCAATCGGCTCAGTGAGAACGTGTCTCGGACACTGGATTCAGGCCCAATTCAAAACATGATTCAGCAACATTTGATTTGAAATCGAGATCCTAGAATGTTGTTTTTCTCGAAATATACAGCTACAGCTGTGCTCAAACTTCATCAGGTTAGTTGTTCGGCACCCTTCTTTAGATCTTGAGCACTTTTGTTGCTTCAAATGAACAAAATGCACAAATTACAAATGATGGACTTTACCTTTAATAAAATGCTGCATCCTAATACTGTGGTTCACTGTTGAAAAAAAGAAGTAATTGCCCGCTGTTCTATTCAGCCCCACGACTTCAGCAAATTGAAGAGATATTTTGAAGGGCCTACTATCGCCTACTATCAAAATCAATAAAAAGCCATACCCAGCTTTTGATGGAGCTTGGACTGCAGAGCCAAGGCATTGTGATGGGATGTGATGGTATGCGAGGATGCAGCCTATGCTACACCATCTGAGGACTTGGTTGCCGCCCTCCACCCTTCCCTATCCAGCATTAGGGTCCTCAGCCCCCCCCCCCCCCCCCCCCCCCGACTGGGGCCGACCTGTCGGCTTCTCCTAGGTGTGAGTGTGAAGCCCACCTCCTCTTCCTTGCCGTCAATCGCTTGTCTCAGTGCATAGTCGAGGACCAGCACAAATAGGAAGGGGGTCAGTTGTGTCGCCCTGCAGTACTTCCAAGCCATTATTTTTTTCCTCATTATGCCCAGCGTTGTTTTTTTCCTCATTATGCCCAGTGTCCCCATTTTAGTGAAGTACAAAAAAAAAAAAGAACCTTTGAGTGACGCATTTTCTTTTATTTTTGCAGATAAATGAACTTTCCTATTAAATGTGAAGAATTAAAGACTTAGAAACATTGAACCAAGTCTATGTATAATGCTGTTTAATGCATAACTTTGACATTTTGCAAGCACAATTGTTTCTTTCTTTCAAGTAATAAAACTCCAATCGGAACGGTGAAAAGTCAAGAAAGTACCGCTGCGTCAGCCTGACTATACTCCATATGGGCTCCGTGCACAAGTACCCCCAGAAAAAGAGAGTTGGGGGAGAGCTAGACTGATTCCCGGTCAATCCAGTGCGTATTTCGAATGATTCAAAGTTATTGGGGGTGGGGATTAGTCTTTGAGACCATCGCAAGTTAAATTTGAACGTATTCGTGCGCCAACGACGCCTGATGCTCATGCAAAGACGCTGTGGCTAATACTAGCTTTGGCACATTCAGGAAGTCATGCGTACTTCGCGCGCGAACCAGCACAGTACAGTACGCACACGCTCGTGTGTCCTGTCCATGGGGCTCTCAAAAGTGGTAAAAACGTTCCCTCTTTGCTGGGGCATGGAGCCAATAAGAAGCATGGTTTTTTTTTTTTTTAAGTGTCTAAAAAAAGAAGAGGGCCCAGTTGTAACTAGATATTTAGCAAAAGTTTCTGCTCTGACAAATTTTCATTGAAATTGCCATAAATGTTCTTAATAGTATGGGTACAACTAAACGTAATTTGCATAATGCAATTTAAAAAGCTTCACAAAGAAACAAAAGTTTCTCAGTGAAGTAAATTTACACAAATGAACTACACCGTAAGATTTTTTTCCTTGTGCTCAGCTGAATAACTGGCTTCCTTTTTGGGCAGCTGTATGTTCGTAAAGCCTGAAATTCTTGAATATTTGATATCTGCAATTTGATCTTTCAGGAAAAGCACTGCTGTTATACGTCAGTGAGATGATCCCCAAACTGAAGACAAGACAACAGAAGCAAGGAGGCGGGGGTGAATCCTCAGCAGCTGCTGGCCAAGACAAAGGAAAGAAAAAGAAGAACAAGAAGAGATGACATTGTTACAACTCATATATCAGGTTTCTTTCTTTTTTCTGGTTTTATTTTATTAAAACTTTTTTCTGATAAATGAAATTGTTGGTTCAAGTAAGTGGATTTCAACTAGTAACTATCAAGTAATCATGCATGGGATCTTCAGCACACAACTGTATGAGCAGAGGGCTATAATATGTGTACACATACATGTATAAAAGTGTTGCTTCAAATTGTTGTTGCATCATGAAAATGACATTTGATAAAATGTCTAGTCTGAGATGTATCAATTAGCACCTGCATGTACAGAAGGTGAACCCTATGGTCCAACATTGGACATTTTAAACCCATTTAGATTGGTCCAAGTGAAAAATAAAGTGCTCTCTCAAAGTTTGTACAGTGTACTAGAGAACATTCTAAATTATTCAAGGAATTTTACATTTTGGACAATATGACATACATGTAGTTGCATTTTGTCTGAGCATGTCTGTGTCTAATACCTTCCTCTGCAGGCATACTTCACACAGTTTTTAACTTAGCCATGAACTCTGAGAACACATCCACATTGCCTAGGATAACTTTCATAGGGATAGGACATAAAGGCTGCCATCATAGAAAATGTTGCAACTAGGAAGCCTACATGTACTTTATAACAAGAACACAGTTCTCTGATGGATCATTTTAGGCACAATTTTTTTGTCTGAAAGAGGATCGGAAATAAACTTGTGCTCTTGTAGGTTGGTTAGTAATCAGAATTAAAGTTACATTGTACTTATATGGACTTTCACAGTTGAGTAGCATTGCCCACAATGTGAAATTGGTGTATCAAAACAAAGCAAGTTAATAGCTTCGTGGATACTTTAAAAACACCCACCCTAAATCCAACATTGCAAAAAAAAGGGGATTTATCTTATTAAAATACATGTGGGATATAACCTGAGAATTGATGTAGCATGTCTAAATCATTTACTGTTTAACCCTAACGTACCTGATTCCATCAAAATCCACCCCCCTGTTTCGGGGGATTTCGGCGGATTCAGGATACCTCCATATTGCACAAACTGGGGGATTTTGATGGATTCAGGATTGTAAGCCTAGGGGAGCTGCAGGATTTTGATGGATTCAGGATACCTCCATATTGAGCTGTTGGGGGACTTTGGTGGATTCAGGATCTCCACAGAATAACTCTTTGGCTATGTTTGTGGTCGAGTAAATACTGCTTGTAGCCCTGCCAGGTCTGTCACATGCTGTACAAAAATGTATGTACCGGGCGGTTGGGAGCTTGTGACTGCGGCTTATTACTATTAGGCCTCAGCATGTAAACAATGGATTATGTACATAACCCATCCAGACAAAGCAATGCTGGGGTCGGACAATGGCTCATTGAAATAGCCCTTCCAGACAATGCAAACATCATAGTATAGGATTTAAAAGTTTGCATGGTGGAAAGATACTAAGACAAGATAAGTTTACGGTAGCACCATGTGAATAAATCCGGTTCTTTTCAGAACCACACATACTTTTCAGAACCACACATATTCAGAACCACACATACTAAAAAATGAGAGATTTATTCACATGGTGCTACTGCAAACTTATCTTGTCTTAGCATCATAGTATACACAATTACCCACAACCCAAGTTGAAAGGAAAAACAACCCACATCATATCCACCAGCAGTTGAACCATGCATTGGTGTATTTTGATGGATCCCATGCAACAACACACATCACAGTTTTCATGCAAGCATAGTATCCTGAATCCGTCAAAATCCACCAGAAATTTAGGTGATGGATTTTGAAGACTCTATGCAAAAAACATGCTGTTTTTTTTTTTATGCCACCATGGTATCCTGAATCCGCCAGAATCCAGCGCGAGTTTTGCTGGTGGACTTTGGCGGATTCAGGATACCTCCAGTATCTTTTAATACTGGGGGATTCTGATGGACTCAGGATACCAGCATTTTTTGCGTGACAAAATTGGTGGATTTCGGCGGATTCAGGATACTTTCTAGTAAAAGAGCCCCAGGAGTTAGGGTTAAAGATGTACCGTTTGTGCTCTTCATCAAGTTTAATTTTTTTTTCCTAACAAATTCTAATCTTTGAGTGTTTCACTTTAAAGAAAAAACTGCATTTGTCTGATTTGTGTGTTTGTAATGTAACGTCTCAAAAGTCGGAACGTTCCCGTTCCAAATGGAACGTTCCTTTTAGGAACACTGTGCGTTCCCATAAGCCATCAGGAATGCACTGTGTTCCCAGCATGTTCCCAACTGGAACAGGCCTTTCTCGAAGTAAGCGTGCACGCTCATTGACCATTGTTATACCACGGTAATAGTTTGTGATTTTTAATTGGTTGAGAACCGAGCAGGTGATGTGCCACAAACACGCATGTACTGTGTCAGGGGCGTATACCCGTGGTACATGAGTGCTGTACCCCACGGGGTACATTACCTTGATTGTCCCCACTGTTGAACGTGTTGTTTCCACCGCCTTGTATAATAGAAATAACCCGGGTAAGAGGCTTCAGACAGCGCGCACACGCATGTCGAATAAACGCGCGCGCATTATGTCAGATGGACGCACACAGACCATGGTCGCAGCTGTGATTGGTGGGCAGGGATTAAAGGATTGGTCTATTCTCGGAAAATGTAAATTAATTTGCGTTCCCGTGCAATGAAAAAAAAAAATGTGCGAATATTCATGGTCCAATAATCGCGTATCTTTTCAAAATAATACTTCCGCAACTGGAGGAAACCCACAATTTCAGATGGTTGCAATCTAGGCTATTACCGTGGTACATGTGTAACAAAACAATAGTTGCCTGCCGTGATAGGGGTCCATGGGTTTTGTACACCCTCGGGTGCAAATGGCACCCTCGGATTCGCCTCGGGGGCCATTTGCACCCTCGGGTGTACAAAACACCATGGACCTCATCACAACAGCCAACAATTGTATAATGTTCCCACGCAGGATCACCTGGTGTTCCCGGGCTGTTTCCAGTGGGAACAACACGTTTCCAATTGGAACAGGTGATGTTCCCCGTTGGAACGTTCCAAGCGTTCCGACTTTTGAGATGTTCCCTAACCCTCTGAAAAAGGGCTTTTATTCTGGGTTGTCTTTGTACGCGAACAGATCTGCACTGATAGTAGACCGGTTCTTGGTCAACACATAATCTATTACTAATGAAACCAATCAACTACTTGAAAACCAAGTTATTGTTGGGCTGGAAATAATTTGAAATTAATAAAGTACAATGTACTTATTACACAACTAAACGTGGGCCAATGTTTTTGGTCAATGTTTTATTCAAAAGTGAATTCTTTTAGAACATGTAAGTCAGAAATCACATGAACACAATAGGTAAAACTATTTAACTTTCTTTGTGTTGCTGAAGCCTGAATCTCTTGAATGAAGCCTGAATTTCGCTCTTGTTAACAGTTTGCTGAGGTTTCTGCATCAACATGGTTTTTACAAGTCTCTTGCAAGACATCCATGGCATAACATATAATTGAACAAATAAAAAAACACAAATGCAAATTGATATAAATTGAAATTTAACTGTAATAGTGAAAATGATAGGACATATTGAAATATTGAAAATGTCATAATTTTTATGCACAAAGATCTATTTAAGATGCCCTTGATAAATATACATTTGTAAATGATAAAAAAAGAAACATGTCCATGGACATATTTAACATTTTACTAATTATAGTTTTTAAATCCATACAAACAGGCTCCACTATTAGAAATAGGGAAATCCCCTATCTGCATACATACAATCACTGTCTGGGAACTCCCTGTAGACTCAGCCTGTTTGTCCAAAATTGTTGGTGAAGTCTTTGAAGTGTTTGAGTTCATCTGCTGTGACAGTCCGGTGACAAGACTGTAATGCTAAGATGAAATCCCCTAGGCTGACATCTCGGGGCTTGACTCTCTCCGATGGCAGCTCACTCATTGTTGATTTGATGCAGCCTGGGGTATCCTTGTCACATGGTGTGTACTTGCCATCTGAAAAAGAACATTCTGCAATTACTTCACACACAGTGTATGAAGGGAGATGTACTTATGCCGACCCCATTTCAATCCAACTACAATCTCATCAAAAGAATTGTCATATTCTTTGTCATGGGATACTACAGTAAGATCTCTCATTATACAGTAAATAAGCGATATATATCAACCAGCTGAACAATCCTTGTGGGCCCAGAAGTATACAATTATTTGTTTGTATCACTTTATCATTCCTTTTTGATAACAGTATTGACTAGAGCTGTGCATGGGACCCGGGTACCCGACCGCTGATGTCGGGAACCGATTCCAGATGTAGGGGATCGGGTACCCGTATTAACCAACTTAAATTACTCAGTAAATTCTCAGACAATGACAAAGAAAGGTTTTGAATGTCATTTGTGGGGAATTTTCAAACTGAAAACCAGGCTATGTGGAAAAACAAAACAGATGTCACGAAAGTTGCAGTTTTCACCCTATTAAGCTCACAGTGACTGTACACACATGAATTGCTGCATTGACACATCGACGTGAAAGTATTATTGTGCAGACCTTTATGAACAAAATGAACAGAACATGCCAAGATTTGAATTTTGGTGTCGGGTTTCCTTAACAGGTACCCGGATACCCATTTTTTTTTACAATCAGGTACATGTATCCGGTTCCCATACTACCCATAAATGCACACACGGCCCTAGTATTGACTAATCAAACTGATGGTTTAATTTTGTGTTGACTGGTTAATATCATTTGTCTTGACAATGGAAGTGGCAAAAAGCAAGCCTTCACTCAATTTTTTTCCAGACTATTGGTCTGGACATTCATGTCACAGCGTACATCCATCTTTGTGTTCTTCCAACTCTTTGTGAGAGTTTCGGAAATAGTTCTCTTTGATTAATCGAAATATACTGGTTTTCCAAAGTGGCTTGGAGTAAATACCATACGTTACAAACAAAGCTTTATCAAAAATTTCACAATTGAATTTGTTTTATGTATCAAATGAGGACAACTACTATGAGATTGTGAGTCAACCATCTAAAAAAAAGGTGATATATAAGAAAAGTCTGCCTCAAGCTGGTAGGACCACATCAAGTGTGTGTTTGCCCACAGCCTTCTTTACAATTAAATAGTTGAGAATGTTTTTACAAGCCCTTAGATGGAATGCCAGTACAGTCCTACTTGGAGAGAGGTACATAGGGGCTAGCCTGAGCAGAGTTTATATTGAAAGCATCCTTATTTGACCGGCTAATGGTGATCTTGTTTGATGCCACATGTATCATAAGAAGCATCTCAATGCTTGGTGGATGCAAAAGGAGGCTATCTAGAATGACGTGCACATTATATTGTAAGAGTTCCCACTGGCTTTGTAACATCACACATACAAAGCCAATGGGAATTCTAACAAGTAAGGTATGTCACGCCATTCAAGAATGGTGTGCGAATGTTGAATTCACCAAATTGAACATTCGATAATCTGATAAACCATGCTTGCAAATAAATTTCGCAGGGTGGCACAGCTGGCAAAAGTAGGCGATTAAGAGTGCATATTAGGCACAACTTCATTGAGGGCGCTCTTTCAATGTGATCTTGCCTTAGCATGAGGTACATGGAAAAGGAGGCCAATGGGCTACCTCGTGCATGCTGCGTGCAGTGACATCTAGAGCGAAACTTCAAGTGAGTGTTGTGTGTGATCGTGGTTTTTGTTTTTAAGAAACCCGAAAAAAATGGAATTTCCAATTTTAAGAAAACGGAATTTTGATTTTAGAAAACGGCAAACTTCGGACTTTACCCAAATGTCGGTTCAGAAAGTTCGGCAAGTATTTGTTGATAGCGCTAGGAATGCTAATGCTTGCAATGAAAAGGCAAAATTAAAGTGCACGGATGATTGCATTTACCGTGTTGACAAGTCATTGCATTCATCTTCATTATTTGCAGTGTTCTAGCAAGGCATACAAAAGGATATCGGGCCAATACGCTTTGAAAAAATCGTACGCGCCTTGCGATTTTCTCAATGAAAAGCCTGCTCTTTACATTGATCCAGCGTGGTCAGTATCTCTGGCCCTGCTGCGCCGTGTTCCAGCGTGACGTAGTATGTTTGGACCAAACTAATGGCGGTGAAGGGTGTGCTTTCCTCGGCAAAATTCACCAGCATTTTCAGTTTTTCTCACCGTATCAGAATTTAAAAAAATACTTCTTATGGAGTCTGAAACATTTCTTATGTTCGGAATAAGTTCGTAATTTTTGCAATATATTTTTTTTCGTAAAGAATGAATACGAAAAACGATGTAAACTCCCAAAATTAATGGATCCGTCCACAATATGAATATTCATGGCAGTCGCGAATCGAAAAGTTATTATTTTTACGGTAGCCATTTGTCAGCTTGTTGCTTAAAATAATTACAATTTCATAAGTTTGGCACAGTAAAAGGACCTGTTTGTTCTTGGAACAAAACTATTCAGCAATTATTGCCACAAGACAAGTTTTTAGTGCTCATCAGGGCATGCTCGGACGGGACGGATATCGTTGGGAAAAGCCGTCAGCACATGTGGGAACATTTTATGGCGATCGTGTAGCGTAGGGCCCCTGTTTTGTTTTGATCAAATTAGAGTCAAAAATGTTTTTTATTGCTAAAATAATCACCTTTATAATCAAAAGCAGACTTCTCCATTCTAATGACACCCGTTTTGCAATTTTGAACAGCTTTGTAGCGGCAAGTTGTGAAATTTAATTTGGGTTTAATCATAGTTGGTATTTCAAAGTGTTTTCTAAACTTTAATTTATGATCAAGCATACCTTTGATTGGAAATAAGTTTGTTGCGGTAAAACTGTGCGTACGTTAATTGTTCCCGTACTTTCGTAATAGCGCCCTCTTGTGATATGGTGCATTTTGTAAGGTCAAAGTGTAAATTCTTCATGATTCCGATGATTCGTAAACAATGAACGTGTACCAAATTTATCTCCCCAAATAAATGTAAAATTATCAGGTTTTCTAAGTCCCAAATGTTGTAGTTTCGGATCCAACACAATCGGTAAGCCTTGTTGATTTATTCATGGTTATAATTTATCGTATTCTGAGTGATTTAGTAAGATTATTTGTAGCTTTTCAAAGTGAAGATTTATATGTTTTGGGGGTGTTTACTTACACGTACAGGGATAATGTACGCACTATGTCAAGTGAAGGCTCAAGCTCAATCGCATATATATTTGACTAATTAATCTAATGGTTTATTATGTTTTTCTGTAATTGTTAATACTAAAGTTAAGTATTGTAATTTGTGTAATTACAGTGAACCACCACCACCACCACCATAAGAACCAAATACAGCAGCAATAAAGTACTACTGCCTCGGGGTGCGTTCAGAAAGGGACCGAATACTTCGAATAAAAACACTTGTGTAGCAAATGACGTTTGCAAGGCTACATAAAAGTTCACGATTTTGATGTGAATATTGCCAGCAAGGTTTCCGAAGACAGGGTAAAGTTAACTTACCTTATTCAGTTCTGTAGAGGAAAGGCTCGAGAGAGTATAGAGAATTGCGTGCTGATGGAGGAGAAAGCCGGGTATAAGTTGGCGAAGGAAATTCTTCGTGATCAGTTTGGACAGCCACACGTCATCACCCAATCTCTCATCAATAAAGTCACCGATAGACAACCGATCAGTCCAAATGATGGTGCTGGACTGTGGGAGCTTGCTCGTCAGATGAGGAAATGCCAGGTGACTCTGTCGCAGATTGGGTACTCAGCAGACATGAACAGCTCCGACCGTCTCCTCAAGGTACAACGATTGTTGCCGATACATCTTCAATCCGAGTGGGCTAAACGAGCTCAGATCATGATCCAGGGTAACATGGAGCCTAACTTCTCACACTTGACTGACTTCATCGAGCAAAAGGCGAAGATAGCAAGTAACATGTTTGGCCAGAATATTGGGACAAATATTCGAGCAGACAAGACATCACATCCCAGCTTCAAGAGTAAACCAGCTAAGGTTACCACGCTTGCTACTCAAGGCTCTAATGCGGTAGGAGAGACAACAAATGGACGAGGTCGTCCTCAGCGAGGAAACTATGTGCCGAAATGTCGCTGCTGTTCCCAATCACATACGTTGAAGGAATGCAGAGAATTCCAGCAAAGGTCTTATGACGATAGGCTGAAGTTCGTCCGAAGCAACAAGTTATGCGACAACTGTTTCCGACCTGGGCACATGGCTAAAGGTTGTATGCTGAAATCAACATGTGAAGTCAGTAGCTGTACATGGAGGCATCATACGCTGTTACATCCTCCGCACAGAGATGATAGAGGTTCAAAAGGTGAAGGTGCCAATTATCCAAGTTCCAGTTCTGCATCTGGGGCTGGGGACAAGAATCAGAGTCACACTACAAGCAAGCCAGAGAGCAGACAGCATGGAAGTGTAAACGCAACTGCAGCTTCCATGAACAGAGTGTGCCTAAGAGTTGTCCCAGTCAGAGTGCAGGGAAAGGACAAAGAAGTTCAGACATGGGCACTGCTTGATGGAGGGAGTGATACGTCACTGTGCGATAGAAGGTTGCTAGATCAACTAGGCCTTCAAGGCATAGAAAGGAACATCACCCTCGCTACCGTCAATGACGAGCACAGTGAGAAAACTGGAGTTGAAGTTAGCCTCACAGTAAAGGACTTGGAGGGACGTCAGAGTGTTGACCTTCCCAAGGTGTGGACTGTTGACAAGTTACCGATCACAGACAGAAGTTTCCCAAGAGAAGAAGACGTTAGCCAGTGGCCACACTTACAGGGAATAAACTTTCCTATGATCAGTGAGCGTCAGGTGATGTTACTGATCGGGGGAGACACTCCAGAAGTCTTCTGGGTCCTTGAAGAGCGACGTGGCAAGAGAAAGGAGCCATATGCTGTACGATCTCTCTTGGGATGGACTTTGCTGGGACCTACAGCCACTACCGAGAAGCAGTTCAGTTTCAACGTAAATCACGTTTTGCTTGAAGATGACTTGCTGCTACGAACAGTTGAGAAATTCTGGGAAACGGACTTCGGCGGCAAGATGGCTGATGGTGAAGTTGCTGACTCGGTGGAAGACAAACGAGCTAGGACCATCATGACAGAAACTGTAACAAAGGTTGACGGTCACTACCAGGTTGGTTTGCCATGGCGTTACCAGAGTCGATGTTTGCCTGACAATCGCCCTCTTGCAGAGTCAAGATTACAATCATTGAAGAGGCGATTTCAAAGAGACCCCAGCTTGTATGAGAAATATAAGAAGACTCTTGATGTCTACTTCATGAAAGGTTATGCCAGAGAGATATCTTCATCAAGCCCCCAGGGTGTCAGGCCTGAGACTACCACTGATGAGCAGATTGCCAAAGGTGTAGAAACCGCAATAACAGGACAGACAGTGTGGTACTTACCTCACCACCCAGTGCTGCATCCACAAAAGCCAGGCAAACTTAGAGTAGTATACGACTGTGCTGCCAAGTACAAGGGTGTATCGTTGAACGACCAGCTGCTTCAGGGACCTGATTTTGCAAATAATCTAGTCGGAGTACTGACGAGATTTAGAGAAGAGCCTGTTGCACTGGTAGCTGACGTTGAAGCAATGTTTCACCAGGTTAAGGTGCCTGATAATGACAGCGATGCCCTGAGATTTCTCTGGTGGCCCAATGGAGATTATTCCAAGGAGCCGACAGATCATAAGATGCTGGTGCACCTGTTCGGTGCGACATCATCACCCAGCTGTGCCGGATTTTGTCTCAGAAAGACAGCTGAAGACAACCGAGAGAACTTCGACAAGGAAACCGTCACCACAGTTCTGGAAAATTTCTATGTAGATGATTGTCTTGTGTCAACGAAGACAGAGAGTGAAGCCATCAGATTAGCCAGTCAGCTTATCCAGTTATTAGCCAAAGGAGGATTCAGGTTGACCAAATGGGTATGTAACAGTCGTGATGTATTGGTGACCATTCCTGCTGAAGAGAGAGCTCCATCGGTTGTTAAGTTGGATTTTGATCATCTGCCAGTGGAGCGTACCTTAGGCGTGAGATGGGATGTTGAGGCTGACAAGTTTGGGTTCGAAGCAGCTGTGAAATGCAAGCCCGCAACAAGGAGGGGTATCTTGTCAACTGTAAGTTCATTGTATGACCCCTTGGGTTTCCTCGCACCATTTATCCTGCCAGTTAAAATTCTTCTTCAGGATCTCTGTCGTCAGGGGCGTGGCTGGGATGAAAAGGTCGAGGAATGCGAGATGATGAGGTGGAAGCGATGGCTGGATGACCTACCAAGGCTGACGTGCGTTACCATTGATAGATGTCTCCAACCAAGGGAATTCAGCGACATAGTTGCCTTTCAGCTTCACCATTTTTCTGACGCGTCAGAGCGAGGTTATGCCGCTGTGTCGTACTTGCGTGTTGTTGATGTGCATGGAAAGATCCACTGCGCATTTGTCATGGGAAAGGCCCGATTGTGTCCAGTGAAACAGGTCACCATTCCTCGACTAGAGTTGTCAGCTGCATTTTTGGCGGTGAGGTTGAATCAGCTGATCCAAAGAGAGATTAGACTGCCTATCATGGAGACAGTGTATTGGACAGACTCCACGTCAGTTCTTCAGTACATCCAGAATGAGAGTCGCAGATTTCACACATTTGTTGCGAATCGCGTTTCAAGGATACAGAGTGGATCTGACCCATCCCAATGGCGGTACGTGGACACAGCCAGTAACCCGGCTGATGATGGCTCACGAGGATTGACTGCAGACGCCATGATCAAGAACCAACGATGGCTGAACGGACCTGATTTCCTGTTGAAGGAAGAACAACACTGGCCACTCCCACCTGTTGTAATCAAGGGGCCCTACCCAGATGTACTACCCGATACTCTGCCGAGTGATCCCGAGGTGAAGAAAGTTGTCCAGTCTTACTCCATAGTTGAGAAGGATTGTGTACAGGAGTTCCTGAGTAGATACTCATCCTGGAGTCAAATGAAGCGTGGAGTTGCCTGGTTGCTGAGATATAGAGACTACCTCTATGCTCGTGCCAAGGGAAGACGGGATGCCAGCGAATTCTGTTGTAGGAGACTGTCTTTGTCAGAGCTGCAGAGAGCAGAGAGAGAAGTCGTCAAATACACCCAGCGTCAGTCGTTCCGTAAGGAGATTGCTGTACTTGAGGCTCATGCAGATGACGACAGAATAACCACCAAGAAGAGTAAGAAAGTTCCAAATGCGCTCCACAAATTGAGCCCCATTTTGGTGGATGGAATTCTCCGTGTAGGTGGACGCCTTGAGAATGCACCAATCCAACATGACATCAAGCATCCGATTATCCTGCCGAGCGATCACCAGGTGACGAGGCTGCTGATCGAACATCATCATCTCAAGGTTGGTCATTCAGGGGCAGGTATGACATGGACGTCACTAAGAGAGAGATTTTGGATACTGAAGGGAGGATCTACAGTGAGGCGAGTGATTGGAAAGTGTTTCCGTTGCAAGAAAAGAAATGCACCCCTTTGTCAACAGCTGATGGGTGAGCTGCCAGCAGATAGAGTCACTCCAGAGAAGCCCCCCTTTACGTACGTGGGCGTGGATTACTTCGGTCCACTTTACGTAAAACAAGGACGCAGCCATGTCAAGAGATACGGATGTGTCTTCACGTGTCTTACAATGAGGGCCATACATATAGAAATTGCTCACTCACTCGACACAGACGCCTTCATAAACGCTTTGCGGCGGTTCATCAGCAGGAGAGGTACACCAGAAAAGATCAGGAGCGACAATGGTACCAACTTCACGGGTGGAGAGCGCGAGTTGCGGGAGAGTATTGCATCACTGAACGAGCAGAAGATTAGAGACTATCTTCATCAACGAGGAATTGAGTGGCAATTCAACCCACCAACGGCAAGTCATATGGGAGGAGTCTGGGAGCGGATGATACGCTCTATTCGAAAAATCCTCAAGAATCTCCTTCAAGAACAGGTGGTATGTGATGAGGTGCTACTTACCGTGATGGCTGAAGTGGAGGCTATCTTAAACGCGAGACCGCTCACACAGCTCAGCTTGGACCCCCGTGACGATGAGCCATTGACTCCAAACCATCTACTTCTGATGAGACCAAGCTCCAATGCTCCACCAGGGGTATTTGTGAAGGAAGATGGGTATGGGCGGCGCAGATGGCGTCAAGCGCAATTCTTGGCAGACCAGTTTTGGAGGCGATGGAAGAGGGAATACCTACCACTTTTGCAGCAGCGTCAGAAATGGACCCAGCCAAGACGAGACCTGGAGGTGAATGACCTTGTGTTGGTTGCTGCTGACAACGAGCCCCGTGGACAGTGGCCTCTCGGCAGAGTGATGCAAGTCTACCCAGATAGGGAGGGACGAGTTCGCCAGGTCGAGGTGAGAGTAGGCACTAAGTACCTCAGGCGCCCCATTGCCAAGCTTTGCTTCTTGGAAAGAGCTAACAGCATGTGAAGTTTCATCAGTCAATGAACATTTGTGATTGAACTCTGGCCAAGTGAACATTCGTGATTTGTTAATGATCAAAGAAGTTGACTCTGAATGTGATTCATGTTTTTCGAAATCACAATCATTTGGAAATTGTAGTGCATTTAATTAATCCCTGATGCTTTGAAGTGTGCCGCTTAAAGGTGTAGAAAAATGAACAGATCGAGTCAGTTCATGGGGCTGGGGATGTAGCGGCAAGTTGTGAAATTTAATTTGGGTTTAATCATAGTTGGTATTTCAAAGTGTTTTCTAAACTTTAATTTATGATCACGCATACCTTTGATTGGAAATAAGTTTGTTGCGGTAAAACTGTGCGTACGTTAATTGTTCCCGTACTTTCGTAATAGCGCCCTCTTGTGATATGGTGCATTTTGTAAGGTCAAAGTGTAAATTCTTCATGATTCCGATGATTCGTAAACAATGAACGTGTACCAAATTTATCTCCCCAAATAAATGTAAAATTATCAGGTTTTCTAAGTCCCAAATGTTGTAGTTTCGGATCCAACACAATCGGTAAGCCTTGTTGATTTATTCATGGTTATAATTTATCGTATTCTGAGTGATTTAGTAAGATTATTTGTAGCTTTTCAAAGTGAAGATTTATATGTTTTGGGGGTGTTTACTTACACGTACAGGGATAATGTACGCACTATGTCAAGTGAAGGCTCAAGCTCAATCGCATATATATTTGACTAATTAATCTAATGGTTTATTATGTTTTTCTGTAATTGTTAATACTAAAGTTAAGTATTGTAATTTGTGTAATTACAGTGAACCACCACCACCACCACCATAAGAACCAAATACAGCAGCAATAAAGTACTACTGCCTCGGGGTGCGTTCAGAAAGGGACCGAATACTTCGAATAAAAACACTTGTGTAGCAAATGACGTTTGCAAGGCTACAAGCTTCTTGAGGTAGAAATCATGATTTTCCTGCGCAGTTTGTACCTTGCGATTCAGCGTGCTGTGCGTGCTCACGGTACATCGTGCGGTGATCGCCATCTTTATTTTCAGGTTGCGATTACGATGTTCATTTTTCAACGTCATCAAGTCAAATTATAACAGACTTTTGTTTACACAACAAAAATAAGATTCATCCTTCAACTTGTGTTGAATAGCATGTGGAAATTGCGGTGCCTATTTCTGTCAGACGTGCGTAGTACACACGTTTTTGTTCGAACAGGGGAATGGCCTATGTATGCTTTTCATTAACCTAATACATTGTATGGACATGTATATAATGTATGCACTTCCAAAGCCGAACCGAACTGAAGTTCAGAGAAAAAAATCGAACCGCAACCGAACCGAACTGAACTTTGAGGATCAGTTGCAGCACTAGTTTACATAAGTGTGTAAGCTGCCATCCATTGTTTTAAGTGATGTCATTGCAGTTGACCTACCAGTTCCCTTATCCCAATGGGTTGCAGTCTGGATGTCCCTGATAGGCTCAAAGAGGGCAGTCAAGATGACATTAGATAGGTCACTCCCAGAGTATCCCTCAGTATGATCAGCAAATGCCTGTATGTCCGAGTCAGTAAGAGTCAGGTTACAAGACGTGTGGATCTTCAGGATTGCAATACGGGCCTCCCTGAAACAAAAATATGAATCAATAATGGTAAAAGCCACTATAATATCTGTTTTGGTTTAAATATAGCCTTCTATATAATATTCACTATGGAATACTCATCAATACAAAAACAAAGTTTGTCTTTTTAGCGTAGACAACCATGTACAATGTATTGAGAAAATTGGTGACCACTTAGCATTTGTCCCCTCCTGTAAGGATTCCTAATTCCTCACAATCCCAAAATATTGCAGTCAATCAAACCCTGACCATAATTGCAATATATGAAGCATTCAATTCTTTCCAATTCACATTCACTATGTGAACTACTTTAGCACCAAAGCGGACTAGTCTAGTCACAGCCTCCTATGTTTGTCTACAGTAGTAATAGTAATGTGCACATTCAATTTACCTGGAAATTGTGGTGAAAGTTTTCATTTTATTATAGTCATCAATGTGCAATACATGTTGTATTTTCAAACTGTATCTATTGTGTAATTCTTTGGTTTTTCAAAGAACTTGTAACTGCCGAAATCGAAAAAATAGGATGTCGCACACATTGAAGCTCCTAAGCATTGTGTCCTGAAGTCACATATTCCCATATAAAATCTTGCCCTTTTTAGGTCATCTTACGCGACAATCCATCAGAAGGTTGCACTGTGCAAAGCAGTGATCCAGTTATCTGACCTACCTGTCTGGTAGGGGTACATAGACTCGTTTCTGGAAGCGTCGTAGGAATGCTGTATCCAGCTCCCATGGTCTATTGGTTGCACACAGTAGGAAGAGCTGCTCTGATTCCTGGCCGTTATCAGCACTCTCCATCTGCCGTAGAAGCTCCGTCTTAATGCGTCTCGTGTGCTCCTCCTCACGGGAACTACGGATGCGACAAATGCTGTCAATCTCATCAATGAAAATGACCTGCAGGGCAATAAAAGCACCACCTTTGAAAGATCAGTGATCAAAGATCATCCTAAGTTTAAAACACTTGCAAGATCCCATTTCAAGTTAGCTAGGTTTGTAAAGCATTAGGAATTTTTTTTTACACAATTTAAAACTACTATTCCAAATGCATACGGCACCAACCTAAATTCTATGTCTGAATCCATTGCCGGTTGAATGTGTTCTAAAACTTGTGAGCCCGTCACTTGGCTGGTTTTAAACGGTTGATAAAGACCGGCGGCAGTGGCATGGCTGGTCTTAAACACTTTCCAGTGTCACATGAAATTTGGACCCCAATAGGGGGGCCTATATGAAATCCGGAGCCTTTTACCGTTGTATTGGTTGAACGTTCACAATCCTCATGTAGGCATGCGCAATACTACCAGTGAGTCAGTACATGTATTTCATAGTCCTAAATTTACACTACACCGGCACATTTGCATTATGCCCCACATCGCGCAATATGCGCGACACGCGCGCCAATCTCCATATAAGGAGAGGGACATACCATAATATAGCTAGAGGGGTGTTTTGAAAAACATGAAGTAAAATTGTGCTTGGCTGGTATTAAACACTATATTTAAGACCAGTTGGAGTCCGGATGCTGATAATGACCCGAGCCAAAGGCGAGGGTAATTATCAGCATCCAGACTCCAAGCGGTCTTAAACATAGTGGTTAAAACCGGCTAAGCACACATTTATTCCCTTATTAATGAAACTGTTACTCACAGATCTTCCCTCTTGTTGAGTAGCATGCACAAAAAGCTCTTTGATCAATCTGAAAGAGAAAAGGAACTAACTAATTTTAAAAGCACATAAACAGATGCAAACTCCTGAAATGACTGGCAATACAATATAATCAACTTTGAAAATGTGTCTCTTTGGTTTGGATATGAGTTGAACTTTTGATTGTACAATTCCTTCATGAAAGATCTTTGAAAAAATTAATCTTGCATGCCTAATATCAAGAGTTAGCTTGAAATATTGAAACAGTAGGTTACAGTTATGGTTGAATGACAAAAAATTAGGAATATCCAAATACTTCCCAATTTAGTATTGGTGATGGTGAATGATATTACTAAGTAATTGCTTGAATCTGTAACCCACAATTGTTTAAACAAGCTAGAATTGTTTCAAAGATAACTTCAACTTCCAATCTCATGTGCTGCAAATATGAGGGAACCCATGCATACTTTTCACTTTCCCCGACCCAGCTTGAGACAAGATCAGAGCTGGACACACAATAAAACGTGGAGTTGATTTCTGCTGACACAGCCTGAGCAAGACGTGACTTGCCGGTACCGGGTGGGCCGTAGAGAAGAATGCGTTTCCATGGTTTCCTGGCACCTTAAAAAGTACACACACACACACACAAACTTTAAAAATAAAGGAAGATTACTTATTATCCAAATGGCTTGATAAAATCTTTAATTAAAGAAAGTTTGCAGGAAAGTTTGAACTTTAATCAGACTATTCTGCACTGCATGATTTTCTCTTGAAAAATGGGTGGTTTCAAGACTTGACATTTACTGTGAATTTCTGATGATATACACATGAGAAATATGCTTTAGTGTTTGCTTTGCCTGTTGGTTAACTCAATGGTTGACATGGTCTATATATAATCCACTATAGGTCCCACCCCTCCGTAGTATACAAATATTGACTGCTTTGAGTGGTGTGGTAAAACTAGCCTACCGAGGTGATCCATGGAGCGTTGCTTCCCAAGGCATAGCCGAGGGAAATGAATCACCTAGGGAGGCTAATTTTAGTACACAATGAGTTAAAGCAGTCAATAATTGTTTTATAACACCTCACTTACAGATTCTGCATGATTGTAAGAGATAACTGATTAATTTAACCAAAATCCAATTAAAATGTACTTCTATTTCATGATGAAATTAGTTGACTTGTACTTTTTCAAACTACCCATTCATAAAACCCAACTTTGTATGGCGTATAGGAACAATATGCGCAACTCATATACATGTACATGTATGTCTGCATGCCGTGCACACAGACCTATTGTTAAGTTGGTCATCATGCGTATAGTACTTTTTCAAACCAAGGCAGCTGTTGTATACGTTTTTGGCTGTGCACAAAAAGGTAGTAAAAACACGAATGCCATGTGACTCGCTCTAAGCCAATCAAGATACAGAATCTGTGGGTGATGAGGTGTTATATAATTAAGTACACCTGGTAAACTAATGACAAAATTTCAAAAGCCTCCCTAAGGATTTTTTTGCCAGTAGGCCTACCATCAACCAAATCACTGATGCCCATTGCCCCCATCAGCCTGCTTACATGTATGACATTAAAGATACTGTTTTTGAATCTGTAGATCATTAATCTCACCTGTAAACAAATGAGGGAACTGTACAGGCATGACAATAGCCTCTCTTAAGATCTGTTTAGCTTGTGTTAGACCAGCCACATCACTGAAGCTCACTGTTCCCTTCCTAACGATGGTATCCTCTATGGCAAGTGTCCGGCTCTGGGAATGGGTGTCTGAACTGGTGGTTCTAGCATCTGTAGCAAATGAAAAACAAAATCCCAGATGGAACTTGCAATCATAAAAAGTTCTTAAAAAAAGTCCTTTGTTTAGCCCCTTTGCACTAGTGACCCAGAAGTGGGCACTGACATTGTATGAACTCGTATTTATTCCCTTATTAATCCATAAAACCTATAGTGCTGGGCAGTTTGGAGATGTATAGGGACTGATGGGATGGGTTAATAGGTTACAGATACAATAATAGAAATAAATGCTACGAATGGTTCTGAAACATTTAAGATTTATGCATTTATACGTCTTGGTAATTTGGAGACTTGTGTTTCACCAATTTATCAAGACTTGCAACAGAAAAAGGATTCCCTTGAGTCCCCCCCCCAAAAAAAACCCCCAAACCCGATTCTGATTGTGACATAAATGGCAAAATAACACATAGCTTACCCAGCCCTGCAGATGAGTTTTTGTACACAGTGCTTTTGTCCATTTGGTGATTTTGTCCTCTAAAACTGAATCAACTTTTTGGCTCAGTCTATAATTGATAAATGGACTGTGTTGATGGTAGGAGGTAAGAGAGAATCATGGCTCTCAAATTTTGTGAGAATTACTGAAACGTACACTTAGTTCATATACTTCTGTACATAATTTACAAGAAATTCTCAGCTTTTGATGTCGTCACCTTTTTCATTTGCCTGCTGTTTCCTCTTGTTGCTGGTTGCTCCTCCTCCAGCATCTATTTGAGCCTTCTTAGCCCTCAGTATCTCAAGATGGTCAGTCAAGGTGATGTCTAGTTGCTGCAAGGCAGCCTGTTCAACAGTTGACGGGAACAATGCATTTTCTTTATCAATTTTTTTTCTTCAAATAAACCACTGAGGAAACTCACTAGGTGTATTACAATACTGTTGTCAAATTTGAGTTGAACAAAGAAATTGACTGGGTTGTTGTTGGAACCTGAGACCTCGGTGCTCTACCAACTGAGCTATCCAGCCCTATATATGTTGGTGAGTCCCCAAATTGTCAATGTCTTTGTTCAAAGGGTGCTAGTGTTAGGGAACTGCCAACATAGGGATGTATGGATAGCTTGAGATCCAGAATGGTAATCGGAGGTCGTAGGTTCAAACCTTGCTCCAGTCAATTTCTTTGTGCATCTTTGAAAACAATTCTTTCTTTTTTTAAATTGGAAACTTTAAAACTGAGATATAAATGGGGGGGGGGGGGGGGGGGACAAAAGCAGAACAAAAAAAATAACACATCATTGTGCAGCATATAGCACAACACAGAACAACACAGCACATTGAAACACAATTCTGTGTAGCACACCAACAGAAATCAGCGCAGCATCCAGACCTGTCTAACTGTGTTTGTGTCCATCTCCTTGGCTCTTCCTACCAACAGTCTACAGTTCTCACAGCTGCTGATAAGATGCTGCAAGTCCACATTACTGGTCTTCTGGCACTCCTCGGCTGCAGATGCCAACCTTGTAAGAAATGCATCAGAAATTCAGTCAGGCAAAGAGACAAAACAGACTTACCCTTGCAGTAAGATTTACCAAATCAGAAGAAATGGCATATTTTTTCTAAGATTTCTTGCACTACCATCATCAGTACAGTCAAATTAATGTGCCAGGGCCAGAGGGGCCCAGAGATAGATTTAAGATGGTAAAAGGGTGTAATTTATAAATGGTTGTGAACGTGAATGGAAAACGGTTCTTGGTTGAAAGGGTATCATTTGACCTGGGCCTAATGTCTTAGCTCTGCTAACCACAAAATCCTTCGCTAATATCAATGACATCCAATCTTTCTGCTGTGTTAACCCTGTAATGTAAGCACAAAATCTAAAAACACTATTCAATAGCAGTAACTGTAAGTGTGGAATTTTCCAAGTAATCAGGACTATTTGCTGATGGCAAGCAGAACCATGGATTTTGGGCTCTGCCTTGTTCAAGGCCTTTCAAAGAACATAATGACCATTATGGATGAAAACTCTCATTGACAATGGACCGATTCCAGTAAGCCCCTCCCACTGCGCACGTGACAAATTAACACGTGCTCCTCTCCAATGCCACACTGCATTTTCCTGCCGCGCGCATCATACGCGCGTGCACGCATGTCGGACTTTTGTGCACGCATGTCGGACATAAATCACGACTGTGATTGGTCAGAATACCATGGGGCGGTGCTTACTGGATCGGTCCATTCTGTGGGGTGGGAGATTCGAATGTTGTCCTTTGGATTAAGTATAAAAGGAAAACAATTTCCTGAATAGCAAACATAGATTGTTGCATTCTATCTTAAGTACTGAGTGATTAATTCTTATTTATTTCTAATGCCGACTAGGCTGCTCACCATGTTGCTGCTTCTTTGAATGAGGACATTTACATGTAGAATATCCATGTAAAAAGTGTAGCAAGGTTTGCAGAACATGAATTGAAAACAAAGAATAGAAACATCATTAGTACAGTGTATGTTTTGACCATCTTTCTAAATAATATAATTTTGTGAGAAATACATTTTAGAGTCCAAAAAGGGCACAATGCGGAAAAAAGTTTTGGTACGGAGAAACGTTTGATTCAGTATTACCCTTTTGAAAAAAATGCCATGCCATACCAAGCAATTCCATGTGTCACTAGTGGAGGATACTGGGTGTTTTTTTTTTGTAAGGAATATTGTTTGTTGTAGGTGAAACAACAATAAGTGCCATGTATTGTCGGATGGTGTCCAGTCCAGTCTGCACTGAACAGTGCCTTTATGCGTCCAATGATGCCCAACATGGCCGCTAGAGCAAAAGTTTTATGTCAAATTTCACAGTAAGTGAAATTTTATCAAGCTCTAAAAATTCCCGTTCATAAATCCTGAATTTACCTAGCTGTTACAAAGGTAACAGAGACATTTTATTTTGGTGCGATATGAATCCTTTTAAAATAATGAAATCCTTTTAAAATGCACCCAAAAACATTTTGTTTAAATATTTTCTGACGAAGTTGTAGTTGGGTATATATGAGTTGAGATAATAACGGTTCATCAGAATTTGTCAACTGTAAAGAAATTCTTTACGTTAACTTGGGATTTTCCAAGATTTTTTTCAAGCATGGATAGTTCAAGCGTGCCACGTTAGGGAACACTCGGCCGATTTAGTGCCCTAAATCCGGAGGCCGCCGTTTTTGAATTTCGGCCTTAATTTCATGAAACTGACATTGTTCACAAAGGTTCAACAGCCTGGCGTATCTTCCAGCAATAAACAACATCTTTAATTAAGGTAACCATGATATGAAGCTGTGCTGTGCAAATAGCTTTAGGGCAACATCTGTATCCTTCCTGCTCCAGTATATTTGCCTCAAATGGGGAGGAAAGCATATATTTAAAGTATAAATAATTGAACTGAGAGTAGACCGGGCTAAATAAAACAGGTTCGGCCTAGGTCAGGACCTAGCCCACCATGCCACATAACACAGCCATAGCTTTGAAAGGTTACATTTGTAATAAACTTTGTTATGATGGCCTTTCAACCGTATAGGCCTAGCCTAGGCTCAGTCAAAGCCTTAGCTTTTTGTTTTAAACCTAACGTTAGGCCTATAACCAGTGCTAACGTCGCTTGGCTCGGTGTAAACAGTGAGTTGTCTTACTATTAAGACAAGTCACTGTTTGCACTAAGAGTAGACTCTTAGGCTTAGCCCAGGTTGGACGAAGTCTTCATTGCATTACGATCGACTGTACGTAGGGAGGAAAGGGAGTCCGCCTGGGCTAAGTAGAATAGTTTAAGTCCTCCACGTCCACGGGCAATGACGGGTCTAGTCTTAGCCTTGAACCTGGGGCGGATTGCAATAACGCGGTCTAAGTCGGCTGGCTAAACCAGTCCGATTTTAGCCTGCTATTGCTCTTAGACGGTCTTGGTTAAGACACCAAACTTAGCCCATTGCAATAAGCTGGTCTTTACTAAGCCCGCTTAGAGTAATGATTCACAAACAAACATTCCATGTTTACGGGCGAATACTGGAGAGACTGCACATTTTTTTTTGTTAGGTTTGTGTGATTCATATCATGGGAAATCAAATGTCAATTCCGAAATTTTATGTTGAGAAAATTGTATTTGCAGTACAACTCAGTGTCATTACATTTTTCCAGAAGATCCCTTCTATCCCAGAGAATTTTCTCTCCAAGCAGTGTTCTGCTTTTTTAAGATTTAATCATCAAACACTCATCAACTGCGAAAAAATATTTTGGGAAAGAATAATTCATTACACCAGTCAATTCCAAAAATCCAAACAATAGACCGTTTTAAGCCAGCCCAACCCAGGCTAACTATTTTAAGACTTAATACTTAGACCGTGTCATTGCAATGGTCTTACTTATAGACTGACTGACAGCCAGAGCTTAGTTTTAGAGCGTCTAATGCGCATAGACAGCTTTAAGACCGGTTATTGCAATCCGCCCCTGAAGTCTCTACGCGTTTGGTGTAGGAGTGGTCTAAAATCACATTGAAATGAATGAAATTAGGCCAAATGATACCTTGATATTGCTGAAGGAGGCTCATTTTCTGTACATGTAAACGTTTAATACCATATGGATGTCCGACCGGATGCAGACGAAAAATAATGCGATTTGTCGTCCCGGTGTCATATGAAAATTGGACTCGTATCAAAATCGGACTCTTTTTCCCTTTTATTGGTTAAACCCTCACACGTGACCGGTCCCTCTCCTAATTATCTATGCATGAGCATGCGCAATACCATCAAAGAGTCCGTATTTCATAAAACCTAAATTCATGCTACACCGGCACGTGCACGGTACGGCTTAGCCCAACCTCGTCCCCAGTGCTTACTTTATTTCCAACCGCGTTTCCAATAGTAAACCCTGGATAGGAAACTTTCTTCCTGTATCCTGATTGGATACCGCAATTGGCTAGTAATGGATTTTTATCGCGTTCTTGGTGCTATTATTCAAAACGTGCAGTACGTGTTTTCGCGATCATTCGTCCACGCCTTCTCGAAAATACTAATTTCCTTTCCAATTTGCTCATATTAATATGAAATATGATACTGCATTTTGTCTCGATAAGATCGTAACAGTTTGATTTCAAAAATCGTGTTTTCGTAACTCACGCCGTGCTCGCGCTGCTTCGAATTGACTCCGTTTTTACCCCAGACACCGCATACAAAAACAAACGCTAATGTGTAACGCATATCCAGGCACCAGACTGTTCCTCATTTGCATACGTGTGCAAAAATCTTGCACATACAAATGATCCAATAGACCGCTTGCAGACGCGTTCGATAATCGACGCGCGAAGGCGCCGGACGCCATGTTGTGGGACAGGCGTATATCAATTCACGCACATTTTGTCCCATAACATGGTGTCGCTCACCTTAGCGCGTCAATTATCGAACGCGTCTGCAAGCGGTCTATACTAGGGTGAGAGAGCAGGTAGTGGTGGGCGCGTACTGCTCGACACCCTGGGGACGAGGTTGGGCCTAGCCTGCTGCCGATCGATCCGGTGTCACATGAAAATCCGACTTCTATGAAAATCGGTCCCCTTTTTCCCTATTATTGGTTAATCCCTCGCACGTGACAGGTCACTCTCCCGAAATGATCCTAAAAATAGCATAGTGTAGCGGAACAGTTAATATTGGCGCGCTAGGTTCACCGTAGTTTAGTTGGTTGGTACGCGGACTTCTGTCCGTTGTACAGCGCGCGAGTAGCGTGGCTGGTTGGTACCCAGCGCGGGTATATAAGCGCGTGTCGCGCGCGCACTCACTCTCTTCCATTTCACTCGTCCATGGATTGCACTCTCCCATTGCACTGCTCACGTTGTGTGCTTTAGCTGTTAATTGTGGCGCGAAGCGTAGCACAGTTCCCGCTCAGAGACTTGGAGTTGCTGAAGCGTGTGTAGTACAGCTGTGGTCAGTCTTTCACTCAGGAAGAGCACTGGTTTAGTTCCGGTGAGTGCAGGGATTAGGAAATCTGGTTGGTACGGGAAGCATTCCAGTTCTTGACGATTATTGGAAAGGGTCCAATTCTTACACCTAAGTAGGACACACCTAAGTAGGACGCACCTAAGTAGGACGCACCTAAGTAGGACGCATCTTATTGGGTCTCCAAGTGGTTATAATAAAGCAGTGAAGCCCTAAATACCCGAGTGTCTGATCTATTCATTGGACGTTAACCCTTCCCCGAGTGTGTTCGTGAGGTTTGCGTGAGAGCGCGAGTGAGTGTGTTCCCTGAGCGTCTGGCGGTAGACTGCCCCAAAACGGACCTGTTCCCCTGGCCTTCCCCACAGCCGCTCGTCGGGTCGGCAGAGAGCAATATCCAAGGCATCGTCGACACAAGACCGCCACAAATGGTGTCAGAAGTGGGATAGGCGCCAGGATTACACAACACAGAACCCATCACGAACTACGAGCAAACAATCACCTACCTAGGACAGAGTCACCCAGATAGGCGTACGTCATGGAAAAGAAACAAGCAAACCAACCTAGACCGGTACTAATAGAGGAACTGACCGAGGACGCGGCTGAAACTTCCCAGTACGCGGAGGAGCAACAACGCCTAGAAGTTGAGACTGAGAAGCTCTGGGCAAAATTGGGTCAACTCCATGAACAGCTAGACAAACTGGAGACGAGAAGGGTGCAACTTGAAAGTCGGCAGGTGGATGCAGAGGCAGGTGCCCAAGTGGAGTTACCAACAACGAGTTTCAGATACCTTGACACTGTTAGAGATGCATCAAGTAGCCTGATATCATCGTCAACACCTATGCCAAGGTGCAGACCTATGCCAAAACCCAGAACCAGGTATCCTACACTATCGTCTTCATTACTGGTACCTACAAATACACCAGTCACATCTTCGACCTCGGTAGAAGCGTCCCAACAAGAAATCAAGAGTAATGCTGATACAGAAAAAGGGTGGTCAATGGAGAGGAATTTCTCAGCAGGTGCAGCCGGAAGAGCATCAGAGCCAGAAAAGCAAGTTTCAGGCGAGGACAGGTCTAGCCTAGATAGGCGAGAGCCGGTGGTTGAAGTGAAGAGAGACGGCCGTTCGCCTGCAGAGTTGAAGCGACCTAATATCGTACCAGATCGGTACAACGGCAAGACTGTATGGAGGGATTTTTGGCAGCATTTTGAAGCGTGCAAACTCGCTAACGGGTGGACGGAGGAACAAGCTAAAGTCTTCTTGGCTGCGAGCTTGCAGGGGATAGCGGTGAAGGTGCTATCAAACAGTCCGGATGGTAGTCAAACGATGACGTATAAAGAATTAAAAGACAGGCTGGAGAGGAGATTCGGACCGGGCCAATTGTCGGAAAACCACTTGATGGAGCTGCGTTGCAGACGACAGGGACCAAAGGAAACACTGAGGGAGCTAGGTCAGTCAATCAGGGAGTTGGCCACGCTGGCATATCCTGAGATAGCAGACGAAGGGAAGGATCGCCTAGCGAGAGGTCACTTTTCGGACGCGATAGAGGACCAGGCCATCCGTGAAGGAATCTTCAGGACACAGCCAAAGACACTCGATGAGGCTATAAGGGCAGCAATGGCGACAGAGAGTTTCCTCAAGGTGGAACAACAGAGGCCCAGTCGCAACCCAAAGCAAGCACGAGTACTAGAGGGACAAAATGACTCTTCGGTGGAAAAGCTGGAAGATTTCGTAAGAAATAGCCAGAAACGGATGGCAGAGGCCATACAAAGAGCTCAAGAAGAGACAAAAGCGTGGGTGGCTAACCTGGTGCAAGGGAGACCTACAGGTGCAGGGAACGACAAGCCAAACATGACAGAAGGCGTTCCGAGTACCTCCTACAGGAGACGACCTAGAGAGGACATTGTGTGCTTCAGGTGCGAGAGGAAAGGACATTTCGCTCGTGACTGTAAATGGCCGCCAGCAAAGAGACACGGGTCGGGAAACGGATCGCAGCTGACCCCAGGGCCCGAGGGAAAGCTGGGAGGAGAAGAGGGCCACAAGACCGTCGTCCACGAGACAAACCAATAGACAAGGGTCATGTAATTACCAATTCAATTGCAACAGCAGAAAGAGTGAAAAGGGGCATGTTTGTACCAGCAGTGGTGAGGGGACAGCAGGCGAAGCTTCTGGTGGACACCGGGGCAACAGACACGTTTCTGTCATCTACTCTCTACCACAAGATCTCACCTGAGAATAGGCCTCATCTTTCTAATGAGGGTTCGTGCATTAAAAATGCTGATGGTTCGCGGATAGTGACGTTAGGTAGCGCCTGGGTGGAGTTACAGGTTGGAAGAACGACACATCCAGTGTACGCGACCTTCGGAAATTTACACTCTATGGATGGAATCCTGGGTATGGATTTTTTGTACCCAACATGCGGGTCACTCAACTTTAGGACACTTGAGCTCACAGTAAATGGAGAAAGGGTGAAATGCAGCGATGATTATGGAGCAGCATTCTGTGCGAGGATAGTCGTTGGACGGACGACCAGAGTGCCACCTGGACATGAGGCAATCTTGCAGGGACATGTTAGTGGAAAAGCGAAGCATAACGGTCTTGGAATTCTAGAGCCAGTCGACCGCAGCGAGATTGCGAACAAGGGGATGATCGTTGCCCGAGCAGTAGTTGATGCTGATCAAGAGGTGTTACCGGTTAGAGTTTTCAATCCAGGCAAGAGAGAATGTGTAGTTCATAGGGGAACTATGGCGGGTTACCTCACACCTGTAGGTGAGAAGGAGATTGAAAGCACACGAGATGTGGAGTCACAAAAAGCGGCCCGACTAGATGTGCCCGAGCACCTTGTTGATCTGTTTAATCGGTGTAAGACGGAGGTTGATCAGGAGCACCATAGTGATATCGCGAAGTTATTGAGGGACTACCAAGACGTCTTCTCTAAGGGAGATCGGGACATAGGCCGTACAGACTGGGTCAAGCACCACATCAATACCGGTGATGCAGTGCCTGTAAAGCAAAGGCCCAGAAGATATCCGACCGTGGAGCAAGAAGAAATAACCCGACAGGTGAAAAGTCTTCTTGAAGATGGAAGAATCGAGCCATGTGACAGTCCTTGGGCCGCAAATGTTGTACTTGTAAAGAAAAAGGACGGGACGAGGAGGTTTTGTATAGATTACCGCCGCCTAAATTCCCTGACGATAAAGGATGCGTATCCGATACCGCGCATCGACGACTCATTGGATACCTTGGAAGGCGCGAAGTGGTTCTCCACTTTGGACCTAGCTGCAGGATATTGGCAGGTGGAGTTGGACGACGAGGCGCGGCAGAAGTCGGCATTTGTCGTACGGGGAGGTCTCTACTGTTGGCGAGTTATGCCATTTGGCCTCTGCAATGCGCCCTCGACCTTTGAGAGGCTGATGGAGCGAGTGCTTGCAGGCCTACAGTGGGACATTCTACTGGTGTACCTCGACGACATTATCATATTTGCCAAGACAGTGGAGGATGAACTGAGACGCTTGAAGGTGGTGTTCCAACGCCTACGCGATGCTGGTTTGAAGTTAAAGCCGAAGAAGTGTGAACTGTTTCGGAGGCAGGTCTTGTACCTTGGACACATTGTGTCTAGTCAAGGCATAGCAACAGATCCAGAGAAGATCAGGGCAGTGCGTGAGTGGCCTACACCTACAACAGTTA